TGAAGGATGGTTATTGTAATTATTGATATTGCGTGGCAGAGCGTCTGGTGCCATGCACGGTCTCGCGTTTGTGAACCCATTTGTAGCCACACAATTCCGAGATGCGATCCTTGAAGATCTGCCATCGAGCAGCAGGAACGCACACGATTTCATTAAAAATGAGTGCAAGAACTCCACGTACAGTCGAATGAGAGAGAGCGTAGCGAATGTCGTCAAGGGTAGTAACTTGTCGGTTGTTCATAGTTGTTGTTATTAACAACAAATAAAGTTGCTGTTGTAATAGCAAAGAAACTTCCTCCTTTATAACAACAAACACCTTTTCTTCTTTGTCCCTGCCATATTATCATTACCGCTCAGAGCTATATCCATGAAGCACTTGTAATAACATGCAATCCTATCTCACACCCGTTTATGCAAACAACTGAAACATAATGACTACATAATGTATGATCTTTTACTTTTATTTTTTTATCCCAACCATAACATCTACAGTAACAATAATAAAACCCTACATTCCACCCGTCAGCATATATAACTACCTTATCCATCAAGACCGGCAATGTTGTGTTGGCATATGCAAAAAGAAAAGGTAATCGTCGTTGCTATCGTGTGTGTGCGAGTACAGCGAATTGCAGAGGCGGATTATAGTTGTGGTGGTGTGTATGCATCATAGGATTATAATCATCATCGCGTTGATGTGTATACAAACAGCAAAGAAAGAGATGACCGTCATTACGATGATGATGTGCTTGAGCGTATAAGTATTAAAACAAAAGACCGCCGTCATAGTCGTCATCGTGTAATATGGGCGTACATGATAGTGAAAGGTGAATACGTCAGGCTGTATATTTTGCAAGTCAATGGTGGATCAGCGTCATGTTGTATATAATTGTGTATGAGTAATGGAGAAGAAGATTGTTGCGTCGTTCTTGTTATGAGTACGAATCGTTTGTGCAGGTAGAGGACGATGTTATATTACGCACGTAAGTTTGACGTTGGATTGGTGCAAGATGGTGCATCACGTATATACAGAGAAAAAGAGAAAGAAGCAGTAATTCTGAATGGGCATATATCCACTAAAGCTATACCCCAAGCACAACCGATAACCTTTTCCTTCCCTTGTTCACTTACCCAGCGTTTTTTTAAGCAGCAGTAACGGCGGTCTACTCCTTACAAATCTTGGGCACATGGTTTTTTTAAGAAAACAGTTACCTTCATTTCGTTTTTCAATAAATCCGTGGATTGTGCCGTTTTGTTTTCCTTGTTTTTTGTTCATCGTGAAGAGAGTAGGAGCCATTTACAAGTGTGTGTCGCAGCTGTTGATTTGCCATGGCGAATGGTAATGAGAAAAAAAAAGGATCCCTGCTGCTGCTAATAAACCCCACACTTTCCACCTACCTCTGCCACCAGCCTCCAATTTGTTTCAAACTCAACCCGGGTAAAATGAAATGAGGGGAAACGCTCAGGCCCTGTTCGCACAGCAGCAAAATAGGCTTATGCACACAGTGAGTCTCTGACGCACCCTTGCCATTTCCTGTACATTAGCCTACAAGCTTCTTGTCACGAGTGAAACAGCCATACTACTATATCTTGACATTGGCTTTGTACTGCTTAACTTCTATTATGTCTTGACTTGAATTGAAAATCTTAAGTACTCATATATTCTGCTCTGCTACACTTAATATATTATCTACTTCAACTTTTATTATGTCTTAGTTGACTAAAACTATGTCCAGGTTGACTGTTATTATGTCCAGGTTGACTGTTATTATGTCTAGGTTGTCTATTATTCATGTTTAGATTGATTATTATTCTTGTCCAGGATGATTTTCATTTATGTACAGATTGATTTTTATCTTGTCCAGATTGATTTTACTCATGTCCAGACCGATTTGTATTCATGTCTAGGTCGATTTATATTCATGTCCAGATCATTATATAGTCATGTCCAGCTCGATCTTTATTCATGTCCAGCTCAATTTTCTTTCATGTCCAGCTCGATTTTCATTCATGTCCACTCAGATTAACATTCATGTCCACTCTGCCTAAAATTAAATCCCTTCTGCCTAAATAAAAGTTCAATCGTCCACTAGGAGATGAAAAATCCTGTACACGTAGTTTTCATATACTTCGTACCTAAACACTAAAAAAATATTCATGTCACTTCACTGTAAACTTTTTTAACAGCAATAGCAATTTTAACCACCAATAAGAATAACAACGACGACGATATTGATGGGAAAGTGGCTGTGTCCTATTAGCAAATAATAGATACTCTTGTTGAGATCATCATTGAAAATGAAGAAGGCGATAAATTTGATGAGATCATGGGGGGTAACCCTTAGTGTTGTGATTTCAAAGGAATTATAAATATGTAAAAAACTATAAGTAATATAACTTTAAAGTTACTATATAGGTGATGAAATTAATTTTTTAATTAAAAAAAATAATTTCTCAAACACTATAAGATTCTCAACCAATAGGGTTATTCTCAACTATTATGTTTAATCAACACTTATGGTAATGGAACAGTAGTGAGCATTTCCCTCCTCTAGCCAAGGAATACTTGGACGCAGGCTAGCTTGACAGTATAATAAAATATCATAATATTGTTATTTATAACAATATTATAGATATTGTTTATACTTCTATGACAAAATGGTCAAGAGAGCTTGAAGCTTTTAGCTGTGATGAAATATAGTTGGTATGTTATTTTAATAAAAGCATTGGCTGCTATGACTATTATTTTATAGTGTAAGAGTGAATCAAACAAAAAATCAATCAAATCTTCTTATTCTCTTTGCAACTATGTAGATCCATCAAAAGCCATCGTAGAAAATGATCAAAAAAGAGTTTAAAAGAAAGCACATCAACAACACCGAAAGTAGCAATAATAAATCTACTCCAAATCCAAGTCCTTCGGAAAAAAAATCTCCCAATAGCACAAAAAAGATCAATACTAGTTATCTCAACCTTGGGATAACTGAAGAAGAAAAAACAAGCGTGCAAGCGTTATTCGACGAAATAGACCAAAATAAACTTTGGATTTTGGAAGCAACAAAACGTGCAGCAGCAAGTCAAGAGGCAGAAACTGATCAAGTAATATCAGTTGAAGAAAAGATGCTAAAATTTAATGAACATTGGGAAAATGTGTTCACCAAAGAGGAGCTGAAAGAACTTGAGGAAACTAGTGATGAAGTCCTTGTACCTATCGATGATGTTATTGAAGAAAAGTTGAATGAGCTGAATGAATTGGTAAGATTTATTATTGAGAATTAATTCTTATTCATAAATTAATAAAAGTATAGTTAATAGTAAACTATTAATTGCTTGTATTTAATTCATATATTTATTCTTATTATATAAAAATATAAAAATTTTAACCTTTTTAATGGTTTTTAAAAATATTTAGAGATAGAGTGAATTACCAAAAAATAATTTTGGCATTCTACTATTACATATATCTCAGAAATAAAATTTTTGGATATATGACTAGACAGAAAAGGAAAAGAATGAATGTTCTTTTTCATATTATATTATTATATTATTATACTTAAAAAAAAGTTAAAATGGTATTTTACTATTTTTTATATTAATATTATTAGAAAGAAAAAAAACTATTCTTTATTTTTCCCATCCATCTAGATATATTCTAAAAGAATATATTTTAAACAGTAGAATACTAAAATTATTTTTTAGTAATTCACTGTTTTATATATTAGTAATAGAAATTAAAATCTACTAGATTTTTAACTTTTATTAATATATTTATTGTAAAATAAGTAATAAGATATGAAAAAAAACCGATATTTATATTACTCGTATAGATTTAAACTCAGATCATGTTCACATGATGAAATATATATGAAATTATTTTCAAAAACATCAAAAATTTTAAAATTTTTTATATTTTTATATATATATTATTAATTAATAGATTAATCAAGATTTTATTGATATAGGGATCATCAATTATTATTGATTGATTCCCATTCTTGTGAGAAACAATTATATTTATTTATTTAATATGATTTTCTATATAATTATAGTTTTAGAAGGTGTAAGTTATTTAAAACTTATAACGTGACTCTTTATGGTTTCTTCTCTTAGAGAAAAGTTCTTAAATTTTAATAAAAAAATAAAATTTTTTGTCTTTGCAAAATTTAAAATACTTATAAAATTACAATAATTTTAATAATTAGAGAAAAAGATTAAGTTCAAATGATAATGAAAAATATAATGATAAATGTTCTTCTGTAGTCTTTTCTCTCTTTTTCTCTCTCTCTAGATTATTACAGTTTCTTTTTTTCTTCTTCAAATAATACTATTTCTATTGGCTATTCTATTCATAGGGAGTTAATCATTAATAATTAAATATTCAACAAATCTTGATATGTTAGAACTTTAATTAATTAATATTAACAGTGGATTATAAATAATAAAAATAAAAAAAATTTTAATTTTTTAATTTTTTATTATTATAATTCTAAATAATATGTTTTATATAAATGTGTTTAATCCGGAACGGATAACACTATTTATATTTAGACATATAGGCTAGACCTTTACGGTCGACGCCTTACTAGTTACATAATTTTTTAGAACGAGTTTAAAAAGTTAGTACATGCTTGACATGAAATCAATTAATATAATTAAATTGCTGTTTACAGCAAATTTAATTGTTAATGATTGAATCTCATAGGATACTACTGAGGATGTTTATAGCCACTCTCATACCATTGAGCATGACCCAAAGAAACAGCCGTGGTTAGCCTGGCTTGCAATGATGTTGATGAAAACAGCCTATCCATTTATTCATAATGTGGATATAAGCACATATTTGGAATTAGACAAACAGTATCTATCATGGGGATTCCTGAATGATATTTTTATTAGATCAAATATCGCTACTCAAGGGTAATAATATTTAATGGTAAATAGGGACAGTCATCGTAGGTCATATACTAAGTACATTGGCATAGATTCTTTGTTTGGGGGGTTATAGGAAAGAAAAAACGAGCAAAGCTAATGCAACACAAACTAACAACAAGCGAAAACTGTCTGCAACTGAAGAAGTAAAACACAAAGCAATCAGTCGGTGCATGAACTGTATATATACTGGTGGCTTAAAGGAGCTTGGGTGTATGGAAGTAGGATCAGTGGCTGATGAAACGAAAGAGTTCAAGGATGCATGTATGAAGATACCAGTCATCATGAAGGACATGCTGTGTGAAATTGTGGAAAGAGCACCAAATCTTGTACGACGTGTGCACATGATAGGATATATGATTATTGGTAAGCAATAATTCTGGTTGGGGTAGAGGTATTGAGATCTAAGCAATAACAAGTATAATTTTACTATAAACAGTAGATTAATTTGTTATCAATAGATGTCAAGGATCTACTAATTTTTGTATTTCATCAAAAATTATGTAACTAGTAGGCGTCAGTTCAGTAGGTCTAGCCTATTCCATGCTGTTTACTTTGAAGGTGATTCCTTTTCCCTGATCAAAACAGATTATTAATGTTTAAAAATAATTATAATATCTAGAAAAGTTTAACAATTAAAGTTCTTGATTTTTATAGATTATTTAATATTTTTATAACTTATAAATTTTAATATGAAAATGATTCCTTTATTGAATTAATCATAAACAATAATATAAGGATAATCAAAGATTATCTCTTATATTTAATTGTTATTAATCAATTCCCATTATCATATCAACCTGTTACTGAATTATAACTAAATTTAGGTCAACAAGTATTAATGCTTGATATGGACTCACCTAAGGGCTATGTATCTCGAATATGACACACAGTGCCAATTGAATGCCCAAGTTGTTCAAAAGACTATGTTGCACGAATCAGCCCATTAATTGAATTAGCATCAATAGTAAAGAAGAAGATAGAAACCACACTCGAAATTTACCAAACAGCTCGAATTCCATTAAAAGTTGCCAAGCATGGCTCCTTTGTATTACCACCCAACCCATTTTCACCATCCACATCATCTACAACAACTACTACCACAACAACATCAGAATCAAGTTCAAAAGATTGGTTAATTTCATCACCCACATCTAAATGATCTAAAAATCATCAATAATAACATCTTATAAATATCAACAACAAATATACTGAACAAATATACAGTATCGTTATTTGAATATTGAATATTCTTCACTACAATAACAAACTACCTTACAGAAAAAACAACCAGAGCTGCTTAAGTGACCAAATGTTTCCTTGCATAGACCAAATTTTTACATATAGGAGTTTAGACATCCGTTACACATGTCCCCTCTACTATCTTCACTCCTTCAGTAGACCAAACAACTTCTCCCTACACCAATTGCAGATTTTCCTTACAATCTGTCATTCCTTGTGTAGACAAAAAAAACTCTAAATAGTGATAGCAGATACTCCATTGTGACTTGTCAGCTGCAGGCACAAATACTCAAGAGTTTCCTTGAACATGGCTGTGCCAGCTACTTCTTTACAAGAGCTGTGATAAATGTTTCATTATTTCATTAACTAAAATTCTATTTCTTAAAATATATTTTGTTTCTCCATACAGTCATTGTTTCTCTAATTATATTCATTGCCTATAAATATAAACTATTCTTAAAATATAACTGTTTGTATACATAAACATGCTTTTTTAAAATAGTGCATATTTTATTAATACTCCTCTATATCTTATTACTGTAATAAATGTGTATCTGTCTGAAATTTTACAGCAACATTAAAATGTATATATAGTAGATCCTATGATATAATAAAAATTATCTCTATGTATTATAGCCTGGATACTATAGGTTTAAAGGTAAGAAAATTATCGTAAAAAAAACTCCAAGACATACTGGTACACAAGATCGATGATGCTACAAATGAGCACATCAAACTGATGGATACCCTGGAATATATAGCCTCTGCATGTTTTTGTTCCAGAGGTTGGTATGCGCCTAGTTAGTAGGGAAGATCTTGAGTCAGCCAGTAAGACACAAGAAGATTATGATAGCCTAGCAGAAGAACACAATCCCCTTAGCAATATGGCGCTTTTTGACGTGGAGCATAGTGTTGACTACGGCTATCTTAAATATCCAGATGATGATGACTCAAACAAGAAGATTAGGGCAACTAAGAGCATCATATACTCTGATACTGTAAATAAAAAGCAAAACCATACATCATCTTCTCTAACATATCTCTATACACTTTCACTTAATCCTCACAATTTTTTCTCTTTCTCTATATTCTTCTAATATAAAAAGAAAAAAAAATAATGTTTAGAAAAGGTTGTCAAACTTGCGTGGTAAATGGCTATCACTGGATATTATATCTTACTTACTGAGCGTCACTACAAGGCAACATAATACAGTGGTCCCCCGCTTTTTGCAGCAGCGGTTTTTGGTGGGAAAAACTGCAAAAAGTGGGGAACTGCAAAAAGTGAGGATGAGTATGAGATGTTACACAGACTGAGTCTATTATGTTAGTCAAGTGTCAATGATAGTAAACCAATTGAAAGTGTCGGTGTTGTACTGAGGCTACTTATTATAAATCAACTCTTATATAAAAGGCTGTCGTCTAATTCTTGATGTTTATATACTGCACTATCAACACCTCCACACCACTATAGTAAAAGCAAAATACCCAAAGCTTACTGACGAGCAAAAGGACGCTATCTATCAACATTACATGTAGATGTCACTGGTTCAAGACTCTGTGTCCCAGGCTCTCGAGTTAATAGCGGAAAATTGCAGGTCCCCATTTTTGGCCTGCAAAATGCAAAAAGTGAGGAAACTGCAATTTTACTAAGTGATGAGCGGGTATGCTCCAAAAAAATCTGCAAAGATTGAGGATCTGCAAAAAGTGGGGCTGCAAAAAGCGGGGGACCACTGTAAAAGTTGGTCTACACAAAGAATTACCCTTCTACTTTTTTTTAGTCTATGCAAGGAACTACAGATTGTAAGGAAAATCTGAAATTGGTGTGGGGAGAAGTTTGGTCTATCAAAGGAGTGAAAATAGTAGAGAGGACATGTGTAATGGATGTTAAACTCCTTTAAGTTAAAATTTGGTCTACGCAAGGAAAAATTTGGTCGCTCGAGCAGCTCTGTTTTTTTATTCTTCGTTGTTCTAAATTCATACCCTTGGTGACCTAAATTTAAGTTTTGGTATTTCTCGGATCGGTGTTCATCCCTTATATACAGTTCACCAAGGAGGACGTGATGGAGAGCTATATGGCCCGTCATCAGTAAAAAGCCCTGCGTAAACTCGCTTACAACATCCAGTTGAAACAAGTTGGATTGATCCATTTTGTCGGGGACTGGCCTGTAGCATTATTTAGGCTCGATGCGTTTGTTCGACTTATTCCTAATTTCCAGTTATTAGTACAATAATCCCACTTGTAAATTTTTAATGTCCAGGTAAAGCCAATGTGGTCTAAACAATCGCACTGTCGTCATCGATAGTCATTGGTACATATCCAGCATTTGTCCTCATGCCATTATAAGCAATTCTGCTGATGGACAGCTTTTGCTTCAAAGCTTTAGGTGATCAGCTACAATGGTATTAAATTCTCGATATCAGTATCTGTTATGTTGCATCAACAAAAAGCTTATAATATGCATCCACGAACAGTTGGAGCTACAGCTTGTTTAAGCATTCGAGGCATATCTGGGACGGTCAGCAAGCGTCGTAAGTATCTCAGTAACATCATTTGCCAATTGCCATAAGCGTTCGATGTATCCAGTAATATGTAGCAACTCGATATTGGCGCCAGTTCTCTAGTTGTGGCATCGAAGAACCGCATCGGCTTTGTAGTAGGAACTTTTACAGTGCCCGCTCGATAATTCGATCACTTTGGTCACAGCCGTAAGTGATCGAATTATCGAAATATCGAGTTATGGAATTGGGACTCCGTTAAGAAAAGGAAGGAAGGTTCAAGAAGAAAGTATAGGCACCCTGTCATCTTGTAGTAATAAAGTAGCTGATGTCATCTGTCAGCAAAAAACATTGTCTTCTCTACGTTATCTTTTTACTTCAATATTATGGGCAACAATTCACTTACAGACCGCCAAAAATTTGCTATTTGCACATACAAACAGCAAAATCCTAAAGTCGGTCAACGTGCTTTAACACAATGGGCTAAGGATGAGTTCAAACTCGAGAAACCACCTGTCCAATCGACAATCTCGCTTATTCTTAGAGAAAAAGTAAAGTATCTCGCTATGTCGGAAACCGAGCTTAGTATGAAAAGAAAACGCGTACCAGCATTGCCAGAAGTCGAAAACGTTCTTGCAGAATTCGTCATGGATATGGCATCTGTTGGGCAACCAGTCAACAAGGAAAGCATCATTCTCCAAGCAAAAATTCAAGCAAGACGCCTCAACATTGTTGTTCCTGAAGGATTTCAGTATTCTGACGGCTGGGTCACCAGATTCATGAAACGTCACAGATTAGAATCACACGGTATCCATGGTGAGGCTGGCTCCGTTGATATCGACGATGAAAAGATCCAAAAGCAGCTCGAAGAAGTCAAGGCCAAAATAGCCGAGTTTCCACCTGAATGCATCTATAACATTGATGAAACGGGACTTTTTTACAAGCAAGTGCCACGTCGAACGATTTCGAACAAACCTATTGCCGGACGAAAAGTCGATAAAAGTCGTGTAACTGTTGTCCTTGTCACCAATGCAACTGGCTCGCATAAACTTGGCCCCTACTTCATTGGACGCTTTGCTGGAGGAAAAGATTTTGGATCAAAGCCGAGTAAGTTAATGTTAGTAAAACATGAAAAAGAACGACAGCTGATTCAATACACCATAATAGTCAAGGACTGTTACAAGTATTACAACAATACGAAAGCGTGGATGACAAAGTCGATTTCTAGAGAGATCTTGCGCAAGCTGGATTCGGCAGTTTTCATGCACATAAAGGCAAAAAAGCTCTCTTATTGATGGATAATGCACCTTCGCATAAAAAATTGGATATTAAGTTAAAAAATATCGAATTGTGCATGCTTCCTCCGAATACCACATCCCACTACCAACCGCTGATGCAGGAATCATTGCTTCGTTCAAAAAAAAGTATAGGTACATTGTAAACAACAGGAGATTTAAGCAGACAAAGTGATTTATTTGGATGTTAAGAAAGCAGAACTTGTTGGGCCAAATCTATTATAGGAGCATCTTATTTCGCAGAGCAACAATTCGCTACAACAACGAGCTTCACGATCTTTACAACATTAAGTTCAAACAAGCCTTGGACTGGTCTATTATGGCCTGGGACCGTGTCTCGTCCGAAACAATTTCAAATTGTTTTCGACATACTGGCCTTATGTCAGTGGAAACCCTTACAGAAGTAATTGAATCCGAAGAAGCTGTTGTTTTGCAGGAGGAGGAGGAACTGACCGTCGAACTTGACTCGTACCTAAGATCTGTCAGCAATGATCAAGATGATACGAACACAGTTATCGTGATTCCAGATGACGAAGACGACGGGATCCATGAGATGTTGACGCTGGAAGAACGAATGGATCGTTTGGTGAATCAGAACGTTGAAGATGAAGGTACAGTACTACTTATCAATCTTCTAGTAGGGACATCATACAAAGTAAGTGCATTGATGGATAAAATCCGCTCGTCTTTATAATAGGCGAGGAGGGAGAGACCGAAGAACAAAATGAAGAAGAAGAAGATGCCGATGCGAATATTAGGGCCATTAAAGAAAAAAAGCGCCTCTACCAAAGTTTTATAGATAAACTTGACATCACACACAAATTGGATATGGACATCTTGTATCTGGTAAAAAAAAGAGTTAGACTTTTGGAGTCAGAGGAGCGGCAATCAGTGAAGCTGACGCAATCCCACCTCATAGACTTTCTAAATTAAGTGAATAAATATATACTACGAATTTTTATTGGGAATACATGTTAACTCTGGACTCTGATGTATGATCCGACACTGATCGCTGGTTCGATTCCGCGTCACTAAGCATTTCTATTGGCTTATACTTGTCGATATGTCACAGCCAAGTGATCGATGATCGAATTATCGATTTGTCGATATTTTACTGCTTACCAGCCTGGTCATTTAAGAAAGTGATCGAATTATCGAAAATATCGAGTTATCGAGTATCGAATTATCGAGCGGGCACTGTATTATCCTGAGCATCGTGCTTATTTAAGTGGGGTGTCGTTGATATCACTCGCTACTTAGTGTGCTCGTCAGCGCCGAAAAGTGTGCGTAATAACTCTGTTCTGATTCACACCTATATTTATGTGCGTCCTCAATGTTCTCGGCTGCGTTTCATAAGGTGATAGATATCACTACCGATGCATCTGTAGAGCAAGCAGCACTTACTGTATACAACGGGTTGTAGCAGAGCTGAATTATACGGGAGGTGGACTTTAAAGATGCGTGACATGGGTGACGCGGGCTCCACAACACTCGATTCTTCGTTTCTAAGTTCTAAATACATTCTCATGTGATGGTCCATTTCTTGCGATGATAGTATTTACAGAACCAGGTTGCAATAATTTCCACCCGGACGGATCACGGATGGACCTTGGCCTAAACAAATTAATTTCTAGAACGAGCGAAGTTTGACGTGTTTGAAAGAAGGAAGCGGTACACGATTTTTCTCTTATTTCTGTTCTTTGTAAAGAATGCTTTCGATGGAAAAATTGAAAGAGAGGAGGGAGTTGGATGATTATTTTTGAGGTTGATGGTTGTGTTGTGCGGGTAGAAGAAGCCGGCGAAGAACAATGTGGTTTAAAACAACAAATGAAGAATATGTAAAAAGAAAGGGCAAAGGGAAAGTGGGATATATGCAAGAGTAACAACAATAAGTGGATAGAAAACACAATACAAGGTACACGCAGAGCAGTAAAGAATTTTACTCAATTTCATCATCAAGTTCTCCAGCAAAGTCGTCTAATGATGAGGAATCGTCGTCGTCATCGTCTTCTCCTTCATTATACCCTTCTTCATCGTCATCATAGTAGTCACTTCTCCGGTTTTCTTCATCATCCTCGTCTCCTCCTAAATCTGGACCATGCAGCTCACTATCTGACATGCTGCGATCGCTTTCGTCATTATCATCGTCATGAATAGTGGATACTTGTGATAGTTGGGATCGTCCACGCATGGCTGTTGTTATCCGTCGTTTTGCTAATGGTGATTTTGCTTCGTCGTCACTATCGCTCTCCGTTTGATCGTCGTTGACATTTCGTTTCTTTCTTGTTTTCCTTGCGAACGATCCTTGTGAGGAAGACGGGCTGCATTTCGAATCACAGATATTTAGTCAAGAGTAACGGGAAATCAGAGGGAGCTTTTCTTTCTATACTAATGACGATAAAAATTTACCTGTCAAGTGCTTCCGAGTCAGTGTCCCCGAAATCCGTCCCACTCTCGTTGAGTGCATCGTCCACTTCTCTATCCATGTCATCCCAATCAACATCTTCTCCTAGGCTATGTTCGTCAGGATCGAACGCACCATCATCAAAAGGAGTCGATTCGGGGTTCTCGACCTCCACCTCGCCTGCATCTGATCCAACGCTTGCAGATGGATTAAGCGACGGCAGTATATATCGTTTTTCGTCTTGTTTATCCCAACGTGCTGTACTATCCAGTAGCCAGTCTACAGTGACTATAAAGATTTTGTTTGCCCGTCGTGCTCGATTCACCTTGTCTGTTCCAGCCTATATGAAAAACATCAATACAGAAGAGTGCAAAATCGCGTGTTTAAAAGCCATCGTAGTCTTAAATTAGTGTATTCGGTAATTATTAGGGTTTGTTATTACGTCGTCGATCACTTCCCAAATTCTCTCTCCAAGTAACTGACCTTGGCAGCAATGACATGTGTAACATTCCCAGTCAAATCAGGGAGACACACAGCCCCAAACGATTCAGCGAGTCTCCAATACATCGAATCGGAAAGCACTTGCTGTTGGGGTATCAAACCTGAAAACACAATGTGAACACCATCCAAAATCTTCCTCTTCATCTCGGGAATCAGATCTTTTACATCCGGCTTTCCCACAGACGATTTCGCACCATTCTCATCATCTTTCTTATGCTTGTCATATACATCCAGTCCCTTATAGAACCGTTCGTGTACTTCGGTCAATATCTGCGAAGAGTATTAGCTTGTCAGGTACTGGTTTCTATCTGCTTTAGCAGGTGAATGAGTAGGAAGAAAAAAAAAAGAAAACTTACCGTGGACATGGTATAGAGCTCCTTATCATCATCTACAAGCAGCGGTCGATCCTGACCAGGTGCGAGTTCATTTTGCTTTTGTGCTAACGGTCGTTGTTGTTGCTGCTCTTTTGCCATTGCTTCTTGAATCTTTTCTTGCTCTGCAAGTATCTTGGATTCATTGCCGTTTTCTTCTTCTTCTTCTTCACTGTCGTTATCACTTTCCTCGTCCTCTTCATCGCCTTTGTCGTCTTTCGCTTCGTCCTCTGTGGCACATAAACAAATTTGTCAGGTGGGAAATACATTTTCACATACAAGCCAAAGGAACCACATATACCTTTCTTTGAATTATCAGCATCGTTTTTCTTATCTGTGGGTTTTTCAGAATCATTTGAAGCAGAGGGGCGGCGGGGCTTTGGTGGTTGTGTAGGAACATCGGGGATCTATGTATGCAATCAATTAAGAACACAGAAAATAAAGTACAAGGTGGTTGTTGCACAAACCTGTTTCGGTGCGAATGGTGAATTGATGTCGCCAATGCCCACAAAGAATTCATCTAAATTATGCGTCAGAAAACGTTCGTTTGAAAAGACAACAGAGGATAACTTACATGGCTTGATCTTGATCAAATTGGGCGAAAAACTCCATACATCAGATCGATCGTCCAAGACAACAACCATTGACGTGTCGCAAGGGAAAAGTCGCTGGATTTTTTTCTGTGTGACACCTGAAATGACATGTCAGTCACTACTGCTGTTACTGCAGCTGCAGCTGCACGATCAGGAGGTCGCATGACATTCTGTGTGCGTTGTGTTGTCTACGCTGTTATTACGCTACTTACTGCCACTCTCGTCGCGAGACAATATACGGCCGCGAAACAGCTTGTCCTCCGGATCGATCTCGCGTGCCACGGCTTCTGCATAATGCCGAGTTCCCATGGTGTAGATGTGTAATTCGTACAGTCCTGACACTTGTCGTAGAAATTCTGACAACCCGGGTCTACCGTTTTCGTTTATCCATGCGTAATACACAATGCGTGTCAGATTGGTTCTTCGGTTCTTTGGTCCTCCCCACCCCACCCCACCCTTGTTTGTTCTCCAGAGTTTTTGCTGCTGCTACTCACCGCAATTTGATATAGTACATGAGGCTACTGCCCGGTAACGTGAATTTGCGGATATCTTTGGTCGCCGGATGATTGGTGTTGTTCTCGTCTTTCATCCAATCGCCAACTGTAGGATCCCATGTAGCGTGGACTACGGTCTGGTCCAAGTCAAGGATAAGCGATAATTTCCGATCATGGAGTAACCGCTCTGCATTTTCTTGCTCCAACCGTTCGGCCTCCTAGCAGTAAATTAAATGGACCAGTCTATCATCACCATCCTTTACATATTGTATCTTTCGCATTAAAGTTGCACAACACGTCTTCATTGTAGTTGTAACTGCTACTGCATTTTATCTACTACGACTACTGTTACTATTAAGTACTACTTACTTGCCGGCTTACGGTTAAGCCCATTGTATCGTGACTCATATTGATATTAGCTTTTGGGTTTTCGTTGCTAATAGTGATATTATCAAAGAAGTATTGTGAAAAAAAAACGTGTTATTTTCTTGTATTGAATCACACCAAATCAAAAAAAAAGGGTTTTCATCGTCATAAAACTTACGATTCTAAAATGGCTCCACAGAGAGCACATAGACCATAATATTGAACTTCATGGGCGCAATCCATCTTGCCGAATTCCTTTTCGATCTAAATGAAAGGGAAAAAGCGCCATTATGCAAGAGTAATAAAAAGGTTTTGACAATGAGTAAATCCACTTGAAAAAAGGACAATGATAAACTAGAGTATTATAACTGCAAAGAGAGATACATTACAGCATGTAGCGCAGCAACAACAACATCAACAGTAATGTAGGAAATAAGATCGTACCTTGACAAAAAGGATAGAGAAAAAAAAAGAAAGTAACGTTTTTTCTTGCGCGACAGAGAGTGAAAGAAAGAAGAAATCAATGCGCCCCACACACGCACAGAATTAAAAGAAGCTCAGCCAATGGCGCCAAAGTTTCTTCATCTTAACATGAAAACGTTAAGCCTTCGTTCTCTCGTTCATAATATACATATCACATACAAATACTGCTAATCCGCATGTTCGCAAGCTGACTATTTTTTGTGCAGCTTTATTTTGAGTCGTTGAACATTTTGGATGACCTGGAACTGCTGCCTGGCTTTCACCATCGTATCGCTCTAATTTTGTAGCATCTCCTCATGGTGGCGTTGTTCCTATGTAAATTTGAGTTGCTAGGGTGGACATCACCAAACCATAATCCTCTTACTTTCTATGGATAATTATACCTTTATCTTCTCGGCCGTTTGGCGAGGTAGCCGCCCAGTTCTTGTTATAGGAACGAAAATGATACATACACTAGCAGATCTTTTAAAGTGCCCGTCTTACATCTGTGGTCGTTGGCTCTTTACTAATGATAATGCGCAAATAGTTGTTCGCACTATGATACAACAGCATGTGGATCGGATGCTATTCCTATGGTGTGTAAGATATCGACGCTAAGGCGTATTATTTTGTTTTAGTTTCGGCGCAGCTGTTGATGTACATGGCTTCTGTATATTTGCTCAATTTTCAAGCAGTAGCTAATATAGATATCTTGTTCGTCTCTATAATTGACTTTCTACTCTCTAAGATGGTGTGACTAACGTCGATTTTAGAGGTTTTCTTTTTTTGATATGAAATATCTCTGTCTTCTTTCTTCCTATATATCCCAAATTCCATCTCTTGTTCTTCATGTCTCATCTAGTCGATTTATCCATTTTTTTCGCATTTGCATCAGCTGTTGATAAACGCAGGCTATTGACACTTATGACCACGCATCCTCTGTCAAAGTGATTCTGGCAGCTTAACTTTTGACCTGTTCGGTGATGGTTGTGTTTGTCACTCGTGCCATTTCTAAAGAGTTTTGAATAAACTCATACCACAACATCGAAACGACACAAAATAGCTATTACCCCTAAAGATATGGATGAGCCTTTAATAGGAGTCACTAGGAATCTTGCAGGATTTCAAGGGACAACATTCAATATATAGTGCCTCTTCAAAGAGCGGCAAGTGTGCATCCTCCATCACCAATCCATTTCAATATACCATAGCATAGAGTAAACAGGTCTCTGTTTATATATAAGTGTAAGAATAGTAAAATGCACAGCATCTTACCATGACTGAGCACTTATTGGCTCTTGATTGCTTTATTTGCATCCACAGCCCATAAGCCTAATACATAATTTAAACGTATCAATAATAGATCACGTGCCATCTGAACTGAATCCATCATGAGGTTGATTTTGCTTCCGTCAATTTCATGCCAGTTCACCTGGACTTCCTGGATGGGTATCCGTTTGGACAGCTGAGCAATCATCAAGCACTCAATGTCAAAAATCCATCGCTCCACGTGCATATTGGGGAATATGAGCTGGGCGGACTTGCGGGTAAATAATTTGAAGCCGCACTGGGTATCCTCGATGCCTCGAATGCCGAGTAAGTAGACCATGCTGTGAAAGCATCGCATTAAAAAGTTTCGGACAAACGAGCGCTATATAATCAACATAAAAGAAGCTTAGATAACGTATCCGGTTTCTCTAATGTACGGCACAATATTGCAAGAAATTTAATCCAAACAAAATGGTTACCTTGACAACCGCCTCCGTAGATACCAAATGCGATCTGGATCCAACAGCTACTCCATATCCGTCCTTTGATACTTTATCCAGAGCACCTTCGAGTTTTTCCAAATCCGCGAATCGTGTAGCACCATCCGCATCGACCATCAAGCACCTTTCGCCTCGTGCACCCAGCATGCCCTGTAAGAAAGCATGCACACAGTTGAGTCGCATTAGCTGGCAGACATACACGCACGCGCAATCAGTTCTTTCTCTGTTCGTTGGCTGTTACGTTACCTGAGTTACCGCACCGCCCTTGCCTCTGTTTTTTTCTAGTGCGAGCACACGAATATCCACGTCCTGATGCTCTCTAGCAAAGTTCAGGGCTACTTGAACAGTACGATCTCGGCTGCCATCGTCCACAATCAGTATTTCATACGAAAAGTTCTTGTCTTGCAATTTTCGCTTTTGTAAAAACTCGGTGGTCTCGGTTAACATGGTGGGCAATCGCTTGCTTTCATCAAAGGCAGGAACAATGCAAGAAAGTGTTACGCTAGGCGTGTCAAAGACTGTCGGCATCTTTTTTCGTTCATTGCTTTTGGCATCTCTGTAGAACTTTTCATTTTCAGTTGCTTTTCGAGGTTTCGGCGAAAAGACGAGAAGGAAGCTGAGTAGCTGTTACATAAAGTAAGAAGAATAAGAACCACAGGCCAATCAACGCGTGTTAACAGAAAGCAGTGACCAAATAAATCCGAGTAACGTTTCGTTTTGCTGATACGAGAAAAAGAAAACTAACCGAGGTAGCGAGGATAGCCAGTGCGGCGAAGACGAGGACGAACACTGACATGGATATATAAAGGAAGGCGAGAACGACAGTTGATCTAGTTACAGATATAAGAAAAAGAGTGAGTGGTATCAGAATGAAAGGAAGTTAAATGTGCGTGAATTCTCCTTGTTTAGGCATCCAATCGCTGGTGCCAGCATTGCAGCAGCTTTAAAAATAACCTTTCCCGCAACGGAGTTAGTTACACAAGGTTCTAGTATCACCTTCCGCAAAAGCTTTTGTTTTTTCTTTTGGAAAAGAAAGTAATGTCAACCCCAGAAAAGCGATCTGCACCAGATCAGTCCAATTTAACCGGCCGTCAAAAACGACGAGGTATTGTTTTTTCTTGAGGAATTAAAATACTGGCACTATTGGCAGTAACATTTAACAGGCCACAATCGCGATATTAGCAAAGAACAGTAATGCACGAAAAATCGGCACGCCAAAGGAATTCATAAACACGTTGGGTAAGGTTCAATCGTGAACATGAGCACAAATATTTGGGAACATCGCTTATACTCAATTGTGGAAACATATATTAAATGTGTAGCAAAAGATGCTCCACGAGTTGCAGGTGCGATCCGTGCCGATGAATTTACAGCAGCGCGTTTACAAGAGATCAATGCCATGCAGACAGCTATCAGAAATGCAGGGTATGTTTTCAGAAAGGTTTATGCGTTATCGGGTATAGTCTCGTTTTAAAAAAAACTCACTTTCAGATATACCATATACGCAATAGAAACGCATTAAATACCCTTACATTCCAAGCGTTGCCGCGTGATATGCGACGACGTGCAGCTAGTCACAAGCTTACACGTCTTCCGGCTCATTTACGAGCTAGAGCAGCACGTGAGGTACATCTACACATACAAAGGGATAGCACGCATGTGTCTGCTCTGTATACAAGATTTGTTTTTGCTGATGAATGTCTTGCAAAACTGCATATGTATCCGTAGATGGAAAATAGTCCTCCTACAAAAAGGAAAACTCGACGAGGAAAACGTCAAAACAAGGATGATGTCGTGTCCCGCGAGTATCTTAGACGGCAAAGTATGGAAATGATAATGTGGATGTTTGATTGATATCTATCAACATGCTGATTTCCATTGTGATGGATAATAACAGAGGAAAACAAGTGGATGGAAACGCACATATATCACACGAAGCGGATGCATATGAATAACATCTGGGGATATCGCTTGGTAAGTTAATTGCATCTTGATTTACTGTTGGCAATTGGAAGTAGTGTGTTATCTGGCTGACTGTTATTACAGGCTGCTCGTCCAAATGTCAAATCAGCAAGATCCTTGTATCGAGCATTTCAGCATACGTCTATCATTCATGATGCGTCATACGTGGGATGTCTTGAACTAGTTGGCAAGCAGGAGGATATCGTCTATATCGTGAACACAGTGACAGATGTCACTCTTCCATCTGTTGGAAGCGAAAGGTACTGTAAAATGCATGTTCATATTTCCTATCTTTTAACGGTTTAGTCTTCCTAGCATCCTCATTGTTGAATTTCTTCTCCCTCTTCAATAAATAGATTTATCAAAGGAAACCGGATCGGTCATACACACATATATGAATATATGAACTGTCCATCCAACCCAATCTGCCCAGTCTCATTTTTATGGAAGCCAACAATGCAATGCAAAAGTGAAGGTGAAAATGTCCATACGTTGTGGCTATGGATTCATCCTTCAGCCTTTGAGTGTGTCCTAAAGCAGTTGAAACATGCTCGCGAACAAACAAAATTAGGTATTTAAAACAAGGAAGGCTATATGTATGTGAACTCGAAACAGATTTGCTAACTCTTCAAAAATCTCATATTGTAAAGATGCTGTACGTGTTAACGACCTTCGAGACGAGTTCATTCGTTTTGATCTATCCGGTGCTCGGACGACGGCTCTTTTACAGGCCATCGTTAAACCAGTGGAAGAGAGCAATCAGGTTGACAAGGATGCTTCCTCAACGTATAAAAGTAGCAAAGTCTGGCGGGACTTGTACCATTTGCGTTCGGCAAGCTCAATACCCCCAGGATCAGTCATCGGACTTACTGTCCAAGATCCTCGCTTAGCGTAAGCTTTCTCTTTGTAGTTGTTATAGATACGGAAGAAAACGAAAATTATTTGGATCTGACGTTTCTTCATCATAGTTTTGCACAAAAGGTTCATGAGCGGACAAACCAAGTACCTCCGGAGGCTGATAGCCGGCTCACAGAATTGTTTGCTCAATGGCCTGAAGACATCGCTTATTCGGATATCTGGGATGAGAACATTCGCAAAAAGCTTCTCGAAAGTTTGCCCTCGGAACATGCACTGGCAAAACGGCGAGAAGAGGTAAGAAAATAAACATAAACTATTAAGTGAGGCCACGGAAAGCTTAAGTCATGTTTTTTTTTTCTTTTGCAGAATCTTCTGCCCGGAACAAAACTCGAGTTCAAACCTAACGACGGCGATGTTCAAATCCCTGTCTTGCTTGTTCAACGCAGTCAAGGACAAGGTCACAGTAGGAATAAACGCCGCGGCGAGCAAGACACATGCAAAACCGAGCTATTGGAAGGATGGACATTGTTTTTGCCAAAGGGTTGCGCTATGCCGTTTTGGAAATCGTTTATGTTTGCTGGAGCACGTGTAGCCGGTTATGAGGATTTGCATGCACTCTATTTCGAAAGTGGAGTACCATGCTACCCTTACGATTATCTTGGCTCGCGTGCGTGTGAAGATGCGCGCAACATGGCAAAACATGAAGCAGAGAGCGCATGGCTGCGACGACCTCCGGCAAAACGTCTCAACTATGCCAAGTTAGGCGTGGAACGGCCATTTGATGCTGCTTTTGATACTCTGACGCTCGTCAGCGCAACCACTAAAACAGTCGCAATGCTCACAGATGATACTAGTGGTGGGGACGAAACAAAGCCGGGACCAGACTTTTATTTGCTGCATGGACACAAGGCCGTGTCCGTCGTACTATCCGCTAAAACAGACGATGAAGCACAGTCGGCGCTCCTGGCATATCTTGCAGAACTGTATACGAAACGTGGGTTGAAGCCCATTGCAACTCTGCCGTTTGATGCAGCTTTGATACAAGTGCGCTTAGAATTTTTTGATCGTGGACGACCCGAAGCGAATGCCATGATTTATCTTATCACTGATGATGCCGAATACGAGACGCAAACAAGTTATATCCGTAACAGAGAACCTGGTCTAAAGAATAAGAAGAAACTGCTGGAAAGCTTAGAAGATGATGAGGAAGCTGCCGCGATGGCAGTGGATGAAAAGGTGAGCATTACACTGTTGTGACATGGGAACAGATGATAGTATTGTGTTTTTGTATGCAATAACGATTAACTCTCTACTATTAGGAGAAGCTAAAGTTCCCTCCCCCAGACGATCTCATCGGGTACCTCACCACGGCAAATTTCTCTTTTCATGCAGGTTGCGGATCTGGTTTGGGTGCCTGCACTGCACGTGGCATGCGTCGGCTGCAAGAGCTAGATAATAGGTAATTAAGCTTTTTGTTGTTGTTGTTGCTAAGCTGGTTTTTGTGTGACATTAATTTAACACGGTGCATTTTATCATTTCTAGTCGACAGAGAGAAATAAAAACGGTTGTTCTTGTGCGCAATACGAAGGCACTCCAGTGCAGACCTGCAAAACTACAGTTTCTTCCATAATCGCAAATAAAACCATTTATTTTCAGCTTGAAATATGTAATAATACACAGTTTGCCGTTGGTGGATGCAATTGGTGGTATATGTAGGTTTTATAATAATGTCTGAAAATCGATCATTGTCAACTGGTCGTCATGCAGTCGCTTCCATGTCCGGATAGAATCTCCCCAATAAGCAATTTCCCAGACTCTGGCACGTCGGGGCCAGCCGAGATGACCAGCGCCGTATCCGCCAACACCCAACCCTCCACCGTAACAGAGGAACACACCATTCCGATCCAAGCAGTAATCGTTTACATGGTCATGTCCACTAAATACATATGTAACCTTATTGTGTTAGTATATAACTCCAAGCGTTCCGCAAGATAGGGTATATGTTTTCTTTTACCATCCTGTCACCTTGATATCACCAGCTGCAATATATACAATTGATAAGTAAACGTAACTGATCGTCTTCTGTGGAGGCAAAAGGTTCCAAGTTGCAAGCATATTATGATAGCACGTCTCTTTATTTTTACCTTCTTTTATAGCATCAAGGATTTTGGCAGCACCATCTCTTGGACTGCTTACCGATTCTCGTTTATCGCCTAGTCTTGGGTTTGGTTCGCCCTCCACTTCATTATACTCCCTGTCATCATGTGATACCGACGTTTTCAATAATTCCAATTGAATGTTAGATGATAGTCAGAGGCAGAAACAAAAACAATAGAACATATCAACTGACCAGATTGGAATATGGAAATATGCCATGGCGTTCGGTTTTTGGGATCCAAAATCAGTAGTATTTCTGGCAAACGAAGCTGATGTATCTTTTAACCAATCGAGCTGGTCTGGTTTAATACAATCGTAGTCCTTCTTGGTATCATCTGTATAAGCGCCCGAATCCAAAAAATAGATTGAAAATTTGTGCTCTCTATATGCATATATGATACTACATATTTAATATTTCTGATGAAGGAACGCTAGCACGATACATTATACTATTCTACTTACCCTTCCTGCGTCTTGTTGGATAGTACTTTGAGCACATAATTGCCAACCCCTGAGACATGCAGTGGACCGCGTTGCGTAAGTGAATACGGCATTTGTAACATGGTCGTCATTAGCTCTTCTCTGCTCAAGTCATTCTCGTCATCGTGATTTCCAAAAATAGCCGCCTATTTTAAACAGCATACGTTTTTCAAATATGTTGTTCATAAAGCATGAATTATCCATGATACACCAAACTTTCGAAGGCCCCTTCTTCCTTACCCATGGAATCTTTCTTTGGATAACAGGGTCTGCGAATTTGAATGTTGCTGCACGAGCATCGCTGACGCCTATTATTTCAAGGAGATCAGTATAAATGCAGGGTATCATCCCACATAGTAACAAGAACAGGGTATATACCTTCGCCATCAATATTGTCACCCGAAAACACAACGAGGTCAGGGCGTTCCAAATCTAACAGTCCCTCAATTCCCTCTATGGTCGTACTATCACCCTTGCAAACCATCTATGCATCATGTAACAAAGCACATATGTAAATATATACATGTACACTGTGCGCATCAGTTTTATACACGGAGTTTCTCTTCTTTGGCCCACTATATGTATTTTACATACGTCGTTAGGAACATCACGACATTTTCCTTCTTCGTTCGTGAAATGCAAATCGGCCAGTTGGAGGATTTTAAATGATCCAACATCATCAAATCCAAGAGGTTGTATCTTTGGAAGCTCTAGTATATGTGTATGGTAGGTTATATATAGATCATTTAGTATCTAGGTCCGATCGGATAAATAATCTTATAGACGTATATACCTGGAAAACCTCGACGGTAAAATAAAAAGGTAGGCTCTCCAAAGCTACCTTTACCATCCCCATCGCTATTCAAATCCGCCTGCACCCTAGTCCAACCAAAAGGGACGACAGAAGGGTGCCCGTACTCGATTGCCAACTCCTGAATGGCGTTTTTATACTCATCATCCGTTGGCTGTTCCTTGACTTGATACCATAGATGAATTGATGCACCACGTATAGTAAGTTGGTTTAGATCAACATCCACTTTTTGGTATCCTTCTGGGGTGCTTTGGTCGTTCAGTATAACCGCAACACTGTGAAAATAGGTTAGTGATTGTTAATGCGCCTTATAAGCCCTTGTCTTGGTATCGATTTGAAATTTAGATGAAAATATATGTGTGTGTCTTACTCTGTCACAGGTGGCTGGCCTCGTACACGTTGATAGAAAAGATAGACTCGCATGCCTACGATCACGCCTTCATTGACGTCTTTTTCCACCCTATGCCATCCCTGATTTTTAAACACTTCTCAATAATCACGACCACAACAAACAAACTTTAAGATGGGAACTATCCACCTTACATCCATGTAACAGTCATCGGTTAAACAAGCTTTGGCCGATATGGCGGTAATTGGATCTATCAAACTGTCTTTTAATTCACTCACATAGACGCAAAATATTTCGCTCTTTTATACCTTTATTATCTGCTTGGCTATAAAATAGGTAGATCGATTCACCGCCTACACCTTGATTTAGGTTCATGGGTACACGAACATAGTCAGCAGAAACAACGGGATGCGAGCCTGTTTTGACAATCATTGAAGTAATAGGATTATGACTCGTCGCTCGATCTTTGGTATAGTACAAGAACAACGCCGTATTGTCGGTATTATCGTCGTCAGCAACCGGTGCACCCTCATTGAGGTTGCCATCGAGACGCGTCCAAGTGTTACCGGGTGGTTCATCTCCTGCCTTTACAACCTGAATGCCTGTGATGGGAGCAGAAGCCGGGTCTTCTTTAATGTCGAGATAGACGGTTTTCAAAAGAGTACCCGCATTGAGATCGACAGGAATGCGCATGTACCCTGGATTACGCGCACAGGCAAATTGTATGTCGCAGACAACTAGCTTCAAGTGAGTCACATAGGCTTTGACGCTGGTTGCTATTAAAGATAGCAGCAAAAGTAGTACTGGTACTAGTGGGCGGTGCTTGCTGTTGCCACGACTTGGTATTCGCATAAAAAAAAGAGTAGTGTGAATTAGGAAATTTTATCCAGCCGCTTGCTTTTCGTTTACTTTTTGCATGAAATTCGCGGCATACAGAAAGTCGTAGCGGCCGATACTGCACAAGACACTCTTCATAATTCATCATCTATCACTACCGTTATACCAGAAAATATTAAATGATATAGTGCGCTGCTTTTGCCCGATGATTGATGTCTTTGTCAATTAAACTTCGAATCTTGTATTCCTTCAAATGACGCCTATCAGATATATTCTCGTTAATATGGCCATTCATCATGATGTTGTACAGTGCCCGCTCGATAATTCGATCACTTTGGTCACAGCCGTAAGTGATCGAATTATCGAAATATCGAGTTATGGAATTGGGACTCCGTTAAGAAAAGGAAGGAAGGTTCAAGAAGAAAGTATAGGCACCCTGTCATCTTGTAGTAATAAAGTAGCTGATGTCATCTGTCAGCAAAAAACATTGTCTTCTTTACGTTATCTTTTTACTTCAATATTATGGGCAACAATTCACTTACAGACCGCCAAAAATTTGCTATTTGCACATACAAACAGCAAAATCCTAAAGTCGGTCAACGTGCTTTAACACAATGGGCTAAGGATGAGTTCAAACTCGAGAAACCACCTGTCCAATCGACAATCTCGCTTATTCTTAGAGAAAAAGTAAAGTATCTCGCTATGTCGGAAACCGAGCTTAGTATGAAAAGAAAACGCGTACCAGCATTGCCAGAAGTCGAAAACGTTCTTGCAGAATTCGTCATGGATATGGCATCTGTTGGGCAACCAGTCAACAAGGAAAGCATCATTCTCCAAGCAAAAATTCAAGCAAGACGCCTCAACATTGTTGTTCCTGAAGGATTTCAGTATTCTGACGGCTGGGTCACCAGATTCATGAAACGTCACAGATTAGAATCACACGGTATCCATGGTGAGGCTGGCTCCGTTGATATCGACGATGAAAAGATCCAAAAGCAGCTCGAAGAAGTCAAGGCCAAAATAGCCGAGTTTCCACCTGAATGCATCTATAACATTGATGAAACGGGACTTTTTTACAAGCAAGTGCCACGTCGAACGATTTCGAACAAACCTATTGCCGGACGAAAAGTCGATAAAAGTCGTGTAACTGTTGTCCTTGTCACCAATGCAACTGGCTCGCATAAACTTGGCCCCTACTTCATTGGACGCTTTGCTGGAGGAAAAGATTTTGGATCAAAGCTGAGTAAGTTAATGTTAGTAAAACATGAAAAAGAACGACAGCTGATTCAATACACCATAATAGTCAAGGACTGTTACAAGTATTACAACAATACGAAAGCGTGGATGACAAGTCGATTTTTAGAGAGATCTTGCGCAAGCTGGATTCGGCAGTGTTTCATGCACATAAAGGCAAAAAAGCTCTCTTATTGATGGATAATGCACCTTTGCATAAAAACTTGGATATTCAGTTAAAAAATATCGAGTTGTGCATGCTTCCTCCAAATACCACATCCCACTACCAACCGCTTGATGCAGGAATCATTGCTTCGTTCAAAAAAAAGTATAGGTACATTGTAAACAACAGGAGATTTAAGCAGACAAAGTGGTTTATTTGGATGTTAAGAAAGCAGAACTTGTTGGGCCAAATCTATTTTAGGAGCATCTTATTTCGCAGAGCAACAATTGGCTACAACAACAACGAGCTTCACGATCTTTACAACATTAAGTTCAAACAAGCCTTGGACTGGTCTATTATGGCCTGGGACCGTGTCTCGTCCGAAACAATTTCAAATTGTTTTCGACATACTGGCCTTATGTCAGTGGAAACCCTTACAGAAGTAATTGAATCCGAAGAAGCTGTTGTTTTGCAGGAGGAGGAGGAACTGACCGTCGAACTTGACTCGTACCTAAGATCTGTCAGCAATGATCAAGATGATACGAACACAGTTTTCGTGATTCCAGATGACGAAGACGACGGGATCCATGAGATGTTGACGCTGGAAGAACGAATGGATCGTTTGGTGAATCAGAACGTTGAAGATGAAGGTACAGTACTACTTATCAATCTTCTAGTAGGGACATCATACAAAGTAAGTGCATTGATGGATAAAATCCGCTCGTCTTTATAATAGGCGAGGAGGGAGAGACCGAAGAACAAAATGAAGAAGAAGAAGATGCCGATGCGAATATTAGGGCAATTAAAGAAAAAAAGCGCCTCTACCAAAGTTTTATAGATAAACTTGACATCACACACAAATTGGATATGGACATCTTGTATCTGGTAAAAAAAGAGTTAGACTTTTGGAGTCAGAGGAGCGGCAATCAGTGAAGCTGATGCAATCCCACCTCATAGACTTTCTAAATTAAGTGAATAAATATATACTACGAATTTTTATTGGGAATACATGTTAACTCTGGACTCTGATGTATGATCCGACACTGATCGCTGGTTCGATTCCGCGTCACTAAGCATTTCTATTGGCTTATACTTGTCGATATGTCACAGCCAAGTGATCGATGATCGAATTATCGATTTGTCGATATTTTACTGCTTACCAGCCTGGTCATTTAAGAAAGTGATCGAATTATCGAAAATATCGAGTTATCGAGTATCGAATTATCGAGCGGGCACTGTAGATAAGGAGCATATATAGCTTATTGTTTTCCCTATACTATATGTTGCAGCTAGCGATTATTGCTCGCAATACAGCTGTCCTTGCTAATATTGAGACATGTTCTCGACATGTATGATACAGTTTGGGACACGGAAACTTTAGTATGATAACCGGCAGGATAAATCCAGCTGCTTATGTAACGTTGAGGTGGTATCCGAAATACTACGTGATAAACTACGTACGTCGAGTCTTTCGATCTCACATTCAAACTTTGGAATGGATAATATAAACAATGACATTACAAAGGAGATCTCTGTACTAGCATTGTCAACAGAGAATAGAGTATATGATCACTGCGTACTGTATGTATGTGACGCAACAATTAGAGGATATAGAACATAACAAGTGCGCATAGGCTCATATGATACGTAGTATTCAATAAAAGGGGTCTGATACCTTCCAGCGGAAGAGCTCAAAGCGAAAAGTCTTTTTTGCTGTTAACTTTTTTTTTTTATGGAGGTTGGTCGGCCTCGAAATAAGTAGTTTTATTTGCAGTCCCACGTGTCAATGACAGTGGCGGGCTGTGTGCGAAACAGAGAGAACAGATTGACTAAAAAGATACTTGAGTATGACTATGGCTAAGAGCGATATAATGTGTGGTAAAATGTGAAGGTAGAGATAGGGGGTGTTGTAGCTATGATATGTTTTTTGTGTTTGTTTTTTTTTTTTTTTTTTTTTTTTTTTGTTTTTAGGGTGGGGGTATAGTATAGAAGAAAAGATTAAAGATTTCTTAAAGAGATAGAGGTCGAAAGCGGATTAACAGAGAAGAGACCCGAGAGGCGACCATGGATGGTACAAATGGCTCATCATGAAAGATAAAACGCCAATAGGCTGCCCAGATTGCTTGTAAAATGCAGGCAATAGTAGTTGATATGGTGATAGGACGTGTAGGTGGTTCGTCTGGTAACGTGTTTTTTTGCTGTTAACTGATAGGGCATGCTAGGGAAGGCGTTTCAAAAATTTCACGGATGAGTTTCACTGTCCGACATACGCATGCCGAGTATTTTCGTATGAAAAAGAAGGAAAAGAACTTACACGTTTTTAAGCAACGGGGCTCGCCCTCTCCGAAAAGAAGGCTTCCCGAAACCTGCGCCGGCATGCCGACGGTGCGTCCCACAACATATGAGAAAGACTCTGCCGAAACATCGTCAATCCCATACTCGTTGCACGAACTCAGCCGAAGCTTCATCGAACGTGCGATATAACACTGGAAAGCAAGCAACATAAATGCCCTTTGCTCGGGCGTTGTGCTCCCAGTAGTAGCCTGACAAAAACAAAGGAGCGAGCCTAAAAGGCCCGCCCCTTTGGGCAACAGAAAGGAAAGAAATTAAGGCAGTTAGCAGTCTTGCTAGACAGACAACGTACATTAAGACGAGACACACACACCAAATTAACTGATGAAATGATGTACTGTACTTACAGTAATAAAGCAGCGATCACACTGTGCAACCATCCTTGTTCTTTCATCCTTCATTGGGCCATGCCTTCAACTTGACAGCACGAGAAGCAACAAGAAGCGAGATGGACTTGTTGACCACGAGAAACAGCAGCTTGAGCAACAGGATGACGGCAACTAGCTTGTCCCTAGACACAGGAGAAGGCCTGGCTTGCTTGAGAACAAAGATGGAGTGATTTCAACCACTGTCTGTGATGGATGGATGGATGGATGGTGGATACATCTTGAGCATAGTAGGTAAACTTCTTTGACAAGTTTCTCAGGCCGGGAGTAGCACAGTGGTGGAAACTAGTGACAGCCAAGAGACTCAGTAGCAGCAGCAGCAGAGGCAGTGGTGTGAGGTGTCTTGATTATTACACGAGTGATGACATGATAGGTCTGAACGGTGGACACAGCAGAGACGAATGGCAACACGAAATCAACGGATGGCTCTTTTCCTAACCTTGTACGCCTTGTCCTTGCTGCCATAAGTTTCAATATACAAGTCAAAAAAGAAAAGAGAAAGGTGTAAGCGGCTAGCATATATACCTCAGCAATCATCATGCCCACATCCAGTATACCCCATCATCCCAAAGAAAATAGAATGCCGTACATTTTTTAATACTCACACTACTAACCGAGTAAGAGAAATATCGTAATGTGTGCCCTATGAAACATCCGTGGTGACGATGAGTATCAATCATCCTATGGCGCAGTCCCCAGCATTTGTCCTATCCATTTGCATCTTTCTTCATCTGTCCGAGCAACCCTTTGACTGTAATAATACTTACGTTGACCTTGTTACACTGACAGCACGCGGAAGGAGATAATGATACTTGCTCAGAGGGAGATATATGAAAAATGCTAATTTTACACAAATGCCAACTGTGATTAGCCACTCTTTTTAAAACCATTTACACACGGTCATTTCACAATTACCTAGCCCATTGCCCAATTGCCAAACATAAAACTTACGATCCTTCTCTTCTGAGATCTTGGAGAACCAGCTTGCATATTGCGACGAGGATCCTTCTTGTGTAGCACAAAGCGGAGATGGTCATCTATCACAAGGATGTCGTAAAAGGTTAATAGAGGGAATTGAAGGCGACGATGATTGTGGAAACAACGTATGTACACCATTTGTTGTATAGAAGAAACAACATCACATACCATTCATAATAAAAACAGAACCTTGGCGCAGCCGCAGCAGGAGGAAAGCATGGCCGTGCTTCTTGGATGAACAATCGCACGGGTATGCCTCTTGAGTGGCAATACTGTATTGATGGAAGACAATAAAGAAAAAGAGAGAAAATTTTCAGAGAAAAAAATACGCAGTGTCGTATATATACGTCTACGTTCGAATGACCCAAAAGAAGGGGCGATAATCGCTTGACAGTTTTCACGAGCAAGATGCGTAGGAATTGCCAAAAGAGCCGTCAAGTTCTTTGCTCTTTCATTATGGATATTCCCCATCTAAGCTGTGGCGATATTGGTACCATTTTCTAGCCACGGTCTTGTAGTTCACTGTTGTATGTTTTATTTCAGATAAGAGGCCTTGTCGTGTTTGCAAAGTAGAGTAAAAGCAAACAAGTGCCATGGTCTGATCGGAACAGGTCACTTCATAGTGTGTTGCTTTTCATGCAGTCTGGATCGGTTTCAGCTAGCCAAATAAGGAGATGCTGACAACAGTGATCATGTACCTGCCTAAGGCGTTTATGAGAATTCACGCAGACCAAAACCGGATAATTACTTATCCGAAGCAAAAAACGTAACATTTAAGTCGAGATCTCGGTTAATTAGTTTGCCGAGAAGAATATGAGCAGTCATTTGTTACATAATTACGCAAGGCACAAAGCACTTACCAATAGATCGCTCACTCAATTATATTATGCGACAACGATGCACAAAATAAAAACAACTTTAAAATAAATTTGTATATAAACCAAGCAGAACAATATAATTTAGAACAGAATTGATAAAAAGAAAAAAGAAGGTACAGGAAGAAAGAAAAACAGGAAAGAAAGCTAAACATGTCGCACATCTTCGTTTGCTGGGCCACGGCGGTTGCTGTGTTGTACGCGGTGAGTGCGCTCTGTCAAAGTATTGTCTATATATCTATCAATATCGTGTTGTTGAGCTTCATAGCGCGCCAACTGAAGTGGCCGAAGACTTTCCCTGTATTCTTCGTCTAACTGCAGCAGATTCTCTTCCCGTAGACGGATCTGTGCGCGTAGTTCGCGGATGGCTGTCTCATCCTCACGGTTGAGCCGTCGAAGCAAACGCATGCGGTTTTCCATACGGATTTGCGCTGCTTCGTTATCAATGATGACATGGCGGGGTGGTGAGATAGATGGCGGTGGTGACGAGAAAGTACGATTACCGGTTGCTTGCTGCTCTTCATCGTCGTCGTCGTCAATCAGAAACGGATCGGTAACCGTACCAGCAGGTGTAGGTGTTGATGAGGTCATTAATGTGGGCAAAGAAGTGGCAGTGGCGGTGGTGGTGCTTAGGTCGAGGGAAGAATGACGAGGGAGTAACATACCACGGAAGGGGTTTTCTTGAGGCTGTTCAATAAATAGAAGAGAAAGAAATAAGCTTACCCTGACCAAGATTTGCGCTCCTAAAGACTATCTACAATCTATGTATTTGATGTTTACCGGTAGTATTCTGATGAAAGGAGGTCTACATGTTCTGGCAACGTATTTTTCGCGTTGGGCAATTTGCCGATTATGAAAAGCACGCACAATGTGTTTACATACCAAGTATGATGTACTTTCAACAAACGACGGACAATCGCATGTCCAGCGTTGCACCGATGTATACCATGTGCCTTGAACCAGGTTCGGGTTTATGTAGTTTGCACGAAGAAATGCTGCGTTCCATTCTTGGATAAATCCTTTCTCCCAGCGTGTCAGGTTCTGACGAAGCACGATCTCGGTATTGAAACGGTCAATTAGCTTTGGTATATAGCTATGTATAATGACGAATACCAAGAGATCCAATCTAGCACGGTTGTACGTATACATATGATTACGCTTAAGCACTTTCCAGTGTGCTTCGACAAGCATGGTTGTTCTTGACAGTGGGATGCGATCAGGGACAGAGCTAGCTGCCCATGTTATCCACTTGTCAAGCTGGTATAATAGGCGAAACATATAAGCCCATGCATGATGCAGATAATGCATAACACAGTAGTCGTACATCTCCTGGGCGCATTGTTGCCATATATCGTTAGGATTAGCAAATACTTTCCCTATTATATTTAAAACCAAGCAAAAGAATGACAGAAACAGGTGTATAAGTATATCAATGAGTGTTTATACATCTACCTAATATCTCTGCACCACGTGTTATGAATACCTTCAGCCATCATCGGATGACGGCTGTAGTGCCTGCCCACCATCTTCAGCATCTCCTCTCTTCTTGGTTTATCACACATAATGCGATTCAAATCAGTGGTGGCGGACGGTGTGAATTGACGCGAGACAAACGGGAATTGGACCATCGCTTCTTGGACGTCATAGTAAGTGGATGTGGCATTTCTTCTAGAGGAAAGTTTCCTTTCCATAGAATGCTCTATATGCCAAAGACATTGACGTAGACAACGACGACTATCCCATGTCGCCTGGATCGCACTAAGTTGCGCAGCATCACCATCACTAAACATGAACTCTGGTTCTAGTCCCCTTTCTTTGAGCTCTCCCAAAAACCGCTCCAAGGTTTGTGTTTTTGGATGCTCGATTGTGGCGTCTGCATTGCTTGTGTCACAAAGCATATATGCAACAGGGAATCCAGCACCATTCACATTGGCAATGACACCATATAGCTCCATACCAGCACGATTTGTCTTAAAAGTGGAGTCGATATGGTACTCTTCCACATGAACACAACCAGCCAAAGGGGCAAAAAAAGGAGTGACGAAACCCACAGCAACAATACCATCAGCAGTGTCAGAATAAATCTATTTTTTATTCATACAATAAGGCAAAAACACTACGTTTTTCTAATAATCTACTAGAGCAAAAACAGGTCTACAGAAGGTGAGTTCTGTTTTCTGTATTAATCTACTTACCTCCGTATATCCTTGATTTGTATACTGCTGTATCAAGAGCTGGGCGGAAACAAACTGGTCATCGTCTAGCATATACCGCGTACGGAACGTCTAGCCCCACCAGTAGTACACTTGTGCCGCCGTTGCTGCATGATAGCCCCATTCATCGATGATATCATTATGAATATCTGGCGCTGAACGAGTCATTGCACGTGCTGCAATGAAGTCAAGCACCTCACGCGACACACCTTCCGGGCGTGGAGCTGGAGCGGCTGCATGTTGCGATGGATGGCGAACAGTAAGCTCGATCGCTCCTAGATCCCGATCGATCACACCGTGCACAAATCCTTGACAAATGAATGTTTCCATCCGTTGGATGACACGCTGGCGCTCACGAACAGGGATCTAACATATAAAATTAATCCGATTTCAACGAAACTGCACGCAAACACTTTGCCTATCTGTTCCTTTTTATCGAATGCCTTTTTTGACCGGTTGATTAGCTTACCTGATTTTGTATAGCTACAGATTGAACGCATCTTGCGGTGAATGGCTTCACGAAGTGCTGGGTCGCCAGTGTTCATCACATAATATCTGTAGTTGTCACAGAGCTGCACTGCTTCCAACACACGTGTAATTATACGCTGATCTGACCATGTGCGCATTTCATCCTCGTAAACGATGTAGCCCGAAAAAGAGAAGACCTCAGTAACGACATCACCAACTGAATTACGGACAGCAAAGGGATAAAAGTTTCCCAACTCGTCAATGAAGATCATTGAGTCGAGTGAAACTGGCATTCTCGGTGTCTGTCTGTCACGACAGACAATACACGTCCTGTACGGTCTTGTTCTACCGGCAAAAAGGGCAAACGGTTTCGTTTTTCTGCAACCCGTGCAGTAGAGGTCGGGATCACCAAGCAATTGCACAGCTTCAGTAATGGGACCGGCAGCATTGGTAGGGTTGTTTAAAGACATGGCAAAAATTATAGACGCGATGCAAAAAGGGGGGAAAAGGAAGAGGGGGACCCTTGTAAACAAACACCACAGTAAAAGATTAAGAACCACCGAAAAAAACCATGACTGCTCATAACTTTTCTCGGCAAACTAATTAACCGAGATCCCGACTTTATTGTTACGTTTTTTGCTTCGGATAAGTAATTATCCGGTTTTGGTCTGCGTGAATTTTCGTAAACGCCTATAACAGCACTAGCCCTAGCCGTTTCAAGAAAATCACGGAAACGGATTTCGGAAAATAACTTCTCCGAGCGTTTAATCATGTAACCGAATCAAAATCCATTTTTCTCAAAATGGAACCGCAAAATCAGCAACAAACCCAATCCCAAGAAACACCCGAGCAACTTCAACCGAAAAGATATAGTAATTGCAAATCTTATCGCCCTTTGCTAATTTTTGTTGGCAATAGACAAGATTACAACACGTGTAGAAAATGCCATCAAAGCCAAAGTGACGTCGGTAAACCAATCGCAGAGCAGTTACTCCTGACAGTGGACGAAGTACTCGAGCTGATTCCTTCGCGTCAAAATTTGAGGAACGTAGCCGACAGTCTCGAAGATTACAGCCTCGACGCGTAGACGACGATATGTTGGCGTTGTCAGATTCGCAACTTGTGATCAACATCCGGGATTGTATCCAGGCTGTTGACGGATACCATTACTACGAAGCATACCGAACAGAACCACGAAGAAAGTTCGGCTATTCTTTCCTTTTTCGATGCTCGCAAGATTTCCATGTGCAGGATCAAGCTGCCGTTCGTTTACGATTGTATCGGCGTATGCCAACTTTCTTGTGCAATGGCCGCATCAGCGGCATGGTCGGTAGAGTGAATGGTTACTTCCACTTGAACATCGAACACTCCTGTGGGCATGAGGCTGCACCTGCCGTCGAAAATAACGCCGTCCCGCAAAATGTACGTGCATACATCGCTGCAAATGTCATCGACTTGGATGCACAACAGCTGCATCGTAACATTATCCGTCAGTTTCGACAAGAAGCGACAAGAATAACGCAGGGGCAAATGTATTACTGGGAGTGCCAGTCAATCTAAGACCAATATACACTGCACGACACCAATTCAGATCGGCAGAGACGCTCGTCGGCAGAGCCGCTGACAAGGGTGTCCGTAAGGTATGTCAAAATGTCCTAAATAAATATTAATACATGCGAGGATCGTGTATATGTTCACTTCGATGCGTTGAGAAATAGACAAGAACCATCAATATAGAACCAATGAAATTCAATAACCATTAAACAGATTTTCACCTCAGCACAAAACAGTAAGTATTTAAAAATGAGTGGTTATATCAGTAGTTGCACATGTCATGTTACGAAATTAGACAGATACAGAGAAGATATCAGCATGGACACTGCAAGAGAATGAATTTTGATATAAATAGATGGAAAGTTGCTTGGGGCGCGCAAGCTTTCCATGCAGGATTAATTAGATATAACAACTAATGATGCTAACCGTCCAGGGATGGAAGGCTCCATAAAAAAATTATTTGATACATAGTGTACAGAAGCTGAGATAATATAACAGAAAAGGCTACAGTACATAGCGTGCTATTTTATAAAGTGCGCGTGCGGACATGGCAGTGGATATTTATCAATAGAGCTTGATTAGCAGTGTATTCTGGAAAACGTATTTTGGTTCGGTTACATGATTAACCGCTCGGAGAAATTAACTTCCGAAATCCGTTTCCGTGAATTTTTTGAAACGGCTAGGTAGGCGGTCGAACCATAGAAAATCCGGATTATCGGGTCAGATTCCCGTCATGTTCCACCCCCTTTTCATGCATGTGCGTGAAAGAATGCTATTACCAGTTTTTAGTCAAAAGGTTAAGCCCTCGTCGTAATCATCACACCTTATTTCTTTTGTGGTCAAGAATAAATGCTCTCTTCCGCAACTTGACGCATGCTGATCAAGAGGTCTGGATGGATAACATAACTGCGTTATTGGAATCCATGATATACGAACCATTGTGCTTTGTCGCATGGTGCATTGTCGCAGGCCGACTATGATGCCGCCTAAAATAACGTGGAAATACTCTATCGCCACACAATCCGAGCGATGTATGAAGCGCAGGCGCAGAGGCACTACAAAATAGACGCTTTGATTTAGTGCTTCCACATGCCATGCAAATTATTCTACAGGCACCGCATTCAGATATTGAATACCTCTATGCCGGTCATTGTCACAAAGAACAATCCAAACTACATCAAGCTGTCATCGTATACGACCAAGGTCTCCGATATTGTGCTTCTAGTCGTGACGACTTCGTCAATGGCGAAAACAGCAGCAGCGATAATGAAGGAGGAAGTGGAACTATGATTAAGAATAAGCTATTGTTGCTAAGCGGCCGACGAGCTGAAGCCTCTGCAAAGTTGCATTGTTGGATTCCATATTGGATCCATCGACTATCTAATTGCGTTGTCTTTGACGACATATCTGACTATGCAAGAACGGCGTACGTGTTTATATGTATCGCGCTCCACTGTCGTACACTGATATCCAGCTGCATCCCGTTGTGGCGTTCTTTGGAATTCCAAGGCGCAGATAACGATATCAACATAAATAACAGTGACAATAGCATCGAAAGCATTGAGCCTCACATTATACACGTAGCATTCTCAAGGATGTCTGCTCAGCAACTCCAACCGTAATGTAACATCTCAGATAAATAGGGATGATGTAGTCCCTGATAATTGGGTATACGGATAGAGCAGGCGTGTTATACTTCAGAGAGATCATCATTGTAACAACGTACCGTCGCGGGTCGCTTTTACAGGATATAGATTGCATCAAGCTGCGGTGAAGCATGCTTCCCAATCGAATTGCTATGCTAAAGAATGTACTTTTGGAGCTATTGGTTCTTGTTTGAGTTGCTTTGTAAAAGGCGAAAGTTACTGAAGCGACGCTTGTGTAAATTGAATAAATCCTTTAGTGGTTTCAATGGGGTTTGTCCAGATGAATAAATCCGTTAACGATGCTGATGAGCCATTCGCTGAGGGTTCTTCTTCGGTGACTAGTAGCGTTCAATTCAAGTCGTTCGTTTCCAAACGTACTTGCTGTAATTCAGTGTATAATTTTTTTAACCGTTCAACCAGCTTTGTAGCGCTTGATTTCCAGCTTTGACACCATCGAGCTATTTTGTAATCATTGTCATCGTTAGATTGAATGCAACCAATGTTGAGCCTAACACAGCAATTGCACACTTCTCTTTGTTACAGCCCCATTCACAGCTCTTTCTACAAATTTGACAAGCTAGATATTCTGTGCATATCTGGGTTACACATAATCGAAAGGAAAGCATTTGATTAAGCCTGCTCGGTATGTAGTAACAGCGGTGAAAGATATACGTATGCGACGATATATCGGTGACGATAGCAACGAGCTGAAGCTTTTTCAAGTGCGAGCTTCGTATTTGGCAAGCGGATCTTCGCTTACCCACTCAACGAGTCAGTATTCGCATATGTTTATAATTTCACTTGAGCATACCTTATAAACCGCTGGTTGAATGTGAACAATAGAAGACGGTGATTAGATTATTTGAGAGTAACGAATGATATTGAGGATAGTCGATATTAAGAGAAGGACCACTGACAACAATAGCGACGTCGATGTAAATAGCTTAACGGTCCTGATAACCTTTGGTGACTGCAGCATTGTGTACGGTTATGGTTGCACAATTTTAATAAAAAGTAATAGATCGTCCACCCGATAATAGAGAGATGGAAACATCATAAAGACAATCAATTATAATTTGCTAGGGTAACACGCCTTTTTTTCGCTTTCTCTCTTTCCTTTCACTCTTATGTACACACATTAATAGCACTACACTAAATCAACCTCTATCCTCAGAATAAGACCATGACCTTGTCCACGACATTAACTTCATACGCAGCTTTCATTGTAGCCGTACCTCTTTTAGTCCAATGGAACTACTTTCGTCAAATTGTTCTTTACGCCATGAGCATTGGTTTGGGATTGTACGAAATTCCTGCCGACTTTGCCACCATTAGCTTGGGCCTGACTGCTTTGTATACTTACGTGCTTGCCGGCTTCATTGCGGACGTGTCGGAAACCTTGAATGAGAAATATCGACGCGTGTTTGCTGGTATGGCTGAAGGTTCCGAAAAGCTCAAGCAGCTGTTTCCTGGTACGTTTTTTTAAAAAAATAAGGTTTTTTCTTCTTCTAGCGTGTTCCCAAGACTTTTGCTGTGGGGCGGGTTAGTACGTGGCGTTGAACTGATGATCTCTTTTCTCTGTACTGTATCTCTCTCTCTCTCTGCTCCTTTGTTGTCATCAATATAACACAGGATATGCCGTGTCTGCCTATTTGCTCAAAGCCAACACCAATCTCTACTACACACAGTCAAAAGCGTAAGTGGCTACTATGATGAATAAAAAAAGGACAAAACAGTGGTGCATGACTATGAGTGACACATACGCTGCTTTAGATTTTTGTTCCTGCAATCACTGCTGCTCGTGCTCGTGCCATTTTCAGCCAGTTATCCAGGTCTCCAGAAGACACACGCCATCGCTTACCGCTGTGCCCTGGCATGGACACTTGTCTACTCGCTGTTCCCCCGCGAAACGATGCATATGTTGTGGTTAATCTCACAGGTGCTCCAACAGCAATTCTCGTACCACCCTCGCGTCTACTCCGAAGAGTACGTTGTCTAAGGAAGGGATCTATCCAAAGAAGAGGCACTTTATATATCCCAGACTTACTGGCTGCTATTGACTTGTAAATAAATCTGCACATCCAAAAATCATACTCTGATACATATGCACTCGCTGCTTGACAGGAAGGTAGCCATAATAATTACGCCCCAATTAACATGGCTGTTTCTTGGATGATAATATAGACAAGTGTTGCTTAGTGACACCGAGTGCTGACTGGCTCTAGTGAGCAATTGACAGCAGAGTGAGTTGGGTTTCAAGAGCACGGACCAACCAATTATCATTCATCGTACGGATTAAAAGCCGTCCTTATCGCTCTTGTAAACGCGTGTGGGTACGGAAGGGGAGGAGTTGGAAAAAAACAGTTGGGCTGACAGCAGCAGCAGCACATACCTCCCCAAATTACAAGAAGTCCTGCTCATTGATTGGTGTCAGGAAATGATGGATATACGCGGCCCAAAATAAGTATTTTTTTTTTCGCCTTTTTACTTTCATCGTTTTGCATTTTCCTTTACCTTTATTCATTCTTTGCAAGTATAGCTATGAGCTCCACTGCGCTCGCACAAATGGAGGACAATATCCTCCTTCGACTGGAGGCCACAGGTTACGATTCCGATCGCAATAGTGTTATTAGTAATAGTAGCAGTAATGACAATGATCCATTCCGACGATTGGATTTTGTGGGCAGTAATCCGATTCCTGCCTATGGGGCTGTGTCGAACTCAAAGTTCGACTTACTGCCGCAAGGTGTGCAGCTGGCAGAGGACCTACGAGGCGGTTGCGGTGGACGGATATGGGAAGCGGCTACTGTCTTGATTGATTACCTTTTGTGGAAGAACAAGCAGCTCAATGACACCCTATTCAAGGGACAAAAAGTGATTGAGCTTGGCGCTGGTACGGGTTTGGTTGGCCTTGCGGTCGCATTGGGCTGTCCGAGCCTTGATAACATGGTGTTGACCGACCAAATGTAAGGCTTTTTTCCCCCTTATAGTGTAAGTGTGTAGTGAGAATTTTTTTCAAGTAACACTGCTAACTCGACCTTGGTCCATATATGATGCTGAATAGACCCATGATGCGGTTGATGCAACAAAACATCGGGCTCAATAATGTGCAAGATAAAGTAGAAGCAAGCGTTTTGGATTGGGGCGAATTAGAAAAGGTTCCGGAAGCGTGCCGTGCTCCCGACGTGATTTTGGCATCGGACTGTGTCTATCTTGAAGTCGCATTCAAGCCGCTTGTGGATACTCTGCTTGCGCTGGCAGACAAGGACACGGAGATTTACATGAGCTACCGGAAACGGAGGAATGCAGACAAGCGATTCTTCAATATGGCACGGAAACATTTTACCCTGACAGAGGTAACATACATCTTGTTTTGCTCTATGCACATTAAGGTGAAGAAGAGGCTAACGCATGCGGCTATTGTGCTATGCTAGGTTATGGACGATCCTAAACGGAGCATATACACCAGGGACAGACTCAAGCTATACCTTATGAGAAAGAAATAAAATTCCCTTTTTTTACAGGACGTGTTTATTACAACTATTTTAAAAGTTCTTGTGTGCAAAGGGCTGTTGGACAACGATGTGGGCGTTATGCGGATGTGTGAATGAGCGAGTATTTGTTTGCGTGAGAAAAAGAGGTTTTAGGGACTATTAGCAGCTGAAGGGTATTATATTTAGCAAGGCTGCCAGAGGGAGTGAGCAGCACCAGGCATCCAGGTTGGGTTTGAGGTGTGGCCCTGCAAGCACATGTACGTTCGGCCGTGGTACTCGACCTTGTCGCCAGGGGCATACGTGCCGACGGGGTTCCAGCTGTCAGCGCAGTCGCTTTGCTGCTTCTGGTGACAATGACCATGACCATGGCCGCCATCACTTTCGTGATGAGATGAGCCACCACCGTGGTGCTGTTGCTTCTTCTCGTGTTCATGGCGCTTCTTTTGCTCCTCCTCTTGATGACGCTTCTGCTGCTCGAGCTGCTTCTTTTCTTGCTCCAATCGCTGCTTCTCGCGTTCCATACGCTCCTGCTCCTCCTTCTGGCGCTGTTCTTCCTCTTCGCGTTGCTCCTTCTCCTCCTTGCGGTCGTCATACAACTTCTTTCCCAACAGACCTGCGCCAATAGCGAGGGCACCACCGATGGCGACGCCAGCAACGTCTGTGGCAACACCCTTGTTGCGGAGCGACTTGCAGCGCTTCAAATGACCTTCATGCACGTAGGACTGACCCATACCTTGTGGCTGATAGCCCTGCTGGCCAGGCTGAGTCGTGAAAGTGATCTGGACCACACCGATTGAGTTGGACTTGATATCATAGACCTGGAACGAGCTGCTCAAGGGCTGGCCAGGGCGGATCTGGCGGATGGGGATGGCAGCAAAACCGATCAGTTCGTCAGCACCGGTGGATTCCTGGTCCATCACCTCAATGAAAAGGTCGGGAGCACCAGAGTATGGCAAGTTGAAGGTCTGGTTCCATTGGGGAGTCTTGCCTGCATCCTTGTGAGTGAAAGTCTGCTGGTATGACTTGGAGTCGCTGAAGTCATAGGTGAATTGGACATAGGGGTCTTGCTTGCCGAGCTTCTCGACATCCTTGTCCAAGTTGGCGCCGATGAAAGTGACCGACAGGCTGTTGAACGATTGCTGCTGCTGGTATTGATAGGACTGCTGGACCTGGTAAGTAGGCTGCTGGTTGGAAGAGGTTTGCTGGGTGGTGTACCGAACCTCTTCTGAGGTGAAGGAAGACTGCTCCGAAGAGTAAGAGGTCTGCTGGTGGTATGACATTATGTGATTTGAAGAAGAAAGAAGAAAGTGGGCTTTGTGAGCTTTCTTGGCATGAGCTTATTTATATGTGTGTACTTGACGCGTTGAACGTGTTTTTGTGTTGCTGCTGTGTGCTTAATCTTATTTTTGCTGATGCTCCCTCTCTCTCACTCCCTCACCCCCTCTCTCTATATATGCACTAGTGCATATCGCATATAGCTCGCACTTCTCTGAGCTTATGGTAAGAAAATTTCAACGTCGGCGGCTAATCTAGTCCGCAATGCCGTTTCTCCTAATTACTTTCGTTCGGACGGTTGCTAAATAAGGAGCATATACGTTTATTTATATCAATCATAAAAGCCCGCTAAAGAGGTCCCGTCCATCTTTGATCGATCATGGGGGAGAGACCATGGACTCGGAAAAAGCCCCGCAGCTTGTCAATGGAGATTTGGGGGAGGGTAAGACGTAGCTTATGAAAACGCGCATCCGCGCGTGGATTATGGTAGAAAAGGGTCATTATGTCTTGGCCTTTCTTCTTTTTTCGGACAGTTAGCCGAACATACTCGCTCAGCTTAAACCATGCATCCCCTCCCAGTAAAGAGGGGATCAGAGCAGCAGACATACATACATGCATTATATACTACATGTTTCAAAGAAGTGTTTTTATAAAGTTTATATGGTGAGCAAAACTATAATTGCATCCATAGAAAAATGCCCAAAAGCAAACTGTTCCGGTTGTCTGCATGATTGTTATTTGTCAAATGACCCACGATTTGATGAGAACCAACAAGTTTTATTATTTACGATATTTGGAATAGCAATCTATGTTTATTATTACCCAAGCTTTCTTGTTTGAAACTTGTCATTTTGTCACATTACCACTTCAAAGTTATTGAGGAAAGAATATGTATACGACGCGTTCTCGAACATGTATAGGCTACGACGTTGAGCTGTAGAAGGACTCTTTTGTTGTGGCACCGACCGGGTCGGCTGACTTTGAGAGGAATTGTGGCGGCGGCGTCTGTCGTTGTAGTTCGTTGGGATGTTAGTAAGTCTATATCTGAAAAACTGTACACAGAGAACATATTGCATTAACAAAAGGCGTCTATTTCCAGGTAAGAATGAGGAAGGAACGGCGGCCTCTAAAGCGGCCCCCGTATAGAAAACGAGCCACTTGAGGTATACAAAATGTATGCAACTTGGCGTTCAGCAACCTTCCTTTTGCATTCGTTTTCGGGTAAATGTTGTTGTTCTCGATCGATTTTAAGGGTAAAGCAGTGCACATGCAGACGGTATCGTGATATATATGCTTTGACATGTAACAAACAATATTGGAGAGGGAAACAACAGAGGCTAATACGCGTGTTAGATCGCGTATCACGGATTGGTGGTCTCTTTCATTTCCATTTTCACGGGGTGCTCTATTACGCGTGAAGATCTGAGCTGCAGGGTATTCCTTTTCAAAAGATTTAAATTCGTGTATGGATGTAGATCAAATACTGATCTTCACACGCTGGGCGTAATTTACCCTCATGAATTGTGTAGCTGGAAGCAGTATTACCATAGTGATAGTCTCAACCTGTAATGGTGAGTCTAGTTTTGCTTTGTCGCCATGCAATAGATGTTCACAAAATAGTTGAATGCATCGTTTGAAACCCGTGTTACCTTCGGGCTGAGATTATATGTTGCTTCCCTTTCATGCATGAAGGGTTGTACACTGAGATATGTAGTAGAACCGACTATCGTTACCCGTTGTTCAAACTAAAACGACAAAATCACCAGTCCATTCGTACAACACCATCATCTATCACAGCATACGAGAAGATTGATCATTACTACCCCGATCGAAATTGTGCGGATGATGTGATAATAGAAAAACGACCGGGCAACTTTGTGCTACCACTACTGCTCTACGATGGCGGCGTGCAGCAAACATATTAATCTATATCAGTGTATTGACATATGGTCTGGAACCCGGTTGTTTTCCGCTTTAGCGTCTGCAGAAGTGAAGTCGGATGATCAGGTTCGCTCCTGCTGCATGTACATTATGCATACATATACAACCTAAATGGAATGCGGGCTACCTCACTGTGTGTCTTACTTTTTTACGCGGGGGAAAGTTGGATAAAAATACACAGAATAATATGCACACTGGACACATGATATTAGAAATGCAAATACGTATGATATGAACCACAAAATTAAAGTACTAGCTCGACACTGCAGGCCTAACAATACTTAGTTCAGTTCAGAAATGTACCAGGGAATACCAGAGTTTTAGATTTAGCGAACAGAAAAGTGTGTAGAAATGACAAAAGTAGCAGCAATATCGGTAGTACACATGTATAGTAATCAAACTGGGCTCAGGTTAATGGTTAAAAATCAGACCGACGTGAACGAAATTTGAAGTGAAAGCATAATATGCTATGATGTACAGTATTGTGCTTTGTTTATGCTGCAGTTTTGCCTGATGATAGTGTGATTTTCTAGAGAGCGAACTTATCTTCGCTCTTACTGCACCCTCCCTTACGTTTAGCTTTAAAACGGTAAGAAGTGTTGGTAGCGCATGTGCATATGCACAATACAGTATATTAAAAAAAGGATTGATATAATCAGGCAGTCTACAAATATTAGCAAAACAAAATTTACTTTATCTTTTTAGCCACACTTGCAGGTCGCGGTTATTGTTTTTGCTTTCTTTTTACATTTTTCAATAGCTAGCAGTGGTCAACCGATACCTTAATTTATCTTTCTATGTGGCGCTACTGTGTACTAACTAAACGTTTATTATTTGATAGATTATATATGTGTATGCTCTTGTGTGTAGTTTCGGTACCGGGTTTCTGGTACTACTCATGCTACTCCTATGAGCCAATTCTTTACTTTGTATTCTTTTCATCCCTCCAACGTCGGCGTCGCCGCTTTTTACGCTCCGTATCTTCAGTCCCCTTGCAAAATCATCGTCTCAGATTATACAACGTTATCTGTGTTGAGTATAATGCTGTCACCGAAACAGTTATAACAAACAATGAGCGGGGCGCTACCAACAAACGCTACTGATGGTACCAAAGTGCTGCTACTGTTTCTTAGAATAAAAAGCTCCATACAGTGCTTTGAACTCGTCTCGTCGCCCGTTATTAGTGCCAAAGTAAAGCATGGCTTCAAATGTTTAACAAAGTCGTCGTCGACTACTCGCGACAAGGGCAATACCAAATATGGCAACGTCACTCATCAGTTATCCGCTATGTATAACATACCTGGTCGACAAGTTAGCGTTTCTAACTGCGTGTCGACATCTAAACAGCAACAGCTAAACCTCGAGCTTAGTATTCCCTTTACAAGGTGGCAGCAGTAACCAGCAAACACTCTTGTTCTTTTAGCTGTTGCTCCATTTTCTACGTAATTGCCTGGTGTTATATCTGATCTGTCATTTGAATTTTCTTGTAGAGGAGCACAATAAACACCACTGAGAACAACAGAAAATGTGAATTACAATGCTGATGACACTGTATTCCTCTAAAGAGTCAAGCCTGAGCTATTAACATCCGGTCGTCTGCTGTCAAGAATGACGAACACTATACATCTCAATAACTGTATAATGATACGCACCTAGTATCTTTTATTTTCTATTGTTGATTGTTTTCTCATGCTGAATAATAGCAGTAGCAGCTCAAGTGCAGTCATCCCGATCGTCATCGCCTCGCAAACAGCTGTAGCAACAAGGACCATCGGTTAGCTTCAAGTTGAGTGAGCGTGTGACCAGCGATAAATGGCGCAACAACAGTAACGACCACGAACGATACTTTCACGCCTAGTAACCGGGTTTGTTAGCATTTAAAGGCTTAAACGTACGACTGTTTCTTGAATGGCACTTAAATCTACATGCATTTGGTGAAATATTTACTACATGTACTCATAGATACTCACAGATAAACACCTAGGTATAAAACCGACTAGAGCACACAAAATATAGTCAATTTGACGTCTTCACAATATGCTCACATGAAGCTGCCGCTCTTAACGCGGACCCAGATAGCAGGGCTCGCGACAGAAAAGGAATACTTGCTATGATCGATAGATTGAAGCTGCCGTTGGCGCGCTCGAGAAGGGTGGAGAGCTTACTGTTGCCGCTAAACATTGCTCCTATAACTCCATTATGTACTGTAAAAGTCAAACCATCAGGAAATTCATTGAACAACCGACCGCAATCCAGCTCCTCACAGCTCGGAAAGGAGCTTAAGGACACCCTAAATACCTTGGTCGACCTTGGTATCACCGATGCGGTAAGTGAATGATGCTCTCGGCAAAGCTCTTTGAAAGAAAACGTACATATTGCGGCTGGTAGCAGAATGTGTATACGCTTTGGTCGAACATGGAAGTGCACGAGTAATGGAACTACCCACTGATATAACTGTGCCCAGTCACTTGTAGAACATCTGAATCAAATCCGTATATAAGTACAAGACACTCTTGATACCATTGATTACTATATGTTACAACAGATGAGTATCATCTGCACGAGCGGACTGGAAACCCCGTAGGGAAGGCATACTTAAGCAAACAAAGTAAAAGCGTTGATACACACTGCATGCAACAGCGTTGTTCTCGCATAGAAATTCACAGAGCACCGTTTTCTCTTCCATAAGCTCAACCACTTTACAAGCTTGATGCAATGTTTTATATGTACAATAAAAGACTGCAACTCCCTCCATATCAACATTCAACACAATGAAACCCAATCAACGTAACACGTACAAAAAGCAAGTAGAATTTTCATATTTAAAAATAATTATGTACAAAAAATCAGATTTCCATCTAGTTCAAAGCATCCAAAACACCACCCAGTACTTCAGTGATCTTTTCACCGATCTGCGTGGTCGACTGTTCACCGCCCAAGTCACGCGAGCGAAGACCGTTATCCAAGACTTGGCGAACAGCATCCTCAACAGCCTTTGCCTCCTGCTCAAAGCCAAGGGAGTAACGGAGCATCATGGCAACACTCAAGATGGTAGCGATGGGGTTAGCAATGTTCTGACCGGCAATATCAGGAGCAGAGCCGTGAATAGGCTCGTATAAACCAACACATTTGCTCTTGCCATCGGGCAAACCGTTCAACGAAGCCGAAGGCAACAGACCGAGCGAGCCGACAATGACGGAAGCTTCGTCGGAAAGGATATCACCAAACATGTTTTCAGTCAAGACGACGCCGTTGAGCTTCTTGGGGTTCTGGACCATGGCCATGGCGGCAGAGTCGACCAAGTGATGTTCGTATTGAAGTTGTGGGAATTCCTTGTCGAGAGTCTCGGTCACGACGTTGCGCCAGAGACGCGACGTGGCCAGCACGTTAGCCTTATCGATCGAGTGAATTTTGCCGACGGGGTTCTGCTTCAATGCCAACAAGGCAGCAAGACGCGTGACGCGGACAATTTCTTCACGGGAGTAAGGAAGGGTATCATAGGCTAGATCACATGGAAAGCGCATACACATTATGAGTTTTTCCTTCCATCTTTCCTGCTCCTGGTTCCTGTACTCCATTTTCCGTTCAAATTTACTCTTTCTTCTCCCTCCAATTGATAATTTACCTTTGCCATCCTCGCCAGCTTCCTTGCGGTCACCAAAGTAAATACCACCCACCAATTCACGGACAAAGACAAATTCGACACCCTTGACCACGTGGTCCTTGAGGGGTGACAGACTTGTCAAGCTGTCAGAAGCAAACACGACAGGTCGAAGGTTGGCATACAAATCAAGCGACTTGCGCAGCTTCAACAAGCCTTGTTCAGGGCGTGGTCCGCTACCAATCTGTGCACCGGGAAGGCCACCAACAGCACCCAACAGGATGGCGTCGGCACCCTTGCAGGCTTCCAAAGCGGAATCAGGCAAAGGCTCACCTTTAATTGCGGGATTCCACCAAAAAAAAGTAACTTGGTATAAGTACACTTATGCAAAGACATAATTCCTCTGTTTTTCCTCCCTTCACAGAGTTCTTTTCTAAGTCGTCACAGATATATAAAGTTACCTGTCTTTTCAAGAGCGGCCAAACCAATGAGTTCATTCTTGAATTCAAACTCGACATCTAAGGCCTGAGCACGACGTTCAGCGACCTTTTGCAAAACCTTGACGGCCTCGCCAACGACTTCAGGGCCGACACCGTCACCAGGAAGGCATACAATGGAGATTTTCTTGACCATATTGTGTATAAGAGTTGTGTGGAAAGGGTTGGGGGGAGGAGTGGAAAAGTTTAAGAGAAGAAGAGAGAGCTAAAACCTGTCAGTGGGTTGCTCGCAATAGCCGTGGGTATGAATCACCTTTCGTAACCTGCTTATGCGTGATTTGATTGGCTGTTGCATTATCCATCCGCTTGGTGATGGAGTGGCCGCCCATGTCACTGTTCTATCTTTCGCTGCCATGGTGACGCTGCCATGGTGACGGAAACAAAGTGGATACAATGACAGTTTGGTTGCTAGGTCAACCACGTCATGTAGCTTTCCTAGTAAAGAGGAGCTTGTCCGATTCAGTATAATGATGGAATATGGATTATAGATTTTGATGGACGGATCAAACATACTACATGTTCGGAAATGAAATGCATGAGATTTTGGATAAGATCAACTCATCTTATTGGGTTGAGCGGCTTTAATAATCATGTAAGCCTAACTTTTTTTAAGCGAATTAAAAACGAAGGTAACATTTTTTATACATAAGAAGATGTTGATGCAAAAAGAACAAGTTTGCTAGTGTGATAGCGACAGAGAGTAAATATGAAGGGAATTCTTTTGGATAAGAAAAAAGAAAGCAAAAGGGAACTTTTGTTAGTTATACAATGTGTATGGAAAAACGAGGAGATTATGGATAAAGGGAGAAAAAAAGAGATGTGCGTTTTGTGTAAGTGTGTGTGTGTGTGTGCAATGGCAATGATCTCCTTTAGTCCTTGCCAACGTTCTCGGGTCTAAGCTGGCGGACAGTCTTGCCGGCGCGCCAGATCTCAGACTCGCGGATCTCTGCCAATTCTTCCTCAAGACGCTCACGGTAGTCGGGCTGCGAGTTGCGGTCGAGCGAGCGAGCGGTTTCCGAGCCATTCTTGACGGATTCGTAGAGCTGCTCAAAGACGGGCTTGGAGGCGTCGTGGAAGGGGCGCCACCAGTCAAGAGCACCACGCTGGGCAGTGGTGGAGCAGTTGGCGTACATCCAGTCCATACCACGCTCACCGATCAAGGGGTAAAGGGACTGGGTGGCTTCTTCGACGGTTTCGTTGAAGGCTTCAGAGGGAGAGTGGCCTATAATAGATTGCACAAACCATCCCGGTTAATATATGCACTTGTTCCCCGATAAGCACCACTAGTCCCGACTCTGAAATATTTGATAAAAAAAAACCTACCATTGGCACGCAAGACTTCGTACTGAGCCTGGAAGAGACCCTGAATGGCACCCATTAAGACACCACGCTCACCGAACAAGTCAGAGTAAACTTCCTTCTCAAAGGTGGTCTCGTACATGTAGCCAGAGCCGATTCCGATACCAAGGGCGATAGTGCGGTCACGGGCGTTGCCAGAGGCATCCTGGTAGACGGCGAAGGACGAGTTGATACCACGGCCCTCCTGGAATAGACGGCGGACAGTGAAACCGGAACCCTTCGGGGCGACCAAGATCACATCAACATCTATAATTCGATAATTTTTAGTTTTCTGGCCGCCAACCCTCGAAATAATTACACCACCATCTATCTTCCCTGGGCGTAACACACACTATTGGCTGTAATGACAATCATTTTCTTTACCTTTGGGGGCAACAATGTCGGTCTGATCGCGGTAGATGATAGAGAAACCGTGCGAGAAGTACAAGGTCTTGCCGGGAGTGAGGAGAGGCTTCATCTGGGGCCAGATGTCCTTCTGGAAGGCATCGGACAAGAGGTTCATGACAACGGTACCCTTTTCGACGGCATCCAAGACAGGGAACAAGTTCTTGCCGGGAACCCAGCCTTCCTCAATAGCCTGCTGGTAGGTCTTACCCTCACGCTGACCGATGATGACGTTGACGCCGTTATCGCGCAAGTTCAAGGCCTGGCCACGACCTTGGGGACCGTAGCCGAGGACGGCAATGGTATCATCCTTGAAGGTTTCCAAGAGCTTTTCCTTGGGGACGTCAGAGCGCTCGTAGACGGTTTCTTCGGTGCCACCAAAGTTCAAGGTCTTGTAGCCACGGATCTGCGAGGCAGCCTGTCAAAAATAAAATAAGAACAATGATGGTTCGAATTACTAAGCTGATAGACAGATGACACGCGCTTTTTTTTTTAAGAAAAATCAAAAGTTTGAAAAATGAAATAGCGTAATCCTTACCGAAACCTTGACAGCAGACTGCTTCAAGTTAGCAGTAGCCAAAGCAGACAAGGGACGAGCAGCAGCAGCAGTGGGACGGATGGTGGCAGCGCGGCGCGAAGCAGCACGCAGGGCAGTAGCAAAGACTCTGGAGGCCATGAGGATTATGGGGGAAAAAGGTTAAGTGAGAAAAAAGAAAAAGAAAAAAAAATGCAAGGAAGATGTGGAGCATTTTTATGAGCATGGGCCGTGACGGGCGTTTCGCGTTTGGGCCCGCCCGGCTGTCCTGTCTGTCTTTCTGTTTTTGGGTGGCATGCGTGCAGTAGGTGTGTCGTGTGCTGCTGCTTGGTGGTTGGCCTGTTCCGACTTTTGCATTTTTCGATTCATCGTGCGCTGTAGCCAATAGGCGCAAACCTCAGATCTTATCAGCCACCCCCCCCTTCCATTCAACCATTTCCCCCCCCCCCAATTGCGTGGGACCAATACGAATGAAAACATCCTACCCACCCACCCTATCCCAACGCACTTTGAATGAGGCGGGCAATGTGTGTGACTCATCTGGTATAGATTTCATATATAGAGCAGACAGACACACTCATATCATACCTCTTGGATCAGTTTCTGCTTGCGGTCAATAAACCTGCAAAGTGTTTATTCAAAGCCACACTCAGAATAAGGAAATATCCCTGAAGATAGAAAAAAAAAAGTTTTTTGATTTTGTTTGTTTTCTGCGATAAGAGCGCGAGACAGAGAGAGGAAGGGTGTGTCAATCTTGCCACTATGTAAGGTGATGTGTGATATGCGATGGGAGATAAAAAAAAAAGCTTATTGTGTGAGCGGTGCCTCAACCTGATTGGTGTGACTCATCCGATGTAAGGGCACATCATCCACTTCACATGCCAACCAAAATGCGATTGACGATGGTGGGCCAACAGAGGACCTTGCCGTAGAAATTAACCACTAACCACAAAATCAAAAGTCAAGGCAGGAGTAGTAGGTATTATTGAGCAAGGCTATTGAAAAATTTTCCTTTAAGACAAGGGCTCCAATATTAGGCCGCCACCGACTGACTCGGTTGGTTTGATTGACTAAACTGAACCAGCTGGACTGGACTGGACTGGACTGGGCTGAACTGGACTGACTCACTCGATGGACAGAGCAGACTTGAGTGGTTAAGACGCCACTGGCTTAAACTTTTTCAAAGGTCCGCCCTTATCCCAAAAGGATTCTGCGTTTAAAATTGGCTCCAGATCTCTTCGCTCCCTCTCTCTCTTTAGATTTTTCTTCCGCTTTGTCAAGCGAACTTTTTTTTTTGTTCCTCCCTCCTCTTTTACTTCCCTCTCTCTTTTCTATTATCCATTAAAGCACAGCAAAATAGTGCCCAGGGGGTTTTTTGTTTTCATCATCATCTTCTTCTTCTTCTTCTTCCTCTTCGTATCCAACATATCCATCCGCTCACAGCAATGATCGCATCAGCAGCATCCAGACTGCCGTCAAGGCAGCTTTTGACCAGATCTACGTTTCTGGCCGGCCCTCGTTCCGTGGCCGCTTGCATGATTCATACCACTCATAAGGCAAAGGGCGCCGCTGCTGCCACTCGGTATGTTCTTCAATCCCTTAGCTCTTGTGGACGGACACACTCTAAGCATAGCTGCTATGCTGTGAACAATCGACTTAACCTCAATGATCTTTGTAGTCCTGCACCCCGTACCGCTGAACGAACGATCGTACAAACCGACAAACCTCATCATAAACCACAGCCTCTCAAGTATCGCAAGCCCGCTGCCGTTGAGATGGACGATTCATTTGTGGGCAAAAGCGGTGGCGAGATCTTCCACGAGATGATGTTGCGACACGACGTCAAGCATGTTTTCGGCTACCCTGGCGGTGCCATTCTCCCTGTCTTTGATGCGATCCACGAGTCCACCTATTTTGACTTTGTTCTTCCACGACACGAGCAAGGTGCTGGACATATGGCCGAAGGTTACGCACGAGCCACGTAAATATCAACATACACTTTTCTTGTTTTGTATAACAGCCGCCCCACGTACACCAGACTTTGTTCATCTCAAAGCTAACAAAAAAAAATTTAATTCTACAGCGGCAAACCTGGCGTCGTGCTTGTGACTTCTGGCCCCGGCGCTACCAATGTCGTGACAGCCATGGCTGACGCCTTAGCCGACGGTACGCCTTTGGTTGTGTTCACTGGCCAAGTCGTTACCACTGCCATTGGAACTGATGCCTTCCAAGAAGCCGATGTAATTGGTATTTCCCGCAGTTGCACCAAGTGGAACGTCATGGTCAAGGATATCGCTGAACTCCCCCGAAGAATCAACGAAGCCTTTGAGATTGCAACCAGCGGCCGTCCTGGCCCCGTTCTTGTCGACTTGCCCAAGGACGTCACTGCCGGTATTCTGCGACGACCCATCCCTACCAACTCCTCCATCCCCACCCGCCCAACTGCCATCCCCAACACCGCCATTGGCGCCTTTACCGAAGAAGTCACTGCTGCCAAACAAGAGCCCTTGCTGCAGCGAGCGGCAGAATTGATCAACATAGCCAAGCGACCTGTCATCTACGCCGGCCAGGGTATCTTGAGCCATCCCGACGGTACCAAGGTCCTGCGCGAACTCGCCGACAATGGCAATATTCCCGTGACGACCACGCTTTGTGGCCTTGGCGCATACGACGAGATGGATCCCAAGTCGCTTCACATGCTTGGTATGCACGGCTCTTGCTACGCCAACTTGGCCATGCAGCACGCTGATTTGATCATTGCTTTGGGCGCTCGTTTTGATGATCGTGTCACCGGCATGGTCAGTGCATTTGCTCCCGAAGCTGTCAAGGCCGCTCGCGAGAACCGTGGTGGTATCTTGCACTTTGAAATCATGCCCAAGAACATCAACAAGGTTGTCGAGGCCACCCATGCTATTGAAGGCGATGTCACTGAAAACCTAAAGAAGATCGTGCCCCATGTCCAGTCCTCAGAGCGCAAAGAATGGTTCGACACGATTGCTGAGTGGAAGAGCAAGTATCCATTCTACTATGACTTGCCTGCCAATGACGATGCTACTCTCAAGCCCCAGCAGCTGATCGAGGAATTGAACAAGCAGACGATGGACAAGAAGGAGGATGTGATTGTGACCACTGGTGTAGGCCAGCATCAGATGTGGACTGCTCAGTTCTACCGCTGGCGCCATCCCCGTACCTTCATCACCTCTGGCGGCCTCGGTACCATGGGCTATGGTCTTCCCAGTGCCATCGGCGCCAAGGTTGCCCAGCCAGACAAGATCGTCGTTGATATCGACGGTGACGCCTCGTTCTCGATGACTGCCATGGAACTGGCCACTGCCGCCGAGTTTAACATTGGTGTCAAGGTTCTCTTGCTCAACAACTCGTTCCAAGGCATGGTCAAGCAGTGGCAAGATCTGTTCTACGAGGAACGATATTCCGGCACTGTCATGAAGAACCCTGACTTTTGCAAGCTCGCCGAGGCCATGGGTGTCAAGGCCATCCGTGTCACCAAGACCTCTGAGATTCCCGAAAAGATGGCCGAGTTCCTTGCCCATGATGGCCCCGTGCTGATGGATGCCGTTGTGTGCAAGCACGAACAGTTGTTCCCCATGGTCCCTGCCGGCAAGGCCCTGGATGATTTCATCGTCCATCCCAAGATCAAGGCTGGTCTTACCCAGTAAGCCCCGTCTAAAAATAATCATTGCGCATTCCAAAAAAAACAGCACTTCTTTTCAAAAAAGCATTCCTTGAAATCAGAAATCGAAAAAAAAATCTAGTCATTTTGCTTGCATACTTCTCCCAATCAATTTCAACCCATAATTATATATCTATGTTTGTCTGCTTTTTTTAATTATCCTTCATCGTTTTTCCTTCTCTTCTTCTACTCTTCATCCTCCACTTATGGCAAATAAAAAGTACAAAGTCCATTTCTTGTATATTCTCAAATTACTGCTCTCTACTTTCTTATACTTAGCACTGTATAGTAGAATAGATAGTCCCCATGATGACTTGGTTGTGTTGTGTTCATGCCACATTGCAGTATGAATCTGAATAGAGAAGCCCGCCAAAACAGTCAAGTGCGATCGCGGAGTACAAATCACCATCGTTTTTGGACTGCGCGCTCTGCATCCAACGAGCCCGTTCCCTTTTCGTCTCTTCCTCTCTCAGCATTCCATCCACAAACTCAATTACACGTACACCCTACAAGCGCACTTAACAAGAAACGAAAAATGTCGATGGCTGTGAGTTTTACTTATCTATTTTATCTCCTCTTGGTCCCCTCCAGTTGTTTCATATCGTACTCTCGAGTTGTCAATGACCTATGACTTACTTCTGTCTATGCAAATGTTGAATATTAAGAGCTTGCTTGGTTTATCCACACCTGCGGATATCGAGATTGGTTTTGCCAAAGAAGATCAGCGAAAGCAAATTGACGTTAAAGTGGACAAAGACCGCCGTGAAACGTACCCAGTATACCTCGATGGAGAAACTGTTAGCGGCAATGTAAGTATTACAACTTTCTTATTTCTGTTAATGGAAGAAAGGGATAGTCTTGCCCATTGGTATATATATTCTAACACATAGTTCCCGGCTCATAATATTGCACTAGGTGAATATTCGTTTGAGAGGTGGAAAGAAACTCGAACATAATGGTATCAAGGTTGAATTCGTGGGAAGCATAGGTAAGATTGAAACATAAAAGTTATAATAACAAACGAACGGATGAAACGAATAGAGAGCGAGAGAATGCATTTTGATATAGATAGTGTGCTTGCTATAACATATACTTTTCACATCTTGCAGAACTATTCTATGACCGGGGTAAACCGCATGAATTCTTGACTCTTTCGCAAGAATTAGCTGCACCAGGCGAACTCCGTCAGAATGCATCGTTTGATTTCGAATTCAAGCGCGTGGAGAAGCAATACGAGTGTTATCACGGCATCAACGTTAAATTAAGGCATGATATTGAGTATATGTTGTGGGCACAAGTAATATGAAATAACAACGAAACGCTTTTTCCCTTACAGATACTTTGTTCGTGTCACTATATCACGTCGCTTACAAGACCTTGATAGCGAAAGGGACATTTGGGTATATTCGTACAGAATGCCAACAGACATCAACAATTCGATCAAGATGGAAGTCGGTATTGAGGACTGCTTACATATTGAATTCGAATACAACAAATCAAAGTACGATGTGTTCTCCACCTTAGCCCCTTCTTCGCACATAGCGAATTGAACGAGTTACTAACATGTTGTTGATGATGATCTGCACTAGATACCATTTGAAGGATGTGATTGTTGGCAAGATATACTTCTTACTTGTGCGTATAAAGATTAAGACAATGGAATTGGCTATTATTCGACGTGAGACGACAGGAGCTGGTATGACCTCCCTTTGCTTTCTCGTATATACTGGTCGTGCTTTTACTGACTACTTCGATCCGTTATTTTTTTAGCGCCCAACCTTTACAACGAAAGCGAGACCGTAACCAAGTTTGAAATCATGGATGGTGCACCTGTTCGAGGTATAAGCAATCGAGGATTTAGATATGAAAAAAAGGTAGGAGAACGGATGGCTAAAGGTATAATTCATTTTCTTTGTGTCTTTTCTAGGTGAGACCATTCCCATTCGTCTATTCTTGGGTGGTTTCGAACTGGCACCTACTTTCCGAGGTATGGATTAAGCATAAAGTCGAATTATTATTTTGTGGGAGAATATGCAGTGACAGGATGACGGCTAAGTAGTTTTATCTGTTTTAATAGACGTCAACAAAAAGTTCTCTACAAGATACTATCTGAACTTGGTGCTGATTGACGAAGAAAACCGCCGTTACTTTAAGCAACAGGAAATTACCATGTTTAGACGCAAGGGTAAGTCATAGTGGAGATTGTGGTGGTGATGGTGGAAGATGACGACATAGGGCGCAATTTTAGAACAGGAAGTGGAAATTCCCAAGATATGCTAACTCGGTATCTTTTTCGAATGTAGTTGACGATGGATATCCACCTGATGATGAACCTCCAATCCCTGCCTAAGTAAAAACAAATATTGAAGAGTGTTTTACATGTCTCTGTATATGTTTGTACAATAACAAGCTCTATTATTCCCGTATATCTTTTTTCTGTGTGTGTGATTTATCGAATTGTGCTATAATGCGGTTCTCCCTTTCTCTTTCTTTCTCCCTCTGTTTAATTAATCTTAATTACGAATGAAAAACTCTGAGTGGGATGGACCCCACCTGTTTGTTACATGAAACACATAGTGATATTAGGTGGTAGAGTTGATATGGACTGTTGCTAAGTGTTCGTTTTAGAGATGGGTTGATGTTTGAGGCATTTCTGACCCATGTGTTTGAATGTATGTTTGTTGCGGCATATGATGAAAGAGCATACATTCTAGGATGATAGTTTGCATTGTTTGGAGCGGATAAAGAAAAAGAGAACGAGTAACTATAGTGAATGATTCGTATATATAGCATGAATAATATGATATACATATACTGGCAGCTCCTAACAGCAACTGGCTGATTTCACACTTACCACAACCATGCACACCGCTGCTATGATTATCTCGTACAAGAAAAGTACATGATAGTATGGAAAATTGCATTTTCTTTTGTTAACCTATTACTGCCACTTACAAGTGTAAGAATCGAAGGCACGGGAATATACTGGTTAATGGAATTAAAGAGTGCAACCGGGACCTATGCAATGCTGTGTACACCATTGATATTGATAAAAAGTCAATCGGCGACAAAATGGAAAATAAGGATTACTTCCCCCCCCTGAGAGCTAAAGTATTACAATCGCATATACGGTTCTATGACTGTATATGGATGTGACAGTGAATACATATCAGCCACCATTGAGGAAGATAATACGTGTTTTGTAATTACTCGAGAGAAAGTACCACAGTCAACTAGGCAGGTTAGCTCGTCCTGTACGACAAGAGTCTGATTATTTTAATGATCAGCATGGATAGATGAAAATGTATTACTCTTTTGCTCTGTATGTGTACAGGTAATAAAACATCAAAGACTTGCAATATATGAGTTTTTGCAACATGATCCTACTGCTTCTTTTTATAGCACATCAATGAAATTATATTCAAGTTGGTTGGCTAGTATCACTTGCTGATAAATATCCCTATCATTAATTTCTGTAATGAAAAGATGGCGTATTGTTCAATAGTATATGTTACACAAATGATTACATACGAAGAAAGAAAATACTCATTGCGTTTAGGTCACATGTCCATATGCAAGATGCAAAGGAGTGTGAAAAAAAAAACCTCACAAACGACAGCCTGAGAGAATGGATTGATAAGTTAGAAAAGAGAGTATCAATATCTTGCTCTTATCGACATGTCGACATGTTCGACAAGAAGCATCGAAATTTAAATTAAGGGAGCCGTATCCAGCTGCAACCAATGAAACAATGAGCGCACCCGAAACGTGGTACCTGAGCGATTGCTTGTACGACCTTACTGGATTGTCCAGAACCCCATTCAACTATTATTTGAGGCAAGTCCTTGTTAATTGTCTCTACTAGCAAGAACAGCGACTAAATAAATAATAATCCTCAATCTCCTCCCTTCTTCTTCCTTTGGTCCTACCTCCTTCCATCGCTATTCTTCCTTTTCTCACTTTTTCCTTTCATTCAGATTTCAAAACACTTGGAGCTATGGGTGTCAAAAACGACTATCGAGTCTCACAAATCGTCGTTCTTTGCAAAGATTGTGGCCAGGATGTCGGTCTTTATCCAGCTCGTCATAAATGCGAGCAAGTAGTCAGGCCTCCGCTTCCGCCTATCAATTTCGACAAAAAAGTAAAGCGCAACATGTCGACCACAGGCGTTTCACGTATTGCTGTCGATGCCAACCAGTGGAAATGCGTCGCCCGATCCAACAGTGCCACCACATTTGATAGACGTAGAAAAGAACAACAACATCAAACAGGCAGTCGTCGTGAATTTATCGATATCAGTAACAGGCTGCCTGCTGAAGATGAAGAAGACGAACAGCAAGGCATCAAAGATCAAGATGGCTCATCTCTCTATTATGATCGGTTTGCTGCCAATCTCCCACAAAAAAACCCGAAGCGCTTTTGGGATAAAGTGCGCGATGGCATGATGGACCATGGCCATGGCAATAACCAGCTACCATGGACGGCACCCAAGGGCAACAATGAGAATAGCTCAAGCAAATTATGGAACAAATTGATGGATTCAGTCCAGCATAAGCTGCATGATGATGACGGTGATGTCGGAGCAGGTAATTAAAGCAGTAGAGAAAGATGCGTAGAACCAATGAAGACAGAGGGGATAGTAACCCAGAAGGCCTTCATAGAATCCGACGCCAGTGACTGGGAAGGGGAGTCACATGTGTCGCGTGTTCTCAGAGAATACTATGAAAAGAAACGGGCACCTTTGCCGCATTATCTTACGTCGAGAGAGGATGATAGTGGTCTGCGTCGTCATCAAAACATAAACAATCAATACGACTCCGTGGCACTAGCAACGGGGACTGTAAGAAAGAAACCGTCGTTGTTGGAGCAACGGCCATCGCACCGACGATACCAGAAGCTCTGGGAGCAGCAGGAAGTGCCCTCTCAGCGAGAGCTGGAGCGCGAGGCATTGCGCCAAGTGCCACGAGAGGATCCACCGGTGCTTCGATCACAAAGTATGCGGAATCCCCATCATTCTCATCGCCGTCGGGATAATACTCCGGGGCCGCAGCCACAGGCACGTCGTCATTATGATCAAGTGGCAGCAGTAGCAGAAGGACGACGACAGTACCCCCAGCATGGAGACGATGGCCGCCAAGACAGCGACAGCAACAATGACGACGTGCTGAGCACCATCTATGGAGACTACTACCTGTCAGAAAGTGTCACGCGCTCCAAGAGTGAGCGAAGGCCATCGCCACGTAGAATGCAAGATACGCCTACGATGGTTGGGGGTTACTTTTGAAATAAAGGCGCATTACTGGGTCAGGGCAGGCTTCCCAACCCCCATTCTTCTTCTTTCTTCCCATTCCTCCTTGTTTTCCTCTTCATTCTGCACAAACGATAGACATCCACGGCTCTTTTTTTCTCTCTCTCCTTTGCAGCATTCATACCACAGCACAATTCAACGAACGCGCGTGCGAGGAGATCCAATATGCACGCATTGATCATGCGACTACTGATCCACATGAACCTCTATCCACCGCTGGCAATGACATATGCAGATCAGTACCATCCGCCTTCACGGCAACATCATCTAGATCGAAGCAATTCTGGTCGACAAGGAGAAACTCATCCGCCTTGGACTCGGAATTTGACGATTCCACAACACGTCTCTCTGCCAGCTGCATAACAATCATTAAGGGAGCAGGAGGCACATGAAAACAAAAAAAAACACGCACGCATTTGTTGTTGTACTGTGCTGCTGCATGATCACAAAAGGCATGACTTGCTGCCACTTGTGTATACCACAGCTAAATTTTTTGAGGTTGTAACAAATAACAATATATAGCTATAAAGAGAAAAAAGAAAAAAAAAAGCGATAGAAATGAAGAAGTAGAGAGAGAGAGAGAGAGAGAGAGAAAGAAAGGAAGAAGAGTACTATAAGTGAGTTGGAGAGAAAGAGAGAGAGCGTGTGTTCGTGTGTGTGTGTGTGTGACAGTGAAATATAGAGAGGAAGAGAGACAGAGAAGACAGTAAAGAGGTATTAGTGGCTAGATTGCTTGCGAGTGAATTGTGCTTTTTTTTTCTTATTTTTTGCTGTTGTCTTAGGGAGGAATTTTTCTTTTTTTTAAAAAAAAAAAAGACTAAAGGAAGAAGATCAAGAAGGGGGTGGGGGTGGGAGGATTACTAGTAGAGTGTAAGCGCAAAAGAAATGTCTACAAGATCAAGCAGCCTTTCTTCTTCTTTGGTCGGGCCGGTGGAGACAGCACGGCGCGGATGCCTTCGTCAAACACGTTCTTGAGTCCCTTTTGCGTGAGTGCCGAGCATTCCAAATATTTCGCTGCTCCAATATCCTTCGACATCTGAACGGCCTGCGAGTAGCTGATGGGAGCCATGCGCTTTTCACGGAGACGGTCGATGGTCTGCTTATCCTCACGCAGATCAAGTTTCGTGCCGACAAGAATGATCGGTGTGTTGGGCGCATGATGGCTGATTTCAGGGTACCACTGGATGGGGGAGAGGAGAGATTACAGACTGTCAGTCAGCAAAACCCGTCTTTTACATCACCTCTCGAACAACACGCTCCATTCTGTGCTGTCCTCCTCATGCTCTTGAGAGGGTTTATTTGTTCGCCATCTATCTATAACACACACACACACACACACACACACACACACACACACACTTGTCTTCTCCTTTTCCTCGGATCCCCCGTGGTATACGGTACCTTTGTGCGAATATTTTCAAACGAAGGAGGGCTCACGAGCGAGAAGCAGGCGAGGAACACGTCGGTCTGTGGATACGACAGTGGACGAAGACGATCATAATCTTCTTGACCAGCAGTATCCCATAAGCCCAAGTTGATAGGCTTGCCATCGACCATTACGTTGGCTGAATAATTATCGAAGCTAAACAGTATAAGAAGGGGGGGTTTTAGTGTGAGAACCTCTACTAGATACTACTACTGCTACCACTACTGCTACTGCTACTGCTACTGCTATCGCTACAACTATTACTACTACTGCTATTACTTGAATCGCATATGAAGGTGTAAAATACTACTTACACAGTGGGGATATATTCGCCAGGAAAAGCATTCGTGGTATACGAAATAAGTAGACAGGTTTTACCAACGGCACTATATATCAGAATGTCATTTGTATAAACAATGGTTTGGACATTAGTTGATCTCTCGAGATGATGATGAGCGGGACCCCTGATGAGGTTTTATAACATGGTGGAGGAGGGCGAAATACAAATGTATTTTAAAAAATGGCGCGTGTGTTTCGGGCAGAGCACAAGAGGAAAAATAGAAACAAATGACTGCTTCCTCTTGTTGGCAAAGTAGAGGGAGAGAAAGAGAGAGAGAGATAAAAGTGAACGTCGCCCAACTGGATTGCAAGAGTGGAAATGTTAAGCTTACCCATCGCCAACGACGACACATTTGATGGACTGCATGGTGGTATTATTCGAATAAAAAAGGGGAAAAGGGAAAAGGAAGACCGGCGGCAATCAAATATAATATAAGCTTCACAGAAATCTGTACCACAACACACACGAAAGACCTTTTTTTTTACAACGCCGATCTTGTTTTCGCTTGCGCTGCATCATCAATCATTTAGTGTGATTCTGTCTCTTTGTCTCTCTCTTTCATCCTGCACTCTATTCCCATGTCATGTATCGTAGATGTACCCCGCTTTCAGCTTCAATGCGCTCGTACTTGACTATGTAGTACGGGTATGTGAAATCCTATGGGTAGTGGATAATAACGAGGCGATAAGCTGCAACAAATGACGAGTAGATGTCTTGTGCAAATAATCATCATTAACTCCTCACTCCCCTTTTCTTCCCCGCTTTCGGGGCACTGTTGTCCTTTCTATGTTGTTGTTTTTTGTGTGTTCGATTTCCCAGCTTCATTGTCTTGCAGCTCGCGTTGTTTACGTCGATCTGCAGATTGATCCCCCGGTGGGTCTCTTTTTTACTCGTTTTTATCTCATCATTTTTAGAGTTCTTTTGATCTGAAAAGAGCAAGCCTACAATACCCAACCTCCACCCCTTTTTGTTGCATTTTACCGGGGACAAAGACCAAACTCTGGTATCAAACATACAATCGGTAAACCAACACTACTTGCTCTCACAGCATGGATACAGGGCTCTAAAGCTTTACTTACCTCTCTTGTCATTATATACCGCTAATAGTTTTTTTTTCCTACGACTAATGTTAACGCTGTCTACCATCGCTGTCACTATTTCTATGGTGTCTCCCGCATAGCTATGTCGTAAAAGAACTTAGCCAGAAGAATTGTTGTGCTTCTCCGCTCAGGACCAACGTGCTGATGTTCGTCAGTGTGCGTTGCGGGGATCAGTTACCTAATTATATACCCCACACGTGATAATATAATAGATCCAACCAACAGAAAGGCAGAATCGAAATTTGCCATACAATGCTGTCCTCGACTATCACAGTTTAACTGTATAGAGCGCTGTTGCTCTGAGGTCGTGGCGTTGCTATGGTAAGCTGGCTGTTACTATAGAAACTGAACTGTTGCTAAACGTTGCTACATATGGAAAACACATACAGCATTAGTTTAAGAAGGTCACCCAAAGTCATTTTTATTACGTCTCATGTTGTTTGTATCGTTCCGTATACAGTTGTTGTTATGATAAAATGTAACCATAGCAACTAAAAATGGTAGAAAAAGAAAACAAAAAAGTAACGCAGATTCCTTTTCAACCAATAGAAGCAATTGCGTCGGTGTATGTACATAACTGGGAGGTATATGGGAGATTTCACAGCCTCGTTACATAATACAGTAACCAAAAGCATAATTTACAGTAGTGCAGTCTAAATAATACAGCTTTCAAGGGACACTCTCCAAATCAGTCAAGCTCTACTTCAAACGCAGTTACCGCCGCTTGAAGCAGGATAATATTACTGGTATTCTGAGCTTTAGCGAATGACACACTCTTCTGGTTACTAGAAAAGAAACAGTATCGAAGGAAATGTATACGTTAATACTAGTACTATTCTCATTGTATTATTATATGTCACAAAATCATCCCAATCGATGGCTCTGTTTATTCAAACTGTATATGGTGTGGGTGCTCTTATTCTTCTTGGCCATGGTTTCGACGGAGCTTGTGTACGAGATGACGGTGAATTGTTGAGACAGCTAATAGCTGCCCAAATCCTGTAGCTGCTCGAGGGTTGCAGTGTTGACTGTTTCGACGGTCTTTACTAGAAAATTGCTTCCAGCTTCTGTAATTTTTGATGGTCGTGTCTTTTTATGTTTGATAGGCTCGGCGTTACCATCTCGCGTTTGGAATCGATGAACATGATCTCTGATGGTGCTCGCTTGTAGTCCTAACATGTCGGATGCCTTCTTGTTGGTCGCTCCACACAACTTTAAGAAAAGAGCCCGGTCTTTAATATCTGACGAGTGCAGCGCATTTTTGCCCTGTGCAATTTTGGGTGCTTTAACTTGTTTGCGGCTACGTCTGGCAAACTGTAAAGGACTGGTATTATCTTCATCAGTATCTATAGGAGTGACTGTCGTATCGATCGAACGCAATTGATGCTCATCATCAACTTCGTGGCCGTCATCAGTATCACTGCTAATGCCATCATTCTCCTGCCTAAGCCGTGTAGGTTCGCTAGGATAGCTGACAATTTCGTAACTGCCCAGCTCCTCAGAGCGGACAAAAGTTTACTTCTTCCTCCATCTCGATATTCTCGTTTGGAATCGAGGTCGTGCTACCTGTAGCTTAGTACAATAACAAATTGATTTAGAGAGATTGTTAGTTATGTACGTATGTTAAAAAAAGAACCAGGTATACCAGGAGTTTCGGTGCTACTATCCAACTGTATCTGCGTCATAGCTTTTTTGATCAGCCGAAGTGACCGTCTAATGCTTACTACTGGCTGTGGTTGTCGAGAGCGTTTTGCTGTTGCTCTTGGGGTGAAAGGGACGTTGGGTTTCTTTTGCTGTTGGCGTGCTTTCATGATATAGAATACAAAATTCTTTTAGAGGAGGCGAAAAAAGAGAGTGCTTAATGTTTATTGAAGTATCTTTGTATCCATAAAGTGTCGTTGGTAACACAGACCATCTCAATGTAGAAGGTAGAAACATGGAACTGTAAACAAATATTGACATGTTTAAAGTTGTACCTGGTTTATTAAGACGCTTTTTGCTAGTTGTCTTTAAGCTAAGACGCTTCAGTTTCGCGGTTAGGATGCTTATTTCATAGTCATCAGGGACCCATTTTCGCTGCAAGAGCTTGACATCATCCGTAAACGAACGTAGGCCAGCAAGCGATTCTTTAAGCTCTTTCGGCAACGGCAACGGTACTTTTTTTTGAAGCGCTTTTCCTGTAAGCTGAAGTTTTTTCTTACTTTGTCGGTCTGGTTTCTTCAAGTACCGGAAATGGGTACCGACAGATCCTTGTAATACATAGGCATTCGGATGAACACCAACACATCCGATTCTGGCGTCAAACGGCGTCGACGTATCATCACTTAACTCAGTTCCGAAATATTTGCTTTCCATTTACGAATGCTAGATGCCAAATGCGAACAATGCTATTTCTCCTGTACGAACTTTGTTTTTCTTCGGTGCGAATAATTAGTTGACTCCGTTACGAACTACTGCTTGCCCCATGCAAAAAATAAGCACTTCCATTAACGAACATTTGCACACCCGGGAACGAAAAACATAGTTGCTCAGTAACGAACATCTTCTTGCCCAGTACGAAAAAAGTAATCCCCACTTGCGAAGTTCTGGTAACCCAGGTACGAACAAGCTGTTGCCCAGATACAAAAAATAGCCAGCCCGTTTACGAAAGCCGTTGTCTCACAAACTAAAAATCGTCCAACAAACCAAAAACCACCCACCCCCATACCCAAGAATGCTCCTCCCAAGTACGAAGAAATAGAAGGCCGACAGCGGTATCAAATGCAAAATCCTGTATTGCAGATCCTGCGCTACCAAATTATTATGTTGATATGTTATCGATCTTGGCTACTGAATCTAGGAATAAAAATTTAAAGGCTCTAGATGTTACCGCAGCAATAAATTTCAGCGACACAGCGTAAAATGTACAGCAGGTAGCTTTTTGCTTGCTACTAAGATAGCTACAGGAAACAGACATTCTAGTGCCATTTCCATTCTAGCAAGTGCTATTACGAAGCAAAGAAGCTTACGCGATATCTCTTGTTAGACAATCATGACTCACTCTATTACTTGGCTTGCTGTTGAAAAGAAGTGGTTGAGGGGTGCGCTTTACCTGCAGCACTGGCAGCCACAATCGGAACAAACCAGGGTACCGGTAACATGCCTAGAGTCAACACCAAACAGCGAAACCGACCAAAACTTGGGCGTTACATATGGCTGGAATTGGTACAGCAAAAAGACAAGCAAGAAACTCAAGAAATTGAGCCATGGCACCAATAACTGCTGTAGTTTCTCTGAATCAGAAATCTGTTTAAAAAAGCCGAATATAAGATAGTTCCTAGTTTAATTAAAACAGAACATTGTGACGGCTCCCGAGTGACGCATTTTATCTTATTCACCTTCGTGTAAAGTTCCTAGAGTAACGCATACAGAAATAAGCGAGAAATCAACCAGGTCACCTCGTAGTGAGCCTTTAAAGTGTGAATGGCGATTTTAATGTTTTCGTCGTTGACGCCGCAATTACAAGCATTATAGAAAGACTGCGCCATGTGTGTAATATATTTCTTTTCAATACCGAGCGCATCTTCAGGGGGCACTATTGCTGCCGATGTATTCGCCGTTGTCATGCTATCCTCATTTGCATCGTCGGCTTGCATTTCCATTCTTAAAGACGATATTGAGACTCCAAGAGCAATCGTATCCTGATGCTCCTGATGGCTTTGATGGCTAGGAAGCTTTTCGAAAGTAGTAATGAGCATGGATGATGGTTATACGATAAGAGCACTATTGGAAAAAATAAATATATCACAATGTAATTAAGGACTTGAAAAGCTCGATGGTAATACAAGATATTCTGCCTCAAAAGCTTGAGGATCAATAGCGGTGAAGAAACGATTCTCCTTGATACAATGAAGGTTTTTTTTCTTTACAAAAAAAATTGTGTAAAGGTGATCGAGAGAAGGTTGTTACGTATGGTGATAGTCTTTCCTCTTCCCATTGCTAACTTATATTTGGTGATTACTAATGTATATAAGGATTCTTCTTGGGGTGCTGTGATAAACGCGGTTGTTGATGGGTAAGAGAAGAGAGATCAAATTAAAGAGAAAATAAAAGACAATATGAAATACAGTGAAAGTCAAATACGAGATGATATTTATTGAATGAAATTATAACCCTTAATATACTGTTGGAAATGCTGTCTAGACTTTCGTTTGGATGAACTGATGAACGAATCGCGGACACGCTGGATATTAGATCTTTCTAAGATGAAGATGAGCAAGGATGAGCAACGTAGGGTTTGGATGCCATGATGATGGATGTTGTCTTCCGATTATAAAGAGTTGTCTTTGCATTGACCAGTGTGTTTCTTGATGCAGTGTCACCATTTTCTGTGTTGGAATTAATTTATGCTCTTTGACAAGTACAATCACTCAACTCAGATATTTAGATCGAAAGTAAGTGTTGACTAACTCGAAAACAGAGCAATGTGTACACAAAAGGGTTGGTTCTGGGTTTTTCTTGATTGTGATCCATGTTTGAGGGATTATTGATATGGTGCTGCTTATGTACTGAAGCCACGGTCAGAACCTAATAATGGCTGTAATGCACCTACAATTACCACAGTACTTCATTAACCGCACGGTACAAAGCTCACGCGTATTTTATTGCTGCTGCCCAAATGTTTTTGCTATTTGCTATATACAAGGGAGAGCGAAAACCACAGAATTGGGATTAAACAATAACAAGTTTAATCGCTATTGGCCTACAATATTCTAGACGCATATCTGGAATTTCCTTTTTGACACGTCTATCAAAGCATATTGTTCTTTTCTCTTTTCCTTTCTCCATTTTCTTTCTAACACACGCAAGAGCTGTTGTAAGCTCATAACATGTCTGGCAGTGGTCGTGGTCTTGGGGCAAAAATAGACCAACAACCACCGCAGCGCCCAAAACGTCAACGTCAACAGCAACAACAGCCACTACGGGCCCAAAAACAAAAAAGACAGCGTGTTGGCGGTAACGGTATAAATAAACTTCCTATTCAATTTTTCTACCGGTTTTGTAAAGAAAGAGGCACACAAGGAGAAAGGACGTGTTCAGCACCAAAATCGAAACGCGCGTCATGATCTATACACGCGATCTAATAGCTTTTGACGGAATATAAAAGACTTTGACGATATCAATGGAAGCAATATCAATACCAGAGGAATAAGTGCAGACAACGGCAGCAAAAGATCTAGACCCACAAGAGCACGTGGCAGAAGTCGCTCAGCAGCAGCGACGCGCTTAGAACAGCAACAGCAACGGCAACTGTCCCAATTCCTGATGGATCAACTGGACCTGTTAATGCTCATGTTTCTTATTGAGCGGTTTTACCAGCAGCAAGTGCAGCGATGTAATCTATTTCTACCTGTACTGAATCGAGTACTGAATCAATACCAGCAAGTGCAGCGACCTCAAGATAATGGCACCAATCACTCATTACAACACGTGGAACGGCAGCAAGAAAATCAGCCTTCTTCTTCTTGCTCAGCACAACAGCAACAAACAGTTGATGCTCTTCGCGCCATACCATCATTGTCATTACTCTCATCTACAGTTAACCGAGTAGAGAGCCAGCAAGAGGAACAAAGTGATGGCATCTCCCAGCGAATTCAGCCGATCTCTACCCTTGACGATCTGATTGTCTATTGGCTGGTGTTGGATTGGGATAATCGACAGGTGCTTAGGACAGCACAGGAGAACGAGCAACAACAGCAACAGCCATAGCCGCGATATTGTTCAAGCAAGAATGACGCTTCTGCACATTTATTATATTCCTCATATACGAGTTTCTCTGCTACTTATACTCCATAATTACTGTATCGCTCTACCAGAAAAGTTGCTACAAAGTCAACAACTATCTTCTAGCTTATTTAGTAAGCAAAACACCATACGTTATTACTGCAACACATTTCTCGAAGCGTGTTCATGTTTCTTAAGAGGATCTACTGTATTCCTTCGCACATAGCAAATAGTAGCAATATCAGTAGTGGTGAATTAAAAACGATACAGTAATTCGAAAGTAATCCTCGAATTGAGTCTCATCATAACTCCAACTTTTGCTGACGAAATGGCATCATAATTTCTATATCGTTGTTTCTGCATACAGTAAAACACTGCAGATGAAAGTTCATTACGAGCTGTGCCAAATTTGTTCTTTTCTTTTCTTTTACTTGATGCTTTTTTCTATAAATATGTTTTTCGCCTTCTTCTTTGTAATTTAAACTTTTCTTGCTTTCTATCTTTTTATACACTAGTCTTAAAGTCAGGTCGAAGCGTAAAAGGAGATTATCGTCACTATAGCCAAAAGCAGCAACATGGGGCAGAAGTTGTGATCAGCGAGAAAGACACAGCATCACCGATCCAACAGCTTCCTATCGAGCAAGCGGATGTAGGTACAAATGACAATGATGCTATTGAGGTAGTAGTAGTAGTAGCAGCAGTGACAGCAAAATCAACGGAAACGGATGCGACGAAATTCAAAAAGATGTTCATACCGCACATTCTACAAGCATTATATATTATGTTTGCTATCAGTGCGCACGAAGGAGTCACTGGCGTTATTATTCCCAGCGTTAAAACATACTATGGTGTATCTCAGGCCACTGTGTCAATCATTTTCTGGACCTCATTATTGGTACTCTTATAATAACAAAATTGCAAACTTAACAAAGATACAGTAAGAACAGTTTATGCATACATAATAAAAATGGTCTGCTCGAAGTTTTTCTCCCTCTTTTTTTTGAAAGCCGCTTTCAAGAATGACTAATTTTGCTGCGGAAAACGTCGCAGTTGATCACTGTCGTTATTGCTTCAATTGTGCTTTTATTGGATCCTTTATTCGCGCTTTTCATTTACCGTTTCCAGCCATGTGTATATGTGCTTACGGTCGGTTTTGGATACACATTGCCCGTGGGGGCTACAAACGTAGTATGTGGCGAAATGGATTTTGGTACCATAATCTTGAGTGTTTCGCATGGTATGTATGCGTGATTGAAGCTACTAAGGTTGACGGTGTCTCTGACACTGATCAAGTGGATTATCACTTATAGGTAACGCTGATGGCATTTTTTGCTAGTTCTCTATTACTTTGGACCTAGCTACGCATGGTCTATATGCTCTTATTGCACCTTTGGCAGCCTTGACTCTACTCGAGCATAAATCGCTTTATGCAATTAACTTTATGTACTTATCAAGGTTGGCGTATAGTCAACATCGGGTCAACCGTTTACTATTTCGCGAATGTGGCGACATTCTCGGGGACAACGAAGGATCATAACGACGACGACGATGCGATCGAGAAAATCAGCAAAATAGAGAATACGACAACAACAGCAACAATGATGATGACGATGATGATGGTGACTCGCACTACGCCTACAGAGGGAGAAAGAAAGAGAAACAAAAAGCTACTACAACCACGATCACTACTACTACGCACAAAGCAGCCTGGACAGCATTGACAGATTTGATAGTAGTTACTGGTGCCTTAATGTCTATGTTTTCTTTGGCACGACTATCACCATGAATGGTTGGAATTACATCACGTTTCTGATAACTTTGCGAAGCACGTATACTGTTGCGATGGTACGACTATCTTCTGCATAAGGCACCAATTTATGTGCATGATGCTTATTGCTGGACCATTTTACAAATAAATTTGGTGAGAAACGAATTGGATTTTGCTATGTGTTATTGGTACTGTGCATGTTGATTTTTATTGGCTCGTACCAACCGTAGTAGCTAGTTTTACAGGTAAAGACGCATTTAATTGAAGATATGTACATCATCATTTATGGTTCCAAAATTGTAATATTTGCAATGACGATAGCTTTTCTATATCCAACGGCAATATCAATCGTGGGCAAGAAGACACTTCCTTTAGATTAATTTCTGCAGTATTGTATAATATATAGGATCAATTAAAATCATTATGTATTATGTAACAACAATATTGTTAACGAGAACAAATGTACTTTTATAATAGCTTGGTGCTATTAGTGCTACAATATTTCCAAAAATTACAGGTGCCATGATAAACGATCGAGGGGTTCGGCGCCACCTTTTTGTATTAGAACGCCTTTTACGATGCTTAGCCTGGTTTTTCCTTCCAAATCCTCGCAATAGGACAAGTGACAAATAAAAGGTGCTGATATATAAGACAGGCTGTCTTGTCTTCCTGTTAGTACTGCAAAGGATCATGTTTCATCAGCATTACTTGCATTCTTTAGTGGTTTTAGTGGGCTGCAGTAAATAAAAATGGTAACGAACTTTTAATAAGTTTAATAGGAAAGGGTCATACTACACAAAAGTGCAGCTACTACCAGCTGTTTGTTATATATATAATACAATAGCAATGCCTAATATCATTGCGCTCAGCATCAAGAGCGTTGTTCCGCACTAAAAGAACACGTCGATCTCTGTAAATTTAATTTAACTGTGTGACTTTGTGGTAGCTAGTTTCTTTGATCACCTCATACTTTACAGGACATATGTAAAAAATGTCCGTCACTTACACCTGTCATGAGAGGCACATACTGACTATAGTAATGGATGAACCACTGGAGTTGGTCTGCGCTCACTACATGCAGTATTACCACAACTACGGAGTTTTGATTTTTTATGCAAAAGACTTTTCCAAGTGACAACAGTAGCTCCTTTTTCGGGGCGTTTGTGCTGCATGATATGCAGTTCCCCTGCAGTGTTGCTTGCGTTTACATGAATGAGTATGTAGCAGCATTCTATCTTGATGCCACCCTTTTTCTTCCACTCCTTCCTCTTCATTATATACCGTTGATGTCTCCACCACTTGAGGAGCAGAAATTACCTTTCAGCGAAAAGTACTATGATGTAGGAGAAGAAGAACACCAGTTAGAAGACATGGTTGAGCTATCAAAAACAAAGGATTCGACTGCGGAGGATACCACGAAAAAGAATGGAACAAGTACGATGGCGACAGGAAATAATACAGCAACGAACAGACCAGATGGAAAATTATCGATAGCACATATGCTGCAATCATTTTATATCATGCTGATCATTGGTTTCAATGAAGGCAATTTCGGCATTATTGTCCCAAGTCTTAAAGCTCATTACGGTATATCGCAAGCTGTCTTATCAATTATTTTCCCTTGCACGACTGCCGGTACATTTCTTGGTGAGAATAATAATCTCTCTTGCTGTTCTTCAAGTGGTCTACAATGCATTGGGTGCTTTCCCTAGGATATAATATTATTAAAAATGAAGTTTGTCTATTTTTATATCTACATAAGCTGCGTTTCTCAACGGTTATTTGATTCGAAAAACATCACAAACAACCACATCCGTTATTGGAGCAACAGTATTATTTATTGGATATTTAGTATGTGCCATGGCAGTACCATTTCCAGCCATGTGCTGTGCGTATATTGCAATAGGATTTGGATATCCATTGATGGAAACTGCCGCGAACGTTATATGTGGCGAATCACCCCGTGGTACAGTGTTCCTGAATTTTTTGCATGGTATGTTATAATTTTTTTCCTCGACCTACTTTCTCCCTTTCTCTAATGGCGAAATACTTTATTATACTTTATTACTTCATATAAACGACACCTCAAATGATATCTTTTCAGCTATGCATAGTGTCGGTGCCATGACTGCGCCGCTTGCGGCTTCTGCGCTGCTTGAACATAACATATCTTGGAGAGCCACCTATGGATACTTGGCTGGAATGACATTTATTGGAATTGGATCAATTGCATACTTTTTCCGTAACATGAAAACACGTTCAGAGCGATGCCAACAAGCAAGACAGCAACAACAGCAGCAGCAACTACATCATCATCGATATTCTACCGAAAACAAAGAGGAAATAATTCAAGAGCACATAAACAATAGTAACGGCAATGGTTATGATTATGACAAAGACGACGATATCCCTCACAGAGACACACACAAAATGATTTGGAGAGCATTGACATGTCGACCTACCGTTATGGCAGCCATGTTTGGATTCGTCTACGTAGGCGTGCAAGTGACTTTGGGCAGCTGGGGTTACACTTTTCTCATTACTGCACGAAGCACAGATACTGTTTTGATGGCTCGACTAATGTCAATTTATTACGGTGGTGTTATGGCGGCACGGATATGCTTGGGTTATTTGGTGCTCAAGTTTGGTGAAAAGCGATCAGTATATTGCTTGCTGATGTTGGCATTCAGTATGTTATTGCTGTTTTGGCTCGTACCGACTGTTGTTGCTAGTGCTATAGGTAAATATTACTCAATAACTCTACTATATAAACATGAAAGTTGTATTGACTATGTAATTTTTAAGCGCTTGCTCTCATGGGAGTGGCATATGGCCCTATGTTTCCAACAACAATGTCAATAGTTGGCATGACACTTCCGCCGCATCTTTATGCTGTTTCGATTGGATTCATTGAAGCGGTAAGTATACATGGAGCAGTATATTCAAGGCATCACAATGAGATGGAGTACTCTTTTTTGGCCATGGCAAACTTAATGATATGTGAAAATCAAAGTCTGGTGGTATTGGAGGTGCTGTATTTCCATATACCACTGGTGCAATGATAGGTGCCCAAGGTGTCGAAAACACATTACCGCCGTTCTGTATAGGATTAACCATAGCAATGCTTGCTGTCTGGTTCTTCCTTCCGAATCCCGACAAGACGAAAAAGTTCTTAGGGAACTGACTTTTTTTGTGATGTGGTGAAACGCTGTCAACGGTAGAAGATATGGGGACGCGACGATTATTATTACTTCCGCGCCAATCGATGTTCTCGTAGATGATGTGCCGCATGATGGTCCTCAGTTGATATGAATTTTACTTTAACAAACAGGTGTAGCTACTAGACTACAGTTTCAACAAAGAAGCTGTAAAGATAGACATTTATCAGCCTATATGATGGTATCGATATGATAGCAACTCCATTTAGTAATGTAAAGCTGCTCAGAAAAATTGTCTTCTTTTGTATAATGATTCCGGAGTCGGAATAGTGGGAAAGATTTAGAGGAGATCAAAGCTTCTCTGCCATCAACCCATCACAGAACTAAATTGGCAACTTTCTATTAAATACTCAACAGCGGAAACAAAAAAATACTATATGCTCGCACTGCGAAACCTTCTTGCACCACGGCAACAACTTCGCTTGAGATCCTATACTGCCATGGCGTTCACCTATGAAGTATGTATTTCGCTTTTTCTTTTCTTTGGCTTTGTTTATAACACTAATGTTCTTACTCTCTCTCCCTCCATGTCAAAACATACACCATTAGGAAGCAGTGGAAAAGATCATTTCTACACAAACCAATGCCGCAACACTGGATCAGCTGCGTAAATTAGGACCTCGGATGAATGACCGCAGTTTGCCCGAGATGCGCGCTTATTTTAAGCGTATAGGATACGAGGTAAGCAACCAAAAACGTAAAAGCTTAAGGTTTTATTATTTGTGTTATATAAGGTGCTGTGGGCGCAACTCTAAATTGTTTCGTGATGTATTCTTTGATATGGAAAACAAGCCAAGCGATTTCAATAAACTTAACATGATCCATGTTACGGGCACCAAGGGCAAAGGATCTACTTCAGCACTTACACAATCGATCCTGAAACATTATCCCAGTGCTGACAAACCTATCCGGACGGGTTTGTTCACGTCGCCTCACTTGGTCGCCATGCGCGAACGCATTCGTATCAATGGCGAGCCTATCAGCGAAGAGCTGTTTGCAAAGTATACCCAAGACGTCTGGGAACGACTCGAGAATACCAAAGCCGACACACTGGCCCATATTGACACGGATGATGCGCGACAATTATTACGCATGATGCGAGAGCATCCAGACAAACCGGCCTATTTTAGAATGCTGAATTTGGTAGCGATGCATGCTTTTATGCAAGAAAATGTCGACTTGGCTATCCTTGAAGTGGGTGTTGGCGGCGAGTATGATTCGACGAATATCATTGAAAACCCCATCGTGTGTGGCATCACTGCGCTCGGGTTAGACCATGTCAATGTGCTTGGTGACACAATCGACAAAATTGCGTGGCACAAGGCTGGCATCATCAAACCCAACACGCCCGTCATTGCATTTGAACAGGTGTCAGAGGCCATGGCTGTGATTGAACAGCGCGCACAGGAGAAAAATGCACCGCTGACGATTTTGCATGCCAAGGATATTGAGCATCTTAAGGATGTCAAGGTCGGTTTGGCAGGTGTCCATCAACAATACAACGCCTTGACGGCCGTCGAGTTGTGTCGAGTGTGGTTGGAACGATGTCGAGGCGTCAAGCTAGACGAGGCTGTACCGGAAGAGTTCAAGGCGGGATTGGCCAAGGTGGTTTGGCCAGGACGTGGTCAGAAATTGGATGTGCGCGACACGCAGTATAGCGACAAGGCCAAGGACGTCACGTATTATTTGGATGGCGCGCACACGGCTGAAAGTCTGGCAGTATGTGCGAATTGGTTCCAGGAGACGGTTAAAGAACAAGATAACGGCGAGTCGGGATCACGGATATTGATGTTCAATTGCACGAATGGTCGTGATGGACCTCGTTTGTTGGATGTGATTGCCAAAATCCAGCCAGAAGTCAAGTTCGATCATGTGATATTCACTACCAATGTCACCTTCCGCAAAGGCTACACAGCAGGTAAGAGCGATCTTTCGGTATGTATGCGATACTACGCAGTAGCTCAAGGCTGACCGGACCCCTTGGTTACCGTTTCTATAGATACTAAAAACATGACGGTAACCAATGCCGATGCGGTCGCTATGCAAAAGACATTGGCGGATGCGTGGAAGGAGCGACAGCCTTCATTTGGGCAAGACAAAGTGCATGTGGTCCCTACGATTGAGGATGGCGTGGGATGGATCGCCGACTACTCCAAAACATCACCACAAAAAGTGCAAGTTTTGACGACAGGCAGTTTGATCATGGTTGGCAATACGCTGACGGCGCTGGGTGTCCCTGCACAATAATTGTTCTTCCCCAAACCACCCCACGGTAATTTGTAATTTTCATAAAAAGGAAAAGCTATAGTTGATAGATCTTTATTATAAAAACACACATTCACTCCCTTTCGATTTTCTTTAAATTTGTGGGCCTGCAGCACATGTTTCAGGTGCAGCTTGGTCCTTGAAGTTTTCAAAGTTCTCTGCAAACATTGAAGCGACCTTCTTCAGGGAGGTATCAAACTCCTCGGGCGAGCCTTGCCAAGCCTTGCGCGGGTGGAGGATCTCGTCGGGGACATTGTCGACCTTCTTTGGAATTGCCACATTGAACACCTCGTAAGTCTCAAACTCGCCCTTGGCCAGCTCTCCACTGTGGATGGCATCGAGGATGGCACGTGTGTATTTGAGAGGGCAGCGCTTGGTGACGCCCGCCTTGCCTCCAATCCAACCGGTGTTGATCAGCCAGGCGTCTGTCTTGTGCTGGTTAATCTTTTCGGCCAACATGGATGCGTACTTTTGAGGATGCAAGATCAAGAACGGAGCACCAAAGCATGCACTGAAAGTGGGCGTGGGTTCAACAATGCCGTCTTCGGTGCCAGCAACCTTGGTAGTGTAACCTGAGATGAAGTGGTACATGACCTGATCCGACGAGAGCTTGGAGACGGGCGGGACAACGCCAAAGGCGTCGCATGTCAAAAGAATCAGGTTCTTGGGGTGACCACCCATGCATGGAATTTTGGCGTTTGGAATAAAGTTGATCGGGTAGGCACAGCGTGTGTTTTCGGTCAAGAAGTCGTCCGAATAGTCGACCTCGCGCGTGTCTTCGTTCAGCACAACATTTTCCAGCACGGAGCCAAAGCGGATCGCATTGTAGATCTCGGGTTCTTTCTCAGCCGACAGATCAATGCATTTGGCATAGCAGCCGCCCTCAATGTTGAAAACGCCAGTGTCGGACCAGCAGTGTTCGTCGTCACCAATCAAGGCACGCTTGGGGTCGGCAGAGAGGGTGGTCTTACCAGTGCCGGACAAACCAAAGAAGAGTGAGACGTCGCCATTGGGACCCTCGTTTGCTGAAGAGTGCAGGGACAAGACGCCAGCCTTGGGCATGAGGTCTAGAGGAAGAAGCAAGCATGTTAATTTAAATGCCGTCTAGACTGCGTATGACGCAAAACGGAGTTACGCACAATGCATCACAGAGAAAATGCCCTTTTTCATTTCACCAGCGTACTCGGAGCCGAGGATGATCATTTCGTGGCGCTTAAAGTTGACAGCGACCGAGGTAGTGGACGTCATGCCCGTGGTGTATCGGTTGGCTATGTATATAAAAATCGATCGTCAGTAAGATAGGATGAGATAACAGCAACAACGACGGAGATGGCTGAGGTATGTCCTACCTGGAAACTCGCCAGCATTGAAGATGGTAAAGTCAGGGGTGCCAAAGTTCTCCAATTCCTCCTCCGTCGGACGGATCAGCATGTTATGCATAAACAAAATGTGGTAGGCTCTGGAGGCAATCACACGGACCTTCTTGCGGTACTTGGGGTCCCATCCGGCGAAGCCATCAAAGACGTACAAGCGTGGATGTGTGTTCAGGTAGTCGATCGCACGTTCACGGTTGATCAAGAAGACTCGCTCGCTCATCTCCAGATTCACTTCACCCCACTTGAGTAGCAGTAGTAGTGACATCATTTCATTAGAAAATAGCAGTTTAATGTGTTATTAATATAAAGAAAACAGCGTTATCGTATGCACATTCACGACAGCAGCAGTATTGCATTTACCCAAATGTCTTTTTCGGAACTCTCTTCGCGCACGATACGCTTGTCCTTGGGCGAACGGCCACGTTTGGCGCCGCTGTAGCTGCATAAAGCGCCCGCAGAAGAGATCACTGAGCCAACTTCGTGCGTCAGCGCTTCTTCGTAGAGCACGGGAACGGATGGGTTGTGCTTGATTGAAACCTGGCCATCGCCCAACACGAACCCATGAGTGAAAAAAAAGGGTCGCATGATCCGCGTTAGTACGAACTGACACTGAACTTTATGTGTCTAAAAAGGAGAGTGAAGAAGAAGAAAAAAATCCAAGGACAAAAGGATGACTTGCCTTTTCATAGTCGATGCCGTTGTGCTCGTGCAGTTCTTCTTCAACCCTGGTGTGGGCGGATGAAGACGACTGCGGGCGACGACCGCCGGGGGATCCGGGCCGGTAAGGTGATCCAGGACGATATGCTGTCATGATTAGAGTCTTCAATACAGGGAAATGGAGAAGGTGAGTAAAACAAGAAAGAAAGAAAGGAAGAGGATGCGCCTGTATTTTAGTTTATTTATTCATTTTACCTTGGGCCCGATTATTTTCTCAGGCGCCTCAATGCATGATTGTTGATGTCATATATATGCCTGCCTACCTGCCTGCCTGTGTGGGTAGTGCGTACGTGGGCAATCGCTCTATCCATGGAAACCTTCTTTCTGTTTGCCTTTCCACTTGGTGCTGTGTTTTGAGAGGCGTTTTTACACTTCGCTTTCACTTCTCCAAATGGCTATCATGCAGGGGGAGCCCAAAGAAAAGCAGCCCAGAAAGGCAGTGCCCACATAAGAAAAAACGACGCTGCCGAAGAGCGTGTGCGTATATGAGCCGTTTATACACTCACGAAAAGGAGAGCGCACCACGATGTTGAGGTAGAAGCCGTAGGTTGACAGCTGGGTTTGCTGTTGTAACAACCATGCTTCTGGTGACTCTGTTAGCAGTGTAGTATCTGCTGATGGCGATGGTGCTGTGGGAAATAAGGAGAGAAGAAAGACAACCCAGAAACTCTCTCTTTTCCTCTCCTTTGAGCACTCTTTCTGGCCCATTGCGTCTTTGTGTATTGGCTTATTGGATCACTCACTTCTTTACTCAAGCTCCAAGCGAACTCCCCCCCCCCCTTTCTCTCTTGCGCTCTCCATCCGTGCTTTACCGCTTTTATATCAGTGTATGACAAGAATTTTGTAAAGTAGCTCGTATTTCATTTGGGTTAAATTCAATCCAGGGCGGCCTCTCTATTTTTTGGGCAACACCAACCAACATACTCCCCGCACCACGCAGTGTTCAACACTTCTTTTTTTTTTTTTTGCACCTTTGCACAGACAGCAGCGACCTAGTTCAAACAACCTTCGACATTCACAACAAACAATAGAGGTCGCCCCCACCCCTCCTCCTCTTCCTCTCCACAACGCAACTGCTATCACAGCACACCACAGCATTCAGCACTCACAGCGTTTTATCATCTTGTGAACCTCCCAAGACATAATTTCGAGTTGATGACCCAGGGCATGTCGACCTTGCATCCACCATCTCCACCTACACCCACCCCACAACAGCCTCCATCGAAACAAATGTCCAAAGTCATTCTACGCACCGCTCTCCAAAAGGCCAATTCTGCTGTCATGTGCGACTCTTCCAACGACGTCGTCGGGGCCATTGATGCTTATTCCGAGGCAATCTCGCTTCTGAATCGCGTACTGACCACAGTTGAAAAAGGCAGTGACCGGCGTCGACTTCAAGAAATTGTAAGTTTGATTATATATATATCTGGAGAGCGTAGGAGAGTCTATCAGCCGGCAAGCAACTGCTAGTAAATAGCAGTATTGCCGTTGTCCCTCTCTCTTTTTCTCTCCTTCCTATTATCATTGCTATTATTATTAGCAGTAGTAGTTGTAGTAGTCTCATCGATATGCTCCTTTTGTACCTGGTTTTTTTACTCCTCCGCTTTTGCTCAAACTATAAGCTTTCTATTGTCGTTTCTGTAGCACGACTCGTATTCCGAACGTATACGATTACTAAGTACGATCTCGCCCAAATCCGATATCGACGACCTGTATGAAACGTTTGACGAAGAAGAGCAGAAAGCGACCCAAGTTTTGAATGAATATTACGGGGAAGAAGAGGAGGAAGAGGAGGACGAAAATGATGCAAAATCATGGCTATCCAAGCCCGCCAAACGAAAATTCTCAACCCGGCAGACCGGTGCTCCGCAATATGCCTCTGTCATCCGACACATGGCCTCTTCCTCATCTTTAGAGAGTCAAAAGCATTTGCAACAGCAACAACAGCAGTGCAAACGGAGCAGCATGACAACATCTGCAACAAACAAGACTGATCCGCCCTCACCAGTGTCATCCAAAAGCACACCCACACGATCTACAAACCGAAGAAGCACGAGCAGCAGTGTCCATACAACCGAAGAAACTTCTGCCGTGCGCGCTTCTAGTTTATCCACCACCTCCTCCGTCGACTCTTTCTCCGATCCACAGCAAGAAGCAACAGCATCGCCTCCATTACACCATGATCATCATAATCATAATCATCATCATCATCAACAAGCTCCACCTACTTCTAACACGTCTTCTACTTCTGCCCAAGCATCTCGTGAACCAACCATGACTTTGCCTCCACTCAAGGCCACAAAAATTGAAGCTGCCGGTGAACGCACTAGCAGCTTGCGCCAACAACCTTCAAACGCTTCAATGCGATCCACATATAATCCAATCCGCCAATCCAGCATCACTAGCAATACCACTACAACCACAACCACTACCAATACTACCGCTACCACAGCAAGTAGTGGGTTTGCCTCTGTACGCAAGAAATCATCCAATCGATTATCACGTGTTAGTATAGACGGTGCTGCAACCATGCGACGCGGCCATAGCAGTGGTGCTTCACCACTACTAGGTCTATTTGTGCGATCACAAAACGCCAACGACAACGAATCATCCATGGACTACTTTGGACATCACAACAACCATAATCGGATTGGCATGGCCTACAGTACAGATTCAGTGATGATGCCGATGGAGGCTACTGGTGCAATGACAACAAACAACAGCAACCAACCGCCGCTACACCTGGTCTTATCGATTGAAAAATCCATGGATCAGGGCGCATATATTACACCGCGACTGTATATACCCAAAAACATGTGGAATCAACCCAATATCCGCTTACCAAACGTCGAAGTGAAGGCTGCTGCGTGCGAAACGCTGATAAATGATTTGGCAAAACTTGAGCAGTGGCACAAGCTGGATGACTTGACGGGAAGCCTCAAAGTGCTGGAAATTTTGGAGGATGCTGTAGAGTCACTGCAGGCAAGTCTGGCAAAGAAACTAAAACGGGATAGCATGAGCGCAGATAACCCGACGGCATCTAGCCCAAGTACGACCATGACCCCTCACTATGATGCAGGCAGTATTGGGAGTAGCAGCAGCAGCAAGAAAAGTCAGGCCTTCATGTCATGGGGTACAAAATTGAGCAAGTCCGTGGAACGGATGAATGCTTTCAGTTTAACCAAAACGTAAGTGTGTTTGATAAAAGGAATTCTGGAGGGAAGACTAGAAAACTAATGACAGGAATCTTATATATAGTGAGGATCAATATCGTAATTATGTGGAGGTATTACAACGGATGCTTGTCAAGATTCATATACTCAGTAAGTTCGGTCGGCGCTGTATATTTCATGATCTAGGGACATTGCATAAGCCAACAAGTTCTTAAAATTAACGACATGCCTCTAAACAATATAGCCGATTGGTGGGATCATTATATTGCCATGAAAAAGGATACTGGACGCATGAGTCCAGTGTGCGACGTAGTATTACAGCGACTTACAAGAATATGTGATGTTGTTGATATCGTTGTTGGTGGATTTGTTGTACGCGACATGGCAGTCCTGCTTGGCAAATGGTTAAAACGAGGTGGATCTTGGGTGAACGAGTAATCAAAAGTAAGATCAAAAGCCAAAAAAGCAAAAACTCGTTCAATCACATATTCCCCACACACACACACACTCACACACACACACACACTCTCTCTCTCTCTTTATCTTTCGAATGTTTCGACCTGCAGTTCAAATATCTATCTCCTTCCTCCCTTCGTTCCTCTTCCTTTAAAAGCACACAACACACTCTCACATACTTACTCCCCCTTATTAAAACTTCACCTGCTCTTTAGTATCTATATATTATTATACTTGTTTCAATGATTATGTAGTACGATGCCTCTCCTTTTATATATCTCTCTCTATTTCCTAATGTTATTATTATATTTCATATTTCATATTGACCAATTGTTACTTGACCTAGCTACTATATACTATATTGTTGTCCAAATCTTTATCTGTTTTTGCATCGAAATAATGAATGCTTTGTTGCATAATATTAAGAATGAGTGCTAATATGCAAAGTTCTCATCATATTTGTACATCAGCAGTAGTTAATTTATCATGCCGCTCACGTTCAATGCACAATCACATCGGCTGAAATAAAGCACATACTGAGTGATTTGTATATGATGCAATCCTTATAATCTGATCGTGTCCACAATGTATCAGCTAATGTGGTACGATAAAACTGTTTATGACATCTTCACCCTAATGGTGTTGTTGTACTTGAAGAATAGACGGACCGTGTTTATCAACCAATTCCATATATCTTGTCGAATACGATTCTACGTCTACTAGCAATCCCGTTTATTTCAGTAATGCAGGTAATATTGGGGTGATCTGGTGGCACACTCAAATAACCACCATATCAAGAATTTCTGTATTTACTAGGCAAATCGATGCTACTACCACACGTAACTTAAAAACCCTTCATGGAAGAGAGTCCTAAACGTAAGAATACTATTTAAGAGCAACTACAGATGTGGTACGGTTCACATATCATTGCCCGATAATCTTAACTCTCTTTTCACCCGCAATACCTAAGATCATGCCTGTTTTAGTGATCTTATTCTGATAGCTAAATAAAAGCAGAACCACAGCATTACAAAGAAGTAACCTGGGCTGACTTTCAGAGACTTAAATACTGGTTCATGGTAGTAAATTATGGGATTTAGTGCCTTTAAATATATGGAGTACTCGTTGAAGAGCCGATTAGCTTCAACGTGCTTCCTATATAAGAAATGTACGTAGTAAGCTAACAGAATCAGTGGGCGCTTCGATGTATTGCGAGAAGCTGAAAAAAAAAGGAAGAAGGAAAAACAAATTTACCGATGTATGATGATGAAAATGGAAACGAAGATACGTTTCCACACTTGAAAAGGAAAATTATTCTCTTGTGATCGAAGTTTCCTTACTATTTGGATGCTGACAAAGCTATTACAAATGTATGATCAGCTAGTAATTATTTTACTATGATGCATCAAAAATATCTTACTCATCACTTACACATCTAAACAAAAGATCAAAAACAGTAGCAGTGAACCTCGGACAAAATCCATGCCGCTGTCTAATATCTTGTCGAGACAATTTTATTGAGGTAATGAAATATAAATACGGCGTCTCGTTGGACCAACAAAAATATCACCATAATTAGCCTACACAATACAATCTTCTAGCTATTAAAAAAAACAATATCCATGGCCAGTACACACCCTTCTGCTCTTTTCCAGCCGATTAAACTCGGCAATGCACAACTCAAACACCGCATCGTTATGCCGCCCATGGCGCGTCTCCGCGCGACTGCCGATCACATTCCCACTGATCTGATGCGCGAGTATTACGAGCAGCGCGCAACTGACGGTGGATTGATCATTGCTGAAGGCTCTGTAGTCTCACCTATTGCTGGTGGCTATCGTCACGCGCCAGGAATTTGGAGCGAAGAACAGATTGCTGGTAAAAACTTACTCTACATAACTACTGTATCATATTGTCATTTATGTCGCTCTTATTGAAAGTGACCTATACAGTATTTAATTGCGATATCTAACAGAGGAAATGACAAATATGCTTCTCCTTCTTCCGATCAAATAGGGTGGAAGGCAGTGACGGATGCTGTTCATGCTAAAGGAGGCATCATTTACAACCAGATTTGGCATCCTGGCCGAGCCACATTTGCCGCTATGATGCCAGATAATGCTCCACCCATTGCGCCATCGGCGATTGCTGCTAGTGGCAAGAGCCCCCTGGGTATAGACTGGGAAACTCCTCAAGAAATGACACCAAAGGACATCTTGGATATTAAGCAAGACTTTGTTACTGCAGCCAAAAATGCAGTCAACAAGGCTGGTTTTGACGGTATTGAGATCCATGCAGCTACTGGTTTTCTTGTCGATCAATTTATTCGTTCGTCCAGCAACGTACGCACAGATCAATATGGCGGATCTATCGAAAATCGCTCCCGCTTTCTTTTAGAATTGGTGGATGACACTGTAGCTGCCATTGGTGCAGAAAGAACGGCCATTCGCCTCTCCCCCTTTGATAACTATATGGTAAATTACTACTACTTACTACTATTTTCTTATTATTCTTGCATAAATTCTGTATGTGCTATGTAATTACAATGTTTTTGCTAAATCTCCTTTTTTCGCCTCAATTCACATACAGGATATGGAAGACGACACGCCTTTAGAAACGTTTGGTTATATTGTCGAGCAATTGAAAAAGAAACATCCAAAGTTGTCGCATATCCATATGATTGAGCCAAGATTGGACTTGTGGAATGATGACAGCGTCCTCTCTACTGAGAACACGCTTGATTCATTCCGTGAAAAGTGGGGTGCTGATGGCGTCTTCATTTCGTCCGGCGGTTATACCTACTCACCAAAACTTGCAGAAGAAGTTGCTGACGCAACCGGCAATTTAATTTCCTTCGGTCGGTTGTTTACCTCGAATCCTGATCTTGTGGAACGCTTGCGAAACGGCTGGTCATTTACCAAGTACGACCGATCGACCTTTTATGGTGGTGATGGTAGAGGACTTACGGATTTCACCGTTTACGACAATTCGCAACAGCAGAATCAACAGCTATAAAGCAACAATCGTTGTTATCACTGCTGATTAAATAATAAAAAAATGATTTGTTTATAAACTACATATATTTACACATGCCTTTGAGCTTTCGCGCTCAGAAAGACACATGCAAACGTATCTGTATGTATGATTCTGTCCCAACTGTAACTGTCCCTCTACCAACGCAGATATTTTTGATTACACAGAAGCGTTTTAAACTTAAAAGAGTGGCTTCATCGCGAATAGTTTTGAGATACACTGATATAAGGTTGTTGTCTAATAATCCGCTTGAATGATTTCAGGGCTGCAGTAAAATGACAATGTTTAATCTTACTACTTCTTCTAGCCAAATGATGAAAAGGCGGTGCGAAATCACAGGCCGTATCACCTTGTATATTATGCCTGAAAACAGCGAGCGTGTCTCTGCCTCTGCCATTGAGGTTCAAAGAAAACACACTGCCACCGGTTTAAATTACACAATCCCGCATGAGCTGGCGAAGTTGCCAAGTTTGCTCAAGATTTCGAAACAGCGGCTAAAAATGCCATCCGGTTAAACCTTCTTAGTCGTTTCTAAGTATATATCTGTATCATTTCCATTCTTAATTCATGGAATCTTACAAATATATAGAAAATAGCAATTTTCTACTACAGCATCATATGCTTTTGGAATAGCTTGGTGCTAATAAGTCACATCAATAAAAAATTAAACGATAGGACATGAAAATGATTGTTCACGGTATGGAGCTGGTGGCTACACCTATGATATTCGCCTGAACTTGCAGCAAAAGTAGCAGACAAGACAAAAATAATTGCGTTTAATGCTGATCTTGTGAAACGTTTGCGGATGGGATGGCCCCTGACTTAATATGACAGATCCACACTCAATGCTGGTCCTGATGCAGGTTACACTGACTACAGCAGTTATACCTTCCCATTTAATAAAACCAAACTGTCATTTTGTTATATACATGCAAGGTCAAATAAGTATATATAAGATATAAATCTTTGATCGGATTGTGTTTATGACACAGTTGCTCTAATAGAAATTAATAAAAAGGCTTCAGTTGTACATTTCTGTAAACTTTTTAAAAGCTCTATGTAACAATACAAAGCCCAGCGAGTATCATTATGTGTGTGCAAGCAAGCAAAAGATACCAGAACCCCGCGGGTTATACATAGTATGCATTGCTGCTGCTGCTGCAAGCTTTTTTTATCCAATTATACGGATTACCACACATAGTAAATACTATTTAGTGTTGGCACTGCCAGTCAGCCTTAGGCCGCTCGTGCTTTTGCATGATGTGGCCCTATTTTCTCCTTTTGAAGATTGTGTCAGCATCATTGATTTGAGTGATGCACAACGACAAAAACAGTTGCAATACTGAGATATGTAAATAAAAAAACAACTGTTGGGATGAGGGTACATGGTTTGGAGTGCTCACTGTATGTGTATTAATAGCAGCATTCTGAAAGAATAATTGGTTTCTGTTGCAAATTTTAGATAAAAAGGAGATATTGACGTACTATGTTGTTTTCGTTATTGACAATTTTAGTAGAGAACTTAAAAAAAGTGGCAACCAATGTTTTCAATCACTATATCACTGTACTGATAGTGCCAAGGAAAAAATCAAGGATACATTTATATTGATCGTTAATGTACTACAATTTAGGTTTTTGGACAATAGTAATAGTAGTTTGTGGCTAGTACACACAGAGCAAGTTAGCATCTTAACATGATGTTGCTTGAAAACTTAAAAAGCCAAAACAACCCACATATAGATAAAAAAGACGGGAAGGAGAAAGGATCATGATTGTTCTAATGTGCCTAGAAACAGGGATGAGCTGGATAAAACGTGGCTAAGTTTGTTACTGCAGCAACTTACATAAATGTTTGTTTTAGTTTAATTCTACGATGTTATGGGTTGTAATAGCGACGCTAATGCCAAACTAAACAAGCGAGCGAGAGCTAGCAAAGTATGAGTAAGCAGCGTGCAATCCATTTGAATAATCTCGTCATTGATCGAAACAAGAGCCCTGACATTTTATACCCTTACACCGTACACAACAGGATATATCGTTTCACTTGTTGTAATGTATGGTATCGATACTTTTTCTTTATTGGATGATCTGATGATGATTCTATTGCCTCCTTGTCTGAGAGAAAAATAAAAAAGAATCGTGATACAAAAACCCACCGCCACTTTATTTTATTTTTTTCGCGTGCTTTTCTACTCTTGGGAAGAACAGGGAGAAAAAAGGTTTAGTAGGGAAGCGAGATGAAAGAAACGAGCCGAGCCTGTTCCTCTCTCTTGATACCGGGGAGTAGGTTTTCCGATCCTGGTGGTGGCCTGGATCAGTTTCGAGGAGGCATGAGAGCTTCCGCCTCCTAATGAAAAAAAAAGATAAACAAAATGCAGTGTCCAATGCATAGTAGTCACAATTGTACTAAGCACACAAACTGAGAAAAGACGAGGTATAAGAAGGTAGCATATAATAAAACGTATTAACGATGATGAATAGTAGGCACATCTATAAACGGTAAGAGTCTGTCCGTCTGTTCGTTTATGATGATTAAACTTTACCAAACATGATTCGTCTCAGGGGTCTAATATTAAAAAGGAGAGCAACACTTATATATGACTACCCTTAATGGGTCTCTAAATGACACAGGATCCGATTATGTACAATAGCGAAAAACTATGGAAAAGAGAGAATCGAGAACCCACTTACTATGCATGCATCCACGTGGTCAGGTTTTTCATATGTATGTATAAGCAACTATATATTTTTGTATTATGTAGTAGAGTGCCATCATCGAGGCCCTGCATTGACCTTAAAGAATGATCGGCATACAAAATAACAGTCAAGGCGAGAAGCTATATCTCATGCATGATAGTACTACTACACAAATTTAGTAGTAGTAGAAATAATAGTGCTCGCAATGATAGGACTTATTCACTCCAATCCTTTAGTTTTCTTCTCTCTCCTTTCCTTTTTATAGAGCTCCTTTCTCTTCGTTTTCATTTTATCTCATTTTTGTTTTTACACCACATTCAGCTCTCAGAACCGCTTCTGGTATATCTGAATGTATTCCAGCAACATGAGTCATCATAATCATCGGAGACCAGAGCCACCCAGCTTACCGTCTATCAATACCATGCTTCATGGTGTACCGAAGCTATTTGGTAATTAAAAATATTGATTGCCACAAAGCTAGAAAGAGTAAAATATCAAAATGCGTAGCCTATACTGATTTACCGAGTGGATTGACTATTCTTAGACTATCCGACAAGCAATAATCACCATCATCGAAGTACTTTGTCAACTAATAACATTACCAGCACTGTCGACAGCAGAGCTACAGTAAACAAGCGCCTGCAATTATCTGTTGGGCATAGACGCCATGCGTCTGAGTATATCACATCTAGCTCATCAATATCAATGGCTTTCCGTGGCATTGACATGTCATTGCCATCGCTTCCGCCGCCGCCGCATCCAGCTCCCACCCGTAGTCTTGGAGTACTGTCAACATCAACAGCTACTACGGATAGTAGCATTAGTACCAACAGCAACAGCTATCCCAACAACACCAGCAGTGGTTATTCTCCATCTTCAATACCTGGTGACGACTACTACTATGGAGGAAATGACCATAGCTATAACAACAACAGTAGAGCTCATCATCATGTCAATTCAAAGGCTACCAGTACCAGTACTACAGCAGAACTGCTACGCCCACATCTGCCTCCACCACCGCAGCTTATGCAGCCCGAATTTAGATCATCTGCTGCTGCACCGGTCCCTACATCATCGCTTCCCATGGATATGCAGGCGCTCAGCATTTCTTCTTCCTGCAATGCAAGCTCATCTGTAGCTACTCTACTTCAGCAGCCGCGCCGGAGAACCCATTCGCGCTCATTTTCCGACATCACTTATTACTCCTCGTTTACAGAGTTACCTGATAACAAAAACCAGTGGCCAGCGTCACCATCACCGTCATCATCTCAACCACATTCTGTCACATTACCTCCTCAGTCATCGCCTTCTGCTGCTACTGCGGCAAACATGCCAGACGTTTCAATAACATCAACAGTACAAAATGACTCTAAAGATAACCATTGTGAGCAGCAGCAACATTGCGATCCTTATGTCAATAACGAAGCATTCTATCAACAGCATTATCATCTCTTCCAAAACAGTAGCAATACGCGACGCCAAAACAGCAGCAGTACTGTCACTAGCGCTGCTACCACTACAACATCAATATCAACATCATCCGGCGCACACCGATATTCTTGTCCTTATTGCAGAAAAGGATTCTCCCGACCGTCATCTCTCCGGACACACACATATTCACATACAGGAGAAAAGCCCTTTATATGCACTGTTGATGGCTGTCATCGCCGTTTCAGCGTCCACAGTAACCTCCGCCGCCACTTGCGTATTCATCGAACCTCTCGTTCTGCTTCTTCTGCAGCAGTGTTCCAAGGATTTACTATCGGCTATGGATTTTGAACACCTTCTTGAGAAAGAATCAGTCAATATCAACCCATATTGCTGCTTTTGTACGTCGGTAGACAGTGATTTTTATTGTTTTTTATTATTAGCACATGCAATCCACCACCCTCCCTCCCCTTGACTTGTATTAAAAGTTTCACAACAGCAAATTACATATTTGTCTACTTTTCCTTTCAACCGTTGCTACCATCTTTTCTAATTGTAAATTGATTCTCTCCCTTGCTTTTTTTTTAGCTCGTTCTCCTTTCATTTATTACGTCGCTGCAAAATGAAAATATGTACACAGTTTCTTCTTTGCTTTGTTGGTTTCGATGCTGCAATCTTTTTAGTTCACTCCAATAATCGTGTTACTTTGCCGATGCCCTTTGTTCGACCTTCACGGAAAATCTATCCGTTAAATGATAGTTAGCACACATGAAGTCTTTCTTTTCTTCAAACTGCTACGTACCATCCGACTACCAATCGTAAGGTATTCTGGAGTCTTGACAAATTCAAATTGCTATATACAATAAATCAAACGATACTATCAATAACTATATCGGAGAAAGCAGTAACCGCACGCTCCAACCCTGGCGGCACTTACCACCATTGCTCGATCACCTGTCCGCAATAACTGCTTTTCCATGCTAACGATACTAGCAGTCTGCCGTACCGCACCACAATGGACCATCGCCTGATACTTTTGCTTGATTGTTGTCGAATGGTACAGCACCAACACTTCGGCTTCAAATCGCTTCGAGCACTTGGGCGGCGGATGATCCTTGTCATACCGCAACAGCACCATTCCTTTACGTATTGCGCTGCGACGAACGTTCTTCAAAGCAAATGTTACGCTCTGGCCTGCACGCGCTGCAGGAACCGTCACACGCTTGCGGTGGATGCCCTTGATGGTTGTCATGTTAAAGTTGCCAGAATGGTCGGGCCCGATCAAAACCTTGTCACCCACGTGGATCACGCCGCTCATCATAATCCCGCTCACAACAGTCCCAACAAACGGCACAGAGTACGTTTCGTTGATCTCATAGTGGAACGGCTGCTCCATATCGTACTTGGTCTGTGCTGGCAAAATGTTCAAGAAGTTTCGCAACAGATCCAAACCTTGGCCAGTGACGTTACTGATTTGAAAAATCGGGCAGAGACGCTCGCTCACGAAATTTTGCTAAAACAGAAGGTATTTAGCTCCTTTCTTCGTCCTCCAAACTTTTCTAGCTCTACCATCCACTTTTGTTTACTTACAGCAGTCATGACGACGTCAGTGTCAGTCTCAACAAATAATGGGATCTTGCGGCACGATTTGGACTTCAAGATTGTACCCAGTTCCTTGATAGTGTTTTGCAAGATATTGGGCGGGCAACGATCGATTTTGGTTACCACAACAAGTACGGGGATACCGAGCGAAAGCGCGATTCCTAAATGCTCCTTTGTCATACCAATCATACCAGCGTTGGCCCCCACCATCAACATTACAAATTCGGGTGCGCTGCCTGTCATACCAAACACGGTGGTCTTTACAAGGCAAGTTCCATGTGAGTGATACACACGTACTAAGTTTTAAGCCTTGTTCTATTCCTCTTTCCACAAAATGTCCCTCACCTTGAGATATTTCTCGTGACCTGCCAAATCCACAAAACTCAACACTTTGGTAGCCTTGGTGCAGATCTCTTCCCATGTTAGCTTGCGCCCCGTTCCAGCTGGATGCATTACAGGCTGAGACTTAGAGTCGAATCCCAAGATTTCACCGCCTACACTCGATGTTCGTCCGGATTCAATCTCATGCTTGTGTCTATGTTATTATATAAGAGTCCGATCGAGTGGTGGCACAACAAGTGGACCTACTATCTGCACACATATAAAACAGAACCATACCTGAACAAATTGACCCGCGCTTTCCCTCGACCATCATCAAGAATACCCTTTGTCAATACACCGAGCAATGTGGACTACATAGTGTGTATGGTGTATTGCTGTTTTAGTCGTCCATATTGCTATATACTTTCTATATGTTCACCATTTACCAACCTTTCCTGCATCCTGTAAGTTAAATATAATGTGTATTATTAGCTGCTTCAAGCTTAAAGTATCTCCAACCAACGACATGTATGCAAAATAAGCACATACCACATTGCCAACAACGGCTATTCGAATCTCAAGCAAATCTTCCACCGTCTTTAACCGCCGTCGAATCATCAAAGTGGCAAGGATACCTTGCTGTTGTTGATTGTGCTTCCCTCGTTCTTCAACAGTCGAGAAATCCGCATCCAGCTTCTCAACAATTTTTCCAACGGTGATCAGGGCTTGCTGATACTCGTCGTCTGTAAGCGTCATTTTCTCACCGTCATCTATTGTTATTGATGAATGATGTAGATAAGAATCTGGGGTCTGTTCAGGTTCTAACCGATACTACTATTTTGTAGTTCTTAATTCCTAGTACCTTCAACACCTATTTCAAACAGTGTCTCTCCACGTCCTTCATCTAAACGAGTAGACATAAGGTGCTCAAGCGCTTGTATGTCGTCAGATGTGGCATGTATTAATTTTTCCTGGATAAGATATTTTGACGTTAAAAATAGAGATAACTATCATGTGGATATGAAGAGCACTTGCTTCTTTTGTGGCGTGCGAATAACTGATCCTATTATAGGGTTGAACGTACCTTGAGTGTTCTCGTCGTGTCAGTGAACTCATCGCTGTCTATCCGATTAACAGGATCGAACAAGGCGTTATGTTGTTGATTCTTTGTAATGTCGGGCTCTGTCAATTTGACGTCCATGAGAGCAGAAGCCAACCGCGCTGCTTCGTCTTTTTCCATTGTGCTATTAGTAATGTGACTAGACTGGTGTCTTATGGAATCCTTTAGAGTCATTGGGGTGTAGTATATGAAGCAGAAGAAAGGAAAAGTAAGAAAACTAGTATTATGCAATCCACTCCATCTTGGGCATATTTGTTACTTTAGATTTCAAAAAGCGCTTACCGCAGTAAAAAAAAAAGAACGATGTGATTTTTGTTGTTTCTTCCGTGTTATTGAAAGAAACTCTATATATATTTCCTCTCAAATTGCGTCTATGAGTCATGATTTGTCCTTTCACTTTGAAGGCTACCGCAGCAGTGTAGTACCTGTAAAGATTAGGAGGGGCTAGGATCGTCAACAGCATGATCAATCACCCACTCCTGCTTGCAAGGCGCAGTTTTTACGAGGTGACGGATTTAGCTTAGCTATTTTCGTCTCATGGCTTTATCACTGCACGTCAAAAAAAGATGAAACAAACATCCATTCTAAAGCTTGGTCATGAACTAAATTTTACCTTAGTCAATAAAATTAAACGAGCCTATATATTCGCAGCAGCAACCTGTCAAAAATGATGGCACCATATCATATTCAGTGTTCTTGTACCCTTGAACAACTAGTACCGCAAGGAAGCGACCGCACGCTCATGGCGCAGGTCAACTAGTCTCTCATATTAATAATACATCACAATCTGTCTACTTACTACACTGTGTTTCCCAATACATTATCGCAATGTGGCACAGCAGCAGCAGCAGCAGGAATTGTACTGTAGAAATAAAAGTGAGTAGTTACGACATTAAACGAAGAAGGCAAATATTACATTGTTCACGTAGAAGATTGATTGACATGTAGAATAGTGGTATTTTTCTTTATCAACGAAACGATAAGAAGCCATGGCTTTTAGGAAACGCAGTTGGACCCTTCCATCTGTCTGTCAATAACCCGTTCCAATTAAATGTAGGAGGATTCTTTGTTTATACACTGAGTAAACGCACTAACACGGCGCTGATTGATAGGGAACGTTTCCAGCAGTTTGCCGGTATTATGCTACAATAAAACGAGCATCATTATGTAGCTCACAAAACTTGGAGCAATCATCGATCCATCTGGATAAGAGGGAAAAAAGAATGTATATAGATAGTAAATACCTGTACTGAGAATTCGGCCAGCACAAGCTCCTTACGGCCTACAACAAATGGGCAACTGGCATAACCATCATACTCAGCTTTCTTTATCTTTTTGCCTATCAAATCGTCAATCTGAGCACACCAGACTCAATTGTGACCGCCACAATTGTCTCGCCGGTAGGCAATTTGGAACAGTCGCCCAAAAAGAAGACGTTCTTGTACTTGTTGTGACGGTATACTCGTCGATATCAACAATCCGCTTGATCTGCCAGCGTGATGTCCTTGATAAATTTAGGCGGGGTAGAGGTGGTGCAACATGGAGAAAATCGTAATAACAGGCTTTGAGTTCTTCTTGTTCTGGGTTGGTGAGATTGCGGAAAATAGCCTTGCGATCATTGGGTCGGATCTCGACAAGCTCTTGCTTCGCGTTAAATGTTGTGTTGCGCTCTTGGACTAGTTTGTCGACAACGGGGGCATATTGAGGGAAACCCTACGGTTTCTCCAGACTGCTGTTGTAGATAATTTTGGATTTATGCCGGATGCCTTGCAAGCGGAAAGCTTTTTCGGCTAAAAATACGATCTTTGTAGGTGCATCAGGACATTACAATCTTACACAAACATATGTCGCTAGAGAGCTCTATTAATCATCTGTTATTTTATACCATCCTCATTTCCGTACATTTCCACACTTTTCTGTTATCACACAATTGAAAGGATCATATACCTTGATGAGTGTATTTCGGTAAGAGAAAGTACATTACCGCCTTTAGAAGCTTGGATGAACTTGTATGTTTTTTGCACGTTCTCGGGGGAATAGCTAGATATCAGTTCATCTTTGCCTAAGGATTCTTTGAGACCCTTGATCTGGTCCCGGTTGATTGGAGTAACGGCTGCAACAACCAGATAGTTGTAGCCAACGGTGATCTTGCCGTCACCTAGTATAAGCTTGCTCATATCGGGTGCAAGTCCACTAACGCTATCTTGAAACCAGTCTGTCTTGTCTGGGATAAATAATGCCATCGGCCTTTGGTTCTCTTTGAGCTATTTAGACCGCCACTAACATTCCATAACGGTGGATGCTATACAATTATCGCATTCGAAATAGAGAGAAAAAGAGATCAGTTACCCACTAGCTTAACTATTATTGTCGTGGTGATAATCGCGCTAAAATACTTAAGTGGTATGATGATGACGACTTGATCCTTGCCAAGCATTTTTGAGATCGTTGAAGCGACTATTAAAAGTTTTATTTGCGAAGAGTTCGTTGACTAATAACATATCTTGTGGTTTCTATAGTACAAAATCTACCGTCACATGATAGACCACTAGGTCCAACGCCAACAACAGCAACCTTGTACTTCTTTCAGCAACAGGAGCATTCTGTACTGCAGTAGCAAAATAACGTTTCGACAACAACGAGGGGGCACGGCAAGTGTAGTAGCAGCAAAACATGACCTTAATTTGGCCAAATATGTATCTTGTACCTCCCTCTTATATACTTGGGCTGGAAAATCGCTGTAAAAATTCCTCCGTCAATCCGAACTTCATGAAACGCTGGCGTAAGCATGCGTAATCATTTTTTTTAAAGTGAAACCTGCGCTAAACACTGGCGCAGGTACTGCTGCAGTGTCAGTTAGCGCCATATCACCCTTAAAAAAGGAACAGGCCTTCTATATTATGGTTATGCATATTGTTACTCCAAGGAGATATTTGTTGGAGCTTCATACAGATTATTGCATATGTCTAATGCTATCTGACTTTTGATGGACTCTCTCGCTATTGAAATAGACTATCCCCTGGGTTACAATGAGAATTTGATAAGAAGTCCTGAGTTAAATGACATGGAAAAGCAAGGCAGAACGCTTATTGGCTGCAAAAGTATCAGCTCATTGCCTACAAACCTCTAATAGTGATATAGTGCCACTGCGCACATCGATAGTAAATACAGCCGAGTTACCGGGGTTTCAGCAATCCTCGTTTATTCCAGCGTATTCTTGACTGTCGGCTATGCTGACACTTATTTAGTGCTCATAGCGCGCTGCCGTTCACTGCGCGGAAGGAATTATAATGAAAGATCGATGTTTACAATAGGTTAGTCTGCTACTGCACCATGAATATTGTCAGAAGCAAGATACATATGTACTATACTGTACCGTGACTTTTGCTTTTGGGTTTAAGCACGCGACAGAAGGAATTTTTGTTTGTTTACGTTATAACGAGTTCACCAAAACATCTACAAGCGTACTACATATCTATTGGAGTGCTCTTGATAATTCCTAAAATAGTTAGATAATTGTTGTGCAACGCAAACATGCTATTGATCAGACGAAGAACCATTTTATACAACTACTTACACTAGCGGTCGAAATGATGGTTATTGCTTGTAAGAGAGGGTTACATTTCATAAAGTGCCGTGTGCGCGTTGTGTCCTGTTAGAAGGACAACAAAAATTGCGTGCAGTATCATGATCGATGTTTGAGTAAGAAGGAAAGGGTTATGCAAGGAAATGATAAATGGACCCTAGAAAAATGTTTCAAGCCACGTGGGGTGACCTTGCTCTTACCAATTTAATTCGCCTCGGAACCTGGCGTACCGTAGCATTACTATAACCTCTCTCTTCCACTTTTTCTATCCCTTTGCGACACTCTACACACTTTCTGCTCTTTTACAATGTTCCAATCCTTCATTAAATCAATGGGACTGGCACCACTCGACAGTTATGTTGAACCACGGCTGTCTATCGGGAACGTCGTCCTCGACCGCGAAATTTCCACCGGCCACTTTACCGTTCAAGTCGATGAAGAAGCTCGAGCAGTTTTTATAAGAAACAACAAGGGACGCGTCATATGGAAATGTACGGTATATACTACCGTCATCATTTATCCTTCCAATAGTCATTTAACGGACTCAAGTGATATATAGCACTACACAATATCCCATTCCTTGCATCCAGTCTTGGTGATGATGAAATTATTCCTATGGAATATAATGACAGTCTGTACAAAATTGTCGAGCACGACGAAAAAGCCACACGACTACAAACCATTACTCGCATTGCTCCTAGTGGCAATGATACAGTGATCATATACGGTGGTCTGGGAACTCGCATTGCTCCGCCTACACACCTCAGCTACGAGTTTATCATTAAAGAGCTCAGCCCGCACCAGCTCCAGTTCACAGCCAGAATTACAGAACGGGACTCACCCATGGCCAATTATCGACGTCTTTTTCTAACGTACGAGAGTCGCAAGGAAGAAGACTTTTATGGCTTTGGTGAGCAGTTTGTCTATTCATCGTTAAAGGGTCACAAGGTGCCCGTCTTAATAAGGTTTGAGTTGTTCATTTCTTGTTTTTCCGATACATTAGACAGCGTAAACCAACAAATCGTTACTTCATATGTACTAGGGAACGAGGACACGGATGTGGTGGGCCGCAGGTATGTAAAAATGGAGTGACGAAAGGAAGCCTCATTTCTGTATAATTCGTTATATGCTGCTCACAGAACTATAAAGACATCGTCGTTCTTCAGCTCCGCCAAGAGTTTCGTCGAAGGTTATTTCAGTGGTGATGACGGCCACTGCGCGTCCTACGTCAGCGTTCCACAGTATGTCACATCTGACAAGCGCTGCCTGTGTCTCGAAACATCCGAATATGCTAGCTTCGATTTATGCGAACCCGACCGTGTTACTATCCGTGTCAACAATAGCATTGACAATGATCTTGTCGGCCGCATCATTGACGGTGATTCGATGCTCGACCTGATAACGGAATACACTTCTTATGCTGGACGTATGCAGCCATTGCCTGACTGGATCAACAAAGGCGTGGTCGCTTGTATCCAAGGCGGTAGCGCAAAAGTACGACAAATTGTTGCTCAAATGGAACAGCATCAAACACCCGTCGCCGCCGTGTTGGTGCCTGATTGGTGTGGTCAACGCTTACAGCCGTTGACGAGCACAGTTGCTCTGAAACGACTCTGGTGGCATTGGGAACATGATGAGCAATTGTACCCGGACTGGCAAAATTTGGTGGAGGAACTACGCCGCGACAGAAATATTGGTGTCATGTCCTACGTCAATCCATTACTGGTCCCAAAACAAGGTGCCAAGCGCGACTTGTTTGCCGAAGCAACGCAGAATGGCTATTTTGTAAAAATTTCATCCAAAAAGGAAATGATCCAGTCGGGTGGATTGGAGGCTGGGCTACTGGATCTGACGAATCCAGAAGCAGTTGCATGGTTCAAACAGGTTGTCAAGCAGCAATTCTGGGATGTGGGCGTTTCTGGTATGATGGTTGACATGGGTGAAAATCTGCCGTGCAGCATCGAGGGGGTGACATTACATTCGCAACAACCATCGTCTGCGTATCATAACCGGTATGCTGAGTCTTGGGCAAGGCTGTATCAAGAGTCTATCGAGGAATCAGATTTAGACCATCAACCCGTGTGTTTTCTGCGCTCTGGATACACGCGATCACCACAGCACCTGCAATTGCTATGGTCCGGTGACCACAATGTAACTTGGGATCAAACAGATGGCCTGAAAAGTGCGGTAAGATAATTCGTTTCCTTCCATTATTGATGATGACCTCGCCAAAAGAACCTCTGCCCTAATACTATCATGTGGGTATAGGTAACGGGTATGCTGTCGGGAGGTTTCTCTGGATTCTCTCTCAATCACAGTGATGTTGGTGGATTTACTACTATTGAAGGCTTGTTGCCTGGTGCTTCCATGTCACGAAACCGAGATTTACTTTACCGATGGATGGAACTTGCCGCTTTCACCGCCGTCTATCGAACACAAGAGGGTATGGCTATACTTCCAATTCTATAATTATTTCTCCAGCTACTTCAAAATAGCTCAATATCATAAACTTATTCATTGATACCCTTGATTAGGTATATTGCCTGAAAAGAATGCTCAATTTTACCAAGACGAGGGTAACACTAATGATCACTTCAACCTATAACTAGCAATTACTGATATGAGAAAGGAGCAATATTCTAACTAAATCATCTTTTTAACTCCATATACATATACAGAAACCTACGCTCACTTTGCACACACAGCACAACTCTACGCAGCTTTAGCACCATATCGAAAACAGTACATACAAGAGGCTTATGAAAAGGGCTGGCCTTTGATGCGACATTTAGTACTATATTATCCTGACGATCCAACTGTCCGACAAATTGTGCATTCACAATACTTGCTGGGACCTCACTTGATGATAGCACCTACCGTCTCGCCCTCGGCATCGTTTGTCAAAGTGTACTTCCCACACGAAAATAGTGGCATATCATGGAGACATATTTGGACAGGAAAATATTTTGAAGCGGATGGAAGTTATAAGGTTGTAGATACACCGCTGGGACAACCGGCCGCATTTGTCAAGGAACCACGACAAGACGACGGATTATTGAATGATTTGATTTCTTTTGCAAACCATTACTACTCTTCCATTGCATCATCATCTTCACCTCGATCATCATCATTAAATAAATAATCGTCTACAGTAATATATACAAATTCTATCAATGATTCGAATATCAGTTGCCACGTTAAGATTTTACCCTTTCCATATAATTGTTTAAGATGTGTTGTTTTTTAAATTGCCATATTACATATTTAATAAAGATAAGGGAGAAAGACGCCATAATGCTTTCTCGTCAACATCCGCTGTAAATTGATTGGAAAGGAGGGTTGATGTATTCACGTTGCAACTCAATACTTATAATGGGTGGTGCACCTTGTCTTCCTGTACCTAACACACAGGCCACCAACTGCCAACAATATCAGTTGTCTTAAGCAATATCATTTTAGAAATAATGCTGTTGAAAAAAAAGCGAAATTTAAAGCTACTGTATAGCTACCCTTAGGTCACAAGAAGGACATAATTTTTATTATAAATGTTGCTAATCTACAGTAGCGTATTCAAAATAGACAGTACATATTGAAAGAAGAAGTAAAAACTCATTATAATAAGTAATAGTACTCGTAATATATATAAAGAGGGTAGTAATATGTTCAAGTATGCAAAAAAGGATAGACTCGACAAAAAAATAAAAAAAAAAGAGTAATGACGCAACAAAAGTATCAGAGCTCATATTGTATACCGATCTGAATCATCTTCTCCACTGGAACTCCATACATCTCTTGTTGGTTTCCCATGGTATTTCGTCTGAGCCATGCATACATTTCAATTAGGAAGCGATGAATGAAGAACGCACCAGGTCTGGAGTTGACGTTAATGGTGTTTGTAAGATATGTCAGCTGATGAGCTTGTGCCGCTGTGACGATATCCAATTCAGATTGCAGGTTCTCTTCTTGCAGTAGTTGGGCAATCCTGTTTGAAAGCATAATACCAAACTCGGCACTTGTGTCGGGTAAGTCGTTGTAACCTTGGCGTAGGATAATACGATAAGTTGATGTGGTTTCTTCCGGCTTAAACACAATCATCCGCTCGTCGGCCGGAACCTATCGTCATTTTTGAGCAACATATAAACATAGTAGTTAGTAAACGGCTGAAATACTTGGCACGTGTAGAAACAAGACTTACGTTAGCGATATTAGCATGGCGGAGATGGCAAAAGATCTGAACAGTAGGCTCCACGTGCAACACGCTCTGCAAGTGCTGGATCGACATGGGCGAATCAAAACCAGCTGGGTCAAATACAATCATGGTAGTGTTCAACTTTGTAGTGACCTGGTTGGCAACAGTATTCGCATCGCTGCTTTCTTCCGGGAGGAGCATATCCTTGCGCAACTTGAGCTTGAGCATGCCCTCGTATTCCCATTGACGCAGTGTGCCGTACCGCCAGATATACATTACAGCAGACAGCACAGCAGCAACCACAATTGTAAACCATGCACCTTGGGGTACCTTGCGTAAAGTTGATGTGAGATAAGCGCCATCAATAAGTCCAAAGAACAGGAGAAAAGCGATCGAGAAGAAGATATTCCAGCGCCAGACAATAGACGTCACCAATGTCATAAGGATCGTTGTGATGAATGCCGTAGTGATAACACAAGCACCATAGGCATTACCAAGAGCTGTGGTATCTTGAAAACCACCTGCCACGGCAAGCGTTCCAAGCATCAAGAGCCAATTTGCGACAGGAATATACACCTGGCCCTTGAACCTGGTGGATGTGTGCACCACCTTGAGTTGAGGAAAGCACGAGAGATTCATAGCCTGACTAAGAATGGAGAAACATCCAGTGATCATAGCTTGAGAAGCGACAATGGCAGCAAGTACAGCTATAACAAAGGCGAACCAAAATGCTTGAGCGGGGACCATAGAGTAGAACGGATTTAACCACGCAGTATTAGTTGAATCAGACACGATAACTGCAGCTTCACCGATATACGCCATTAGTAGACACTGATACAGAGCATAAAAAAGTGAAGCGCATAATTTAGTTTAAGAACGCACACACACATGCATTACTGATGTGGCACTGAATATCACTAGTCCATAACTTACGGGATAAGCAAAGAAAAGCCAAGAAAAGCGGACCGCTGTAGGAGAAAAATGACCCACATCAGCGAATAGGGCTTCCATACCAGTGATACTCATCAGCGTTCCACCTAACATTTCCCATCCATGTGTGCCGTGAGAAGCAAACCAATGGTATATCCAATACGGAGAGAATGCTTGAAAGACGCTTGCATCGTATTTGATAACGCTGTATATACCGCAGGACAGGTTCAGCAAAAGCCAGATAATCACGATGGGTGCGTATGTTACGCCTATTTTGGTCGTGCCAAAGCCTTGGATCAGGAAAATGAGAATGAGAATAACCTCGGATATGCCAGTACGCGCTTCAATAGTGATTTGCGGTGCCTCAACCCGGAGACCTTGAATAGCGCCAATCACTACGAATAGTTACATAACATGTTATGTTTATAATGAAATAGTTAAGTTTTGGTTAATGATTCAAGGCTGCTTTTTTTTTGCTCTTCTATTCCTTCTTACCACTTTGGGCTGGTGTCAGCATTCCATCAGCAATGACCATACAAACACCGATGATGGATAGCAAGTTGATCAAATGGCGTAGAAAGCTCGAGTTTTCAATCCAGCGACGCAGTCCTCGGTTCACACTTTTAATGTCACCGGTGGGATATCGTTTAAAGCCGGCTCGGCCAACTGCGTTCGGATTGTTCCAATTGATATTTGCCTTTAGTAAAGGAATCAGAGCGAGTGAATGGAGATGAGCAAAAAACATCATTTTTCTCACTGATACAATCATCAAGTAAGCGTAAATAGAGCATGCAAATACTTACATAGCGTGATAGCAATGAATACAGAGCAAAAGTGCCACCCTCGCCATGATCGTTAGCCGATAATACAAATATACAGTACTTGACTGAAACTACAAGTGTCATTGACCAAATGATAACTGACAATGCGCCCAAGACGTCTTCGCGCGTAGGATTGTCCGTAAACGTAGAGGAATAGGTATACAATGGCGATGTTCCTAAATTTAAATAGATTTCAGCCCTAATACTACGTGCCATAGCTTAGAAGACATACCAATGTCGCCGTAAATGACACCGATCGCTTGATAAGCAAGAAAAAGGGTTGTTTTCTTGCTAATGACCTGTTGTCAGCCAAACAAACGGACAAGGGTTAGACGCAGATCACAGTTCTTTTTGTCGAATTTACAGGAAGGAGAGAGAAGTATATTTTCTTTACCGGTCGAGAAGGTGCATCTGTATTCATGAGCACATCTTTAGAATTCTTCGTTTGTATCGAGTTGAAGATAGTTTTCTCCTGGCTAAACTCGAGTATGCTCTCTGGATCCAGATCAAGCTTGTCGGTTTTTGATTCGGTTAACATTTTGCCTGCAAACAAAACAGAAGAAAGATGCCACATGAGCGGAAAGGTTGCAGCAATTTTTAAGTTTTTATATATGTGAACCTTCTCTATTTCTCTCTTTAGTTATTCTCTTATATGCGTACGAGTACACTTTGGCAGCATAACAACTAGCATTAAAAAAAAGGCCTATCAAGCATAAAGAAGCAGTCCTTCTTGGCATGGACCAACAAACCGCAAAATGCGCTCAATTTGTGATTTAGGATCTGTGTAACGGCGTCACTTTGAATTATCTCAAAATGCTCGAGCGAAAATCGCGCGAAGTTGTATCACCGAAGTCAAAAAAAACCTCTCGCTGATCCCTTTCTCATCTACTGTCCTTATCCATAGAAATAAGCGCTGTACATATACGCAACCTTCTTTTATTTTTTTTGCGCACATACGTTACATATACACGCGAGTCGGTCCTGCAAAACCTATTGGTTATTGGTTCCGATCGTATAAGTAGTTAAATTTATTTTGCTGATTGCTAATGAGAAAGAACAATAAAGGAGTGGGAGAAAGGGAATGCTGAATGGAAAAGCAAAAGCATTGGTCATAAGTTTGATGTGACATACGTTGTATGTGCGCATATATTCGTTTCAAAATCAAAACAACGGGTAAAATACAATATGATCAGTGCTGATCTCCTTTTCAGAGCGCGTAGCTTGCCGTGCTGAACGAGTAATCACCATCTTCCGATCCGGGCGTTTCTCCACTAACTGGTGTACCAGATCCATTATTTTCGTTGTACGGAATCAGGTCCCACAACTGGTTCTCATTGTCACTGTATTTGCGATTGTAAAGCAATACTACTGTTCCTGGTTTGGTCCAGTTTCCCTATAACGATATAATAGTTCAAATACATCGTTTTTGATAAGTCATACCGTCATCAGATCACCAAAATCATAATCCAACCGTTCCCCTTAAAATGATTGTAGAACATACTCGGATATCCAGCACAAGGTTTGGATTGACTTGTGGATAAATGAATCCATCCTCGCGGTAGTACCATCTCTGGTTTTGCGCGTCCTCGATCATTTTTCGCTTATACTGAATAACCTGTTTATCGTTCTCGAGGACACCTATTGCAGATGCATGTTAAAATCCAAAATTTATCTCTTTTTGACTTCATTGTTCTTACCTCCCTGGATATCAAGCACTGTCATATGCATACATACGTGTATGTAAAGAAAAAAGTCAGCTATTGTACGCCAGTACCCCCACCCCCTTTTTTTCTGCTATTACTGTTGCCACTGCCACTTTTATATGCTTACCAAGGCCAGAGTTTTTGTTAATGAGGTATCCATGATCATACATCCAAAGTTGATTATCGTTATCGACTTCTTTCTTTGGCCATACTACAATCTTGGCAGCCGTCTATATTTGTCGGGGAGTGCATACAAGCAGGCAATAAAAGAAGTCAGCAATGAACGAAACTCGAGCCTTTTTCTTCATGGAGGAGAAAAGTACTTAAGCAGCGTTCAATTGTTACCTTGAGCGAGTCCCAAGCGACATCAAGAACCATTTGGTGAGAACATTTTGATTGAATGAAAAACCAGCCCGAAGGGAAGTTGCTCATTTTGAGAAGTCGTACACGACGGTTTCCACGCATCAAGTGCAAAAGCAACCTGGTGTTTGATTCAAATCCCGCACTATTTGTTTTTGGTACCACCCGTTCTGCCGTCATCACTATTTTTTGATTTGACACAAAACGTATATGTTTAACATGACCTCCAACGCCACCAAGTACCCCAAATTAGTCTACATATATCTTCTCATATTCTCATGTACTATACATTATACGCCAAGATCAGGAATAAAGGGAGCCAAGCCTCTTGGCATCCGTCACATTTAATATTGGGAAATGCTAGGTCTATATAAAGAGTTCCGTTCTTGATTATACAACTTTAGTTCTTCTTACCACATTTTTAACTTTCCATTCACCAAAAGCTACACTATAGTAACGATATGACAGGCTTAACAAACTTGAAGTATTACTACTTTGATCTTGGAAGTAAGTACATAGCATCATCGCCATAAAGGTCTTTCATGCGCAAGACAGAAGACAAGGAATAGTGCATTTCAATAACTGCTACTATGATTATATAGCTCAAGGTCGCGGTGAACCAGCTCGCTTGCTACTTCATGATGCTGATGTCTCTTTCGAAGACATTCGTATTGAATTTAAAGACTGGCTTGCTTTCAAAAATGAAATTATTGAAGACTATCCAGCTGCTGCGCTACCGCTAGTGAAGACTGGTGATGGTGAATATTATGGGTTAACCGCCCCACTGATGCGCTTCCTTGGTCAACAATTGGGTAAGAGCTCACGAATAAAATATATTTAAGCTACAAAAGAGACTTTTAAATCGTTTTCAATCATACACCGACCTTTAAAATTATCAGGCTATGATGCTGTTGACAAGAAGAAGTCTCATTTTGTGGACCAGACAGCTGATTTCGTGAGCGACTGGTTTCAGGATTGTATTAGAATCTTTTTCCAGCCGGTAAGTTCATATGGTAGTCCACCTATTCCGTGGAGCTTGGAAGTGGTCTCAGATATCACGAATATCTTTATCCTCACGTACATACATACATTGCACTACTTTGGTAACGATACTGCATACCACTTTTTTTAGGATCAACAAGAAGTTCATGATAAGAACTTGAAAGGTATCCACTGCGGAAGAATGGAACGCATGTATGGTCGTTACAATGAAGGGCCTTATCTTTTGGGCGAGCAGGTAAAAGGGATGATTTTGTCGTCAGAAGCAATTTAATCAAAGTTCACAGTTATTAAATTAGTAAGAAAATGCGTAGATTACTTATGCAGACTTCATGGTGTATGCTGCGATGAGACAGGATAAGGTCTTGGGCTCTTTACTTGAAAAGGTATGTAAAAATACAATGAACGAACTACGACTATATACGATATAATAGCATTATATAACTGTATGTTGTTGTTTTTAAATAACAAAACGGATTAGGACATGCCCAACCTATTCAAGTTCGTCCAAGCGTTCGAGAATCGGAAGAACCTAAAGGAGTATATCACATCTTTGCCCACGGATGAGCCACAAATCGTTATCCCAGTCGAGTAGTCGCATAATACTGAGTGCTATTACACTGTGAAACTTGTTTTCAAAGCTTTGCTGTATATGCTCTAACGTTACACTAAGTACTAGGAGCAGTGAGTTCTTTTTGGCGTACACGAGATCAATAAACGGATTTCTCCACAACGTCACAATCATACAATGACAATGATAATATTCATTTGCTCAGATACCTATGGAATCTTTCCATCTTCTACATATACGCATATCATATTGGTTACTGTATTGATATACCCGCGAGATAATAGAACTGGCTTCTTCCTCTATCATATACATTTACCGCTAATATTTTACAAGTGGAATCAGCAGCCAAAATCCTTTGGTTAAGATATATCATATCCCAGAAATTGCATGATAATATATACGCTCGAGATGATTATCCATTTTTCTTGCAGCAGTAGTGTCTGTTTTAAAAGAGGTGTGGTACATTGATACTGAAATTATATTTTCAAAACGTGAAAGTTTCTTTATTTGCTTTTCCGTTTGTTTATGCTATGCTGCGCAGCAGCTCCATTGCTGGTTTTTATCGAATCCGGAACGGAGCAGTGCACGAAGCGTCGCAAAAATGACTTTCCGGAGGTATTAAGTATACGTATACACTCTCTTGGAAATTGATATTACTAAGCAATCGTAAGGATATAATATGTATCCGTTGGAAGTTATTTCCATCAATCTATAATATTGTAGAGATTATGATCTCGTTTACAAACTCGAAGCTTTACTACTTTGACACTGGAAGTAAGTACCAATGTATCAGGGAACGTCAAGACGTACAGGCTACGATGTCTATGTATCTTCGACTCATTATTGCTGCTTAATCAACATCAGCACGGGGGCGTGCCGAAGCTATAAGGTTACTGCTCCATGATGCCGGTGTTATTTTTCAAGACATTCGCGTTGGTTTTGCAGAGTGGGAAAAAATGACACCAAAACTTATTGATAGATATCCTGTGGCTGTGCTTCCATTTATTGAGACCCAAGATGGGCAATATTTTGGTACGACTGTGCCTCTTCTACGGATTCTTGGGAAGCAGCTAGGTAAAGATGATCGTTAGCTCAGAAGTACCAATGAACATTGTGGTTTATGTATAGTACCTGTGGTAAAGTGATAAAGATATCGTTTTGGTTGCTAGGCTACTAACCGAGTAAATTTGAATATGATCATTTCACAGAACAAACTGCCGATCTAGCCAGCGGATGGGTGCAAGATTACGTCAAGATATTTTTCCAGCCAGTATGTAAAGTAGCGATAACATAGATTAGCCACAACGGAAAAAAAGGGTCGAACTACTTGACGATATGGGGTTTTCTATATTCATTCTATGATAGGAACAAATTAAATACCATGAGACTGAAGAGACGCCACGTCATGTTGTCAGATTCGAAAGAATATATGGGGTATATACTAACGGACCTTATGCCCTAGGCAACCAGGTATGTGCCTGGAAAAGCGTGCAGTGATAGCATAGCTCATCACGTCCAATAACACTGTCACTGTTGTAAACAACAACACATAGATCACATACGCTGATTTCTTGGTTTACCACATCATTCGACAGGAGAAGCTTTTGGAGAAACTTGAGGTAATACCTGTATAACAAAGGATGGGTATTATGTACGTTTTGTAGCATCTAACCAACCGTTTATAATGTCACCTACTCCAACCCTGTTTCTTGCAGTCATGTCCGAATCTAGATGCATTCATAAAAGCATTTGAAGGCAGGCCCAGAATCAAGGCTTGTCTTGCTACACTTCCTAAACAGGAGGCGGACCTTGTTGTTAGCTACTAAGTAATTACTATTATCCATGTTGCACCGTTCACTCTATTACCAATGCCCTAACAGGAGTATGTATAATGTCATCACATTTAAAGTACTTCCCTTGTGTTTTGTATGACATTACAATATGGTTCGCGCTTTTTTCACCAAAATATATCATTTTGTTGCTCATAAATTTATGTGTTTGAGACTGTGATTGCACGTGGACGATGATTTCCATAAACCCCTTAAATAAACTATGTATCTCACACGGTGCATCCCATGAATACTGTGACTTTGTCCCTCCTTCTTCAAATATAAACATGCTCAGCACCGGGGTTGATGCTGTACCCTACAGAATGCCGCTTCGGTCTACGAAGGTTGCTCACTAGTATCACATGCATACTTATACACCCACACAGATCCACACACGAATATTCTTGAAACATATAAATGAGGCTGTGCTCTTTTTGTTAGATCCCCAGCTGAACTGTTTTATACATATAATTACACAGCACTATGAGCACTATTAGACACACAAGCTGTAATGAATTTATTAAACTAGTGCAAGAGTAACACTGGACCGTAAAGCTGTACAATTTTCCTTACTTGTGAGCGCAATTCTTTAGTGTACACTTTTCTTCACCATTCATGGAAAATATTGATCAGCACAGCCTGGAGTGCAAGTAAATTGCTCAAGAAAGCGTTGTATTTACAGCAAAATTCCTTAAAGAAGTGAAGATAAAAGATTTGTGACGCTTCACTTCACCATATATGTTACTTGCTAGCTATTTTAACCATGAGCGTGATTGAAAATCGAATGCGTACAATATATCCGTTTCTCGCTTGTGGGGATCGAAGGAATTGTCACATATTCATCAAAATAAATAATGTTTCCTGAATACTTTTAGCATGTTACCGGCGTATGTTGATCAGTATGTTTTAACCATTAGGATCTTGCCGTAGAAACATGTAAAAGACACTAAATCGGCACCCCTCTAAAAAGTGTTGACATCGTCATTAATCAAACAAAACAGAAAAGGCTCCAGTGTTATTAAAATATACTAGCAAAAGGTGTGATTTATATAAGCATTTAGTCAATATAGACAGCTGTTATTTAAACAATGCAAACATGTGTTGTTATTTATTGGGTTTAACAGAAAAAATCAGATGCATCAAACACAATCAAATATTCACTGTGCGACTTCTTTTCCTCCAATGTAAAATGAAAGCTCTTAGGAATATAACAGTATCACTAAGACATCATCGACACTGTTGCGCGCGAGCTAGTTTTACTGTTAGTGCAAAATGCTCAAAAAAGTCCAAAAATATGCCGGTATGATATACCTAAAGGCAAGGCAAAACGCGAATACTGTACTCACACTGAATGGCGAGATTTAGTAAAGGCATGCAATATTGTATCAGGCCTTTTGAAGATATAGTACTATGACCGATCTGGCGCTGCTGGTAGTAGTGGTGTCAATGATGATGAAGAGAAACAGCTAAGATGGCAGCCACAACTATATGATGGCATTTCATGAAGTTATTGCAAGCGTCCGACATGCCATTTACAAGAAAAGATTGTTACATAAGGAGGAAATATATAAATTAAAGTGAATCGTGGAAGAAAAATGTATGTTTATACGATTTTGCAGCTGGCAAACATGATGGAGCACAGTGCAATATTTGAATTCTTGCTCAAATAGCTCATGTTATACTTTAGCGACTGTGATGCGCTGCCCAATGAACTGTCTCTGTGTAACGTAATACATACCAACAAATTGTTCATGATGGCACGCGATCGTCTGAAACAGTATGTAGATGATGATCACTGTGGCGCAGTGTATGTTATTAAAAAAGGTGGAGTCATAAATGTAAGATAGAAACCAGATATATGGTACGTCTGTTAACACGTTTTACTATACCCGATACTACTACTTAAAAATGACTACACCGCTAGTCGATTGTTGGCATAGCAACCATGCCAATAGTAACTCAAAATAATGAGGGGTAACACGTAGTATTCTTTCCTATTTGAGATATATCCTGCGATTTTCTTTTCAAACACTTGATCAATACCTTTGATAAAATACTGCGCCTCACATAATAAAGGAAAAAAGAGATGCATAGCCTCAAAGATGATAATGAGTATCTAACAGCGCTATCTAAACTATTCTCCTGCCTGCAACAACACTCTCCATAATACACTGTTCAGCCACAGCGAGAAATCAACAGAGTCGCAATCTGCTAATTTTTGTGTCACGCTAGATGGTGTATGTGCAAATACGATTCGATCCAGGATGCCAGAAAAGTTCTTTGTGCATGCAAGATCCAGGTATTAGTTAAAAAACAAAATGATTTGGGTCTATATAAATAGCTTGCTGCAATGAATTTACCTCTCAACAAAAGCACAACCGTTTTTTTCTCTCTCTTTTCCTTCTTAATTGTCTAGCTACACCAAACACCATGCGCCATTTTATCCTCGTTTTATTTGCTTTGATCTGCTTGACCCAATGTATTTTTTAGTAGAATCTACTTATGGCATGTTGTGCATGGGGTACTAACGAATGACTTTCTTTTTTTTTAGTTACTTTGGCAGCTAAGGGTGGTGGAGACAGCGGTAGCAGTGATAGCAGCAGTGGTAAGTCCCTCACAGAGGACGGATCGAGCAGAGAATCTTTATATTAGTAGCGTTTAATGAGTTCGAGATAATAATATTGTATGATGCATGTGTAAACAGGTAGTAGCAGCGGTAGCACCGGCGGTGGAAGCAGCAGTAGCGGTGGCGGTGGAAGCTCTAGCCAAAATGCAACAGAAGAGTCCGCGGCAACAGTCATGTATGCTGTTCCCAACACACAGACTTACTTGAACCTGCAAAACGTTCTTATGGCCGCTGGTGTGATGGCACTTGCCCAACATCATTTCACTGGAAATTAAATCTTATTTCAGCCTTTTTACCGTACTATCTATCACCGTATAGTTAGCAAATAAGATAAAGTGAATTTTTACTACTACAATAATTAAATACTTTTACAATTGATTTTTAAGAAAAAAGATTGACAATCATAGTTCTTTTGTATAATTTAGAGCTAGTTTTTGTGTACGTTTTTATTAAATAAGACATGACATTGACGCTACACGTCCTATACTTCTTAACTTCTTAGTTTTGGAAAGAATAGCAACAAGAAAGGTTGTTCAACTGCTTCTTTTTGTTACATATATATTCACAGTAATAGACTTTATGTACTATGGTCCGAGCAGTAAACATTATAAATTCAGCAGTAAAGCGCAACATCACGAACCTCTCAATTTTTAATCTGGCATGGTACAATAATATGTTTGTTGAAGTAGAGTTTGGGTGATCTCTAATGAAGATTTACTCGCTCGCACATCAAATACTGCTAACTACCAACGTGTCTGCCAGCTCTCATATACATTTATAGGGATTCAATCTCAAGGCTGATATATGTGAAGGGATTAGCTACAATAACAGTGTCAACCTCTTCGATTACAAATCCGTAATGCTTTCAACTGCAGCCCGGCAGACAAGCAAAATTGGCAGTGTACCAGTAACTTTTTTCTTCTTAACTCTCGGTCCTCACTACCTTCACACAAATTTGAAAATTGATGCTAGAAACTTAACAAGATATGTATGCTCTACTTATATACAACAAATATTTTCCTCGTACATAATATCGCTATTTCTTCGTTTTTAAATTTTATGCTGTAGCATGATTTGGGATGCTATTCGTACTGCTCATAAACGTTGTTGCTGCTGTCAAAATCGATGCTAAAAACCATGTAAGTAACCATTACGAACCGAGCGTAATCAATACATCATGTGCTCTCTCTTGGAATTGATTCTAATGCGTATCCTGAGATCAGATACTACACTCTGTACTAGCTATATTATGAAACAACTGTATTGATTGAATTCTACCACGGTTCGGACAGTGCGGATCATATCTAGTAAGGTTGCTTTTATTTTTGTGGTCAGAATAATAGCGATTGGTTCAAGGTTACTGTGGATGGTGCCTTTCTTGTCAATGAGTTAGGGCATGTACTTTACATATGGTTATATTTACAGAGACATACTACTGCTATTAATACTGTTGTTCAAGAGAGATACTTGCTGTCACGCAATTGCTGAAGAATTTATACTAGCACTTCCAATGATTTTCTTTGTATAATAGATTTGAGACGCTGAGCTTCACGGCACATTGAGAGGGCTTTCAAACGTCGGCGCTGTTCCCCGAGCAGAAAAGTTGCCAGCTCTGTATCAGCTTGTTTGGTATTATAATTTGGTAACAGCTCGAACGATTGGCTCTAGAATTTGGTGTCTAGATTTGGATACCGATGGATCTCCTTCCGGTGCATCGGCCGACTTTTTTGAAGACTTCAATTTTCTAATGCTATTTTTTGGTCTAATAAAGAAATACCGACCATCCTCCAAAATTAAGACATTTTTGGTAGTTGACGACCAAGAATATAATACCAACGTGGTCATGAAGAGTTGGTGATGGGTAAGGGACCTGATCTAGCTGTCTACCATTATAGAATTTTTCAGGATACGGAACTAGTTTTTCTTGTAATTTGATTGGTGATGAGAATCTTATCAAAAACCGGAGCAGAAAAAATTAACCACTCAGGACCTCAGAATCGCTACTTAGTAGCCCGGTTCTGTGCAGGGTGTGGGAAAGTATTCAAGCAGCTGGCTCGCTCTAATAGACGCGCACTGTTACACACTCGTTCCGTTTACTTTAGACACAAGCAAAGAAGGAAAAATAAAAACCATACAAAAAATTGCTCCGTGAGCTCGGATATGTTTCACAGTCGATGATTCATTTGCAGTAAAGCAAGATAAGGTTTAGTTGCCGATTGCTTAACTCAGATCTGTTCTTTACAAATATGATAGTACAAAGTCAGGGCTCCCCGCAAAAAAAAAAGCCAAGTATATACAAAATGTTTCTGAAATCTCTAGCTATAAACGCAGCATAGCTTTTAAAGGAAAAAAACAAAAAACTGACTTACTGAGTTTTTTTTTATCATTCTGGTACGCGATTTCTTCTCAAAGCAATATTCGAATTGTTTCTTATGGTCTCAAAAAGCGAGAATAACAATATAATTGACCAGGTACTAGCTGTGTGCCCAACTGAACCAACATGAAAAACGTAATATACGTTTTAAAAGTAGTGATGAAATACCAATGCCACATGGCAGATGGTATCGAAAAACCTTATCTATCATCGTGAAAATGTTGTGCCGTCCCTGCCATACGACAAATCAAAAGTCTACGAATAGAAAAAGGTGCCCTTCCCGCTCGGTTGCTAAAAACAGTGTAGGCACACATATACGGCTGCTTTATACCCCAGATACTGAATAAAACTCTTCGCAGAACGGATTTGTCGCTCGTCTTTCTTCCACCACCGTAGTTTTTCTCCTTTTTCAATCTCTTTTTTATCAACTCAATACGAATACTCACTCTCACATTGGTAGCAAAAATCTACTAAGATGACAACTAATTCAGATCACTCCAAAGATGACAATAAACTCACAGTTGTTACATCTACTGCTACACAACAGAGCCATAATTATCAATTGGACCTCGAGAAAGCTGCTCCAACCACATTTGACGATGTAAAGTTATCGCATATCAATCAGCGTGATACTGATAAAGATTCAAAAACCCTTGAAAAAATCTACTCTCGTAAGCATACTTTCGTTTCCCACGATGGAATCTACTCGAAAATACACTACCTCTACTGATAACCCTTTATGGTTCTATTATAAGAAATGGATGTAGGCAGTATCGTTGAGCCACCCACAGATGCTCTCGATGAATTCCCGGAGGGAGGTTATGGCTGGTATGTTGACTTACTACTCGCAATATTTGATGGTCTCTGTTTTTTACAAAGGAGACAGGAAAGCACACTATAGAAGTTTTATTTAACGTCTACTCATTTTTACTACATGGATTATGTTATTGTAGGGCTGTAGTCGCATCATGCTTTCTTGCAAATTTTGTCACGTTCGGTATTGCCAATATTTGGGGCATTTTCTCTCAAGCCTTTGCAACGTCTATCCTGGAAGGCAAAGCAACCACCATCCAGCTCATGACGGTCGGGTCCCTCATCAACGTTTGCCTGAATATATTTTCACCTATCAGCGTCGTGCTTGTTCGGTTTGGCCTAAGATTCAATTACCTTCTAGGTGGTACTCTGATGAGTCTTGGTGTTATTCTCGCAGGGTTCAGTACCGAAGTGTGGCACATCTTCCTAACACAAAGTTTGCTTTACGGATTTGGCGCCTCTTTTCTTTACATGGTAAAGTAGAATACATCACCATATACTACATCTTAGCTGTTTACGTTTATGTTGTACTAAATATGATTTTTCAATTAATACACTTTTTAGTCAAGTTCATCAGCCATTCCTCAATGGTACATAACAACTTTTTTTTAAGTTGAAACGATGATCCGGAGCATCATCATATCATTTGTTTCTTATTGCTTTCTTCTTTTTTTCTGTTATATTCAAAGGTTTAGCAAACGGCGAGCTACAGCCATGGGAATCAGCACAGCTGGGACAGGTCTCGGTGGTCTAGCGATAAGTCCTATGGTAAGACTAACCTCATTTTTCTGGATACGATCTCATTTAGGAAGAGTCAGCTTACTGATGTGTTTGTATCGTTCTTGCTATACAGGCAAATGCTTTAATCCATAAATATGGCATAGCATGGGCATATCGCATTATAGGATTTTTCTGTTTAGGAGTTTGCATTTTGGGAGCAGCTCTGATAAAGGATCGTCTTCCAAGCTCGTACAGAAAAAACTTACCTATCAAATCACCTATCCAGTTATCCATGTTCAAAATTAAAAATTTTAACATTTGGCTTGTTGGCTCGGTCGTGGGCCTCATGGGTTATTTAGCACCTGTATTCTATTTTCCAAGTAAGTAGAAAATCAGGTTATTCGCCATAATTACCACGCCCAAAGCCCATCCCACCCCCTTATAATGGAAAAAGAGTACTTTCACTTATAAATCAATCATTGATGAAATGCTATATGAACACATAGAGTACGCAGCCGACATTGGGATTGGCACAACAGATGCTTCTAATCTACTCTCTATTCTGCTAGCCATGAGTGCCGTTAGCCGTATAGTACTCGGCTTTGTTGCAGACAGAATCGGCCGACTCAATATGTACATCATCACTTTGTTTCTTTCCAGCATATTTTCTTTTTGCATATGGCCTTTTGCTAAATCATACACAATCCTCTTGGTCTTTTGTATCCTCTGGGGCTGGACAAGTGGACAGTACTATGCATTGGTATGATGCTCTTCTTTATTATTCCCGATTGGAGTGTTTGATATAGGTGATTGATTATAGCTGTGTATATGTTGTGTGATTATAGGCAGCACCTATTACAGCGAGCGTCGTCGGCATGGAGAAACTTTCTTCAGGTCTTTCCATTGCTTATATTTGCAGCTCAATTTCAGCCATGGGAACGCCGATCTCAGCAGCTATTCAACAAGCAACACCCAATAATGGATACCTCGGAATACAAATGTTTGATGGGGCAGTCTACGCATGTGGCGCATTTATATGCCTTTATCTCAAGTATCGCCTGACAAACTCGTTATTTAAGAAATTTTGATGAACGACGGCTTTGGCTACGGAGCGAATTTAAATCTAGTCATCAATCTGCAATACTCCCAGGAAACATTCTTTTTCTCGCATCAAACCGTCTTCTACACCGCATCAACTGCCGTTTATAACTCCTTTTAATTATATAACTTATTTATCATATTTTACTGATAAAAATCAATAAATAATGATATCATCAATTGAACGATGTTCTTGTTGAAACATTTGCTCGTACTCATCTTAAAACAAACTGTTGCCAAAACGTTCCAAGAAACAGAGTTTGAGTCCTACTTGTTATATAAAGACACTTGGAACGTTGGCAGCATATTCTAATGTTCAGCCGTTTTTCCTCCCTACTATAGGAATATTAAGTCTATTGCGCCTTATATAAGCTTGTCACAGGTCAGGTAAAAGCGGCGGTCAAGAAAACATGAGCGAAATGCGATCGGCTGTCATGTTAGTATGTCAATTGGAGGTTGGAGAGAGGGAAGGAAGCACACACACCGCAAGCCGTAGCGATCTGGTTACTAGGCCACCATGCTTTGGCGACTGGCTACTATGGTTATGAATGTCATTCGTGATAGGTCTCATGGCAACCATGATGTTCTTGGCAGGGTTTGGAGACAGGTTGTGGATGCAACAAAGCGTTTAATTTCCTAAGGTTAGCAAACAACTAGTAGCAGTAGCAGTAGTATAAATCGACTTCAACATTGAAGTTAACATGTGGCTCCTTTTTTTTGCTAACAAAGAATCAATGATAAAAATTAAATGATGCTATTGAATGATTGATAGAAGTTATGGAAAGAAGTAACATAAAACAAACAAAGGAAAAGAATAACAATTCCTTGTTATCACAATGGGTAGCATGATAAGTGTTCGTTCATTTTAAAAGATTCCTCTTTCTCTCTCTTTCTCTCTTTCTCTCTCTTTTCAGGTTGAGAATTATATCTTCGGAAAGACCTTACCCAAAAAGACGCAGATATGGTAAATACAGAAAACTACGTTATTCTATCGAGCAGCAAACTAAAAAAAATCGCCATTATGCGAAAAAATAAAGACTGGATACGAGTTCAACGACAACGAGATCGCCAAGCTCAAATCGGTTTTTGATATTATGGCCGAAGGGCAAAGCTCACTCGCTGTCGCCACATTACGGGGGATTTTCAACAAGGCTCAGGTTGGCGCTTCTGAGCAACAATTGAACGAACAAGTGAGTTACCAAGGACATATTATACTAAAGTTATTCAACAAAGGGGGTTTTGAATAGAGGAAAGGACGACAATGCAGATCATGATCCTTGTTAATCAGATACGGTGATTTCTTTTCTTTATATGTAGCTGAGCAAGGTTAGAGATCCAATGCGGTTCGACGACTTTTTGCAAATCATGGAACGGGTAAAGTATATCGACTTATATGATGGTAATCGAAAAGTGTTGTTTTCTCATATCGGATGTGGCAGCAACGAGCACAATGTCCCGAGGAAGGCTTGAGAAAAGTCTTTGAGCTGCTGGATAAGGACAAGAAGGGCGTAATTAATGCAGAGGATTTGAGACAGGGACTCTTGGACTTTGGTAAGTACGCTTTTTCGCTCTCTTCTTTCTCCTTTAATTTATTTGCGCCTTCGTTCCATCCTCCCCTTTATCAAGTTTGTCCCCAACCCGCGCGCATAAAGTTTCTGAAATCGATCATCCTGCCTGATCGTTCTTTTTTTTTCTTTTCACCCACGTAAATGCATAACATATCGATTAAACTTTTTTTATTGTCTGCTACTACTTTTGTAAATGCAGGTGAGACTGTGACAGAAGACGAGTTACAGCGCATGATGCGATCGGCCGATGTGGACGGTGATGGGATGATTAACTTTGAGGAGTTCGTCAAGATTATGGTAGGTGTATTGAATTATGAATTTATCGTCCGGACGACAAACTAGGGAGATAGATCTACTCAGTGCTGACTCAACTGATCACGCTTACTGTCGCATTTGGCTACTATTAGACACCGTCTAGGGTGAATGGTCAAAAGTAAATAATATATATATATATATATATCATATGAGTATATATAACACTCGAGCATATATGCTGTGCGTTTTAAAATGTGTGTGTGACCCTGCTTTGGAATGCTTTTTTCTTTTGATATCGACGGGAGGCAATTATGTTGCATATCGTATGTACGACAAGGGGGAGTGATTAAAGTCACGATAGATATACTTTCGATCGATATAATAAAAAAAACTAGCATTGCATATACATATAGTCGAGTTTAATAAGATTTGAATGGAGATGAGCTTAAAAAAGAAAATCCCAAAAAGAAAAAAAAACAAAACAAAACAATATAAGAATAAAAGAAGATAAAACACTAACAAAGTTTTCTGCTGATATAAGAAGAAAAAAAGTACATTTCATAAAGAAAAAGAAAGGGTATGTGTTTCGGTGATTTGGGTGGGTCGGTGGAGGGGGAGACGGGGAGTGAGAGTGTGAGTAAATTGCGAAGGAATTTATTACAGCAGGAGAAGTGACCTTTTCGTGTGTGTGTGCGAGTGTGTTGTTGTGGCTATGAGTTTTATGAGTTGTGTGCTTGCAAAGATAACAAGATGGTTTTTTTTTAGAAAGAAAAGAAGGCAGATGTTTTTTTTTCTTTTGTAATTTCGGATGTGTGCGTGTGTGTGTTTAGTGTTTTTCTTTTGGTGAAAGGAGATAGTAGAAAGAATTATGGATTTGCTACACCACTGCCTGCCGAGTTGGCATGTCTGTTTGGTCCATCGCCCTGCTGATGGTAGAGATGATACCCCGAGAGATTGCCCGTAGTAGCAGTGGCAGTGGTAGAAGTCGTGCTGTTGCCACCACCACTACCTGGATAATTCGACACCAATCCGCCTATGGGAGGCGACGCAACATCATTTGATGGAGGAGGGCCACGATAGTCAAAGTTGTACATGTCATTCCCTGCTGGTGGTGGTCCATTGGCAGCGTTGTTGTTGTTGTTGGTGTTACTCAAGATCGACGATGATGAAGACGACGAGGTTGCATTGTTGTTTGCTGTCGAATGGTATTCTCCGACAGGTCGAAGTCCTTCATGCACAATTTATGCATTAGTCTCTTTTTTGTCGACCGTTGTTACACATATCATGAAGGGCAAGAGAGTTCTGTAAAGTTACCTTGTGGAGGTTGGAATGCATGTGGTGAAGACATCTGCTGTGATGATAACGAGGGTGGAGACGATGGATGATGTTGATGATGACTCAACGGCGCTTGTCTAAACGCACCGCCGCCACCACCACCACCGGTGATTCCGGAAGCAGTAGAAAACCCACTGTCTATGCGGCTTCCTGCAGTGCTAGTCGTTGGCGCTGCAGGAGATAGGCCAGTCATGCTTGCAGCAGCAGCTGCAGCTGCAGCACCGTGATTATGATGGGTATGATGTATCGGCGATGCATACAGGTAGTTGCTTGGATTGTCCACAAAGAGAGGATGCAAAATGTCCACAATCTTGTATTGTGAAGCGAGCGCCTTGGCTCGAGCGAACGTGATCCTATGTAGTATAAGACATATCACACAAACGGGGATTTTTTTAATATAGCGTACTAGCTAGAGAGAGAGAGAGAGAGAGAGAGAGAGAGAGAGAGAGAGAGTGTGTGTGTGTGTGTGTGTGCGTTATACTAATATGCAAAAGAAGGCTACTACTTACCACACGCCCTTGAGATGCATCGCTCCAACCTTGACCACTACACGGCCTTTTTCATTCTTTAAAATGCCATCGCGTTTACCTCGCGACATGCCGGCAACATTGAGTAATTTCGTTCCATTAATCATATCATTGTCTAAAGTTCAAGAAAGTTCAAAAGAGCTTGAGTTTAAACCTCTCTACACAGGGTAACCATTCCTCGAAACATCCTCCCCACACTATACACTCGATACAAAAATGGAAGAAAGAGAGACTTACCGTGTCGTCTAGCCACACAAATACCATTTGCATCGACCTGGTAGCAAATTGTGCCTTCATCTTCCCAAAGGGTCGTGGTCAGTTTGGGACGTGGTATGATGGGTGGCCGTGGTGAAGAATGTACGGCAAAACTAGGTAAACCGGCTGGACCGTATGGATAACTGCTACCAGTGCTACTGGGGTATCCGAGACTACTTGCCGAATGGCGTCTATTGCCTGCGTAAGGATGATAGAGGTGCTGACGACCGTCATTGGTGTTGGCGGTAGTGGCAGTATGATGGCTATGGTTATACATGCCTCCTCCACCTCCACCTGCCGCTATGCTGTTCATACCACCGCCACTGGTTGCAGAAGCAGGAGTAGTCGTGCTGCTGGCTGATGCAGGAGGTGGTACAGGTGTCGACGGCGGTGGAGCTGCAAAATAACTGCTGTTGCTGCTGCTGCTGTTATTATTACTATTATTAATATTATTGCTGCTTGCGCCATTGCTATTGTTGTTCGTATTCGCGCTAGAAGGGTACCCGAGTGCAGGCACGCCTGAGGGTGTGGGTAAGCTAGTCGGTAAATGGTCGGTAGAGTCATCATGATTGTGGCTGTTGTTGTTGTTGTGGTGCGGATGGTGGTGATTGCTGTTGTTACTGCTGTAGTCGCGGAAAGACGAGTCGTGCTGCTGCCATGAAGTACGGTTTACAGATGTCTCGTAATGGTTGTCGCTGCGTTCGTGAAGAAGACCCGGGAAGGTTCTGGGAGGTGGCGGTGCTCCTGGTACTCCTACCGCTGCTGCTGCCGCCGCCGCTGCTGCTGCTCCGTGAGCGGTGGGTTCATTGTTATTGTTATTGTTGCCAATGGAGTAGCCACCGCTTCCTTGGCTATTACCCGGGTACTTTTGATAATAGGAAGGTGGCATGGATGCAGGTCTTGCTAGCGGATGGTGCTGGTGAGTCAGGTGCTCGTGCGAGGGCTTAGCGCTCATGTTTGTTACCGATGCAGCCGATGGTAAGGTTGTCGGCGTACTGTTAGCACTGCTGTTGCTGTACGGGTATGTGGGTGTTTGCGGTGAGGTATATGTCGAATGCTGATACATTGATCTGTGTGTGTATGTGTGTTTTTAAAATAAATAAGAGAGGTGCTCTGCTGCTGCTGTTGTCGTTGTTGTGCGCGTGTTGTCACTGCTGATGCTTGCTGTCGTTGATTGACTTGCAGAGTTATAAAAAGAGAATCAAAGTAACTCTTTTCGAAGATGCTTTATATGTGCCACCTAGAATAGTCGCAGAGAACGTGGTTGGATGATATGCCAGGGGAAAATAACAAATCGAACCAAGAGGTTAGTGGCTAATAGAGAAGAGTATGTGTGGTACAACGGAAAAGAAAAAAAAAAGAGAGAAGGGGAGAGAGAGAGAGAAAGAAATAAAAAAGAGGTGATCCCAAACTAAGGAACAAGATATCGAGGGTATAAATAAGAAAGGGGGGGAGGGAGGATGTGAGGGGGAGCAGCGAGGGTGCAGAGAGCAAGATATATAGCCTGAATGTGAGAGAGACAGAGAGAGAGAGAGGACGTATGTGTGATGCGGCGGCCATATTATATGTACATATTATTTGCCACACATCACATACACATATCACATACAGCAGCAGCACACGCGCACACACACACACACACACACATACGCACGCATACGCACGCCTTCATGTCTTCCCAGCCCCTCACAGAACAAAGCCCAAGAAAGGGAAGGGTTCCCCATCTTAAGAAATAGAAAATGCATAGTCGAGAAGAAAATGAATCAGACTACTTACAAAAGAAACTTGGTAAAAAAGAGGGATTGTTGGCTTAAGGGTGTGTGCTGCTTTGGATGATGATCGGTTACTCTGAAACGTCGCTTGTTCTGTTGCCGATGCTGCTGCTCCAAGAAGAAGTGTATATGTGCAATGAGCGAGTGGGAAAGAGACGTTAGAAAAAAAAGTGAACAGTTCGGGAAGTTGAAAGAAGAAGAACAAGAAAAGAAAGAGAAGAAAGGTTTAGCAATGGGAAGATATATGAATGGCAGGACCCGCAAGAGAGACTGTGTGTGTGATGCGCCTGTGTTATGTGTGAGTGTAAAAAAAGAAGGAGGGGCTGGCGGGAAAATAAGACATGTATGTATGTGTGTGGACGCCTAAAGGGAACTCTCACACACACAAGAATCAAAACCATGTAGAATGAGTTTGCGGTGGTGGTGGGTGGATGAATGGATGGCTCGATGTGTGTAAATGATATGCGATGATAGGTTTTATGAAGTTCTCACTTGGTTTGCCCGAAGGAGGAGGAGGAGGTGGGGAGTGGAAGGTAAGATTAACTTGTTTCCGAGCAAACACTGTGCATGTATCTTGCAAAAGCAAAAAAAAAGGGCAGGGTAAAAGGGCAGGGGTGGGGGAGAACCCGGAATCGACAGAAAGGGAGCCGAACTTACCTGCTTGAGCGGGTTGAGTGGGTGGTTCAGGCCGGTGAGATCAAAACGCGAGGGTCAACACAGGGTAAGTAATAAGGAGAAGCTAGAAGAAACACAGCGCAAATGGTAATAATAACAGTAGTAGTAGTAGTAGTAGTAGTAGTAGTAGTAGTAGTAGTAGTAGCAACGGTTGATGGAAAAGAAAGAAAGAGAGAAAAGAAAGGAACAGATTAGACCAATGACTCTTATCATGCTGATATGATGATGATGATGATGATGTTATTAATGATGATGACGGTGCTGGTGATACAACAGCAACTCAACTCTGTTGCTACATAGCAGCAGCAGCAGCAACAATAATCAAATATGAAGACTGACCGACTGATTAGCTCTCTGCATCAGCGCTTGGTTGAAATGATGACGAAGTAGAGAGCAGACTGGGAGGGAAACAGGCACCTTCGTTTCACCCTCCCCCCCCCGGATAGTTTGTTAAGCACACACAACATCCTTTCTCCCTCCTTTCTCAGAAACGTAAAGAGCTTGGCTTAGAGTCTTCTCGACTCCCACACAAACACAGCACAGCACACACTTTTCTTTTCTTTGCAGGGGAAAAAGAAGGGTCGAGGAGTGAAAGTGGAAGAGAGCGAGAGAGGACGAGGAGGTTTATAGAGGGAAAGTGGGGAGAGGGGGGAAGTGCGCATACTGGGGGGCGAAAGAAAGTGCTTCTATATAGCAAAAAAAAAGAGAAAAAGAGAGAAAGGAGTGCATATGACATGGAGCCAATTTTCAATCACTTTCTAATCTAGTATGATGATATGTAGGTGTAGGTGCGGTGGATCCTTTATAACTGACTCTTTGACGGAAATGAAATGACTCCGGAACCACTAAGAAAGATTCGAGCAGCAGTCATGCACGAATGTGCACCGTGTGTACAACCGAATGTAATGTATGCACATGTAATTGTTATAGGCCACATTGCCTGTGTGTTTATGATGGCCATTCAACTCTGGATTACTTTTTGCATTTACAAACATAGTATCATAGTGGTACATAGCTGGTACTCCCATGAACAAAAAAAAAAGGGTTTCTAATTTACGATAGCACTACTGCTACTGCTACTACTGCTATCCATACAATGTATATGCTACTTTGTTCTTACTGTAAAAAGATTCATCGACACCTCTCATTTAGAGAGAACGAAAAGAAGCAGCCCCCTTCTTTATTATCCCTCTATGTATGCGTTCCCGATCTGCTGCTGCTGCTGCTGCTACCGTCGCTCCCCTCTCCCCAAAGATGCTCCTTTCTAAACGCAGGTAGCTGTAAGTGCAATAATGGATAATGAAAGAACAATATGAATTTGCCGGGTTGAGGACCAGAAATAAGGGATCATCACATACACTCTCTGTAATAATATACGGTAAAACAGTTGAAACGTATAGTGTTTGTATGTTTTATTCTACATATGCAGGGATCGCTCCTCTCTTTCTATCAATCATTTTACAAAGCATGGAAGATCTAATGATGATGGCAAGGTCCTACCATACGACTTGTACGATGCGTCAATATTGCTGTTTTTGCGAATAGAAATAGTTGCAGTGATTCACCTCAAATTATCGATCGCTATCGTCATTATCAAAATAGCGTGGTGATGGTCACGTTGTCGCCGGCACTACTGTTGTTTTGTGTGTATGATATACACAACAACAGCAACCAACACATGTTGTCGCTGGTCAGTGCTGCTCCATCCGACTAATAACCTAACTTTCTAGTTTATTGAATTCTTCACTTGCTTGCTGTTTTGCAATGATACCCACTACTACCGAGCATTTAATATATAGCCCCGACTACATACTAGCATAATAGTAGAAATTAAATAGTGCGAGTAAAAGTATTCAGTCAGGGACCTGTCCCTCGCTATATGTCTCCCAACAAGAAGAACAATTAAAAACATGGGGGTGGAATACTCTCTTGATTATGAGTAAGGGGTTTTCCCTATTCTCAAGATGAAGATAGAAAAAGGGCTGAGGACAGGAGGAGAGATGTGTTTCTGGTTTCTCAGGGTTACTTGCTACCACCACCACGATTACATTGCATCGAAAAATACCGGTACCGCTTAGTTGTGCTGCTGTTACTGCTGCTATTGCTACTGCCGCTCTTTCCATTACGTTCAAGTGTAACAAGATAGGATGTCCTGTATATACTTTTGCCTTGCCAAGATCTCTGACGATCATTGTTTGTTTCCTCGCGCTACATACATGTACATTAGACATACATGCACACATGTTATACAGTTTACGTATGTATCTCATCCAAGTCAGTTCCCACATTCGAAGAAAAAATGGCGCGTTCCATTTTCATTTCAAAAAAGAGGTTCTTTTTCTTTGAACCCAAACCTTTTTTTTTTGCCGAGGGTGGTGGTGGTAATTACGTTGGTGTTGATTCATAACAAACGTTTCAATCCCCTCCCTCAAACAACAAAAGATAACTGATGCATTAACATATTACATTACACATCGGCTAGAAAAGCAACCAACAACATCTGCTTTATTTCGTATTAAAAGGCCGTGCGAAGACCATCCTATTTCTGTTGTCCTTGTGACGACGACGAATAGGATAGTATTGTGTAAACCTTAATGAGACCCGCGCGCTGTTGTTATCATACAAGTCAACAAGAAGGCGGATGCGGCTGTTGCATCGGCAATGATGACACCATACACTGTTGTATAAGTCCTGTAATCAACGAATGATGTTATGACAATCCTATCTATTACCCATGATTCGGCTTTCTATCGTTGTTATTAGTATTATAAACTGACGGGTTTTCGGTTTAGAAATAAAAAGAGTAAAGTTTTACGCCGATCCCCAAGTGCATGCAAGATTTTACTTTTTATCAACCTGCATGATCACCACCCACTGTTCATGCATGAACAATAAGGTTCAAATAGTGGCGGAGTGTATGTGCTGCTGCTGGACTGGCACATACATACATACAAACGTACATGGCACACATATGCAGTGTGTAGATATATTATCCAAGACAAGTAAGGGGTCAAGAAGAAGAAGAGGAGGAGGAGTAAAAAAAAACGCTGGGAGGAATGGGAAAAGAAGTGGGTATGTAGAAGAATAAGAAAGGGTCGTTGAGGAAGAAATGAAAGAAAGGACAGTGGTTCCTCTAAATAGGAGCTCTTCCGAACATTACCAGTAAGTACCAGAATAGTCTCAAGTCCGTGTTGGCGAAGATACGGGTACACCGACATAGTAAGGCCTTTGATAAAATTAAGAGAAAAAAAGAGCTAGAGCATATGTGCCAGGGACTCTATAGGTACTTAGCAACAAAAGGCAGATGTAGGTACTGAAAAAGAAAACCTGTTCTTTCTTGCAACCTCCTCCCTACTACTATTAATTCTGCTTCCCGAGGAGGACTGAAGGGAAAGGAAGGAGGAAAGGGGATAAGGTGAGAGACATAACTCTTCAAATGCATGAATGCCGCAACCCAAACCTGCAGAAACACTAACAAGCCCTGAAAAGAAGAGGACTAATTCCTCCCGCAATTTTTTTTTTCATTGATCGGCTAGTACATAGCAGCAGCAGACTCACAGGGGCCCAGCAGAGGATATCCAGGGCTGTTATTTTTTTTACGGTGTACCATGTAAGGATGATGTATGTATGCGTGTACGTGTGTGTAATAAGCTTTCAAGCCCTAGGGTGCTATATGTCTCTCATCATGTGAAGACACATTTCATTAGTGTGATATGTGTGCCCCGTAATTGTCTGTGTTATCGTGCACCGGCATGGGCAAATAAATATACATTATGAAGAAATGTACCGTTCCGCGGGACAAGCTATTTGCCGATGGACGATCACTAATATATTGCTAATATGTATCATAGTAGTATTGACGAGACGGAAGCAATTGCCTACTCCGCGGGGAAGAGACAGCGAGCGCAATTTTTTTTTCTACTGCGCCCTCTTGTGGTTTTCGCCGTAGGCACATGAGAAAGGCGTGAAAATCATATTCTGGGCAAAAAAAAAAATTGTTTGGCTGAGTGAGTCGGAGGTTTTCTTTTAATAATTGGATCGCCGTCCTTACAATCTACTCTTTGTTACTCCTTTTGTAATTTTAAAGATAGCTATTTAGATAGCTAATAACAACAGCAGGTAGTTGATATTCGATAGGACTATTGCAGGTTATCGTCTGTCAACATAGTAGGTGTCTTATCTCCACTCTTTTGTTTATCTTTTGTGCATGGGTAAAAGCTGTCAACCGCTATTGTTTGCTGCTGATGTTGTTATGAAACCTATCATCCAGATCCAGAATCTTTTTTTTCTTGTGTATCTCCCAAATGGAGTTCGATTCCGAGTGCAGTCCGGACATCAAACCAAGTCCCACGGTTCCGTGGAGAGAGACGGCGGAATGCACGGACTCTTTTTTTTTTAAATCTCAAAGCAACCCACATGTGCACAATTAACACGGGCATGCAATATGTATCAGATATAATGATCGCTTTTTGTGGCAGTTGTACTGTATGTTTATTCAATAATAATTCTCTATAACTATTCTATACGAGTCTATGATATAGATATATAAGAATGATTGGGGAGACAAATGAGGATGGTTTATGAACATAATGAGGAGAATTATATGAAAGAAGTATGCATGAAATGATGGGATGAGCAGAATGTGTTTAGAATGCTGGTAGTGGTGGCAGTAGTAGTAGTAGTAGTTGTAGTAGTAAGTAGTGGAGGATGATAAGAGAAGTGTTCGTTTTTCAAGAAAGATAGGGATGTCGTCGTCATGTGAGGTATATGCTTGGGATCTTTGCGCTTGTACGAGAGGAAACAAAAACCAGATCTTGGGTGGGTCAATTACTTGGACTTGTTGTAGTAGAATACATCATTCTTGCATTCCTGTGCATAGGTGTAAGCCATGGCACCTGCAGCAGTGGAGAGGGCCAACTTCTTGCCAACCTGGGTAGCAGTAGCACCGGCAGCGAAACGAACAATACGGCTGTACATGGTTGTATTTGGATGTGGAGACGAGTAAGAGAGTAAGAGAGAGAGATAAGAGCTCTTGTTGTGGTTGTAATGGATGAAGAACGAAAAAAAAAGTAGATTTTGGCCCGCCTATTTATATGCTGAAGAACTACTATCAAGATGGAGCTCTGGGAAAGCGCGGGTATTTCCAGTCCAGGGGATCAACGAAAGGACACAGCAGGATGGGCTCCGCGGAAAGAAGCAGAGGCCGCGCACGTTTGCCCCCAAGGTGACTCACGATACAAAGTTAGGCCCGCCGGTTAAGCCAAAAATAGGTGCTCTTCAGTGTCTGATTGGAGGGATTTTGGAGTGGATTAGTGGAGACGCATCCGATTTGGTAATTCGCCCGACGAAACCTTTTAACCCAGTCCCAACTTTTTTTTGGCTGCTCGGTCATTTTATTTTGACAGCAGCAACTTTGTGGAAGAGTGGGGAACATGGACATCTGGGTAATTCTTACCCTGGATTTTCCCGCAGACATGCCGTACTGATTGGTACATCAAGTGGAAGATTAAAGTTGGAAAAAAAATGGCCTATCATCAGTAGATCAGTAGTGCCTAGTGAGATACTAGTTGTGTGTTAGTGCATCTAAAATATTAGCTCTGACTGTGTGTACGAGACAAGGAGTAAAACATATCGTTTATTAGTAATAAGATCAGTGGTTAGCGGGCTTTAGTGCTTTTAAGTAAGCATGTATCATACACAGTAGACAACAACAACAACAAACAGCAAGACAACAAAACGACAGCCTCGTTGACGATAACTCAAGAACAGCCCCTTAATTTCTTGGCTTTCGGCCAATTATGCTTGTTTAAGGTACCCATGATCAGATTCCTACATTTAAACAGATACTGCATGCTCGTCTCTTTTCAGCGTCTTTCTTTTCCCTTCTTTTACACTTCTTGCAACCAACAGCAGCAAACCAATCATCATGTATCTTTTTTCCAGCGGACCAGCAAATCCCGTTCGATCCTTCAACCTGAGTGTGATACCCAGTGGCCAAGACCGCGTTGTGGCTTTCGGCCCTGGATCGGTGCTGAATGGTACATTCTCTGTTTTAGGCAATAGCACCGATAGGAACAATTGTTAATAATAAAGTCTCAACTATCCAGGGTCCGTCGTACTCAACTTGGATAAGCCCGTGAAAGCACACAGCATCCGCGTGGCTTTCAAATGCGAGCAATTTGATGAATCAAGCAGCAAGACGACCATTTTCAACGTAGAAACACATGTTTGGGACCATTCACAATCAGGTAAACAAGAGCCCTCATTTTGTCGCATTAAGGATGGATTACCCCTGGAAAGAGAAAAAATTCTCTTTCCCTCCAACTCCACTCATTCAACACCCACCCACCCCCCTTTTTTTAAACTTATGTGCCGGGGTCAATCCGTATGAGCAGAAGGAGTCAATGAGCTATCTGATGGCAGCCATATGTACTTGTTTGCCATCAAATTGCCATTTGTCAACTTTCCACCCTCGATCCATGGAAGCTATGTCAATCATCATATCGAATACAGCTTGCAAGGTTTCTTGGAATTGGAGGATACGCCCGACTGCATTGAAACTGCATGTGTGCCAGTTATTTACCTCCCATTCGTCACGTGTATGCCCATGGATGGCGACGTACCTAGAGCGGGCGCCAAGAAAAACCAGGTTTTCCGGCGCAACAATGCGGTTGTTGAAGTGACAGCCGAGCTAATCAAACCGGCTTATTGCCCTGGTAAGAAGCACATTCTATTAGATCGTGGCACCTACTGCACATATAATCAACGTTAGAAAACGTAATATGTAGAGATTATAAGCTAATCAATTTCCTTCTGCGTCCCCCTCCCCCGAAACATACATGATATGCATCTATCAGGCGATTTATGCACGGTCAAGCTTATCACGACCAACCAGTCTGACTGTAAAATTAGCCACATGGACGTCTCACTCGTATGCAACGTCAACGGACAACGACATCATACCCTGCAAACAGAAACATTCTTTGTCGCAATTCCAAAAGAGACAAAGGATCATCAATCTGTGTTCCGCTTCAATATGCCGGATGATTTGGTGCCTTCCACGCAACATCCCGGGTTGGATATCAACTATGATGTCGTCGTCACCATGCCAATCGGCGGTTCCGCTGGAACACTCGTGGGCGCCGATCCTACTGCATCATCTGCCGGTGATGCTGCTAATGCCAATAACACTTCCACCGGCGGCAATAGCGTATGGAACTTATTTGGCGCAGCTGCGTCTCATCCATTCAACAACACGGTTGCATTGCCAGTTTTGATTGCTACCGTGCCTAACGGCTTTGCAATTCCGCCACAATTGAGTAAGCCGCTCAAGACATACAACGAGCAACCCGAAGATCCATCGTTCATCCCCAATATCGAATCGCCGTTACCAAGTCCTTCAGCGGCCATGTTTTCGCCCGTCGGCAGCTGGGCTGGTAGTCCTGCAGCTTTGTCGCCATCCAACTCGCTTCAGGATCCAGAGTTTGAGTTGGCTATGCAGCAAGACGCTTCTGGTCATTTGATGGTTCCGTCCTCTCCTCGTCTAGATAGCTCACGATCAAACGACCGACGCAAATCCACTGGATCTGAGCACTCGGGTTTGGGTGTGACGGTTACAGTCCAGTAACGAAAAAGAGAGAAGCGGTTGCATGCATACAACATACACACATTTTACAGTACACACACGTATATATAACATAGGTTTCTTCTTTTCTTTTACTACATACAATGCTATATCTTTTTGTTTTTTACCACTTGTTGTTGTTGTTGCTGTTGTCCCCTACTTTGCCAAGGTTATAATTTCCTTCTGTCAATCCTACCTACAACACAATTAAAGTTTCATGAATATCTGTTTTTCTAATATATCCCTTAAACCAAGTTTATTATTGTTCCTCTACAGGCCACCATTCTGGCAAGAAGGGCCGAACGCGAACATTGGTTTCTGGAACTTCAAACACAATATCTTGTCCTGTTACACATTTTTCCACTTGTTCTAATCGCATGAGCGCCAGTCCAATATTATGAATGCCAGAACACATTTTGCCCACGCCACGCTTGCTTTTGGAATTACTGAGCTTGACATCCATTTGAGGCTGAATCTCGTTTGGATACGTTGTCCCCCGGTCTACGCTCAACGTAGTTGGGGCGCTGTCAAAAGAGAGAAAGAAAATTTAAAATGTGGCATATCTACAATTCTCCATTTTATAGGAAATACTAAAGATCTATTGTATCATACCTTTCATCCTTAGCGTACAATTGAACTGGCATAATTCGCTTGCGAACAACGCCGGTGTGATATGTACGGATCGTCAGTTCTTGACCAACGTAGCATCCCTTTCTAAAGTCAACTGGTAGAAGGCACATCTCTTAGATTCTATCTCTGTTCATATCGCGACGAATCCTTTCCATTTGCAAATCCACTGGAAAAGGAGAATAACTATAAAAGACTTACCTCCGTTCATATAATCAAAGTTGGATTCCAAGGGCAAAGACTGTTCGGGCCACATATCAGCAACACCTTCCGGAATGCCATTCAATATCCGGCGAATCGTATATTCCTCTGACGACAATTCCTTGAAATCGCCCACAGACGAGAGTATATTTTGTATGTCTAACCATCAATTCATTGCGGGGAAAAGAAGGAAGATAAACAATAAATAAGCTTGTGCATGTGTGTGTGTCACATACAACAACAACAACAACAGCCATAAAGAATTAAGCACAAGTAACTCAAATTAAAATTATACCTTCACTTCGTGGCACAATGGCACGATAGCCAAATCCGGGTACTCGGGGATCAGTACATCCGATATCCGAAAGTCGTTTGCCCTTCTTGACCAAACTACCAGCGGGTACCTTGTTTTCTTCTTCTTGGGCATGCTGATATGTATTGCCCCAGACACTCCATGCACCGAACTCGTCTGACACGTCTCGCAATTTGACTTTGGATCGTAAAATGTATCGTTTCAAGTGCTTGAACATGTGTTGTGTGGCAGTTGCTGGCAGTTCCATCATGAATTTCGGATGAGGGAAGTTGACACCGGCATTGACAGGATAGATGAATGCGTCGTATAACATACGTCCCTGTTTAAAACAGGATCATGGATTAATACCACTTATTATGTTATTGATAGTTCGGGAAAAAGAGAGCCCTGTGGGATGTAAAGCTTTATATTACTAGTAAACATGTATACAATACCTGAGGCGTCAAAAAACCAGTATAGAATCCATCACCTCCTGCCGCAATCAACGGCATATGGTTAGTAATAAGACCTTGAAGAAACTTTGCAGTGTCAGGCCCCTCAATTTCAATCAAACCGCGATCAGGAATGGGAGCAAAATGTTCGCCTTGGTGTAAACTGTCTTTTTCCTCGAGCTTTGTTACAGTCGTAGATCCGAAGGCGTGTCGACATTGTACTATATGTGTATAAGCCAGAATTACCTTTAGGCTCCCCGAACTCCTATTTTCCATTCTGCATATTCTTCTGGGTACAGGTTTTTTTTCTGGTAATAGCCATTTACCCTGTGCAGGAGCCACTCGAGCGATCTGCAAACACCTCGTCGTTGTACGTGCAAACATTGAAAAAGCAGGGTAACAAGCGAAACCGTCTTTTATTCGCTCACTCCGATGGACCGCGCAGGATACCGCTCTGTCTGGCTCGACACTGCGGACTCATAAAATCTTCGTCACAACAACAAAGGGCTTTTTTTTTCCAAACAACAATTAGCAAATATGCATCACGGCAAGCATTTTCGTCGATTGAACCGAACCTCTGCACATCGTAATGCCTTGCTACGCAATCTTGTTTCGTCGTTAATTGAACACGGTCGCATCGAAACCACGATCGCAAAGGCTAAGGAACTCAAGCCAATCGCCGATCAAATGGTGACCTTGGGCAAAAAGGGCGATGTCAACGCCAGAAAGCAGGCCTTGAGCTACCTTAACGTAATTTTCTTCTCCTTTTTCCTCTTTTTCTTCTGCTGCATTATGAGGGATAAAAAAGGACGGTTGATGTAGTGTGCACCTATTAAACGTATTGTATTTACCCATTCATAGAGCCGGGATATCACTATGCCAAAACTTTTTGACGAGCTTGCCCCACGTTTCGCTAATCGACAGGGAGGATATACCCGCATACAACGTGTCGGCAACCGTTATGGTGATAATGCACCCATGGCCGTGATCGAATATATTGACGGTCCTTCGGATCTCAAGCGCGAATTGACAACAAAGACACTGGCAAACATTTTTGCAAAGAACGGTCAGGAGCAGGTTTCGGTCAAGGATTTGGCAAACAACACGGATCTTCCCAAGTCGCTTGTCCGTAACCTGAAGAAGCTTCAATTCGCCAACAGCATAGAAGCTATGGACGAGGCAGTGAGCAAGGAAATGGCCTCTCGTTCCTCTTCATCCGCATAAACAAAGCAAAAAACAAGTTGTACATATCTTTTCTCTCGCTCTCTCTTAAACTCTCCCTCGACCTTATTTTTCTTCATTATTTTCCTACATCTCACTTCCTCGTTGATAGAATTCCAAAAAAAGCATTATCAATTTTGCTGATTGATCGTTGTCAAAGTAATACAGGCTTTCATTTATCATGTAATTTTACTATCAAGAAAAGAGTGACTACTAGAATTCAATTCAGATAAGAAGATGCTGCGTCGGCTACAGTCAACTTTGGAGAAGGACATCACTCTTGATAGTGGTAGGGATAATGATGACAAAATGATACAATGGATCGTATAAATGACACAGAAGAAATCCCATATAAAAGTTTATGCTTATTTTCCACATCTTGAATTTATCAGGCTTAACCATTCTCGTTCTGGCAATTACAGAGAGAAATGTGCGATTATCATAGAGTGCTGCAAAGATATGTCGCATTGTTGACTATAAATGGCTACCAATCCTATATACTGTTAAGTGTTAACACTGTTGTATCGTGGTACGTTTCCTTCCTTTCAAAGTTACACGAGGCGTAGCAATAATTCAAGCATTTTTGCCTCACCATCTTTAGATAACACGGAGTTGGCTTCATCATTTTCCACCTTTTCTGTTTCGTTTATACTCTTCTTTACTTTTAATTTAAATGTATATTTTCGATCTAGCGCTGAGCATTCTACGATTATTGATTTACGGAACTTTCTACAAACAAGCCAGGAACACTTTCCGTTTCTACTATATTTGGCCTCCAGCAATTGTGACATGGACGCTCGACGGCCTTTGTTTCTACTACTCCTCCTCGTCCATATCGATCATCGATGATAAATATCAAGTACTGACTTCTGTGCCTTACCACGCCGAATTGCTCCAACTGAAAGCCGCCCTGACTTGGTTTGCAGTTGCCATGTTTTATACACAACTGGACCTCTACAAGGAAGCAGATGACGACAGCGACGATGATTTTATTACCGATAGAGCCACACGTCGTCGTTATTATAATAGCATAAAGAGTCCACTCGTTGTCGACCTTTTTAGCCTGTTTGAAAAATGCATCATACCGACCATAATCATCACAGTGGTGAATGCTGCATCAGACCATTTCGGTGGCGCCAGACTACAACATTCAACCTACAATAACCCCATCCCTTACAAGTCATTCAGTACAATCATCACAGATGTCATCACCGTTGCGTTCCTCATAAACATCTGGTGGCGTTTCAAGAAAACAGGTCCAGCTACCTCGTCATCCTCCTCGCCTTTGCCAGCAAGAAGCAACCCCGCCCTACTCATGTATGGCTGTTTTATCACGCTAAATCCCATCCACACAATCTTTGAGATTGTCGTCCTTTCGTTTCGCGACCTCATTTTCTCGATAGCAAGAATCGATGCACCCTTAACATTTGTATCTTCTTTTATTCTCACGATGGAAACCGTACTCATGGCTCCCTCCGTCTTGCTCAAGAAGGACCGCCTGGCTGATTGGCCTAAATTCAAGACAGTGACATTGACACAAAAGCAAGTAAACCCAAACATTAATGATCGTAAAACATCAACGAACTTGGATAGAGCTAGTTTTACCAAGTAGCATAACGATAGATACAAATGTAGTGCTAAAATAAGGATGTACCCAAAATAATACATTTCACTCTTACTCAGTTAATTATATTAAACATGAACAACTCCATGAATCGTAATACGTTATGACAGCTCGCCTCTAGTGAAAGATTAGATAACAACTAATGTAGAGCATGAAGTTAATGCATAAAACGTAAGTTACTATTAAGTACCATACCTGCATGAGGAACTTTAAGCTCAAATAAGCTCGACAAGTGACAAAGAAACACGCTACCGTATCCGTTGCGAAAGTCTACATGTACTTCCAAAAAGACATCCTCCTACAACAGCGGCATGTAACACGAGCGCTAATACGCTTAAATATGTCAATACTCCGGATCATTGTTCAACCCGGGGTTGAGCACAACCTCTTTTAATACGGATCACCTTCAGTCACGAACAACTGGCGACAACTTTTACAAAAAAAAGTTCTTGCTCTTGGTCAGCAACCCCCGTAACCCCACACGCCTTTTTCGTTTCCTTCCCTTGCTAAGCACATTCGCGATGCGTTTATCATTGGCTGTCCGTCTCACCAAGGCAGCAGTATACCAGAAGCCCTTTTCTGTAGTGCGCAGTCCTGGAATTGCTCTAACACCACTCAAGCAGACAACGGCGACAGCCTTTGCAAGTAAACCACTCGCCAACTATATCCAACGCCAATGGATTCAATCGACGTCAACACAATCGACTGCAGCAACCACTTCTACGGGCATTGTCAATGACGACGACGAAAACAATCAAAAATCAAAGCGCACGGTATATGGAAGTTGGATCGATCGTCTTCCCGAAAAAATCGCACCTTACGCCTTTTTGGCACGTATCGATAAGCCTATCGGTACCTGGTTGCTTTATTGGCCTTGTGGTAGAGTACCTACTGTTTTTTTTCCTCCTTTTCTTTTTAATTCACCTGTCTCCTATTTTTACGGAATGTATTTATTATGCATTGTGCTATGATGGGTGGACCGAACTAACGTATTTACACGTATATAAGCTTGGGGCGTGACGATGGCTACATACAGTAATAATGTATCGCCTTGGAGTGCCGCGTTTATGTTAGGCGCTATGGGATTTGGTGCAGTATGTATGCGAGGTGCTGGATGTACGATCAATGATTTATGGGATCGCGACGTCGACGCCAAGGTCGCAAGAACCAAGGTTCGTCCAGTGGCTGCTGGTGCGGTCACTATCCCGCAAGCCATCGGCTTCACTGGCCTTCAAATGCTCGGTGCTTTTGGTATCTTCCTAACGCTGAACCAATACACGTAAGAACTTTCAATATTCAAGTATGTAATGTGTCGATTAGTTTATTTGGCATATGCTAATTTTCTCAAAATATCCAGTCAAGTTATTTGTGCATCATCACTTGTTCTCGTCGTCACCTACCCTTTGATGAAACGTATTACATATTGGCCGCAATTTGTGCTGGGTATGGCATACAACTCAGGTGCTGTGGTGGGATGGACTGCCATGACCGGATCGATGGATCCGCTCGTATGCGCACCTTTGTACATTGGTGGCATCGCATGGACGCTGACATATGACACTATTTACGCCCACCAGGATAAGCTGGACGATATCAAAGTGGGCGTGAAATCCACCGCATTGCGTTTTGGTGAAAACACGAACAAATGGCTTGCAGGGTTCTCGTCAACATTTGTTGGATTGACAGCTTTGGCTGGATATATGAATGGCCAGGGCTTGCCTTTCTATTTGATTAGCGTGGGAGGTGCTGCAGCGCACTTGGCGTGGCAATTGAAGACAGTTAATTATAATGATGTTAAGAGTTGCTGGGACAGGTTCCGTAGCAATCATCAAGTAGGAGCAATGGTATGGTCTGGTCTCCTGGCAGATTACGCATATGCTGCAACATTAGCTGCATAATCAACATTAGTGCCACCAATATCCTCGTTACTCCATCCATCAAAACCCTAATATTTCACTTTTCCTATTTGTCAAACTCCCTCTCGTTCCATCCTTTGACATATTCACGATCATTCATTCCATATAACATTGACCCCCGCATACTTTTTTCACACAAGACACATTGATGTGCTCCTAATATATTACAGCAAACCATCATGCATAAAAAAAAGAAAGAAAAACATTCTTTTAATACATGCTTGAAGAAGCCGTTATCAGATTACAAAATATAGAGGGCTTTGCGTGCGTGAGTGCATAGGAGTAGACGTGAGGATCGAAAAGACAGCGAGAGAGTATATAAGGTTATATGTGACAGTCGAGAAAATGGTTTACTGGGGTGGATAGGGTGGATAACCGCTGGAAGCAGGAGGTGGAGGGTACCCACCTTGCTGGTCATCTCCACCGGGCATTTGCATCGTCTGCTGTCTCTGGGGCGGGTAGAAGCCACCACCGGCTGGCGGGGGAGGATAGCCAGGAGCAGGCGGATAACCACCAGCACCGCCGCCATAGGGTCCAGAGGCAGAGGGTTGTTGAGGGGGATAGCCTTGCGATGATGGTGGAGGATAGACGTTCGTGTTGTGGTGTTGCTGAGGCGATGTGGAGTATGCAGGTTGCGAGCTAGGTGGGTAAACATTGTGCTGCTGGGGAGATGTCGTGTACCCCCCTTGCGAAGGTGGAGGATAGACATTGGTGCTGTGTTGTTGCTGAGGCGATCCAGACGGCGGGTATCCTGAAGGTGGGGGAGGAGGATAGACGTTGGTGCTATGCTGTTGAGGAGGCGATCCATAACCACTAGGGTTGCTGCTGTGAGCAGGATAACCACCGCCAGGCGCAGGGTAACCGCTACCGCCAGCCGATGGAGGCGGAGGTGGCGGGTAGTTGCCATAACCCGATTGTTGTGGCGCGGGGGGTTGCTGTTGTTGATACGAACCTTGGCCGTGGTAGGGCGGTTGAGCAGAGGGGCCGCTCTGGGTTCCGCTTGGGGGATGTTGACCCGGAGGATAGTTTCCCAGAGCAAGGCTTTCGGGCAGTTGTGGGTTGCTGCCAGTAGTAGGCGTAATGGGCGTGGTTGGCGTTGGACCGACACCATTGACGCCAGTGACATTGATATCGTCAGGTAACTTTGTCAGCTCGGGAGGAACACCCACTTCAGCACCATAGCCAAGTCGAGGCAGGCCAAAGCCAGACTGCTTGTGCAAAGGACCAGAATCTGCAGCCAAGTTCAAGGAACTTTCGAAGCGTTGAAAAGGTTCAATGTACCAAAGCTGGTTCAGGTTGTCCGAATCCTTTCGCTTATAGAGCAGAACTTGTGCTCCGCCGTCTTCACTGTCACCCTATAAGCAAGAGTCAGTATCGCAATCGATTATCTAATGGCCATGATGCCCGATAGGTATACTTTAGAATGCTGTGTACCTTGATATCAAGCACCATGGTAGTGTATACCATAGAGTAGATGTGCCCATTGTCAAATCCCCACTGAACAAATTAAGCCAATGTCAATAAATTTTTCTTTGCCAATTCTGTACTAGATTATATTTTTCTCAACAATATCGTGTTATCTGACCTCTTGAGATTGATTCTTGTCTTTCCGCTTATTCTGAATGATCGCCTTGTCCTTCTTGAAAGCGCCTAAACATTTGATAACCCCGGGTTAGCTCAACTCTTTACCTCACCCTTTCCATCTGCTTCTTCCTTCAATGGCAGTTTGATTATGGCTACTTTACTTGATCTGATGTCCAAAACTAAAAAGTGAAAGTTGATTAAAAAAAGACAAAAAGACAAACTTGCATATCAATAAAACCAACAAAACACAATAGCATCATGCCGTTTTTCTGCCGGATGAACCGGCAAACATACCATGGCCAGATTTCTTATTCACGATACGTCCTTGATCGTAAGACCACAATCTATCATAATAAGCGATGACGTGCGTGTGAGTATGAATTGGGATCCGGCAGTGTGGAGAGCAAGCTATATAAATAGTTCAAGGAAAGAATCGTTTTTCCCCCTTCCAAGCGTAGCCACCTTCTGCCTTTTTTCTTTCTTCCCCCTCTACCCCCACTTTTCCTTTTGTGTAAAGCGCCAAACAGCAATCTCGAGTTAAGTCTGTTATACATTCTACTTACTGATTGTCCGAATCAGAGAATTTCTGTGGCCACACGATAATGTTTGCATCAGCCTATAGACATAATGAAGTATGTTTTTAGCCCGAAATGATTGATCAGAAAGTCCATCTTTTCTGTATTTATTTATTTCCCGAGTAACCATCCACAGCAATCGAGAAAATGCCCGTTCAAACTTTTCAAAGTTACCTTTGTTTGGCCATCATAAACATCGAGAGCATAGCCGTGTTTACGCGAGATAATATAAAAATATCCAGGTGGGAACATTGCGAAAGCGAGTTAAAACAGGAAAAGAAGAAAAAATGGATGGTTCGCTTGGCGAAAATGGACGTGCGGCTCCACTCGCGGCACCATCCTGAAATGGCAATCATGGGCAACTATGACGTTCTTTCCGCAGTAACTGATTGACAACAGCATTTTTTATCCTTTAAGCAGTACACAGCTGTGCTGAGGATAACATCAATAGTGATGTACGTGGCTATTGCTCTGTTTTTGAACTATTGACCCTAAATTTACAAGTGGTGATGCATACTTCCTTTCTTTTTGGAAGGCTGAACAACAACCTGATAGGGTTTAGTTCTTGTTATTTAAGTTAAATCGGATATTATGAAGATGCTGGATCTCCACTACTGTGCGTGCATACGAGTTCAGTGCTTGATAGCAGATGATAGCAATTCAATTGAAAAGTACAATAAGATATGATATACCTCACGTAGAATTATACCAGTCTTAAGACTGACATCGAGGACACGCAGAGAATTATACTAATAATGTAAAACGATGTGAGCTCAGCTTATCATTTAGTCTTCGACCTGTCTGCTCTTGTGAAGACGAGGGAATGACTACAACTTATATCACGAGCCATACATTATTCTTTTGTGCTTTTACTTGCTTGAAGAAGATAAAAAAGATAGATTTTTTTTATCAATGTGAAAGTGTCAATAGATACAATGTTTTCCGACGAAATGGATTCTGCTCGTGAAGAACCCAGGAAATACATGCTCTGTGCAACAGCAGCTCGGTTAATATTGATAGCCAGCAAATAGAAATTGTCTCAGGAACCCATCGCTGTTGGACAAAAAAGAACCTTTTGTGTCACTTACCTTTTCGCGTGCCTCGTTCCAGAATACATACTCTATTTACATCCATTCTAACAAGATACAGTTATAATCCATGAGAACGAGTTGCTTTTGTCCGCCCTAATTTGTGTCTGTACAGTGACTTATTAAGCGCCTATTCGCCTATATCAACAGTAAGATATATCGCAAAGGGTGAAGGAGCCAACAGCACCGACGAGAACGACTTGAACGCCGGAATGAAAAACTTGCTTGCACCAAAGAATACCACGGCGAGGTAATCCCACCGATCTTATCAGCATGTCGTAAGCTAGAGTAGACGTATAAACATCAAAATCTAGGACAGAAATGGCGATTGACGACGATGCTAACACGGCCATGGTCGCTGAGCTCATTAAACTGGAGAAAATTTTGACCGAAAGATAAAAAGTCGACGTGTCTGCCAGAAAATACAACAAGCGCGTCAAAGATCTCGGCATGATCAAACTGCCCTACAGTACCTCCGTGTACATGTCGGCAAACGCAATACACATTCATTTCAGATTTGCCTGAAGGTTGTTGTCGCATTTAGGAGAACGAACGTATTAATTGGACCCAGGATTTAGGTATTTTTTGTTGCACTATCAGGTAGTATCATCGTAAAAAGATAGATGTTCTCAAACACTGCTCTTGAGGCAGTTTATTTTCGTTTGAAGCAGTCAAGAATAATTCAGTAAGAGAGGCAGAGTTTCAGCAGACCACAATGAATTGTCTCCAGTCAGCACTTTTGTCATTGTCCAAAATCATTAATCTGGCAGTGACCTAGTGAGTATCGAAGTAAGAATTTGTTAATCTTGCTCATACCATTATATTGGTAACTTTGGGACAACGGCTTTGCCTGCTTTATGTAATGTATTGCATTAACCCAGTGGGATCTTCGTATATCGGATAGAAAAGCACGCGGTTGAAAAGTACAAGGAAGCCCCTACTGACTGATCAAACCATATGAAGTAAGACGTTGTCTATGAACCTGCCTCGCATAAAGATCGTGAACTGTCCCAACTACTGATCAAAATCCAACACACCGCCGAACGAATTCCATTAACGAGTCAACAAGTACTGTCTTAGATAGTGAAGCAATGCTCTCTTCCACTTATTGTGGTTGTGATATCAAAAATACCGTATCAGTATTGTTAGACATGAAATCAAAATGATGCCTATATTTCCTTCGTCAAAGCACTCCTAGGGCATGGTTTTGCTTGCTCCTTGATTTGTTATACGCTGGCTCCATTCGTCCATATCTTGAGACTAAACCCTTGGAGCTCGTTGTTGCTGTTACTCATTCCTCAAATCCATGACACGACGAGACGATCGAATGATACAAATGCCCTTGCGGAATGCTAAAAACCCCTTGAAGTTGACATCCAGAAATACGAGAACGTAATCGTCGCATTTCATCATATTTGCGCTCAATTTCGACAGCATGTTTAAAGCACAAGAAATCTTGGAGAAATGTAGCAGTGATCCAAACCAAAGAAAACGTACGGCCCAAGTTTCGGGCGATGGGTTATTGTTCGTATCATCCCAGCATGTAAAAAAACCTTTAAGCGCCTTTGAATGCATGTAAATGCACTCCAAAGTTTATATTCCGTTTCACAATAGTGTATATTGATTCCCTCTCATTGATGTATATTGCTACCAAAATCAATACAATCTGGGACAATGTATATAGTATTATCATTCTTCACATCTTACTTGAAAAAGCATAAGCCTCTCTAAAATAACAGCCGTTATCTACTGGGAGGGTTTTTTTACCATGTTCTCGGCCTTATAAAAGTACACGCACCCTTCGTCTTTGCCTCTACTACACTATATGTTAAAGCAAAACCAGGTCATACATTTTCATAGCTACTTCACACTCACATCTTGCACGTGAGGGGTTTTAATCCACTTTAATTATTCAGTTATAGTAAAGTGCTTAACAAGCCTGAATGATAATGCTCTATTTTTTTTGTGTTAGCAGGTGTAGCATAAGGACGCCTATCTAAAGCAAGAATCATGTAAAATTGTCAACTGCGCCAAGCAAAATTTCCAGATGCGAAACACGACAACCCAAATTTCCCAAAACACGACAAGCTAAATTTAGAAACGCGACAAGATAATTTCAATTTGCGACAAGTTGTCATTTTCGAAGAAAAAGAAAAAGTTCAGTGTGACGTAAAAGAAAACCTCCGGACCGATCATTGTTTTAACGTGAATGATAGATCACGTTGTGCTCTGATATTCCATGTCCATTATTGTTGTCCGTGCTAAATTCAAAGTTCGAGGCCGCCAATTTAGCCATATGGTATATAAGACCTTGGAAACCCGAGGGTTTTTGATCTATTAAAGGCTCTTGCCAGGATACAGAAGCGGAAAATGTATAGCAGCAAAGTTCTATTTGTTCGTGAATACAAATTGTAACGGAAAAAGAGTATCCTTCCAGCCACATTGGGCTTGTAGCAGCTTGTATCCACCTCCTCAGCAGACTCTACGCTGAAAACCGTAATATCCAAAAGCCGTAATATAGTGAAACATAAGCTTTTGATGCTGTTCGTGGGTCTCGTTACCACCGCGGCAAAGTGAGAAAAAGGAAAGGTGGCAAGTGCCCATCTGAAAATATAAATATGAAGTGGCGTGTTTGTGTGGCAACAAACTTTCTTATTCTTCACCCTCCTCCCCAGTTACTCTTTTACATACCTTTTTTATCATTATTGCTGAACACTATACGATGCGTTGCCTGATATTTTTTGCTTTGTTCGCATTTGTCTGTTTAACACATTGTACGTATAAATATACTCTTTAACGCAGCTACCAAAATGCTTGTACTAATCTATAATACTCCAACAGTCACTGTTGCCGGGCAAAAGAGCGGTGGAGGTAGCCGTAGCAGTAGGAGTGGTTCCACGGGCCGTACTAACACCAGTGGCAAGTATTTGAAAAGGAAATGATAAAGAATACCCGATCATATACTAACGATAGTAACACTATCATACTTAACAGGCAGTCGCGGCGGCCGTAATTCTACCTCTGAATCATCAGCAACGGCCATATATGCAGCTCCGAGCACACAAACTTATCTAAACCTGCAAAACATACTCGTAGCTGCTGGTGTGATGGTCCTTGCTCAGCAGCACTATGGCCATTTTGTTCCTGGAAACTAGCACTCCCTTTATACACCATATACCCTTCTTATTAAGCGACTCCTTAAAAGGCCCCTCCTCTAGATGTTATCAAGTAGTAGGCCCTGTTCATTAATAAATAATAAGCTATTGTACATTAAATTCAGCACAATCTTTTAGCGGTGAAGATGGTATTGTAAATAATACCACGATTTTACATGGTTCCATACAATTTTAGCTTGCTTATATCATCTTATGATTCGTATATACTGTATACACGCATCTTACACATCATACGAAGCAGTAATTCATTCACACATTATTCCGAATACAACCACAACGTTGTATTCATCGCTTGGCCCCATTGTATGTATTTTGCAAAATTGTTCGACTTATTTAATAATATGATAGTACAACGATATAGAAATGCAGGCCTAATCGCATCATGAAGCTTAGGCATACAAACTCGTACATACTAATCATCGCAGTGACGACGCACTATATAAGTTCTACTATCTCTGGCCTGCTTTACGAGCATACCGCACATTTATCCGCCCAGTAATTGAATACGGGCTAAGGGTAGCAGCATTGAGTGTCAAGCAGATGACAAACTCCAAAAGGCACAAATCGGCTGCATAAAAATGACCCGTAACCACAGCATAACGACAAGCGCCACGTACCAAGTACCTATGATGATGGCGGACCTCCCCATCTATGAAGATGTGTACTCACAGCTTACAGCTCAAATTCGTCGCCCGCTTGAGCACATTGCCACTATCGACCCTGGCCCGGGCATTTGAACTCTCAAGCGTATGGGACGCGCCGAGAAAAGAGAAGCAATGGACCAAACTATCCAAAAGCAGCCCACTTTATAACGTTATAGAGAGCTCCTCAACTCTGTGAACCCTCCCTCCAACATTGTTGACACAGTATTCGCACAAGCTCGTAATGGAGAACTAGAGAAGCGACGCCATGCATCTTTGTCGGTCCAGTGTCTTTGGCCTACACGCATGAGCGACCCCGTCCTGTACTTGCCAGCATCTCCAAATGACCGCCATCGCTTGCTTAACTGGCGCCTACACTAGCTACCCGGCTATTACCCTCGCAAGGACGGTCGTTGTGGTGCACGAGCTGTCACCCGGGATCATTACAGCCTCGTTTGTCCGCTGCTCCGTCCAATGTGGCAAGAACTTACTAACACATTTGGCACAACTCTTGTCGTCGGCAGGGATGCATACCATTGATGTCATCCTTAACAAACTATCACGCACCGACGTCGGTTTACCAAACGGCAAATGGCAAACAATATTGTCAGCGATATTACGCGTCCTCAGAGAAATCGACCGGCTCTGTCATCCCGAAGAGCATTTACTAGACGAGAAGTTCCCAGGCGAAGATATTTCACCACCATTGCCATTAGAGCACGATCAAAGTGCTCCGATTATCCACCTTTCCCCTGTCATTGTTTTATTATATTTGTAACAGCTTTGCACAGACCTTATCACATGTGCACTACTACACTCGCTTAAACTTTTTTATCCTGACCCAGAGGGAGCGGGTAAGTTCTTGCATCTATCCTTTATTAAAACGTATCCACACGAACCGCAAGGAAGCAACCTTAATGTCTATTGGCGCAGGTCAACAGTCTTCCATAAATAATGAAAACCAAATTTTCATCATGAATTTGCGGTCTCGCCTCCTAATTGCTAGTTACTATAATGATGATTGACTTTTGCGTAAGAGCTACTACTACAAACCAGTTATATGGGCTTTGGGTCGGAATATTGCTGTTGTGTTATTAGCTTCAAATAAAGTACATGGTGAAAGTAGAAACCGAGGCTGTATGTATATGCGACCGTATGCGACAAGCACTGAAGGTGTCAAAACGAAGAAAATATCTTGGCGCTATGGGTTTTGTTGCTGTTTGTGTTATCTTGTATTATAAAAGCGCCATAAAGCAGCTTTCTAACGCCACCACCCTTCAACAACAATTTAAACGTGACACACAGAATATTATTTTACATGACAGAAGCAGTGTAAGTTTTACAGCCGACTACAGTGCCATATGTCCAAGGAAAAAGGAAAAGCTTTTCTCTGCGTCTGACTTACAGCATCAAAAGGTTGTTGTCTGGTATATGTTGTACTAGACCAAATATCCTATGGGGAGAAAGATGTTAGCAATCCAAGCACATCAAAGGACAATTTCTCTCCGTTAGCAACAAAGCAAATTGCTGTTAGGCTTTCCCATGATTCAATATTAATGGTATGCGTTGCTCATGTTAGTCATACTTTCCAAAGGTAGCATTTTGCGGTATGTAACTCGATGCTGACAAGCGCGACAGAAAACAAAACTGTATCGAATCAAATGGCCCTTACTATTATCCCCCTCTCTGTTCCTGTACCTTACCGTGATAAAGGTTATGCCGACCCACCGGATCGACCATGGATCCTCTCGGAGCACAGAATTTTAATCTGAGTTTTCGCCGAAACGTCATGATTCAAGGCCATTGAGGTTTGAGCGCAGCTAACACATCTTCGTACTCACTCCCAAATCTGTTATCATTCGACGTTGTATAGTTATCTCTTATCCAGTTTATACGTTTCTTCTTTGTGTGGTCCCCTTCTTCCCTCCATCTTCCCAACTCCTTCCTTTCAATTTGTTTAAGCTTTAATAGAGCTACTGTAGTATTAGACTCCAAAATGACGATTACGGACCGAACCGAACAACAAGACAACGATTCGACGTCAACTCTTAGCAACAAGAACTACAAAAAACATAAACTTGACATTGAAAAGGCAGCGACATTAGCCACTGGAGTTTCCGATATATATCTACCATACATCAGAAAGAGCGAGGGCGAATACGATCCAAATCCATTAGAAAAGACCCATTCCCGTAAGGCTCTTTCTTTGCTCGATGAGACACTATACATTTATGTCATAGTAAGCGTCAAGGAAAAGGCCTTCCATTTTTCAAACTATCACTAATTATATTCATTGCAACTAATCCTTTATGTAGAAATCGATGAAGCTAGTATTGTGGAACCACCACCCAAAGATATCTTGGATGATGCTCCCGATGGTGGATATGGATGGTATGTGTAATCCAAAGAAACAACGGTTATGAAACAAAGCGATATAAAAAAGTAACTCAACCATTCACCATGCTTGCATCCAACACTTAGGGCTGTTGCAGTGGCAGGATTTTTTGGTAATTTTGTCATGTTTGGCATTGCATCCATTTGGGGTGTCTTTTCACAAGCATACGCGACATCTATTCTGGAGGGCAAAGCAAGTACCTTATCGTTAATGACGGTTGGATCGGTCGCGTACGTGTGCCTGAACGTGTTTACGCCGATTAGCGTTTTGTTTGTACGGTTTGGTACTCGATTCAATTATGGTTTTGGAAGCATTTTGATGTGTCTTGGCATGATCTTGTCAGGGTTCAGTACGGAAGTTTGGCATCTGTATCTCACGCAGGGCCTTTTGTTTGGCTTTGGGGCCTCTTTTCTCTACATGGTAGGCATTATACTTGATAGCAATATTCTTTCAAAATCGATAGACAAAAGTTTAATTTTTTTTCATGTAGTCTATTGCATCGGTTATTCCGCAATGGTAAGTCAAGGGAGAATTTGGGAAACATGCAAATTACAGGTTCACCACCCGACGAGGTACAGCTATGGGTATCAGCAGTGCTGGTACTGGATTGGGAGGACTGACACTGAGTCCTATGGTAAGAAGTAGTAAAACAACAGCAATTCTTATACTATATACTTGCTTGCTATACTAATTGACTGTATCTTGGACATATATCAGGCAAGCTTTCTAATTTCGGAATACGGAATACCATGGGCATACCGGATTTTGGGTTTATTCTCGCTCGGCATTTGCTGCGTTGGAACAATCTTAGTAAAGGACCGCCTTCCCAGGTCTTACCGCAAAAACCTGCTTCTCAAGTCGCCTGTTCAATGGTCTATGTTTAAAATGGCGGATTTTGACATTTGGTTGGTCGGTGCAGTCATTGCCCTCATGGGTTACCTGAGCCCAATGTTTTACTTGCCGAGTAAGCTCTCATATATATTAAAGTGCGATTGCTTCTTAGAAAAAAAGGAAAGCAAGATGACTAGACAAACGTTTATTTATCTAGAGTACGCTGCCGAGATAGGCATAAATGAAACAGATTCGTCGAATCTTCTCGGTATTCTATGTGCTATGAATGGCGTTGGGCGTCTGGTATTGGGCTATATAGCAGATAAAATTGGCCGATTGAATATGTTCCTGATCGCCTCTGCATTCGCAGGTGTATGCACCTTTATCATTTGGCCATTCGCAACTTCGTACGATATTCTGCTGGTATACTCTATTTTGTGGGGATTTTCATGCGGAACCTATTATGCATTGGTATGTACTTCCTCACGACGGATATTCACATGGCGTGTGTTACCTTTCTCTTCCGCGGCTTCTTCTATATTAATATAAATGTGTGTGTGTGTGTTGTAGGCTGCGCCGGTTACCGGAAGTGTTGTTGGCATGGAGAAACTGTCGTCGGGACTGTCGATCCTATTTATCGTCAGCGCAATTTCTGCCATGGGAACACCCATTGCTGCAGCCATCCAGGATGCAACGCCAGAACTTGGATATCTTGGCATCCAAATGTTCATCGGTTCAGTCTATGTAGGCGGTGCATTGATCTGCCTATACCTGAAATATCGGGTGACGGGATCGCTACTATCAGTTTATTAATGGATGTTGATGCTGTTACTGAAAGGGACACAGCCGCAAACCCGCTCATCTCCTCCCTTGTTGATTCTCCTGTAGTTGCTTTAAAAGTACTCATCATTACGATCATCATCCGCATATATTATACCCACCCCGCGGGATCACTAATATCAACTCACAAAAAAACAATATTTTTGTTTGTTATCTGCATATCTGTTCAAATGTACAAACTATATATGAGCTTCTTCCAAATCAGCATTTGGAAGCCGATGTGCTCGAGCCCGGGATTTGCCCAAATACGTTGACAGTATGTTTCGGATCGGCATAAGTGTGAGCACATAATTACAAGAGGCAGCATAAGGATTGTGTGTGGGAACGGATCAATGGCGTGCCTACTCTATTTTCAGTCTGAAAACAGCAAAGTGCACGTATACTGATCACGCGGGGTTTCTTTTTGACCACTTTTATCTGTTGTGTTTTGGATAGAAGAAGAACAACAACAATCTGAATCGTTCATTACTCTACATTACAGGAATTGTTGAACTATACTTCTTTTTTCTTTGTGATGCTCTCCCGCCCCCCACCCCACCCCCCGCACCACAGTAGGCAAACACACAGGCCCCGCTAAGAAAAAGCAAGCAGGAGGACTGGCATCAGCGCTTATTCGGGCAGTGTCGGAGGTCTGAAACAAGCACAGCGAAAATATAATAATTGTTCGTGTGTTTGCTTCTTTTTTTCCCTTCAAGAATCTTCTCTTTCTTCACTTCCCTCCGTTTAACCCTTTCCCTCCCTCCGTGCCAACCTTCCTGCTAAGCAGCAAATTCTCCGGTTTTCCTGATTATGTTTGCCTACGCGTTGGGAAGATGTGTGAAGTTCGTTCGCAAGTTTTCCAAATTCATCGGGCCTGGCTTTATGATTGCCGTGGGATAGTAAGTTAACTGTACAGAACTGTGTCTGTTTTTTCATACATGCAAGGTGTGCATGCCGCAACGCAAAGCAGCTGAAAGAGCGATCATCCTATACCCCCCTCCCCACCCATTTATCCACAACAACACACTAACAACAACAATGACTGGCATCATACAGCTTGGACCCTGGTAACTGGGCTACCGACATGGAAGGTGGATCGCAGTTTGGATATCGCCTTCTCTTCATCATTTTGCTGTCGAACGTCATCGCCGTGTTCCTACAAAACCTGACCATCCGCTTGGGTGTCGTTTCTGGACTTGATCTTGCGAGTGCATCCCGCCGTTACTTGCCCAAATACCTCAACCTGTTCCTCTATGTCCTGGCCGAACTTGCGATTATTGCGACCGATATGGCTGAAGTTATCGGTAGCGCGATCGCTCTGAATCTGCTCATTCCACAGCTGCCACTACCGGCGGGTGTTGCAATCACAGCAGCAGACGTGTTCATTATCCTGCTGTTCTACAGCGAGGACCACACAGACCCGGACAGCCAGACAGAGACAGCATCTTTGCGCGTGATTCGACTGTTTGAGACGTTTGTCATGATGCTGGTCCTGGCTGTCGGCATTTGCCTCAGCATTATTCTTGCTTACTCCGACATCAATCCCATCGATGTGGTGAGGGGCTACAAGCCGGTCAAGGAAATCTTTACCGATACGGCAAGTCTCTATGTTTCAATTGGCATCATTGGTGCCACAGGTAATCCTCTTATTTGATGTTGCGTGTGATCTCTCTGCTGTTGATGTGCAAACAATCAGCTTGCAAAAGATGCGATATGGAGCTAACTATGCCATTTTTGTCACTGTTGCAACATACGCTCTATTTCCAGTGATGCCGCACAATCTGTACCTCCATGGTTTCATTGTCCAGGCACGATGCCGCGAATGGCGTGCCAAGCGTCCCCAAGCCGAAACGATTGATGACGACAACAAACAATGGATCCTTAGCTCCGTTGCACGAAAATTTGTGCTAGAAGGACCAGAAAAGCCCAGCGAAGCAGAAACACGTGTTTCGATGGATCATACCACCGCAGAAAAGAAGCATTTCAACGCACACAGCCTGCGCCGGTATATTAAATCATCGCTTAGGGACAATCTGTTGTTTAACTTTATCGACCTGGTCATCGCCCTCCTGTTTGCCTTTTACGTCAATTCAGCCATCCTTATTGTCGCTGCCTCTAACTTTTACTATGCACCTGCCGGCCAACAACAAGAAGTCACCGATCTGTTTGACGCACATGAGCTACTCTCGCGCTACCTGAGTCCAGCAGCCGGCGTTATCTTTGCCTTGGCTCTCTTGTGTGCAGGTCAGTCGTCGACGATCACGGCCACGCTTGCGGGCCAGGTCGTCATGTCCGGCTTTCTGGGTATGAGCACACGACCTTGGGTGCGTCGTATTGTGACGCGGCTGGTGGCCATTGTGCCGGCTCTCGTGGCAGCCTGTATTGCTGGCCGGTCAGGTCTGAGCCAACTGCTCGTGGGCAGTCAGGTCGCACTCAGTGTCCAACTGCCGTTTGCGGTGGTGCCTTTGGTCATTTTCACGTCATGGAAAAAGGTCATGAAGGTCGAATTGGTTGTGGACAAGAGCAACCCGGCTGTGGATCGTGGCAAGGTGACTATGTCGTGGATCGACAAGCTGTTTCCACGCATGCCTACATGGCGGCCATCGTGGTGGCAGCCCGCCAAGCAAAAGCTCCTCCCGCGTCTGCAATGGGGCGAAAAGGGTGGCGACAGTCCGACAATTGTCAAGACAGATACCTCGTCGTCGATCGCCACGGAGAGCCCGGTGGTCCTGAATGAATTGCCAGAGCCGCTTATCTACAATAATGGGTGGATTGTCAAGATTGTCGCCTGTCTGATATCTGCGCTGCTCATTGGTCTGAACGGCTATCTTGTGGTTGCAGCGGCGCTGGGACTATAAGCAAGCAAACCGATGAATTATCATTTATACCTTATCCCCACTCTTCCCATACAAACATGTCTCCAACGAAAAGAACTTGTATATACAGTATAGCGTAGCCTCTCCAATTCTTGTCTCCTTTAATTTTCTTACTCCCTTACTTTTCTCTTTCTCAAAAACAAAAGTTTTTCCTGAACAAATCAAATCATTATGCAAAACGGGGTTTTAAAATAATCTATGTATGTGGGGGTGGGGGACACTGAAGGCAATCGATAGGGAAAGAGAGAAGGTTCTCACAAGATCTCTCTTTTTCAGTTTTTTATTCCATTTTTCCCCGGGACATTCTCCATTCGCAGACGCACACACGCACATCACTTTAAGCAACAATGCCCATTCCCTCCGCAAATACTTCATCTCGTCAAAGGCCTGCTTCTATTGACCTACACGATCAGACCAATAAGCCACCCATGGTCTGTGCTGACTGCGGAAACAACGATTGCCATTGTGACAGCCATCGACTATGGCCATCGCATAAGAAACCATCGAAAATAAGCAACAGAGTTAGTCAGAACCAGTGCGATCGAGTTTTGCCTTCTTCTTCGCCTGGCAATACGTTGCTAAACTGTCGTAAGGAAGGTGAAGCTTGGGTGGACATTTCAAACGAGCGACTCCCGAATTCCCGACTGGGTGGCCTGTATCCGGGCTCCAAGTTCGAAGGCATGCAACGGTGCGGGTCCGCCGCTTATGATGTGTCTGTGGATATACAGGTATTGAAATTTTGATCGCTTTCATTCCTTTTCGGTGGAATAGCTAGCAAAGGGGAAGAAAGGGTCCAGGAGAGATTGAAAGAGAAAAGAGAAGGAAAAGGGGGTGCTTGTATGCTTGGGAGTACTATTATTATCATCATTATTAACACAGCAGCGGCATAACAACGATCCTCTCTAGCACGTGGATCTGAAGGAAAGCACACTAAGTGGCTATCTCAACATCAAGGGACTGACAGCCGAGTTTCCTGAGCTCACGGTAAATCGTTAGACACATACACACACAGGAGATCCTTGTGCAGAGTTGTGAAAAGGGCTGATAGAACTGACCAAGGGAGATAAACCGATAGACGTTCTTCCAAGCCGAAATAATTGGCCCCAAGTACTCGTTTCTCACGCGCAAATGGCAAGCTCAGCAGAGCATTGACGTATCACACTGGGTTAGTACTGCTTTATTTGTAAAAGGCACTGTAGCTCCTTCTGGACGACATACACACGACTGACATCACACATTGCACACGTACACGTCAAACAAACAAATCCACAATAGAAACGCTTCCCATCGTTTCAGCCGTACGTCGAAGTATTCAACAATGACGACTTTGTGTATGACCCGTTGGAGGAAGACTTTATTTATATGCGCTGGAAGGAGCATTTTTTGGTGCCGGATCACCGCGTCAGCAACATCGATGGTGCTAGCTTTGCAGGGTTCTACTACATCTGCTACCAACGGTCGACCAACGAGATCAAGGGCTACTACTTTTTCCGCCACCACACCGAATGGTAAGCATGAAATACATGGTGTCATCTTTCCGCGTACACATACAGTGATCATCATGTGCTAATCATTCATATACCATCAACCACAGGTTCCAGGAACTCTCGTTGAAGCATGTCGAACAGCGCACATTTGGGAACTTTGAAATACGTTAACCTGCATGACACTCCCCGTTATTTTGCTCTCTCATCCAAGCTCACGTCATCTCTTTCTCCACTTTCTGTTGTACATAGTTTTCTTTTCTTCTCTCATCTAACGCTTTCTGTTCTACATCGAACTGAAAGAAAATATATACCTCTTTCACTTTCCCTCTCTTTAATTTTCTTTTTCTTTTTTACTCCTTCCCATCACTTTGTTTATTGTTGTTTTGATGAGCCAGTAGGCAATAACGCTAATGCGATGCGTCGTCCTTCTTCAGCTAGGACGTTGTATGTTGCAGCCGCGTTTTTCTGAGAAAATAAAAAGAAGCATGCACGCACACATACGTGCATACATTTAGTACACACAGTTCCTATGAGCTTTGTTAATCTGAAACACTTACCGTGTTCATCTGGTCCACTTGTATACCGAGGTTATAGAAATACTGTCGAACTTCTTGTGGCAACGGTACGAAATCCTTACCCGTTCCAAACAAAATCAATTCTACAAGCATCTTTGTTGAGTGTTGCTTCCTCCCTTTTCGTACACACATCAACACACACAAACTTGTTTTCTTTACCTGGCTTTGGCGCTGCCACTTCGAATATCTTAAACGCGTCGAGATCAAACGGCTCCTTCTTGCCATACGCCAGCGCATCGTGTGGAACCCGCCAAAGAAAAGCAGATCCATTCAACAGAACCAAAGGGTCTTGAATCTGCACATTGTTGGACAATACAAAGCCGTCTTTGGTAATTACTTCAACGCCTACATTTGGCCCACGATCAAACATGTTTTTGAACGAATTAATCATGGATTGTGAAGCAAAATCATCAGGATCGGGTTCATTGCCTTGTTGCTCTTGCTGTTGTCGTTGTTGTTGTTGTTGTTGTTGCTGTAAAAAATCAGGCTTGATGGTGCGTGGTCCTTTGTACTGGATCGTGCTGGTGTAAAAAAGTCGTTTGCTGATCGATGCACTTGCTATCCGTCGTAATGCCATTATGCCTTTATGCAATAAAAGTGAAAAGTGGCAATTTGTTGTCTAAGGCCTCCTCCACCCCGATCTTTTTTTTTGTTTTTTGTCTGTGAAATTTTATGCCGCTAATACACTTGACTTCCAGTCAAACCATATTTCTTCTTATTAACAGTATCTTGGTTTTTTTAAGAACCTGACATGGTCCTTTATTTATCGATGCATTTTCTGCCAAAGCTCATCATGATTTCTATGAGATGTATCGCTTTAGCCGACTACGACAAAGCGCCCGAACTGAACATTTTATAAGTTTTGCTTAGGACTTTTGGATATAAAATAGTAGTTATTGACGAGAAAAATAACTACACTATCATAGCTACATAGGAAGCGACAGAAACATACATTAGCAGTTACATGCATATTGTCAACAGAACGCCAATAGCGAACGTGTAAGGCGATATTTCAAGTATAAACAGATAAAGGCACCACCGACGTACACAGATCCAACAAACATCTGTACACCAAGGTATCCATTATCCGGCACTGCTTGCTGTATGGCAGCTGCCATAGGTGCTCCTAAGGCAGCAATTGCACTGACGATAAAAAGGATCGATAATCCAGAGCCTAACTTTTCCATGCCAACGACACTTGCGGTGATAGGTGCAGCCTAAGGACCATTATGAGACATTTCCGCTTAAAGACACGTTTAGATGTATGTCAATGTAAGCACTTTCTAGCATTGATACAGTAGATAAAAGATACTTACCAATCCATAATACATACCGCATAGTGGGCCCCACAAGATGCAATAAACAAGTAGAACGTTGTACGAAGTAGCAAATGGCCAAACGACAAAAGATACCAAGCCAGAAAACATTGACGAAATGACTAGCATATTAAGTCGGCCAATCTTGTCGCCAACGTATCCGAATGCTATGCGGCCAATTGCATTCATAGCACACAGAATTGCAAGCAAGTTTGCGGAATCTGTTTGATTTATCCCGATGCTAGCAGCATACTCTAAATCCATAGTTTACAGATACATACGTGAAGGTTACAAGAAACGAGTTTCCTTTCTCGTATTATTATCACAACTCGCTTACTTGGTAGGTAAAATAAAGGAACCACGTAGCCCGTCAATGCGGTAACCGCTCCTATCAGCCACACATTGAAATCGATGCCCTTGAGCATGGAAAGTTGAATAGGTGATTTGATAGGCATTTGCTTCCGATGTGAGCTAGGATACCGGTCTTTAATGAGGATTGTTCCCAAACAGCACACGCCTAATGAGAAAAGGCCGAGGATCCGATAGGCCCATGGTATTCCAAATCTTATGATTAGCGAACTAACCTATAATTAATGAGCACGATTAGCACATAGGTTAAAAATCGGCTTATCAAATGCCAGAATATATTGAGTACCATAGGACTTAATGCCAGACCACCCAATCCTGTACCAGCACTGCTGATTCCCATTGCTGTAGCACGTCTTTTAGTGAACCTTTTATAGTCTTCATGCTGTTAGTAGTCAGAAATGAAGAATTCAAGGATTCTTGTTTTTGAGTTTACCATTGTGGAATAACCGATGCTACCGACTATATGTAGTATTGACAAGTGGTTTCAAATTAAGAATATGAAAAAGAAAGAAGATCAATTATCTTGTTGAATGTAGCATACATCCTCTCTCAAATTACCATACCATATATAGAAGTGAAGCGCCAAAACCAAAAAGGAGACCTTGAGAGAGATACAAGTGCCACACCTCGGTGCTGAAGCCGGCTAATATGAGTCCAAGACACGATAGAATGCTTCCAAAAGCATAATTGAAGCGTGTACCAAACCGTACTAACAAAATAGTAACAGGAGAACATATATTTGTCACGACACCGACAAGGCTACCCACGCCCATTAGCTGTAGTGTCGTTGCTTTGCCTGCTAGAGTCGATACCGAATACGCCTGTGAAAAAACGCCCCATACTGAAACTACTCCAAACATGACGAAATTGGCAAGGAGCCCGGATACAGCTATAGCCCTATGATAAAGAGTCAAATAGGATTCTACCATGGCTTTTTCTGAAATAGTCTCTTTCCCCTTTGTTGCGACATGTGACCCCTTCTTTTTTTCACACTGTTGGTGATAACATACCATCCGTACCCACCATCAACTTCGTCATCAAACGTGCCTTTTGTTGTTGGCTCGACGATGCTTGCATTATCTGCAATTCCTAGAGCGATATGATCATCGTTTGATAGAATCCATGACCATCCTTGTTGATCTCGAAATTGTAGTCTAATCATATATCCGTGTGAATCAGCATTGATACTTACTAGAGCTAGTTTTTTCAAAAGTGTTCGTCGTTTGATCACTGCCACCAATAGATGAATTTTCGTCAATAGCAGCAACAGAGGCCTTTTCCAGATCCAGCTGGTAGTTGTCCTGTTGGGTAGCGACGGTGCTTAGATCGTAGTCATTGCTTTTGCCGTCGTCGGATCGCTCATCCTTCATATTATATAAATAAATGAAATAAGCTGTGTGGCTATTTGAGCTGTAGAAAGGATAAAGTCGCGGAGAAAAACCGAAAACGAAGAGGGGTAGGAAAAATAACAGTTTAAGAAGGTTAGATAAAAAAATCTGTAACTCTCAACATTGTATTCAAATGAGCGTTTATAGTGTCAAGCAGGCGAATGGAAAATAAGGAAACGTTCCGAGCTTCCCACCGTTTCAACCAATACTATATCTTTTAGGGCTTAATGGAATAATATTAATAGGTCTTCAAGTCGTGCGATAGTTTTGCCACAGGTAATTGAGCGATACCGAGCAACAACAATGCACTACGTACTGCGCATGAGTGCAAGCTTTGATGTTTTAGGTTTTTTGTGTTTTTTAACGGTATATAGCCTCTGTTGGCTCTGCTGCTCCTCATCGAGAGAGGTAATTGATCAGGCTCATCTCTTTTCGTACGCTTCACGTTGTATTTACGTTATGACCAAATGATAGGGTAAGACGAAAGGAGCAAATACTTTATAAGCGTGTATCAAGCGATAAAGCACAAAACTCGCACCACCCAGTGCATGGTAAGTGATCGACATTGCAATCATTCTGCTGTCATACACTTCTCAGTACGCTAAAGAGAAGAATTGAATTCGACATTTTCGTTCTTTTTGATTTGAAGCTTTACAATCAAATGTAAAGAATTTATTATAGGCAGGTACACGTATAGCGTACTGTTCAATATTTCCAAAGGAGCGATCAAGTCAACGATATTTCAGATATAAGCAATTAAGTTGCACCGCACACGTAGGTAGATCCATCAAACATTTAGATTCCAATACATCGATTGATCGGTGCTGTCTGTTGGATGGCTCCCGATAATGGTGTGCTCATAGCACCGATGGAGCTCATAATGAATTGTTTTTATTTTATGGGTGGATAAAATAAGTGACTATAAAGCGCTTGTCAATTTTCGCACGTCCGCTAAGCCCGACCTCGAAGAAAAAAACCCCATACGGCAGAGGCGGAAAAGGAGTAGGGTGGGTGGAAGAGTGACACAATGTATAATGTTAGGTGAGGTAGAGGGGGAAACTTAAAGAGCTAAACAGGTATATAATGTGGAGACTCATAATGAAAACAATAGATAATCCTGCAGAAGCTTCCCCAAGCCGACAACGCTCGTAGCTATTGGCGTTGCCTGTATGGTTCAAAATAAGCTTACTGCACTGTGTCAAGTTGCATCCGTAATATCCCATTATTATAAATCTGGTGTGAGATATATAGAGTATATCTAACCGGTGCAAAGTACATTCCACCAGTCAATCCCCTCAGAATGCAGTGGGTTAACGAAATATTGTGCGATGTACCAAAAGGCCAAATTAAAGAGCTATGTATGCCAGAGAGGGCAAACGTAGTTTTAAACATGTTGAGCCGACCGATCCCGTCACCTACTTAACCTAGACCGACTCTGCCAAGAGCCGTCACCACAGCTAGTATAGAGATAAGATTTGAAGCAACCGTCGAGTTTATGCCAGTAGAAGCAGCATATTCTATATATTTCAAGAAGTTGATTGTCCTAAGTCAACAGGATCGGCGTTTTCTCTAATTTCTAAAGGCTCGTCCTAGTTAATAGCAATGCTTACTTGGGACATGAAATAAGGGACCTAAATATCCAGTTACACCAAATACCGAGCCCACCAACCACAGGTTGAAATTTTTATCTGTGAACATGGACAACCGAATAGGTGATCGCAAGAACTGGTTGATAAACTAAGACCGAAAAAAGCGATCCTTCACCATAATCGTTCCCAACGCACATATATCCAAGCAGAAATGGCCGAGAATTCGATATGCCCATGGTATACCGAACTTCAGGATCAAGTATGCTATTGGTAGATCTGTATCAGGTTAGGTGACAGCATATTATCATCACCAACATAGGACTTAGTGCGAGAGTACCCAACCCTCAAGCCGCTCAAAGCGAGACCGGTTACTGTGCCTCTGTGAGTAGTAAACCTTCTACATGTGTAGCTTTCTTTAGTTAGATCGCTGAAATACATACAGCAATTCTTATTAATTACGCTCTTACCATTGCGGTATGATGAATGCTACAGACTAACCATACATAAACGTAAATAAACAAACAATCTAATGTTAAAATAAGGGAAATAGAGCTAAAGATTTTTTTCTTTTTTCTTCTTATCATGTAAAGAAAAGATACACCAAGACCAGAGAGGAGTCCTTGCGTCATGTATAGATGTCATACCTCAGTGTTGAAGCAAGCTAATATTACGCCCAGACATAAATATGCTCCAATAGCATAATTGAGTCGTGTGCCGCCTACTCTGACAAGAAAGCAGGTACCAAGGAAAATACGTTCTGGATTACACTAGCAACAGATCCAACAGTCATCAAATGTATAGCTGTTGCTTTTCCTTTTAGGATCGAGGTCGCAAAAGCTTGTGAGAAATTGCCCCATGCGTTCAGGACGCCAAACATGACGAAATTGGCAAAAAATTCTGACACGCCACGGCCCTGTATAATTTTTACATATTGAAGGTCGGCAAGCATTACCTCTTTTTCTTTCTTTTTTTATCGTTTAAACAATAAACATATGTTATAGCTATCCCCATACCATCCGTAACCTCCGTTTCAAGCAATTACTTTGGAGGTGGCTTGACATTACTAGATTTATCGGCTTTAACAGGATAACCGTTTTAATAAAGATGACAAGCAGCTTATTTTCGCCATTGTGCTGATTTACACTCTGTTGCAGTTCCTCACTGATGGTACTGTTATCGACAGTGATCGCTTTCTCGAAATCCAATTAATGTTTCGTGCTCTGCGTAACTGTAAAATTGTTGCAGTTATCTTGTTCGGAGGATCGTTTGGGATTTGAAGCACTCGTGTCAATAGTGTTAGTAGCAGCAATTCCCAGTTTTTTATTTTTCCAAGTTCGATGGGAAGAAGCGCAGAAGATGCGACCCACTTGGATGTAATTGGCCTTATTCTTCAAACGATATGGACCATGCACTGGCATTCAGTCCTCGATGAAACCCCATGGAGCCATGTTGCTGCCATCAACCACCTGCACACCCTCTTAGCTAGATTTCCCTTCCTTCTCCTTAGGGCGCCGAGTCCCTAAATTTATAATAAAACAAAAAAAAGCGCAGAAGATGCTTGTATCCTGTAACAAATAAGGTGAGTTTTTTTGTATGCCATGTTTATCAAGTCACCTGGCCGATGTAAAGAAAAAGAGCTTTAATCTATTTTCCGAGCAGTACTACAGCGCTTTATTCCCCTTAATCCGCCGTGTCGGCACAACCTTTCCATTCCATGTCGAAAACAATGTTTGATATCTATCGTGAGGCATTGACTGAAAGCTAAATCTACGCGTGCATATGCGTGCATGCGCTATCAAGTGCTATTCTGAATTTGTTTACTTATTAAAAAGCTTTCGACGAACCAGCTCCAGATGAAGCCCTGCACTGAGAAGGATCGTAACCTACCATTATATTACTATTAATATTTTTTAAATAAGGAGCCTCCTGTCAACCGAAGTTTGAGATATATGCAAATTAATGCGCCAGCAATGTAGACTGCTCCGGTGAACATTTGAATTCCAAGGTAGCCATGGTCCGGAGTTGACTGCTGGATAGCTGCCGATATAGGTGTTCCCATGGCAGCAATTGCGCTGACGATGAAAACAATTGATAGTCCAGATGAAAGTTTCTCCATGCCCACAACACTTGCAGTAATGGGTGCCGCCTATATAGGAAAGACAAGAGTTACCCAAAAACACGTATTAGTATCAATTTATACCTAGTCACCAAAAATTGCTGTTAAAGAAGCATTAAAAAAAGATGAGAAATTAGTTCGTACCAATCCGTAATACATTCCGCACGTCGTTCCCCATAAGATACAGAAGACCAAGAGAATCTCAAACGAATCAGCAAAAGGCCAGATGACAAAGCTGAATATACTTGATAATGCAGAGCAAATAATAAACATATTGAGGCGACCGATTTTGTCTGCTACATATCCCAATGCAATACGGCCGATGGCGCTAAAAGCTAGCATGATTGCAAGGAGATTTGAAGCATTGGTTGGATTTATGCCAATATCCGCTGCATACTCTATATTACACGTTAACGATGGATGTATATAAGACTAGCCAATTGTAACTATGAACCAAAGAAAAAGTAAAATCTAATATGTCTGTATTTCTACTTTTCTGTGAACTTACTTGGTAGGTAGAATACAGGACCAAGGTACCCCATTAATCCGACTACAGAACCCACCAGCCATACATTTAAATCTGTCATCTTGAACATTGACCAATCGATTGGCGATTTGATAGGCATTTGTTTACGGTACGCGCTAGGCATTCTGTCTTTTATCAAGATCGTTCCAACAGCACAAATGCCTAGTGAGAAAAATCCGAGAATGCAATATGCCCAAAGTATTCCATATTTCTCGAGAAGGTAATTTGTCTATCGGTATGATTTAGTTAAAAATTACGCGCCACTTCCTCTAAGCAACAACAAAAATATGTTTTGCGATAGTTGTTATATAAACTTTACCATTGGGCTAAGAGCCAAACCGCCTAAACCAGTGCCGCTTGAACAAAGCCCCATAGCAGTTGCTCGTCGCGTAGTAAACCTGTTATGTATATCGTTTCCGATCAGCTTTGACAGATGGTATATTATAATCAGGGTTTCATCCTCTCAGCTTACCATTGTGGGATTACCGATGCTATAGACTATACACATATTCAAACATTATCTAATTTAGTATGATGACTTTGGCTTAGTATTCTTCAGTTTTGATGCTTTTACCATGTAAAGGAAAGAAGCTCCAAAACCGTAAAGAAGTCCCTGTGAGAGATACAAATGCCACACTTCCGTGGCGAACCCGGATAAAATAATGGCCAGGCACATTATTACGCTTCCTAATGCATAATTGAAACGTGTACCGAAGCGAACAAGTACAATGCTGACTGGAGAGAATATATTCAAGCAAACATTGACGAGAGATCCGACTGTCATCAACTCCAATGTACTTGCTTTGCCTTCTAGAGTAGATGTTGCAAAGGCTTGCGAGAGCACTCCCCAAACAGATGCTATACCAAACATAACGAAATTGGCCAGAAATCCCGCCACCGCTACAGCCCTAAAGGAGCAGTAACAAGCTAATAGCATTAATAAGCGTTTTTTGCGTTCTTCAAACACATATACACGTTCAACAATATCAGTTGTCGTACCATCCATATCCACCGTCCGGAATATCGTTGAGAGCGTCTTTTGGAGTGGGGTCAACGATACTAGCTTCATTCACTAATAGAACGAAAAACACATAAGGGTATCTCAAAAAATTGGTATTATGTGCTGTTGATATTATATGTGCCAGCCCAGTTCATACCAGACTGGGCCCTTTCTAGGTCATTTGAATTATTGCAGTCATTATTTTGCTGATCTGTATATGTAGATATTTTTTCGCTGGTAGTGCTGACTTTTCCGATGTCTCCTAACTGAGAGGGATTACTATTGCTCGCCGTAACTGTAAGCCCATTATAATGATCATTATCGTATTCGTCGGAATCATTATTTGGCAAAATAGACATATGTATTTGTAGTAATCTTGAAGGAAGAGGAGAGATCAAGGTAAAAAAGTATCCTCGTTCAGGTTTTTTTTCTAAAATTTGTAACGTTACAGCGATAGTTTGTACACTTTTTTTTGATCATCTGCGTGGCTAGATGAAGCTTAAATGCTAATTTCGTTCACCGACCAGCAGACTCATTTAGTTTGATATTCCAGGAGAAGTTTTACATGCCGGAGATCAGGGTTTACTTCGATATCCAACCTGTTCAAGATGCCTCCTGATACTTCAATACGCAGAAATTTTTTAATCATTACTATTGTCATATACTGGAAGTATTTCATCATTGTATACCAGAAAGTGTGTTGTCTCTTTCGGCCGATCCACCTGAACTTTTGAGCTATCCCTGGCGCAACCAGGTGATTTTTCTTGGCATGACGGGTGAGCCAGACTCAAGCACCGCGTAATCAAAACTTTGTAGTAGAGGTACGGCAGAGATGATTCCCTTAGGACAGACCCCCTGGGGGGTTTAGCAGAATTGACAGCACGTACTCGAGTCTTTTGAGTGTCACTCCTTACTATTACTTAGTAGCGCTAGAAAAAGCCCCTTCGCCTTAGTCGCGATAGTAAGCGGGGTATTCGACGGGAGAGGTTTACCCATGGGGCACAGGATACTGTCAAAACGGTTCCACTTCAATGAGTAATCGTCAATACTCTTCGCTTCCCTCGGCTCTGACCGAATACTATCTAAATATGACTCCAAACTCAAATTATGAACGTGTTGTAAATTTCTTCGCAACGCTTATCACTTTCGTTGGCGAAGATATAGTTATAGCACCTTACAGAAGGATCACCTTGATGAAGTCTCAGCCATTCCCACGCAAAAATCGTACAGTAATGCACTATCATAGGATTAGAAATTGCATAGGTACAGTACACAAATGCTTTGGATACAATCTGGTAGCCAAAATTATATGTATATAGAAGTCTCTGCTATGTAATTGATAGATCATACATATTAAATGCCAGCCGATTTGGTTATCGTTCATCTTCTATGTATGTATACTTTATTGCTGTCGTGTAAAAGGTATACAACGAGCAAAGTCTCGATGCGTATACCACAAACAAGCGAACCCCGGAAATTTAAATGGCGCCGACAGATGCGCGATTCAAAAGGAAGTAATACAACCAATTATTGAAACGGCATAAGCGATTTATACTCTTCTCTCTGCTCAAAGCCAATATAATGCACACTCGTAAGTAATGATTTCGTTTGCGTGAATCAAAAACATATAGATAATCAGCTACATTATCGGCAAACAGCCTTGGAAGGGTCCGTCGTGGCATTACTTATGACCAAATAACAGTATAGCCTGGTATTGCAAATGTTGACGAATTTATCGTTGAATAAGCTTCAAATCATCGGCAGTGGTGGAACAACACTATAAAAGCTGCTTCAATAGTTAGACAAATAATTATGGGATGAGTATTTAAAGCTACAACAGTCCGGAGAAACGATTAGTGTGGTCTATAAATTATAGTTGCAACAGATACTGTATGGTGTTTGGATCATGGCATATGAGATCACTGCTATCCTATGTTTATTAGAATCTATCGTTGTGTTGTTGCGCTCATTAAAGAAAACGTATGACGCAAATCTCATATTATTTATGTGGTTTCATTCAAAAGCAATACAGTGCGCAAAATGAGAATATATAGACCGAGAATCTAAATCCTTGATAGAAGCACTTAAAATCTCAACAGTATCAGACAAAGCTCTCTTCTGTCTATTATACGCCTTATACTGTCTCACTCAGACTTTGCATGAAACTATTAGCGCCAGTCATTTTAGGTAAGTTCATTTCAAATTAGCTCGTTTCAACTGCATTCAGCCAATTTTTAAAAAAACTGTATAAGCCATAGTGAGGGGAAGGGAAATAAATTTGAAATAAGTTCGTATGCTTATTTGTTTTACGAAGCATACATATGGTACTGTTTTAAAAAAATGAGATTTTTTATCCTTTGCCTTGAATTATTGCTACATTTTACTGCAACTAATGGATCTTTTTTATACAATGAAAAATAAAGGACCAGCCTTGGTATATGTCTCGATGATAAAGAAAAACTATGTATAGATATCACATATCAGGTATTTGGCTCTTCTTTTTCTTCTATTAAGGTAGAGAGGGGGAGCATATCAAAACGTCATTGGGAACCAGACAACCTGTTTTACATCGCGAGGTGCTTTTAATGAGGGCGTTGAGGACGGAGAAAGTGCTGAAGATGGCGAGGATGTCAATTTTGGCGAAGCCGAGGAGGAGTTTGTGCTACTAGGTGTTGTTGGTGAACTGGTTGTATTGTTGCTGTTTTTTCTCGAGGGATTTTTCGCTCGTAATGGTGGAGCTGTCTGAAACCGTTGCTGTTGTTGTTTTTGCTGTTGTTGCGTAGGATGAGTTGGTGGCGGAGGTGGTGCAGGGAAAGTTGCAAGATCTGCAGCTAAAGTGCTATGATGATTTGCGTTACTACCAGCGGTGCTGTTGTAAGGTATCGGCGCATTCAGGTCGTATTGACGCAATAGTTTGGACAATGGTTGATAGGTTGCTAATCCTGTTGATAATTGTGCATTGGGATGAGAGGAGCAGGAGGCAAGTTTATCCACAATATTTTGCGACGGCTGTTGCTGTTGGGGGTGTTGCTGTTGTTGTAAAAGCTGCACCCTTTGTTGGTGTTGTTGATACTGTTGCTGGTTTTGCTGGTGTTGAATAATCTTTTTGGCATTTACCATCACACGCAGCGCCCGGATTTGAAGGGACGGGCAGTCCGCCAATGCCGCAGTTTGATAAATATCGGGTGCCGTCGATATCTGTAGCATCTGGTGCAACGAATGGATTGTAAGTGACTTTAGACGACCCAGCGCAAACAAATCTGCCAAAAGTAACAAGCGTGTGAGGATCCGTGGCTGATTCTGTTCGACCGTTGTAAGATGATCCGTGTACAAAAACTGGATGAATGCGATCAAAATATCGTAGGTATCCGGAAACGTCAGTGTATACTGGACAAATGTGGATGACGAAAATGATACTGTTGTTGCTGTTGCTCCTTTAGCTACTGTCGGTGATACTAACGGAATTAGGCGAGTGTGCACAGACGGCCAGCGTTGTGCGATAATTTTGGAGTTGGCTCGCACGCGGAAGCCATCGGTTGATACCATGGTTATATCTGACAAAGCTGGGTTGCTCAGCAACGCCAATCCTGCTTCTTGTGCTGCCGGTCCAAACGTCAACTGTGGTGGACGGTATACACCAAATGCCTCAGTATCGATACTGGCAAAGTATTCAAAATGGATTACTCGTTGCGTGTGATCGTCTTGCATGGATCGTCCCGGATGACCAAAAACAATAAATTGGTTACGGTTTTCGTGCAACATTCCTCTCAGCCACGAGCCTCGTAAAAGTGCTGGCCCTGGATCTATCCGCGACCATGCCATTGACACCACATTCAAGGCCCACACATGCAGCTGCTGTGACTCGGGCGTAATACATGGCCCAACCACGATTAAATGATGGCCACATGCGAATGCGGCGGGGAACCGTAAGGCTGGTGGGGTATTCTGGCGGCTGCCAATCAGGGATGTTGTAAGGTCAGTGGTGCTCACCACGTGGCCTTTGTTCGAAATGGTAATCTGATGCAGGGTGCGCTTCAGGTCGTAGAAGTTATAATTGCTATATGTGAAAATGGTTGAATTCAGCTTTTGGCGGTGTACGACTTCCTCCAAATCCTGGTTTTGCTCCTCTTCGATGGCCGCAGGAGTAGCCGGAAGGCCGTTGGTATAATTGTGGTGACCTGACCCTGTAAATACGAGATTTCCGAGTAAGCCTGAGAAATTGCTGGAAGGAACCGATATGCTGGGGGAAATCGGTGTAACTGTTGCTGCTGCTGTGCGGTACGTGCAATAATGCGAATTGATAGGATACGGTGCTCGCCATTTCTTCTGCCGACAATCATAGATATTAATCTCGTCAATATAGCCTGCATTTACGTCCTGGCCGCCAAGAACAACAAAGTACCGGTCATTGTGAGTCATGGTAGTGAGATGAGAATATCTCTCGTGAGGCATGTTCTCTGAGCTAATTGCTGGGTACTCCCAATAAGGTTGATTCTGGTCAAGAACCAGAAGAAATAAATCGCCAAGTGAGCGAAGGCCATCGGTATCCATCGTGCTGACCGTCAATCCACCGTAAAAGATAATGCTTGTCGTTTTTTTATTGGTACGACAAACATTGGCTGAATGGAAATATCGTGGGGTGGGTGCGTCATTTTTAGGCTTGAGAAGTGTCCATTTTCCTGAGGCGAGATTCAAAACATAGACTTTGTCCAATACTTCGGCTGACGCCTGGAGTCGGCCACCAAATAAATATAGACGATCGCCTACGATGGTCGAGGAGGCACCAATAAGCGATGGCGGGATGTCTCCAGTCGTAGTCCGGAGCTTTGTAGTGAGGTCGGCTATAGACTGTGTCCCCGCCATGGTCGGTGCAGGCGCCATATAAGTGAGAGGAGGAGGAGGGAATGATGTGTGTGAGTGGTCAAGAGCACTCTGAAGGGCTGAGGGAAAGAAGGAGAGAAAGCAAAAGAGAAGGAAGTAAGAAGAAAAAGAAGGTTTTATTTTGGGGAGGGTGGGACAAACGTAAATAGGAAGTACGGCAAATACCAATTTGGTGTTGCCGGAGGGTGATTTATGGGTGTCACTAAAAATCACTGCAACTTCCTGTAAAGCAATTAACCTACACGGGAGCTAGAATACGCCTTCAAGGTCGCTATTGATAAGAGCTTAATAATCACAATGACAGTTTAATAGCATACCAGCTTTCGCACTGTTGTTATCCCGTGCTGGTGGCCGCTTATGATGCAAGATTACTGCAGAAAATATACCGAGATGATCCACAGATAATGTATCTTTTTACGCTCTACTTTTAGTTTCTACGTTTTGTACTCGCTGTAGCTGCGAAACTTCAGGATGGATATAAAGGAGACACCTTTTCTTCTAATTGACATACATCGTTCATTCAGCGCAGCCATCCGTTTCTTATTTTACCCTACACAGCTATGCATAATATGGCGAGTCAAGACTACATAAAATATGAAGATGGTGCATCTACTGCTATCAACGGAGAGACACTTGCTACAGATCTTTGAAAAACGTTCTCCAACTGACATTATGGATCCATAGATTGATTTGGATAAGACCATTCTTGTTAGTCGATGTTTTTCGCCTTAGATCATTGCTCAAACTAAAGATTTGCTCCTAAAGAAGCTTAATTATCCAGATATGGGCGAAGCAAGTATAGTAGAGCCGTTACCAAATGATATGCGCTAAGCGGTAGATGGCGGTTATGGCTGGTATGTGCCGCGTGTGCTACATTACGCCACATGAGTGGGGGCAAAGGAACGGCTAACAGATGACTAGTCATGCGGTTAATAAACACAGGCAGTAGCTGCAGCTGGTTTTATAGCACATTTTGTTGTGTTTGAATTAGCTTTCTTTTCACAAGCATAAGCTTCATCCGTCTTGGAAAGAAAAGCAAGTATTTTGGAATTGATGACCGTCAGCTCTGTTTGCCTCGCTCAACTTATTTACCCCTGTCAGCGTTTTGCTTACTGTATAAGGCTTGTACTCGCTTCAATTATGGTTTAGGTAAGTGCTTTAATGTGTCTTGCTATCGTTCTCGCAGGATCTAGAACGTAAATATGGCACCTTTACCTTACACAAGGGTTTTTGTTGGATTTGGCGCTTTTTTTGTTTACATAAAATCAACATTTGACAGGAGATAACCATTGTTTTCTACAAATTGGATCTTTTTATTTTTAGCGGCATTTATTCTTTTCTCTTCTCTTTTAAAACCTGCTATGAGCTATTATATAAGTACCAATCAATTGCATCTGTAATTTCACAATGGTAGGTCAAATATTTATGCCCTCTTTACAAAGTTTTCCAATTTCTAACATTTTATCTAGAAATTTCACTACCAAACGAACTACAGCTATGGGATTCAGTAGTGCTGGTACTGGGGTGCGAGGATTGGTATTGAGTCCTATGCTTAGAGGTATGACAGCAACCACTGAACAGGCGATCTAAGAGGTAGGTTTTTACGATGAGACTTGGGAAGGCTGTCCTTCACCAAGATTGTTCCTATACAGCCAATACCGAGCGAAAAGAATCCCAGGTTGCAAGTACGCCCATGCTATTGCGTATTTTAAAACTAGAAAGCTTGCCTGATATATGCTCATAATGAAGAGAATTTATAATGTTTAGGTCAGACAGCAGGTATGAGAAATAACATCTGTCTATGATCCGAATGGCAAATTTTGATATTTGGCTGGTTAGCTCTGTCATTGCTCTTACAGGATATTTTTTTGGGCCCCCATATTTTATCTACCAAGTAAGGATAGAAACAAAGAAGTATATAAGAAAAATATGGGTTTGGTCGTGACTTTACTATAAAAAATCGGCCTTTTTTGGTGTGGGTACGTAGAAAACGCTGCTGACATCGGTATCAGTCAAACGGATGCATCAAACATACTTTCCGTGTTCTCCGCTATAAACGCGATCGGTCGGATCGGTCTAGGATCGGTCGTCTTAGCATGTTTATCATCTCATTGATACTGGCAGGCGTGTTGTCATTTGCGATTATGCCACTTGCCAGCTCCTTTAAACTTATAATGACTTATTATGCTGTGTAGGGTTTACCATGTGGGACATATTACTTTTTGGTTAGCAGAAGCAGCCTTCTTTCATAAAATTAAACACACTATACGCAAAAGAACGTAACAATAGTAAACTTCTCTCTGAATTTCATATTTACGCAGCACCTATTACTATTTATGTTGTTGGCATTGAAAAATTATCCTCAGGGTTATCAATTGCGTTATTTCAGTGCAACCGGCGCCATGAGGACGCCTATCTCACCTGCCATTCAACATTCTTCACCGGATCACGGATACCTTGGAATTCAAATATTTTCGGCTCTTTCACGTAGGAGACGCAATTATATGATTGCGATTGACAGCAGCCCCACTTTTGTTCAAACATTAATCTTGCTTTAATTCTCTACTGCTATTCTAACTGGTACTAAAGAGCTGCTACTTTTCATTTTCTTTCATGTATCCAGCATTATGTATACATTTACCCTATTAGAGCACCCCTCGATTAAAATAGACTAGAAACATAAGTATATACACACAACATAGATGCCCAATTCGTACACAGTTAGACGTTGTATTGATTGATGCTACATAATGAAATCAACTTTTTACCGTCTGTGAATACACTCCCACCACATACAAACTTCAACCCCTCCATAATAGATATATGATGGCATGCGTTTTCACATGTGGGTTCGTCTTCTGCTAGTAGCAATTCTGCAAATACCTATACTGAGATGCTTAGACATTTAAAATACGCTGGACCATTGTTGTTTTCTAACTCTCTACTTGTGACTAAAAATGAAACGGAATCTTAATCAGATAACTGAACAGCAGTATTATACACGCACAAATTACAGTTTTCTATGTATATATTGCTTTATTAGTCCTTGAGGTGGAACGATGTAGTAACTGTTAGAGGATGATGATACAAGGTAGGTAAAACAACAAATAATTGAAAAACGATGTATGCGGTATTATATTATCATTGTTAAATAAGATGCAACAGGCAGCAGACAATATTGCAAATGAAGGAAGGAGAAGATTGAAATGTAATGAATGTGAGAGGGAATAATAATAAAACAACAAAAGAAACTTTGATACGTTTTTGCTATCACGAAAGTTTATACTTTAAAAAAAGGGCATTTTCGATTAAAGGATAATAGATATCATTTTTTTTAGTTGGAGAGGACAGCTGCGACAGCAGCAGCGATCATCAAAGCACCCGAAGACGAAGCTCTGAAAAGTGTAGAGGCGCCACTTTCATTGTCATCTTCTTGAGCCTTGATCTCGGAATCTTCATCTTCATCCTCATCTTCATTTTCACCTTTCTTCTTGTCCTCGTCCTTTTTCTCCTCTTTCTTCTCTTCTTCTTCCTTTTGGCTTTCAGAAGAGTTGGAAGGAGTGGCAGCGTCGCCGGACTTGCTGGGCTGAGGTGTGATGTTACCTGCACCTTCTTTGTATGATTGCAAGTTGTTACACTCACCAACAGAGGTCAAATCAAAGGCTTTGGAGAGGATGGGAATATATTCGATGGCGGCATCGACGGTTTCTGCGTAAAGATCGTGACCCAACGAGTTACCACCAGTGGTCGCGGCCTGGGATGCCCATTGAGTGACGTTGCCAGTAATATAGCTGACGGGGAAGGTGTCAGCGTGCTCAGTAAGGTACCAATCATTGGTATCAACGGACCAGATTACAGCTGTTTATTGATGTGGATTGTACATACATGTTAGCGATGATTATACGCGTAAAGTTGCATATCAGTTGTGAAAAAAAATCCAGAACTTACGAGTGAAGCCAAGGGCCTTGACGATGTCACGGACACGGTCGTCCATGTTACCGAAGGGAGGACGGAAGAAACGAGGCGAAACGCCAATAACTTCCTTGATAACCTGCTCGTTCCACTTGAGCTCACCGACCAATTCTTCGTTGGTCAAGGTGGCCATGTTCTTGTGAGACCAGGAGTGCATAGCGATTTCGTGGCCTTCATCATATGCACGCTTCAAGATTTCGGGGTACTGGAGCACCTGTCCACCGACGACGAAGAAGGTTGCTTTTTCGTTGATCTCTTTGAGGAAGTCCAAGAGCTTTGGTGTGTACTGGCTAGGTCCATCATCGTAGGTCAAGCTCCATTTTTGGGTAGGGCAAGTATGGACATCGTCAGGACCAAGGCACTGCGTAAAGGTCCAAGTGCAGTAAGGGTCTTCGTTGACATTGGAAGGTGTAACAAGGACTATATTATTTTATAAAAAGGGTGGGAAGGGGAGAAAAATCAATATTCAGTTACATACATTTCCTAGTGGAAGTAACGCCGTTTCTTGTTTCCTAACTCTTTGTGTACGCATTGATTATTTGTTGCTAAGCACAGCTGTAATATACGTACCACCGTTTTCAGTAGTAAGAGGAGGGGCGTTAGTGATCTTAACGTCTTTGATCAGGTCGAGCCACTCGGGTTTAGGAGTTGGAACGGTGTAGGCTGCAGGGTAGGTGTCTTTGAATTGGAACTGAGCGTTGGCGGCAGCGAGACCGATCGAGGCGATGACAAAAAGTTTAGCAAGCATAATGAATGGAGTGTGTATGTGTAATGGGGAAGGATAATTGGCTTAGAGCTCAAAGTGCAAATAGAAGGATAGAGTAAGTGGTTAGTGAGAGAAAAGGAGGGTGGAAAAAGAATGGCTAATAAAAAGAAAGAAAAAAGTTTGGGATGCAATAAGTGGATTGCCTTTTTAAATACTGGAGGCAAGTCAAATCCCTGGTAAAGGGGATAATGCCATGTTTATTTTTGACGAAAAAAAAAGCTTGTATCACATAACGATGCGAGGTTATTTTTGAAAAGTGCTTCTTCATCTCTCTGTACGTGAGTATGTGTGTCACTGAGTATATATGATACGTGAGAAGAAGGCGAGGAAATGGAGTCCCGAAACTCTACGTGGGTTCCTTATTACTCGCTACGTAACATGCTATGGTGCTACTGCGCAGCACGTTGAAATGAGTAGAGCTCTTCCTCCTATTGCTTGATCCGTTATTCTGGGCGATTTGAGAATTCGATCTACATATATGTTATGTGTTTTGATTGTCCATGTCTAATTCTGAACAACTGGTTCCATGAGATCAATTTCAATTGGTAGGTTTCGCATGTAATAGCGTAAAGAACGTGCGAGCGTATACTAGTTAGCGACAAAAGCCAGCTGCTAGCTCCGCCTCTTCTTCGCTTTACTCAATCTATGATACAAAGGGGAGGAACGCAATTTCTCGGGGGAGGGTTTATGCTTCGATGAATTCATAAAGTCAGGGAGAGAAGGAGCTCACAGATTACAAAAAGAAGTACCCGCTCAGTGCTTTAATATGTAAAATTGTTACAAAATAGGTAGAGAGAGACGATGGATAACTGGGCAATAATATTCGCAAGCACCTTTGGGGTAAAAGGCACTTTATTTTTGTAACAAAAAGTAAAACCTGATCACTCAAAAAGGTGCTACTATGCGGAATGGAATGTCAAGAAGTACATGTCTTGCGGTTTTTTCTGTTGTGGTCCGTGATTCATGCTCAGCTCGTCCACGGATGATGAATGCGAAATTCCTGTTTCCGAAACAAGATGCGATCGGGTTTCCCGGAGAAACCAATACATCCGTGCCCTTGGTAGCATACAAATGTTTCCATGGCAGCAGTTTAATTATCAAGCAAACCATCAATACTGAACCATTGCATTATCAGTAGCCCTGTGGTCAATTAATTGCTAGATGATATTGTTACAATTAAGCGCTTTGTTATTGCTGCAAAAGTGAGCAACAGCTGTAATTAAATTCATATGATGGAGTTGCAGGAACATTGCCCACGTTTTCATCGGATTTTTTCTGCTCTTTCCTCGTTTAGGAAGTAGGATTCGTCGGTGCAATTGTACAACCTGTGAAGGATAATAGCGAGCGCTGCTGATAAGCAGTTCTAGTTATATGACATCATAATATAGCATGTTCTGGTGGCAATATCAAGTAGCAACGGGCTCAGACTTGCGGGTCCTTTTAATCTTGAACAATCATGATCCTAGTAAATACATAGAAGTCTTTCCCAGTTTATTCATCATGTTTCTTGGACAAAACAATAAGTGACCAACACGATTGCTCTAAATTTAAGTACAAGCGCTACGGACGCACATTGTGCACCGTCAAGACCTTCTGACGCATCTATCAATATGACCACTGAGTAAAGAAAAAAAGGCTGTGTATCTAAATATATAACGCAAATGCAATGATCTCACAAATATGGATCATGTATTACCGTCTACTACATTATAATAGTCGCGGATTTAACAATTATCAAAACAAAGCTCCTTTCCATGTAGCTGCTTATTTTCTTGTTATATTTCTGGAGAGAAAGGTTAAGGTATGTATGTACAAAAGAAGAAAAATAACAAATTATCGAAATCGACCATTTGCGATACCAACTATAGTGCCACCAGCCACTCTGTCACTCACACTATACGCTAACCATAAATCGTCAATAACCGACAAAAGGGAAAAATTACACATGAAGATGTATAAAGGAAAGTTGATCCATTGGTTTGCTCCTCCAAGTTCTCCCCAACTTTTTATTTTGCAAGTTTGATCTGGAAAGTACCTATAAAGAGAAGTTAGAACATTATCACAATACGAATGTGGGATAAGTAATTTACATTGTGGAAGATTGGAAGTTTCTGCGACGACGACACTCGGAACACCCAGGTTCGCCAGTGCCCCTCGAACTATACCACATGGGAACCATATATACTAGAAACAAATGTCCAAAGAGCATTCAGCATGGCGCCATATTCGGTGCTTTGTACAGATGTGTACTACCCATCTTTCAAAACAAATCTTATAAGGTTGCCACACCCTTGCATCCCTTCCTTTCAATTACAACTGCACTTACTGGTGTGGCTTTCTTTGCCGAATCCGCACCTCCGATATCCGTCGACATGCGCATGAACCATCGGAAACTATTATCTTGGAGTACATAGACGCCCTGTTTTTTTTACCTTCCGTCAATACTTGTCTTTTCACCCTCTCACTTTCTGTTTGAAGACTTACTACACCATTTCTAAATAAAACATACCCGATGATTCGTCTTCAAGTTATCAATCTGCTTTTTAAACATAATGGACCACAAGTCTTTACAAATGAACTTGACGACATCCAAGGTATCTGCGAACCGCGGCCGGTCCTTTGTGAATCTACGTATGCCGTATGTGTTCATGAAGGGTAAAGTTGCGTACGTCAGATCCTTCTTTTTCTTCATTTTTTGTAGACAAGTGTAAAGTTCCAAGAATATTTACCGCTCAACCATACGCTGTCCAACTGCATAGCCAAGACTGTCGAGTTTAAAAAACATAGCTTCACTGTCGGCTTCGCTTTCAACGACCGTCGTTCGGCATATCGTATCGACCATCTCAATTAGTAATAGATCCATGCATGTCTCACTGACAAGCCGTTGTTGTGCAAATGGCGTATTAGCCCCAGCTGTGTCTTCATTGTTGCCGAAAGCTGACATTTTTTGTAGTTTATACTTGTATCTGAAATGGTTCAAAGGGATTGCACGTTTGAGAGAGAGATGAGAGACGCTTTCAAAAAGGTATAGACCAAGTTCAGGTCCCACTCAACACGCCGCTCACAGTTTTGGTGTGACGTTCACTGACCTTGTCCATTATTCAGCCCGTTAAACTTCCCTCGCGATGGCTGTCTCGCTCTCACTTTCTGTTTTATGCTCTTTTCTTTCTTGCCTTCAGGATGAACTAGTCGTCAACGGGCATTTGGTTTGTGCATTTAACAGCAGTGGAATCAGTATATCACCGTCCTCAGTATTGAATCTTGGTAGTAATTCCACGCGTTAGCGAGTTACCTTGTCACATAGATCATACACGCGACGCAGCTGAGAACGAAGCCATTGTGAGGTTATTATATAGTGCATATCACATTCAAATCTACTCAAGATACAACTGCCCTGCCCTGGTATTAGTTGCTTACACCGGAGAAATTATCCCAGATATTATGCAATTTAGACTATAGTGTGGACAGAGTGGCATTCATTCGTGACGCTGACCAAGGAGCGTCTTTTCAGTTGCATCTACATTATAAATAAATACCTTATCGTTTTTTTTTGTCATATCACATTCGTCGATTTATCTCTTTCAAACGCACTTATTTAGAAAATGAGCGGGGAACATAAAAGGAAATGATTCTATTAATGCGCAACTTCTTTTTTGTTCCTTCTCCTCTGGGCGGTTCTTTTCCAGACAATATCATTTATTATGCTCTCACCTACCAAAGATACTGAGCCACCGGTTTCTTCTGCATCCAGTGAAGCTCCTCAATCCCCAGCTGTACTTATGGAGATTGAACCCGACATTGACTTGACAGGTCAATCGACGACACAAGCTGCCCCTGCATCTCAGCAGCACCAGCAGCAACAACCCCCGGCCTACGACAACAATGCTTCATCGTCAACACCAACAGCACCCATAGCAGGTACCATTTCACAGTCATCAGCATCAGTAGGATATAATGGCGAGGATACTTTGGACGAGCCCGTGTCCACGACTATTGTAAGAAACATCAAATATTTGTTTTCTTGGCACAGACACGCAAATATAAGTAATATGGACTGAGGCTTTTTTTTTTGTGAAATACATACATGTAGTTACGTGAACTTCGACAAGTGGGAGGCAAATTGAAGCAAGTGCTAAATCCAAATGGAAATCGACATGTTCTCAGAGACTGTAAGTATTTTTATCTATACCTGCATGGATGGATATCGATAGTAACTAATGCATTTTCTTTCTCTGCATTGATCTCTATCTAGGGGACTTGTGGGGACCGTTGGTGCTTTGTCTGGCCCTCGCAATGTATGTATGATGACGCCGTATGTTATACCTAAAATGACAAGCATGGAGAGTGTTGCTAACTGTCATGATTTTTGGGTCTCTTGTCATCATATAATAGAATATTGAGTACCCAGGCGCCCGATGATCAAGCTGTCCCTATATTTACTGGTGTCTTTGTAATTGTTTGGCTGGGGTCAGCGGTGGTCACCCTCAATGCCAAGCTGCTGGGCGGTGCGGTCTCGTTCTTTCAATCTGTGTGCGTGCTAGGATACTGTCTGTTTCCATTGGTGCTCTCGGCAGTGTTTGCTATCTTTGTCAAACTGATCTGGGCAAGATTACCTATAGCCATTGTTACTTTTGCCTGGTCGACTTATGGTAAGTGTATTATTTATAAATCTATATCCCCATGATGATGACACTTGACATAGCGTTAAGGACAAGGTAAACTCACAAATCTACTATTTTTCTAATTTAGCTTCCATAGGATTCCTTTCAGAATCACAAGTACATTTGACTGATAGACGCGTTCTGGCGGTAAGATTTATAAACATAAAGAGCGGGTTAGAGGAGGAGGAGGAGGAAGATCCATCTTCCAGAAGAAAAAATAAACGGGCGATATACTCGGATTCTCATTATGCTCATTATTAGGTTTATCCACTGGGTCTGTTTTACTTTGTGATTTCTTGGCTTACACTAATATCCTAAAAAAAGATAATATATTTTCTCTCGTTGTTTATGTTGTCATAATGATAAAACAGTATATATATAAAATTTAAATAGAATGTACATACAAACGAAATTCTTTTCTTTTTCCACATTGAAATCTACAGGGCTTTAAAGATGCAAACGTTAAATTTATTATATAAATATATACTTTAAATTAGATCTTTCTATTCGGCATAAGTGTAGATGGTAATTTCTCTGGTATTTCAGCACCGTTTTCCAGGGCCTTGATCAGATGCATTGCCACGCTAAATTCGTCGATATCCATATATCCATCGCCGTCCCAATCAGCCAGTCGCCACACTTTAGCGAGCATGTCAGTAGGAAGACCTGTTTCCGTCAGGACAGGCTTGACATTGGCGCCTGATACAACGCCATCACGCGGATGTAATCTTTGAAAAACAGATGTATAAGATGATTTGTCAACCGAGGAAAAGTTCCAAAAGTTCGCAGGCAGTTGACCATATTCGGTAGGCTGTGCAGAGTCCATATCTTCGAATGGATTACGCTCAGTTTCAGCAAGCTCAGGGTTACCCATGGGAAACATGGACATAAGTTTCGGCAGATCCACAGCAAGTGCCTGTAGGTATCATTAGATATTCTGATCTTTCCCTGGGCTACGCACTACTATGTTACCCCGTTCACACTTTGGTGCCCACGTACATCATCAACCTTGTGTAGGAGATTGTCTTGGATTGTTTTAAATTTGTCAATGTCGTACAGCTCCAAAGCCTTTTTGAACTTTTCTGGATTGGGGAAATCGCCTGCTGGCAAGTGATGGCGTTGTTGGATCTTGAGAAACTCTTGATCCAAGTTGTTGAGTAAAGCTAGTCGCTTCTTCTTTTTGCCAAACATGGATGGCATTTCTTTTTTCAAGTGACCGATAATAATGGCATGTACCTAAAAGTTAGTAGTTAGTAAACATGGCTCTTGACACACAACCCCATCAAACTAGATACTTAATACGTTACCCGTGCTAACCGTGCTCGTTTCACAATTTCATTGATCTTTCGAATAGCCGCATTGCGTCTCAGCTCCTTTAAATCGCGTAATAGATCCTTTGATTCAGCTTCAATCAACTCTCGACAATCCTCGAAAGAATTGGGTGGTTTCTCAGTCCAGAAAGAGCTAAGATATACGCGCATGACTTCGGGTGTCTGAACTACTTTGCCAAGCGACCACATCATGGCACCATACCTGGTACATGAAGGGCAATGGATCTATTATTTAGTTTCTTTTCCACCCACTTTTCAAACTCGTAAAGAAAAATAAAAAGCAAACTTACACTCGCATAAGTTGCTGTTGGTTGACCATGTCACTCTTGTTCAGTACAACACGGACCTTTTCTTCTTGTCCTCGAAGACTGTGGATGGCCAATTTAAACTCATTTGAGATATCCAGTTTATGCGAATCAAACATGAGCAGAATCAAGTCCGCGCGTTGTGCAAACCATTCCATTACCGCCGTGAAGTCATATCCACGTTCAACGCGTTGTTTGTCGCCAGCCAAGATACCCGGTGTATCGATGATGGTCATGTTTTCCAATACGGGTGATGGTGTTTGCGATACCTACCAGAATGATACAACGTAAATCTCTTTCTCATTCTTATCTCACCTTTCTATCAAACGAATAGATAATGAGAATGTCTTTCACCTGAAATCTCGACAAGAAGGCTTGGCCAAATCGATTTAAACCTCGGAAGGGAAGATCTTGGTTGACGGCGGCGGCATTACCAGGAATCACCCGATCCTCGCCTCCATACATGACTGAAACAAATTTATCTGTTGTTGGCTCCACGCCAATATGTTCGCCTGGGTACCGTTTGTCAAGCAGATACCGTATAAAGGTCGTTTTACCCTGCGATTATTGTGTGTGAGTAAGCCAAGTTTCTATACCTACCCATCACCTTTTATCAACATCTCTCCAACTTACCGTCGAGTATTGACCAATTAGTAGAACAAGCGGCTTTGCTTCGATATCGGATTCCGTTAGGGGCGCAGAATGAAAACCTACATATGTTGTCAGGGTTTGTATATGGTTTATTGTTTCTTGCATAAATTATCCCTCTGGCGTTATAGATACGAAACATAGAGAACCGTCTTCCCTTTGAACTGATACAACAAGCATACCTTCAAAGTTATATGTCACTTCCAAAGGTCGTATTTTCGACTTGTATATCTTTTTCACGCCTTCGATCACTTGCTCGTACTCGTCTTCGCCCCAGTTTTGAGTCGACGAGTTGGCAGTAGGTCCTCTAACCGAACCATTTGCCGGACTGCCGTTTTGTTGCTGTTGTTTTTTCTTCATTGGGTTATGTTTGAGTGACATTGGTGGCAATTGAACGCGACAATTAAGAGAGGAAAAAAAAAGCACAAAGAGTGAAAGAGAGAAAAGCAATATAACGAGAGGGAATAAAAAGTTAAAAAAGCACCGGTTTCTCTTTTGCCTTGGTAACAACCAGCGATAATACCCTCCCAAAAAAAAACTCCGCGTTGTTGTTGTTGTTTGCTGTTGGCACCATTTTCATCATCAATAATCCAAAATATCATAGCGCGTTTTTCAATATAGTCTTCAAGGAGCTTCTTTCTGTATTAATGAAGAAAGAACACTGCGTCATAGGACAACAGGTTCCGACACTAGACTATATACAATTCGCAGTTTTTGTGTGTAACCATGACAGCTCTGTCGATCCCTGTTGTTATTTTGCAGGATCTGCATTATCTATCTTCCATCCGAACTTTAAACAAACGCAATCTCACTCGTTATTAGTGACGGTAGGGTTTTTAGGGTTGTTATTAATAAGATGGGTAGATGTAAGTATGGTGGGGAACATAAGGGTACGAAGAAGAATGTAACGGGTAAAAAAAAACAAGGCAGCGAAGGTAGATCGTGATAAGGGAAGGAAGAATGGAGGAGGAGGAGGAGGAGGATCAATCGTCTAAGATATATGTACATGTTGCAAGATAGAAAAAAGGTCTAGTGGCCTTCCTGGTATAAGAGCGTCGCATGTTCGAGATAGAACTCAACCGAGTCGAACTTGCTCTTGCCTTCTTCAGACCCCATGAAGGTGTCCAAGGAGGGGATGGCCGACCGCCAGCGGTACCTAAAACGGACAGGGAGGGGTCAGTATTATTCTGATGTATGCATTCTTTCATCTTTCTTTCTTTCTTGTCGCCCCTCTTTGTCCATTTTATCCACCCTTCCCGGCACGATATCCAAAACAATGAGTTGACACTTGCGGTGGAAGCACCCCACTGTGATATGAAGAGCAGGCCATATAGAATGAATAATACACAAAAAAAGTTTACCGAACCGATCGATTCACATGTGAGGAGCGTAGTATGTCGTTTTTAAGAAACGCACACACCACATTACAGCACAAATGAGTTGAGAGAGAGTATAAAAAAGGACATAGTAAAGAACAAAAATAAAAAAAATTAATCCATTCCACCACACCTCCTTCTTTCCCTGTTCTCCCCTCCTTTTTATATGCAGAAAGAAAAGAAAATATACAAACCTTTGACCATTCAGATCCCAATGATTGGCATCCAAAGTCTTGATATACTTTCCCCACTTGGCGCTTTCCACAGAAACAATCCCGTCATTGTCGCCTTCCTTTTCATTCACCACCTGCCACGTCAATCCTAAAAACGTCCAGGGCAAGATATTTGTCGAGGCACCGTACGAGTAGTAGGCGACGCTTGGGTCATTCGGCGTGTTGTGGTTAAAGTAGCCTTGGCAATAGTCCGTGGTCAAGTTGGCATAGGCCGGTGTGTCGAGCAGCTGTATAACTTTTTGTACCACAGGATCCAGCAAGTTGAGTGACGTCGATGATGACGCTGAATCCTTTTCTATCTGCTTCTTTGCAGCATCGACCACCGCACCCACGCCCACGTGATCCCGAAACCAGTCCATGACAGGTGAGCCTTGATGAGGGGTGGATATCGTCGTCAGCGACTCGACTTTATAAGGACGGTCTCGGATATGAGATAGCAGGTACCGACAATCCAATCCACCCTTGAATACAAATGCGTTTTAGTCAAGCTCTGTTCCCTTGTACACAAAAAAAGTAAAGAGACAAAGGTTATTCGTTTACCATTGAATGGGCAATGAAATTCACGTTATTGCCAGCCAAGATAGCTCCGAGAATGCCATGCAACTCCTGTGCTCGTTCCCACACACTGCCTGTTCTCGGTACCTTGGTGACAATCACCTTAGCACCCAATTTGGCCAATGCCTCTTCGATACCGCCCCAGTAGTGGACCTGGAGCATTGGAAACGAAGCAGGACCCCACTTGTCGTAACCATACAGGCCGTGACAGAGGACCACAGGTGCACGTGGAGCTCTGTAATGTGGCGTGACAGGCATGTCTAATCCTGAAACATGCTTGTATTGTTGCTGCCGTTGGGTACCATCGGTGACTGTCGCAGCACCCCCTCCACCGACGGCAGTGGCGGTGTTTCGGTCAAGTCCGTTGATGGTATGATCATTGCCGTGGGAAGTTAAAGCAGCAGCAGACGACGACGACGACGACGACGACGACAAGAATTGTGTTGCGGCGAGTGTATCAAACACCACGGCGTTTTTGCTGCTGCCACGACGCTTGAGCAGTCTGGGATAGAGCACCTTTAACGTCTGCTGGTGCTGCTTTCTCGGTTCGATGGTTGTAGCTCGACGACGTACAAGCGGTGATCGCAGTAATATCGACGTCAATGACGATGTGTTTGCTAGCGAGTGTCGGATCGCGTTGTAGATGACAGATAATGAAATAGAGACCATAGCTGGCTTTGCTGAGACGTACAGAAGTGAAAGAGAAAAAGAGAACGAAAGATATATGTACAATGAATTTATTAGAGGTGGACAATAGAATGTGAGTAGAAAGAAGCAAAAGAAGAAAGAGGAACAAATCTGCCCGACTGATATAATTCCTGCCAGGTGAACTCCCGATTCAAACCCAGCACCCAGCGAAATTGTCCGGAAGCCCCATCTCCCCACTGTTTTGCTACGTGTCTCGCTCTACTTTTTCTTAGCCTTGTTACTGGTTTTAAAATAACAACCCAAGCACACGCACCCACAACTGCCTGCCAAGACAAATGTCTGGGGTTCAAACTTGCCAAATTGTTTTTTTGGAAAATCAATTTGTTAAATTCCTTTTTTTTAATCATTTTCTTAGTTGAGTAAAAGATAGGGTCGGCGTCACACGGCTGACAGTGTCAGGCCACGGACACCTGTGGTCCCGCTGATGGCAAGCCAGAGCAGAAGGACCGGGCGAAAAAAATTAGATTAACAACGAGTGGAACAATGTTCCACATTATAGTTGTTAAACTATAAAGAACAGATACTACACTTGATCTTAGCCAAAAGGCCAGAGAGGATGCGGTTCATTGAGTTCCCAAGAACCGCCCGTATTTATACTTTTTTCTTTGAGGTCGGCTGACTCTCCTGGGCTTGAAATTGTCTCACTCCTGCTTACTTTAAACATCCGCTGAAGACTGCGCCCCAAAAAGAGTGGGAACGAGGAGGACAGGGGTGCTTGGGGACTCGTCACACAAGCGCACCAATGATTTTTATGCCACGCACCATTCACCATCAACCTGTACATCGCCGCTCCATGGATAAACCATGTTAAAGATCCGCGGGTGAACCCACACTATCCATTACTACGATTTTCTCGCTGTCAACTCCCCCCCCTTCCAAAGAAGATTCTCTTGTCGATAAGTTAATCGGAGGTATACACTATGTTAGTGGAACTGACTTAATCGAGAGTAAGTGCGCGTACTATACTGAGGTGGCAGGACGGGTATCAAAGAAGAGTATGCTACCATAAACCTTTGGATTTGCTGTCCACAAAACATAGTTTGAAATGAGATGAGTTCTATAAAGCGCCTATCTATCCGATCAACTGCAGGATTTTCCACTAATGTTTAGCGTATCTTGCTTTTCAACTTGACATGATAGAATGGCTGACAAAATGTTTTTTACTTAGCAACTGGTTTTTGACACAGTCAGAATTTTCGTTTGACATTAGGTGAAGTTTACTTTGGCAATTAGTCCTTTAAGGATATCTTTCCTTCATCAATAAAAAGTAACATGGGCCATCACACACTCCTAAAAATGACAAAATTTGCTTGATTTGTGTGATAAACATTTGCAAGCAACTCTTCTGAAAGATTGATACATATGAAGATAAGCATATAATGCGTTGCAATAATTGAAAGCAGAAGGAAAATAGATATGAATGTATTCCATATCCTTGATCACATCCATTCTCTTTACATTGGTCATTGAAAATCCATCTTCGTCTATATGATAACAATGAATATATGGACTATGTTAAGGTGTGTTATAGTATATCATACGTAATGACAAGAGCAGGGGAAAATATAATAGTTACCATCCACATTCTTGAATGCAGAAACGATTCCATCCTTTCCAGTACTGGCAGTCTAATGACTGGATTCTATATACGTAAACTTCAAATCAACAACAAAATAAATTATATCATACATCGATACCACCAAGCCGTACGTAGAAACAAAGCAATCTAGTTTTACATTTGTAAGGCAGTATTTATGAACTCGATGCGTCAAGGCGTAAAAGAAGTGAATAGATACGCATTATACAGAGATTCTCTCTTTTTTTTTTCTCAACTTACCTGATCTGACGTGCTAGCTGCCACAATCTTTTGTTTTTCGATCATACTGAACCCCTATTTGAGTGGTTGGTAGGCAACGTTTCTACTATAGGTAACTGCAAAGCGTGGAAACGACCAAAAAAAAGATTGTCCACTTAATATATCTACCTTTCCACGAAAATAACCATCACGCAAGAGTCCTTTAATATCTGCTATCTTAAGCAAAGTATATCGTGTGATATTAATTCAAAAGACCATTCAATCTAATACTGTATATGAATAGGTGAAAATAAAGATAGTTCTTCGTGAAACAGCCGTGTTCAGGCAGCAAACAATAAGACGTTTCTCACCACCTGAAGGGGCCTATGTCAAATCATACGATACATCTCAAATTCACAGAACTATTCGTGGCAGTGTATGGCAATTCCCTTACAAAGACCTTTGACAAAGCGTGACACCACCAAGCCATGTCTTTCCAGATGCTTGAAGCACGTTCTTTTACTGAAAGAACATCATTTAAAAGGATATGATAGTTTAAGAAACACATACACGTATAAAGAACTATTGCTTTATGCTCAATACATTGGACCCATCGTTCGTTGGTTCCATTACCATAATCCACAAAGTTAATAGAGTCAATTATGGTTGATTGATACTAGAAGCGAGATCCTGAGTCTACTGTTTCTTATGTCTCCATTTTGAACAGCCACTGGAGCAATTCTAATAAGATCCTGACGCAATTATCGAACAAGAAAATATGTGATTATCAATCTAGAACCTTTCATTATAGAACGACCCGAGTGTTAAAAACATGTACATGAAAAGGAGATTATTGTAAGAATACTTATCGTTGCTTGTGACAACGTGACTAACCAATAATCGACTATGAGCCAGCCATATGTACCAGATCAGAAGTTGCGCATGAGAAAGCTATTGAGAGAATACGATATCATCATACTGGTTAATGAGTTATTTTGAAACCACTACGTGTTATGTCATTGTCGCATTGTCTTTTTTTTCTGTTCATCTTCAGTTCTTGTGCTTTTTCAATTTGAACTCTTAGACCTATCAGGCCAGAGATCAATGCGAATGAAAGTACATGTTGGGCACAAAGGCTGCAGTGCCCAGATTCGCATTTGAGCGATAACAACTCACTCGCTTATAGACCCCCTCGCTTATTTGGCGAGGTGAAACTCGATACAGCCACAGACCGTCTCAATGCCATTGATCCCCTGAATTAGCGGGATACCGTTTGAGTTCATGGTTTATTGAGTCCAACTCAAGGAGCTTCTCACGAGCTAAACAAAAAGTAGCATTCCAAGCAGTTGGTAAGTCTAGGGATGAGATTGCTGAATAAGATATAACAGGCACGATTTATCTAGCACATCTTTTATCGTAAATATCTTTTACCTGCATAGTATAGACCCCGTGATCACATCCTATATTTCTACATTGAATTGGTGATTGTACGTACACCATGGCAGAGCTCCACACAATCGAGCTACCTACATGCATAAAAAATCACTGAAAACATTAGTCAATTTCATGACATTTATCTTGCGCTGGAAACCACGACGCTCATTGATTCGGCTTTCTGGAAACATAACCATCGTAAAACCAATAATACACACTTTCTGAAAAAGATCATGGACAAATCCCGAGGATAATGCTTCTGTAGGATACAATTTAACTGACGGAAAGTTTAAGATATGTTACAATTTCAATACTGTAGAATACTGATAGATGCAAACGAAACTGCTTAATTCTACTATCACTGTAAAGAATTGTAGCGCAATGGGTTGCTACTTTTTACAACTTATACTAGTACGTTTCATCTTCCAATGATATCATGTACACTGCATACATCCACGTCCATTGCCATCGTGTACTGCTTTACCATGAAACTGAAAGCGATTCAGGTACAGCAAGTGAAGCGGCGGCTATGCATCATCTCTATTCCATACAATGAAGGGTTTATTGTTGGCGTTGTGGATTCATCACCAACTTTTTCAGACTCTTCATTATCTACAGCTTCCCTTTGTATAATTGAGCATGTAAAAAAATTTTTTTTACTTGTTAAAAGGAAAGATATATATCTCAAAGGACTAAATGCCAAAGTGTGATCATCAAAATGACTAATTTTCATCACAACAGTCGCCAAATAGAAAGTTCTGTATCACGCCAAGTTGAAAAGCAAGATACGCCAGCCATATTAGTGAGAGATAAAAAACCTTGTAAAATGCTATACATGCAAGAGCGCCAACAAGGTTTAGTCATAATAGAGTAGGATAAGAGGTACCCCGAGCTAGATGTTGACTTTGCGTTTGTTCGACAGCGCTCAAAACTCATATTCGTAAAGTACCCATATATTACGAGCTGATGTCACATTTCGTGCACTATTAATACTACCATGCGACCATTAAACTCTCTCTTCCTCTTTTTCCTATATGGAAAACCTTATCTGAACGTTACAAAACATTTGTGGAAATATTCACACATCTCCGAGGAACTGGGTGAACCATAGTAAAGTCAGCTCTTTAGTAGCTTGTCTGGATTATGATGCAATTGCCTGCGTTGTTTTAAAATAATTGTCGTAACGCTCTTGTAAGTTTTTTTTCTTTCTTGATAACAAAGTTGTGCTGAGCTGACATTGATGGATGGTGGGAGAGAGAGAGAGAGGGAAACACAGCTAGCGAACTTTCTATTCTTTCGCCTCGGGGGGAAGGGTGGGTGGGGGGGGCGGTTGGAGATATGTTGGGGATAGTGTATGCCAGGTAAAAGAACGTCATACAGAAAGACTTCCTTTTACGCGCGACGAAAACAAATGATTCAGGTACTACTAATGAGGCTTATGGTAAAAAAAACAATTGGGGGTGGCAGTATTTTTCTCTGTCAGTTTATTGAGATTATCAGTTTTCTAATTTCAACTAGTAATGGTACAACGGGTGATTGATGATGAGGTTATGTTTGTATATGTAGGGTGTGAGAAAGAGGAAAGAGTAAGTGCTGATGCAAAATACAGTCATTAATGCATGGAGAGTGGTGATACGTGTAAGAATAACAAAGAAAAAAAGGTGGTTTTATTTTTGATGGGTCATCTATTACTTCTTTTCCTTCTTTGATTTCTTCTTCTTTTCTTTTTCTTCACCATCCTTTCGCTTTCGCTTCTTATCTCCAGTAGAGGACTTGCTTGTTGCTTCGGCATTGCTACTAGAAACAACTTCTGCTGTAGCACCGACGGTCGAATTGGATGGCACGCCAACTAGGTCCAAAATATTAAAATGTCAGATACCATCGCTTATCACTCTACTTTATTCCAAATTCTTCATACCTGTATCAAATCCATATGGCTTAAATCGCATTTTCATATTTTCTGGTTGATCACGTTTTGCTGGTGGTCGGCTCGAGATTTCTTTAGCAATTTCTATCGAGTCAGGAACGTTTACTTGTTCATCCAGAATCATGTATTGTGAGAATTCCTTGGGTGCTGTTGGTTGACGATGATGTGATGATCATGAATGATATAGTTGCATGAATGTATGAACCAGTTAGTGTCAGACTTACTGAACTCCCCATTTGTTATGTACATTATCTCTTTCTGCCTTTTTCTTTCTTTTCCTAATCACATTGCTTTCCGCTCTATTCGTATGATGAAGGACTTACCGTAGGCAAGATAGCCTCCTTCGGGTAATAAGCAAGTGAAACCAGCCATTTCTTGTCCACTAATGCCCATATCATTGTCGCCTTCGTCATTATCGTTATCATCATCTTGCTTTCCATCGTCCTCTTGAGGTACTCGATATAATGCGTATTCGTTTTTGTGGTTCAACTTTGCAAGCGGTTTTCGTGAATCCTTCTCAGAAGGAAGCTTTATTTCTAAACCGTTTAATTTGTCAAGTGGTACCTATGCATATTCTTTAATATTCAACAAACAAACACACACACACACTCTCTCTCTCGTGCTGTAACAATTAATTTTTTCTTTAGTTTTTCGTAAAAGAGTAATTACGTTGTTTGGAACGCGAATAAGCCAAAGCTCACTGTCCTTTTTGGCAGTGATCTTTTCCGAGCTGAAAGTCGATTCCGCGGACGATTTAAATGTTCTAAAGCCACTAGGTGCTCTATAGATTTCCCCCACCATTCAACACGTTGTCATTAATCACGCCAATGCACTCGTTTCAATCTTTCTCTTTCTTCTTTTTTACTCACGAAGGTCTACTCGTTGAATCGCTTGCCATTTTATGTATATATGTTAACGGGAAAAAAAAAGTTATGGTATGGATCGCTCTCCGGTGCGTCAAGCCACACTGCATTTCTCTCAGAAAAAATATATCCAATGCCAGAAAACGAAAAATCGATGCTCTGATTGGCTGGAAGAATAAACGGAACTTGAAGAGGAAGTGGTTCGTGGACTCAACTTTTATAGACTTGCATGGAAAGGCCTTCCTGATAGATATAAAGTATCCAATTGTCAGTTGAAAGGAAACTATCTACTCGAAATTACGGTTAATACCTTTCTACTCTCTGTCTAGTCATAAGTAAGTTTGCATTGATAAAGAGGTATATGGAAACATATTATATCATGAGACAAGCAGTCTTTGCATAATTCAGTCAAGCTTAAAAGTAATGAATATCACCTATTAGCTCAAGTAAACTTACGTACGTAGCAAAATATATTGTCATGTAGTATACCACCATGTCGTATTTGATTACATACATGACCAAAGATGCGTTGCTTACACAGAAAAGAAAGAGTTATCAGGATTTACTAATAGATTAAACTTGAAGCTTTACCTCAATGTCTTTCTAACGTTTTGAGAGCTTACGACATGGAAAGATGTTATTCAATTATAATTTGGGCTTTTACCCAACATGATTCGATAAAGGTGACACGACTTGTTGACTTTTTTGGACTGACCACGTCAGCGGTCGTAACAGCCCCTCCCCCCCCTTTATATACATATGCCCTCTTGATTAAAAAGCCCGCGCTTGTTTCCCAAAAACCGCGTCTTTTCACCCACTCTTTTTTATCTTTCAATCCTAAATCTTTTGAGGCCTAAACCCTCAAATATTTCTAAAGAAAAAAAAAATGTCAACAATTAATGTAAACGTAAAGTCATCCAGTGACAAAAAGTTCGTCATTGCAATTGAAACATCAAAAACCGTACTTGATCTGAAAAATGCCATTGCGGAACAAACCGAAGTGCCTGCAGACCGACAACGTTTAATCTATTCTGGACGAGTACTTAAAGATCATGATACCCTGGCAGACTACAAGATTGCTGATGGTAATACTGTTCACATGGTGAAAAGTTCTGGAGCTGGTGCTTCAAGAGGTAATTTGTATATTCTTTGTTCCGTTTTCGTTCCAGAAACAGAAAAAAGAACTCTTTGGAATTAAAAGGAAAATCATTCAGGTACCACCGCCACTGCAAGCACCGCAACCCCACAATCAACATCGACGACGACTCCCTCTTCTACAACAACAACCACTACTACTACCACTGCTCAACAAGATTCGACTCTACAACAACAACAACAACAACAGCAACAACAACCATTAGCAGGCAATCCCTTTGCAGCTTTAGGTGGTGGTGCTGCAAATCCATTCGGTATGCTTGGCACTGGATTTGGTGCAGGCGCTATGGGCAATAGCTTCGGCTCGCCAGATCCAAACATGATGAATGCTATGCTTCAAGATCCAATGTTTGCTCAATACATGTCATCGGTTTTGCAAAACCCTTCTGTGCTTGACTCGATCATCACCAGCAACCCACACTTGTCGTCGATGGGTCCAGAAATTCGCAACATGATGCAGTCGCCTGAATTTAGACAAATGCTCGGCAATCCTCAAATGATTCAACAAATGGCACAAATGGCCTCGGCTATGCAAGGTATGGGAGGAGCAGGAGCAGCAGGTGCTGGTGCTGGTGGATTTGGTGCCGGTGCTACCACTTCACCGACGCAGCAACCACAGCAACCACAAGGCCAGACACAACAACAACAACAACAACCTCCATTAAATCCATTTGCAGCATTCGGTGCCGGTGGTGCTGGTGCTGGTGCTGGTGCTGGCGGTGCTCCTGCTGTAGATCCACAACTGCAACAACGCATGGCTGCTCTGTTTGGCGGTATGGGTGGCATGGGCGGCATGGGCGGCATGGGCGGTATGGGCGGTATGGGCGGTGGCTCACCAGCTCCACCTGCCGATAGTCGACCACCTGAAGAACGATTCCAGGTTCAGCTTCAGCAATTGAACGAAATGGGATTTTACGATGCAAGCAAGAACATCCGGGCACTGTTGGCAACAGGAGGAAACGTCAATGCAGCCATCGAAATGCTTTTCAGTGGAACCATGTAGATTGGGATGATCAATGGCATTATTGTATACTCTTTTTCTTGTTTCCACTTTGAAATCCCGGTTTCCATATATACTTAGCAATACATCATCCCCCTTTACTCTCACTCAACTACTCATTATATCTTCTCCCTCTCTTTCTTTCCTTTTCTCCTGTACTTTTTTCTTTCCGAGGAAAAATCAAGGCATTTAAACAGAAAGAAAGCCATCCTATATAATCTATACACTACACAGCAACAAAACGAAACAGAACAACATTTCAAAAATGATACATTCCCCCCTCACTTGACTGCACACACACACTATTAAAGAGAATTGTTCAAACACATAATTCAGAATGGGTTAGGGTGGCATCACCACGTTCAATATGACTAGGTCCAAAAGATCTATAGAACGGGAGAAATAACAACATTGAGAGATACCCATGACAAAGGAGGAGTCCATTTACAGCAAACTTGTTTATAATACACACACACACACACACACACTAAAAGAAAGGATTCATGGGGACTAGCTCGTTTGAAAGATACTAACGAGCAAGATACGGAACTGTTGAAACGCAAACTCAACATCCTGTCCAACATCCAAAGGCCGTTGACCATAGACACCACTTGAATCAGGCAAAAGGAATTCGACGTTATGCAATCCGCCACCAAACACGGTTTCAGCACGATCAGCTGCAGCCTCACTTTGACCCACGCCAGCACGTTTACCACTGCCGGAATGTTCATACAAGAAGCCACGGACACATTTCATGGCGACTTCACCACGTTTTTGTAACCATGCAAAGTGGTGTTGCGGCTGATCCAAGAAAGCGCCGGATGAAAATGATTGTTCGGGCTGTTCCAAGAACTTGTCTGGAAGGAGTAGCAATGGGATCGAGAGGGATGAGATGTCGTAGCGCGTGGTCAGACGCAAGATGTTCAGTAGGCCTTTGATCAGGCTGCTTTGTTTGGTCAGTTCGGTGGTTGCTATAGCTTGGTTCATACATGATTGCGGAACATTGATTATGAGTGTATTTTTAAACCTTTAGGGGGGGGTAGTAGTAGTTGGAGAGCTTATTACTTACCATCACTGTCGATCACCAGATGAAACACAACTTGCGTCAAGGGAAGATTGGAATGACGAGTGACGAAAAAGGAACCTTGTTGCAAACTATCAGGTCGTTGGGCGAAATCATGTTCGATGGTGGTCAGCTGGGACTCGATGTCCGGGAAATGAAACTCGGTCGAATGTTGACAACGTTCAAATAAGGCTAGAAGCGCACACCAAAGAAAAGTTTTAGCAAACAACATGGTATATATAATAAACATCATGTAAATAATAATAATAATAATAATAAAAGAAGCCCAGGCTATACCTTTATTACTCCCTTTGCCGGTCCGGTAGTGTCGCCAACCCAATGCGGTTCCCTGCTGATCACGACTCCTGTTGAGCTCGCTCAATTCCACCAGGACCACTATGGCACTCAGATGGTTGGTATAGAGTTTAGTGGACGTCTGAGCCTTGTAAGCCATCTCCCGAGTCGGATCGTAGGGTGTCGGATTGAATATATCGGCCCCTGGCTCGGCCACGAGTAGGCGTAAGTTATGCGTCGACTTGATTTGTGCAGGCCCCAGGCTGATCGTAAATGATTCAACAGGTTGTTGTGCATTGGCCCCGTTAGCAAGCGTGCTTCCAAAATCACCACTATAGAATAACAACAATTCAAAGTTTTATTATTATAATTGATATTATTATTATTATTATTATTATTACTATTATTTATTATTATTTATTATCATGCATTGTTTATGTAAAAACATGTATTTTACTCCTTGCGAAATTGTTGATCTCTCTCTTTCACACACATATAAACTATAGAGTCCCATCCTTGCATTTCCATGGCCCCCCCCCCAAAATAAAAAGCACGCAAAAGAGATTTACCTGTCATCATGATCAATGCCAAAGTTCTCCATGGCCCTCCCGAGCCAACCGCCCAACTTGCGTACGGAGCTAAGGTTGGTGTTCTCCATTACCTGCTTTTGCTGCTGGAGGAACGAGACCGGACTCCAACCCTTATTTGCAGCAGCATTTTTACTGAGTGGCGATGCGATCAAGCTATTGCTGCTCCTTTGGAACGATTGGCGTCTGCTTGAAGGAGCCGAGGAGATCGAACCTGTGTCGTTGTTGACCGAGTTATTGCGTGAGTGTGCAGGAGAGGCAGTAGCAGCATTCGACACGCTTGCTGCTGATCGTCGGCGGATGGCCGTGTTGACTTTCTGTGGGTCTTCAAGGAGTAGCGTCACCGCATTTTCCATGGTGTGGTTTGTTAGCGCCAATGCCATCTCTGCTTGTTCCTTGGCGAATCCCATTTCTTCAATGTCCTTTACCATCCTTTGAAAGTGGGCCTATACCATGGCATCGTTCTTTTGTCAGCCACTGTCCCCATATGACTACCGCTTTAAAGCAGCAAGTGTCTCTTTTAGACTGCAATAGACCCAGAACAGAAAATGGATTTACTTTATCTTTTTCAGCCTGCTGTTGTTGTTGAGACAGGGACCGGGCCATGATGACTTGATCGCCATTATTATTATTATTGATATTATGATTGGAGAAAGAAACGCCACTCTTGGTGCTTGCAGCACCCACACTGGCTACTGAGGAGCTTTGACGCCTTGTTCTGCTGTCATTGTTGTTGTTGCTGCTGCTGCTGTTGCTGCTGCTGCTGCCACCACCACTGCTATGACAACCATTGTTATTCGCATCATTGCTGTTTTCTTTGACACGCTCTGCCGCAACCTTGACAATGTCTTTGCCATCCAGATCCTTTTCAGCTTCGAGCAAAGTATCTTCTGGCTTGAGATTCTTTTCATCAGACAGGGCGACCAGTCGTCGTTGATATTCTCGGTACAATTCAATGACAAAGGCGCGATACTCGCGTCGTTGGGTTTGCTGTGTTTGCAGAATGTCGGAGGCATATGTTGCTTGGAACACTTCCATGTCTTCCACATGGCGTGCAAACAGATGGGTCATGTTGGGCGATCCTGGCGATGCTTCTATCTCGCGGCTGTGTCTATCATGATGCGCAGTCGTCATTGTAGCAGTTGGACGTAGAAAGTGGCCATGCATCAATCATGTTAATGCGAGTTAGAGGTGGGGGGGGTGTGGAGCGGAGAGAAAGTGAGAGAGAGAGAGAGAGAGAGAGACGCACCTTTCTTGGATGTCGGTTAATTCCTTCTCGCATGCCAAGTAACGGTCTTGGATCACCAGCGCATAGTCTTGTTCCAGGCTGAGCAGGGTATTGTACATGGCCTCAATAGGGCAATGCACGAGTGTGTGGTATGCACGTGGAAAGATATCCTGCAAGAAGTTCCATGACATTAACTTTCGTTGTTCTCTCCCATTCCACTCCCTCCCTCCCTCCCTCCTCCTCTCTTTCCCCAGAACACGGTATAGATGTCGATACAACACAGAGGCACCCTTTCCAACTCCTGCTGCCTTGAACTGCTGCTGTTGCTGCTTGCTCCAACTGTAAATAATGCAGCAAGGCACATTTCTCCTTCTTTTTGTTTATCTTCCAATCAACACACACTCTCTCTCTTTATAGTAAAAGGAAAATCCCCTTTTGATGCTTAACCTCTTCGGGTTTATTGTGGTATTGCAGCGTATGCGTCTGGTATTTCGTGACGAATGGGTCTCTTTGCGTTGTGGAAGCGTCCATGGCGTGTTGCTGATTGTCGTGATTATTGGCAGCTGCTGCTGTTATAGCTGACGCGAGAACAGAATAGAGACTCGAGGTTAAATAGGGCGGAATGGCGTGTTGGCGGACCAGGTGTGAGATCAAGTCCTTGAGGTTCTGCCCCTCAGTAATGTGGACGCGTAATGGGGAGTGGTAATTGGAAAGATGGAGCGTCGCTGTAAATGGTTTGGTGGCCTGTAAGGGTTGCATAATACTAATAATAAGTGGGATACTGATAGTAATAGTTTGGTGACATATAAAGAAAGAGAGAGAAAGAGAGAGGAAAAAGTTTATGAGAGAGAAGGGAGGTGGTGTTACGCAATAAGGAAGTTTGGGCGGAACTCATTTTCTTTGGCTGCTGCTGCTGCTGCTTGAACAAGGCGCACGCACACACACACAAGAGAAAGATGACGGCTCGGCAGTATCCAAAGAGAGAAAGATTTTTCTTTTTTTTCCCCTTTTTGCAGATGCAGAGCGCATGCATGCACTCTACTCGTTTCATTTTGTTAGAAGAAAGAGAGAGAGAGACACACAAGTTGCGTCGTCGTATGTAGTAAATCACAAGTATGCTGCGGTGTGGCAAATAGTAGAAAGGAGGGGGAATATCATTTGAGTATAGGGTAATAGAAAGGGAGGGAAAAGGCTGACTGACAGATTATTGTTGTTGTTGTTGTTGTTATTATCTGCTCATGTACATGCAATGTGCAGCAATAACACAGCACGCAGGACATACTGGGTGTGATGATGATGATGATGATAAACGCGTGATCCTCCCCCTTTCTTTCTTTGTTTTAGAATGGGACTCAGCCTCCGTTGTCAGTTGTTGGAAAAGAACCCGATGATGGATGGTCCAATTTCTGCACGCCAAGGGTAATATGCGGGCCATTCTCTTTTGGGGGGGGGAGGGGAGGGGAGGGATGGCATTCATAGAGGATGCTATGAATGAAAAGAATGGAGGATCACCTACTAGCGAATATGCTAATGAAAGAGAGATGGATTGGGACTGAAACCGGCCCTGGACAACCCACCACGGGTTCCCCATTTTGATTGATGATTGAGAAGACGTGCGTTGAAACAAAGAAAAACCCGCACGTAATTCCACAGTCATCCATCAACATCAACATCGACATCATCAATCATGGAAGAAGTGGAAGCGACCCATCAGCAACACCCGGGGGAGGAGGAGGGAGCGCTTTTTTGGAATGATCAGCAAATTAAGTTTCTTGACACAGCAAAGTAGTAGTAGTAGTAGTAGTAGTAGGGGCCTATTTTACACCCGAGATAGTGTACGTACACAGGCAGGCAGGCAGGCAGGACTTGCTGCTGCTGCTGATAATGTTGTCAAGTGTTACACCAGCACACAGCAATCGGGTTTGGGGGTGGCCTTGCTTTAGGCTGTTTTTGAGTTCAGTCCGCTGCCCGTCTTATTTTGGGTGGAAAGGGATGGGTAGTATTTTGGGGAGGGGGGTTGGGTGGGTCAAAGAAGTCAAAGGTGGGATCGGAGACAAGGGAAAGGGCGGGCTATTTGGGGGGAACTGCTGAGTCAAGGGAGGTGGTCCCCCGTCGGTCGGCACCTTCTCTGGAAAGGGCACCTCCCCCCAACCATCAACCAACCATCCCAAAAGAGAGAGAGGGCTCCCCCCCCCTTGCCCATTCATTACACACACACTCACTCACAAACCAAAAAGGAAACAAGGAAAAAAAAAAAAAAAGCGGAGACCAAGCGCGTTTGGGGAAAGGTGGAACAATGAGCCTTGTCCATCCAAGGACGTGTTAAACTGTGTGCTATGTGAAGTTTTGGCTGGTGTCCAAAAAAAAAAAAAGTTCCGACCGGATTTGGCAGCTAGCGAAACCTTTTTTTTTTCCAACATAAAATGATACAAGGCGCATTTAGAAAAAGGCAGCGCTTTCCTCCTCTTTCATGTAAAATAAATCTTTTTGCTTTTCTTTCTTTCTCCAACTTTCTTTCAACCATCGTCATTCTTTCCAGCAACACCTCCTCCGTCAACAACAACAACAACAACAACAACAACAATTACTTATACAACAGCCATGTCACCGTGCCAGCATGGACGAAGAAACCCGACAATGACGACAATGACGACGACGACGACTTATCCACCCTCACTCACCCTTCTTTCGTGCTCCAATTCATCCGAACTGGCCGACTTTTGCGCGTTGGTGGTGCCGTGCATATGGGCCGGTTCATTCAAACAAGAACAACAAGAACAACAACAACAGCCTATCGTCAACGCGAAACGATACGCTACGTTCAAGATGTTTTGTCACAAAGTGCTCAAAGCAACCCAAATATCCTGCGCGTGCGTCCTGCTCGCGCTCTACTACATCCATCGCCTACGCTCCGCCTACCCCTCCATCCGCGCATCCATCGGCTCCGAGGTGCGTCTGTTCACCACCGCACTCATCCTCGCCAACAAGTTCTTGGACGACAATACATTTACCAACAAGGTGACTCAATCTACCTCCAAACCCACACCCCCCCCCCTCCTCAACACCCCCCAAGTGTGAATATGGGGGGGAGGGGACGCACTCACTCTCTGGAACCCAACTATTAATATACTTCTTTTATTTAGACGTGGTCAGATGTATCGAGCATTCCTGTACGCGAACTCAACATCATGGAGATGGAATTTCTATCAGCACTGAACTACAATATCTACATTCACCATCAGCACTTTTTTGCATGGGCAGCCCAATGTCAGCAATGGGTCCCACGCATGGCCGAACAACAACAACAACACCGTCCCATCAAGATGCCTGCGCGTCTGTCCATCAAGTCGTCGCCACCCGTCGTCGTCACTGCTGCTGCTGTACCTCCACTTGTCATGTCCGCTTCTATGCCTGCTATCCTGCCGTCAACAACATCAACAACAACATCGAGTACCACCGGCTCTCTTCCTACACCCACTGCATTGACGTCGTCAGTAATCCCACCACCGCCACTCTGCGCATCGTCCTCCTTGAAGCGATCGGCTGCCAACAGTATTGAACCAGCCTCCAAACGACGCTATCACCATGTTCCATACACACCACCCGATGAAACAATCTCCTATCCACAGACTCCACTCTACACACCACCTGATCTGCGGTTATCGCTTTGTACTTCTAATAGCAGCACCACAACACCACGCATTGCCAATAGCACTACTACTACTACTACTACTACATCCACATCCAACAACAACAACAACAACACGCGTCCATCATTATGTCGGCCGATCTTAAGCTGGTCCTCATCATCGTCCGCCCTTGCATCCTCTCGTCACCAGGTCAGCCCATACTCCACCGCCCCGTCTGCTGCTAGTGCTGCTGCTGCCGCTGTAGTGGCTGCCACAACATCCTTGACATCCCGAGTGCGATGTTTGGAAATAGAATAATAATGATAATAATAATGATCCACTTGCACATACACATACATACACATATACATAATCCATCCACACAAAGACGGATGCAAGTGGTTCTTATTGCAACAACACCCATTTTACCATATAAAAAAGCATCCATCTGTACATACAACCTCATCCTTTCCAATTTCCAATAAAAAAAAAAAGTTCCCTTACTCCCCCCCTACCTGCACTTCTTTTGCACATATCAAAAAACGTAATTGCTGCTGTCATACTCTTCTGTCCTGCTGAATTTGGCGCTGATCCAAATGCGGAATATGTACGTGCCCGTAGGACAAGAAAGAGAGTTTGCGGAGCAATAAAATTGCCAAGATCGTCGCAATGTCCCTCTTCAGATGCTGCTGCCGCTGCCTATATACAATTCGATGCTGATGATGATAATGATGTATGCAGTGAAACCCACACCCCATTTTTCGATCGACAAGTGCCTATTTTGGGGGGGGTGGAGAGCCTTTCTCTCTCTCTCTTTCCCAACCCCCCCCCAAAGAAACCACAAGAGCTGTGACCTTTGTAAAGCGCGCGCACTTGGCACGGTTGGTGCTGTTGTTTCTTTGAGTGGGATCTCAGCTCATGCTCTCCCATCTCTTGTCTGGTCTGCACATTAAAAAAAACCTGTCAGCACGTGAGCCCTTTCTCTCACACACACCCAAAAAAAAAAAAAAAAGTTTTTCTTCGACAACTTGGCCCTTGTTCTAATTCGACCACGTGCATCATATTACTTTGCGCACAAACGTCATGATGTCTTGGTGTTACCATGCGAACAACTAATAACAACAACAACAACAACAACAACAACAACGGCGACACCCAAAATGTGTTCCAACTTGGACCTGATGTATCGATTATCCACACATATAAAAAAAAGTTTTGTCCTACCTCCATTGACTTTGCTTTTCTAGCTACTACTAGTAATACCATCATTAGTAGTAGTTATTAATACTACTACTACTACTACTACTACTACGCTAGTACAAGCGGGTATTGCTTGATGTGTAATATTCGGCAAAAAGGGTGTCTTGCCTAGTACTATCAACAGCAGCGTCATCACATGACTCTTGATTGTTGTTGTTATTTCATAAAGACGCCACATGTTTACAGAGTCTTTACAACCAAATAGAATCTTACGTCTGGACCAGTCTTACCTTGTCTGAATTAGGCACACACAGAGAGAGAGAGATCTGGGACTGTGTGGCGGGTTTCGGTTTCTTTGTATTACCCATTCTCTTTATTTCCATCCTCACTGATAAGGAGTCCGGTGCCTATCGCCGGTTTCTTTCTGTCCAAGAGGGAGCGTGTGTAATGCGGATCGGTGTTACTAACATACTCTTTTTTTTTTTTTTTTTTTTTTGCGCGGGGAGAATTTTATTTAGGCAAATAGGGGGTGGGTTTGATGCTGATGATGTTGGTTTGTTGTTGTTATTCTTTGATGATGATGGGACGATGATGAACAGGACACCGCTTTCTCTCTCTCTTTTCAAGTGGAATGAGCGGGGGAGTACGGACCAGAACGGAGAATAAGAAGGAGTTGTGCTGCCTCAATGTATGAGAGAAAGCGTGAGTGAGTGAGTGAGTGAGTGAGTGAATGTGCTGGAAAAAAAAAAAGTCGCCGGTTCCCCCATTCCGCCCTTCCTAGTCGCCCCCCTTTAGCCTATACACACCGTCTCGCTCTCCGCATAGATGAATCTCTCTCTCTCTCTCTCTCAGAGGAGGACTTTGAGTAACCAGCACATTTGTATTTCTCAATGATTGGCCAAGAGCAACAGCCGGGCGTCTTGCTTTCTGTGAGTGGTTGTGTTTCACCACACTCGTCACGCCCTTTTACCATGAGCGAATGCCGTATGTATATATAAATAAAGAACGAGACTCTGATCGTGCAACATGACACATGGAACCCACAGAGGCCAATTTATACAGAGTATACAATATATAATAGTAGTACTTGACTTTATCGTAAGATTTGGGGCTAGTGCGTGCAAATTTTTCTATTATCTGAGCGCTTCCCCCTCTTCTGCTCATATATTTACATGCAATCCGGCTGATCTTTTCCCAGGTGAAACAAAATAGAGTAAATAGTACTACCCGCTATAAAAGTGGGGGGGAGGTAATCAATCTACCGTGATGGATTCGTATATTGAAACCATAGATTCCACCGTCGTTCGCCTTTGGACGCTACTACAACAACACCTGTCTCACCGTCCGCTCTTTGTCCGTCCCGTCCGTCCGCTCGTCCGTCTTTCCCTAAACTGTCTTGTTCTCACACACACACACACACACACAGAGAGTCCTCCTCCTGCCCGATTGAGACGGCATCTTAAATAATCCCGATCAGTGCTACTTTAACACTCTTTCTGATTAAGAAACCAATGGAAATTCATGATACCCAGTGCTACATTGACCGACAGCTCGTTAGAATAGCGCCCTCTATTTGAATAGCGCACTCAAGTAGCACATATGGACTAACACATGAATTCAAACGAGGTATTCTCTGTAAAGTGACTAGGTCAAGTCATAAATATATACCTGAAAGATCTCTTTGGAGAAGCTCACAGCAAATTGCATCATAATGGATCGTTTCGAAGGAAAGGGTGATTCAGCTGATTTTTAGAATAATACATGCTGCTGGCGTTCAAACAAACGGTGCTACTATCTACTATAGGTTTGTCAATCGAACTGCCATATTGAGTTCTTTAAAACGATGATGAAATCTCCCAATGCCTGTTTTGACGCCGACGACGACGGCAAGCGGCAGCAACTTGAGAGGCATAAGCATTCTGGCCTAGATCAAGTATTCATCGGGGGGAAATTTGGCCTGGTTGCTTTGCTTGGTAATTGAACTACCATCTTGTTGTGTGCCCGACTAATCAGTAAAGCAGCCGACAAGCGATTTCTTTCTTTCATGCCGCTTAACGTGAGAAAACACGCGCACTCCCCTTTGTGTGCACACATCACTATTCTCCACCAGCATGGCACATCCGTCAACACAGTGAGGTTGCTGGTGGTCACGTGAAGTTGAAGAACATAAAAGATCCTCTATTGAGCGACGATGTTTGGTAGATGAGTTGATGGGTTGTGCATAGTATATGCCCGATGCATAAGAGTCGTGTGTGTAGTAGGTGCCTCAGTATTTATTTACGCATTGTTGTTCTTTTGGGAGGGGAGGGGGGCGTGGTTGGTAAATCATATAGCATGAGGGAAAATGACAGTTGAGAGAATATGGAAATGGATGCAAATATAGGCAGAAAGAAACAGTCTCGAAAAGAGAGCAGGGAGGTGGGCTGAAATGAGATCACATGAGCCGATGGTGTTGTTGATGTTGTTGTTGTTGCTGTGGTGGTGGTGGTGGTGATGGTGCACATGCGTGCAAATGTAAACAACAGCAGCACACATTCAAGAAAGAAAAAAAGCTTCTTTGAGATGTGTGTGATCGCGGTTTCTTGTCACAAAATAGTGCAATGCCGTTATTAACCCTGATTTGCTGCCTTCCTTCCTTGCCTCCTGCGCCTGCACGCATGCATGTACCTGCCCCGCCCTTGAAATCGGGAACCTCATATTTGTTTTACTTTATTTCTTAAGTTTTCATACACGCATAACTCTTACACCAAACAGAAAAACAACAGCTCGGGTCACACACATGCCCACCGCCCCCCCCCCCCCTTCTTGTGTTTTGCACATCAAACCATTTCACATACCGGTTATTGCGTGAATCTATTAGGCCTCGCTCCCCGACGAATGGGGAGGTTGGGGCTCGTCAACATCATCAATACATCTTACTATGTACATCTTACTAACGTGAACACCAAGCACCAAAAAAAAAAATTTGAGTTTGCTTGTCCACATTTTCGTTATTCTAAACCAGGGCCCTTCTTTTTATTTGCTGACGCCCTCTCCTACTCCATATATGCATACCTCCTATATCACTCGGATGTGCTATATACAAAACTGCTACATATCAAGCATGTAATGTACTCATGGTCATACTAGTAAGGCGGAATACGGATGGGCTAAATGTGCCCTGATATTTGTGATGAACCAAACAAGTTTCCAAATTGCCGCATATATGAGATGATGCTATGTGTGTCTTTCACTCACTCATTCTGAATATACATGCTATGCACAAATTTTATTTTTTCAGGGCGGTCGTCGTAGGGTGTTCTAACTGGTGTACTATAGTAGTAGTATGGACATACATAAACAGATTGAGTAGTGTCATGCATGTGGTAAAGAATAATAGAGTTCATTTAATTTTGTCATGATTCAACCTTCTTCTTGCTTGGATGGAGCTTGTTGATGATGGGTCGAGGGTTGTTTAACACTGATAGTATATTAACTTTAACTTGACCGGCTTGTTCGCCCGCAACTTGTTGGTTTGTTTGTGCAGCAACAAAACACAAAAATATCTGGTTGAGCTCGTGGTTGCATTTTGTGTCAACAACAGCAACAACAACAAGGTTTTGCGTGTGATTTCTCTCTCTCTGTGTGTGTGTGTGTGTAGTCGAATTCCGATCTATATACCCATATGCTTACCTCTACCAACCCCCCCCCCCCCCAACCATTCTCCTTCCTTCTGCCCCTCCCTCCACCCCCAGCTTCCACACAGCCCTCCTCTTACTAAATGTTACCTAATACCATCATCATCGTCATCATCATTATACAGCCCAGCAACGCCCCCTCCCCTTGTTCTTCGTGACACTAGATGTGATTAAATAAGATTTGTTACACATTCTGCAGGAACAAAAGCCGATATTATATACTGCTGTGCCAACACTATGCAGCTTTAAGATATCCGTGAACTTCACCTGCTTGGTATTCTTTATGTGTAAAATATCATGTGGAGCTCGCTCCCCCATCACTGAAATTATGACCATGCGGAAGGAACGGGATAGGTGTTGCATTATACAGTTTTATATACCGCCAATCGGGTAAATGCATTATTCAGACATCTATGTATAACTCTTCATTTGATTGCCTCTGCTAGAATGTAGTCTCACATTTTCTACTATGCAGCAATAGTCAAATTAAACATTTAAGCCATCTTCTTTGATAAATAAAAAATAAAAGCGAGTGACCGTTTTTGAAAATCCAGCATCAGCTGCAACATGCATTACAGTAGGCATCGAACTGTACCACTCTTCTATATCCTGTTTTGTGTATCGTTCCACCTTCTCTAGGCTTGTTTGATATGACAGAAACGGGATTTTTCTTTCGAAACGTAATTGTAGTATATGAGAGGTGTTCT